GAGAAGCCTGCTATACAAAACCACACTATATACCCAAATATTGCTCCACTATAAACCGATTTCATTAACAGAAAGGACACCACCTGAGAGACAACAAAATACATTGAACTATTAGTCAGATCCTGAAGCTCAAGAGGGGACTTAGTAATTAATGGGAGCAAACACACATACCCAACATAATTCTGGCACAGATTCTCATGGGACATAGCTTGCAGAATCAGCTTCTGGACCTGCAATTTGACATTAGGTATCACAAGTCATCCCAGACACTAATGTTCTCTCCATCCCCAACCCTCCATCTGAATCCATTCATAATCTCATCCTTCTCTCTTACCAAGCTCCTCCAAACATAGCTACATAACATTGAGCGACAAAAGCAAGCAGATTCAATATCAATGAACTTACCATAACCCAATTGCCAATTTGCCACCGCAAGTCCTTCAATAATAGGTCCCGATAATAGTGGACACTGCGTCAGTCCCGAGATGGTAACAATCCTTCCCTATCCTCAAGAAAATCTGATCGAAGATAATACCCCCTATACAACCGAGCCAACAAAGACAGTGGATCCTGCAAGATCCACCACTCAACCTTAGCCCACATTGCTTTAATGAAAGCCTCAAAGCCTCGAAAACCAAATCCACCTTCCTCCCTGCTCTTACACATCGTTCTCCATGCCACCCAATGAACTCGTCTTTCCTGCCGGTAGGCCCCCACCAGAACCGAGCTAGATTTCTACCCAATTGACACAATACGACCAAAGGCAACCTGAAGCAGGATATCACATATACAGGGAGCACATTTGCCACTGCCTTTAACAGGACCTCCTTTCCTACCCAAGAAAAACACTGTTGTTTCAAGCCTTGCAACAGCATCATCAGCCGTTCCACCACAAACCAAAAAAAAATTAACTTCGGCCTAGCCACTAAGGATGGTAACCCCATTGTGCCAACCCCAAGCTGAGTTGCCATCTCTCCTTGTTCAAAACCTTGAACATTCTTACTAAAAACGATCGGAGATTTTTCCATGTTTACTTTTTGCCTACTGAGCATCTCATAATCCCATAAATATCCGCTAACCTGGCACAATCCAACTCCTTTGAACTAATTTTCTCATGAAGAAGGCTTCAAATCTTGAGGTATGCAAGGCAAAGAGAAAAGGTGAGAGATGATCCCCTTGACAAAGACCCCCAGAAGCAGTGAAATACCTTGAGGGATGCCCATTCATCATGGCGGAAAATGTGGGGGAAGTCACACAAGAATGTATCTGTTGTATCCACTTTGAACAAAATCCCATTTTCTCTACTAAGGCAAACAAAAAAGGCCATTCCACCTGGTCGTGGGCCTTTTCCATTTATAACTTCAAAGCCATGTACCTGTCTTACCCGTTTTCTTATGGGATGGATAATGCATAATCTCATGCTGATCGATACATTTTTCACTATCTGGCAACCACGAATAAAGCCATTTTGACCAGGAGAAACAATAGCTTGCATAACTCCACTATGGAATCTTAGCAATCACCTTATTGATGAACTTACAAAGACTAATCGGTCTTAGTTGCTTCATACGCTCAAACAGGTCCAGTTTTGGAATAAGAGTAAGCCACGTATGGTTAAAATTATTCAGCATAACTCCATTAGAGAAAAGATGATTAACCGCCACGCCACCACATCACCACCCACAATATTCCAAAAGCACCGGAAGAACATACCAATAAAACCATTTGATCATATCGCTTGGAAAGCCCCAATACGGAAAATTGTAGGACAAATTTCATTAGGAGAAATACCCGTTATAAGCTTTTCGTTTCATATCTACATAACCTTTATCATAATGGGCTACCCACCCACCCTTTCTTTATGAGCACTCTTATCGTCTCCTCATCCCAAGGAAAGCATTTTAATTTTTAACACGGTTTAAAAAATGACTGTCATTCTGTTGGATATGGATCCATGTAGGTACCATAGATATACCATACCAGAGATACTTGTAACCACACCACACAATTCATTCATTGCCTCTCATCGATAGACTATGAAAATTGGGAGAAAAAGGTTCTTCATTTTTCTACCTGACGAGCCGATCCTTGTTTTGTCTTATCTTTTATTCTGAGTCAATTTGATTTATTTCCTTCTTGGAGAAACTTGGTATATCCAAGGCATTTATCTCCTTAAGAATACTGTTATGATTTAAGAGATTGGCTAGCGTCAAAATTTACAGACGCTACGCTTTGCCTAAAAAAAAATTATCATTTTGACTTAGTTCCTTTCAAGTCTAGTAAGCATCGATGCCACCGCTTCCATGTACTTAAGCCAAAGTGAATATCTCAACTACTCTATCAATATTCGCATTGCTACTGTGGCTCCTTCTACCCCTTCTGATTTGGTGTCTTGGATTCCGGTAACGGTTTCTCGACATTCCCCTCACTTTGAACCGCTCATCTTGGGCATTAAGCGCCCATATGAAGGTTAGGTTCATGACTTCCCGTCGTTTCTTGTATGGAGTAACCATTTTCCTTTTATATCTCCTATCTCTACACTTTACTGACCCTTGAGATTCAAAGGGCGTCGCTGACACCTTTTTGGTGACTGTCGACAGCCCATAATCCATTGCCCCTTTTCTTTCTTGTATTGTCTTCTTTTCTTTATTTCCCTCTTCTTCTCCTGTGTTGTTCGAGTCTTTGGTTGGCTTTTACCTTTCCATTTGTGGTTTTCCCTCTTCCCAATGGTGGGTTTTTTCCTCTCCCTCTATGAGTTGAGCTTTTTGCCCTCTGCATTCGTTTCATTTTCAACTTGTCTCCTCATCCTCTTTAGTCTTTCCCTTATCTACCTCCTGATTCACCCTAGAAGTCTTGGTGTTCGGAGATTTTAGGCCCTCGGCTTGAATGTAGATTGAAGATCATGAAGACAGAAGGTCATCCCTCATGGATCCTTCACCGGACGCCCTTTCGACATGAGATTCCTCATTGCTTTTGGCGTCAAGGAACTGATGGAGTCTTGTCGGCGAAGATTGGTCGGAGGTGGCTCTTGTTGCTTCCAGTACTAGCCTCCGACTAGGTTGGTTTGCTCGAGCTTCCATGCTTGGTTTTTGTCTCGATCCTTCATCCCATGGTTTCTATTGGTGGGAGGAGCTTAGGAGGTGTTTTCTGGTTGCTTCCACCGACGGTGGGGCACCTTAGGCAAGCATTGTGCAACTAGGGTTTGAGAGTAAAGCTCGTGTTGGGATTCATGGTTTGCGGACATAATCAGAGAGGATGAAAAGAGCTTTCAATTTGCGAAGGAGTCTTTCGGATGATGGTGAGAATTAGGGAGACATGGACGTGTAGGAGGCAGAGTTAGGATTAAAGAGAGGCTTTCTATTATAGGGAGGCTTTTTTACGAGAAACCGAACAGAGGGAAGAGGTTTTCTTTATGGATGACGTGGACAATCTAAAATTTTAGGAAATCTTAACTACGTGAAGGGGCCCATACTTAAAAGTGTGTTCACATTTTTTAAGATATAATTGAATAGAATGTTGGAATCATAAGTGATAGCAAATCAATCGGTCAATATGTTAAAATATCAATCAAATATACATATCAAAATATCATGTTGTGTCTCGTAATGATCATCTACCGAGCTCCACATGTCACCAAAAAAACTCTTATCGATCTCCACACACACAGAAGGGTGGGGTTGGGAGAAGATGCAGTTTTTATCGGGTCCTTGTTAATAGGAGGGCTACGGGCGACCATTTCTCTTCCTTCCATTTTCGATTGTCATCTCTCCCTCCATGGAATGGAGCATTTTTGTTACGCACTAGACTTTATTTAGCAAATATTTAATTTGTCAATTATCATGCATGCATTTTGTGGGACTTTCTTTAATTTGTTTTGTGTAATGTTTGGCATAATTTAGTGATTAGCTACTAGCTAGGATAACTACTCTTTTATTGTCGGTATCCCCACAAAAATCTCCCCTATTTTTCCTGGAAAGGCAAATGCCAAACACCAGTCTCCTAAACCTAAGTACCTAACTAACCAAAACAAACACAAATCAAAACAATCTATCAATCATCCCTCCCAGACAGACATCCTGATTGAGGCAATAGTTGTGCCTGTGAATGCGATGATGCATGCATACATGGATGGGTCTCCATATATCATTAATTAATTCCTCTTTCATAATCTACTTGTCGTTTAAGTAATCTTCTTATCCTAAATGGAAAGGGCTAGAGAGAAATTGCATCACAATTAATTTAATTTTTTTGTAAGAAATTCCCAATCGGCATCGTCATCCTTCTCTCACACAGTCACTCACTCTTTTTTTTTTTTCTTTCTCTTCTTCTTATGTTTCCCTTTATGATCCCAGCTCTTGATCGGTAATGTTGTTGCATTTCTGATTATCTCCCGGTTAGTTCTCTTAAAAATATATTATTATATTTATTAATTATCCATTACTTTTCTTAATTAATAATTTTCTCGATGAAATTGAATTTTTCATGTCTTGCACCTGCATTGTACGTGCCAGCATACACAGTATAATTTCATGTGTGTATGCATGAAGGTAAATAGTTAGATTAATGATGAGGGTATATTTTAGTTGCATCCATATTCCATACTAATTAATTCATTCTATCAGGGCCCGGTATATGCCTATACTATATACGTATACCAAATAATTAAGTATTATGCATACATATACTATAAATGTATATTTGATGAGTACATATTTGTTCATCATGATCATGACCAGTGTAGTGAAATTGATTCCCTAGTTTAGAGAGCATATCTCATGAATGCGTTAATTATACGTGCTTGTATGAGCATCTTATGAAATACAAAACATATTATTGATAAGGTGAAAGAGGTTTGGAACAGTTTCTCCATCAATTTAATAGATAAATATCAATAAAAAAGAAGTCATGAGAAGATATTGAAAAACAAACTATCGCATGCATGCAGGTGATTATTACAACAAAGTCAATAAGTCGCAGAGGCACCATGTGATTCCAGAAGGATGGATGCAACAACTCCAACCACCGGCAGCTACGACTCCAACCCTAAACACCATCATCAACAGTACTATCACACTACTACTACTGCTGCATTTGCAACAAGAAGTAGCGACACCGGCAAATCAAATACACATACTAATAATAATAACAACGCCATCATGCACAAAAATAATCAGCGGTTGCTCGCATCTACAATAGCAACAAGGCCTCCTACAACCACCACAAGTAGTAGTAGCGGTACTGATGTAAGTACCATCAACAGCCGAAGCGACAACATAGATAGCTCCTCCACCACTAACAGTATTACCAACAACGCATCTTTGAAGCCACACACTGGCGGGGACAGCAGGTGGGACTCCATAAACACTGTGGTCAGCTCCAGAGGCGCCATGGGTCTTAGCAACTTCCGCCTCCTCAAGCGTCTTGGCTACGGTGACATCGGCAGCGTCTACTTGGTAGAGCTTCGTGGCACCACCAGCCACTTCGCCATGAAGGTGATGGACAAGGCCTCCCTAGCCAGTCGCAACAAGCTCCTCCGCGCCCAGACCGAAAGGGAGATCCTTGGACTCCTCGACCATCCTTTCCTCCCAACACTCTACTCCTACTTTGAGACTGACAAGTTCTACTGCCTCGTCATGGAGTTTTGCAGCGGTGGCAACCTTCACTCTCTTCGCCAGAAACAACCCACCAAGTACTTCTCTGAGGATGCTGCCCGCTTCTATGCCTCTGAGGTCCTCCTCGCCCTCGAGTACCTCCACATGCTTGGCATCGTCTACCGTGACCTTAAGCCCGAGAATGTACTTGTCCGAAACGAAGGACACATTATGCTCTCCGACTTTGACCTGTCTCTCCGTTGCTCCGTCAATCCCACCCTTGTCAAATCTTCCTCCGTCAGCGGCGGCTCCTCCTCAGGTACATCAGCCGCCTCAGGTGGACCAGCTGTGCTCGCTGGCAGTGGTGCCGCCAGTGTGGGATCCTCGACCAATGCCTTTGGCAGCGGCGGGGGAGCCATTCTAGACGAGGAGTTCGCTGTCCACGGCTGCATCCAACCCTCCACCTTCTTCCCTCGCTCCATACTCCCTAGCAAAAAGAACCGCAAGTCAAAGTCAGACTTTGGACTCTTTGTGGGTGGGTCCCTCCCGGAGCTCATGGCAGAGCCCACCAACGTGAGATCCATGTCCTTCGTCGGGACACACGAGTACCTTGCCCCGGAGATCATACGAGGAGAAGGCCATGGAAGCGCAGTTGACTGGTGGACTTTTGGGATATTCCTCTATGAGCTCCTCCACGGGACCACCCCTTTCAAAGGCTCAGGAAACAAGGCCACTTTGTACAACGTGGTGGGCCAGCCCTTGAGGTTTCCGGACAGCCCACATGTCAGCTATCCAGCCCGGGACCTCATCCGAGGACTCCTTGTGAAAGAGCCACACAAGCGGATTGCCTATAAGCGTGGGGCCACCGAGATCAAGCAGCATCCTTTCTTCGAAGGACTCAATTGGGCTCTCGTCAGGAGCCTTGCCCCTCCACACGTCCCTGAACCCGTCGACTTCTCTCAGTATGCCAACAAAGAGCCGCCCCCGCCACAACCCTCATCATCCTCCGCCATGCCACACCCAACTGCTTCTGCTTTTGTTTCCACAACTGCAGAAAAGAAGACCGCAACCCCAGCACACTCTGATGTCATCGGAGGTGATCACAAGCACAATGAACACTTCAGCCCCACAGACGATGACTCTTCATATATAGATTTTGAATATTTTTGACTTATGACAAATAATTAAATTTTCGTAATTAAATCCCTCATTAATTAAATATTATTTGGGATCCAGGCAAGAAGGACATGAAGTAAAGCATTTTGGATATGGAATTTTTTGTTAACTAAGGCAAAACTAAAGCTAACAATCAAACAATTAATCTTTTTTTCTTTGTTATTTCTATTCTCATTTTCCAAAAAAAAAATCATATATATATAAATGAACTAAGATTGGATTTGAAAAAAAAAACATATATGTATGTTTATAAGTGCCGTCCAGTTTGCTTAGTAATACTTTAGCTTAATGCGAGAGATAACGATAAAGAAACATAAACCAAAGCATCGTCTTCTGTTGGTCTGCTGGATTGCCTCTCATTAGGGTCGGTAGTGTGTTTCTTGGTCCAGGCGTCCAGCTAATATGGGCTTGTTTCATTTTATCTTAGTCTAACAAGCCAAATGAATACGATTTTAGGTTATCGCCATATGGAACGGGAACAAAAATGAATTCATTAATACAAAAACTATAAATGAATATGATTGCAGGCTTGTGAACCATTGTAAAATGTTCGTCTGGACCCAGAAAGCTTATGGACTTCGGGCCAGTATTAGAACTTTACAAGCCATCGTTCGCTATTGTTGTGTTATGGCCTAGGGATGGCAATGGGTCGAGTCGAGGACGGATAGTGCATATCCGAACCCTACCCAAAATAGTTCGGATTTTACCCATACCCACATATGAAACGGGTAGAAAATTAAAACCATGCGCATACCCGTTTAGGGTTGTGGGACAGAGTTGCCCCACAGGTTCAAAATTCATTACATTTCGAGAAGAAGTTGCTATACTGCTTTTGAGTGGGCTCTTCAAAGTCTCAGGTCAGTTACAGTTTTCTACTGATTCAAGTTACTATACCAAACTTGAGATGGTAAAATAACACCTATGCATGCTTTGTAGTCACTTTGTCTGCTTATAAAATCCACAGATTCAGGTAGCCTTCCTTTGTAGTCACTTAAGTTTATAATTTACTAGCTGATTTCATTTACTTAATTTCCCTAAGCTTGGAAGTGTTTGTAATCATCAACTTAAATGACCTTTTTCTTTCTTGCAGTGAGCAGGTTCAAAATTGATGGATATGAAGGCCGTGTACTAATAATGAGTGTATGAGAGGCTATATGTTGGTGACATGTTGGGATGGTTGCATATGGTTTGGCTTCAAGTTCCCAGTTTTACTAAATTTGTTTTAGATGAGCTCTTGTTTATGTCCTGGTTCTCTTCCCGTTAGCTGAAAGAAATTAACCATGCTAACTATAGGTGTCAAATTTGCTCAGGAGAGATACCCTCCTATAGCTATCGATCTCTCCCATCCACAGGCTGTGAGGGAAGGTGTGTATGGTCAATCTGATATAATTAATGGTGCTGGTAACTTGTCAAGAATGAGAAGCACCGGCTGAAACCAAGTCTTAAGGGTGCTCACTTTGCTTACCGTGAGCAAGAAGTACGTACGGCTTTCAGATCTCTCCGACCTCTAAGGGTGCTAGTAACTTTGCTTACTGTGAGCAAGTACAACTTTCATAGCTCCATGGCCTCTAACTGAATTGAACCGTTATTATTTGCTTGCAGATGAATGAGGATAACAGGAGGTGAATTACTGGTTTTCCCGTCACTTTCAATCACCATGATGAAGCTCCCCACATGATAAAAAGATCAAGGTGAAGTACTGGTTTTCCACGGAATTATATTAGTAATAGTTGATCATAATCAAATAGCTGAATGTTTCTCTAGAACTAAGTTAACATTTTCAGATTCATATGAGATTTTCTTTTACTTATTTTTGAATGATTTTGCTGTTTCTGCAGGCTGCCAGTTAATCAAGGAAGTTGATTAAAATGTATAATGATTTACAATGTTCATTTGGTGGTAAGATCAGATTGAGTTTCTTAGTTGAATTGGTTAATTGATGATATTTGGGAAATTCACAACAGGCCAGAGGTGATGATTTGAGCAGGTGTTTCCAAAAATACGACCAGGTGCTCGGCAAGAAGCCTACTAATAAGGCAGTTGTGATAAGGTACTTCTAGTTGAATAAGTTTTTATTGGTCAGTAGCCATACATTGGGTCTTCCAGATGGGTTTCTTATGCTATTTTGAGATGTGTAATGATTTCTCTCAAGCTGCTGATGAGTGGGTTGATTCTCGGTACCTCTTTCAGATTACTTCACATATGTTGGATTAGTTAAACTCAATGTGTTTATGTGAAGTGTTGATACCTAGTTATATGGTTGGTTATTTTGTTGTGTTGTTCTCTAAACTCCTCGTCTTCTGCTGCTGTTAATATTTAGGGGAAACATTCACTAATGTGAGGCAGAAGTGGCATAAGCAAGAAGAAGAAGCAACAAGATGATCTGATGGTATGTTGGTCTCTCTATCTGTCAGAATAATCATTCCTTACGAACTAGTAGGGATAATTAAAATAGTACTCTGTCATCATCTCATCTATGTATGAAACTCTCTTTTTCTACTGTTTCAAAGAATAGGCAATGGCGTAAATTAATGCTAAAAAGGATTAATTGCAAGCCTTAGTTTCTAAAATCAAGTACTGATTTCATCATAACTGACATCTTGTCACTTCAGATCAAAACTACAGATGGATACTTGTTGGTTCTCCACAAGGTTCCCTTCATAAATGGAAACACCACTTCTAGTCGAGGACCTTTCGTATTGCTTCAACCTCGACTCTTCATGGTGAGCTTCCTTAACTCTACTTCCACCCTTTTCCTATTGAATAAAAAAGATTAGGATAGGAGCGTCAATGCTTTTAGAATGCATCTCACCTTTGTGTTATAGTGAACAATCTGTCCATGACATGCATATCTTAGTATCCCTGTAATAAGTCATGACCTTGCCTGCTAATTGAGTTTGTCTTATTGGCTCTTCTTATGTGAATCGATTTAAAATTGTAAACAGGGTGGTGATTTCTCGTTTATGAATTCATGATTCTCCTGAAGAGTCACTAGGCTTCATTCTTGTGGACCATGGTTTTGATGTATGAGCTGTAAATTTTCGTGGGACATTATGCAGTAATTGGCATGTATCTTTGTCAGAAGAGGACAAGGTAAACCTTATTGTGTGGATGCAGACAAGTGCATGAGCAAAGACAAACTGTTGTTTCAGGTCATTTAATATTGTTTTGAACAACCGAGGTGTAGGAGTGCTTGACAGGGGTACTCACTCAATCCTCAATCAAACAGTGGGTTACTTCATTATTAAATTGTAATGTTTGGTTCTATTTTGTTGATAATTAAACTGAAATGTTAGCTTACCTCCCCTTTGGTCTCAGGTCAGATTACGCACAAATTTACATTTGTTTAATTGCTTTCTATGCTTGCCCATCTTGCTTTCCTGCTATTTTGTTCTTTGTATTAGATATAATGTTTTGTTAACTTACTACTCGATCATATTATAGTGATTCGTATTCTTCTTCCTTACATACCTTCAAATTGTGCATGGATCAAGGCTGTCTGTTTTGATGGTTGATTACTTAGGTAATTAAGTGGTTTGAATGGGGTGTTTCTGCAGGACTTTCAATTAACGAAGGAAGTTGATCTACTGGCTTGCACGATGCTGGATTTCGTGGTATAAGGAGCTAAGAGCAGAGGGGCTGTAAGGAACTTCCTTAAGTATAATTTTGAACTTTTGGTAGAATGTCAAAGATAGAACTTCTTAGATTTGAATTGAAGGAATGTGGATTGATGGTTTATATTGTTGATTGTTGGTTTCGCTTGTTGATTTGGTACTTCAAAGTCATATTGGTTATCTTGTATTGAAGAAAATTTCATCAGATTTGTGGTGAGCTTATTAGAGCAGCTGTTTTTTTATTTTTTTAAAAAGCTGCTTATTTCGCGACGGTCAGTGTTCTTTAGCGATGGTCAGAACCGTTGCTATGTAATTTATTCCTTCTTCCGAAATATTTATTTAACGACGACTCTCGTAATGGTAACGACAGCTAAGCCCGTTGCTAAATTTTACCGACGGCTAACGCGACGGTCAACCAAAACCGTCACTAAAATATTTAAGGACTGCGGGGTCGGCGACGGTCGACCGTCCGTCATTGCTAAAAGTCCGTATAACCGTCGCTAAATGGTTATTTTGTTGTAGTGTTGGGTTTGGGTATAATTACCCATGGATGGGTAATTTGCCATCCCTAATCACATCTTCCTTCTTTTGGTGACTAATGAGTAGTGATATACTTAACACTCCTAAATTTGTATCAACTTATAACAAATATGACATGTTATTACTGATACAACAATAATGTAATTAAAAAGCTTGTACATACGTAGGAGAATTAAGAAAAATACTTTTCATCCCGCGCTTTTGGTTTTCAGTATCTATATATTATTACCCTAATACACAAGCGGCCGGGCGATCCATCGAGAGGGGAATAGATGCTTTCTTCTTTCACAATCAAAGTACGTAAGATTCGTCTCCCCATCCCATCCACTCTCCGGCCCGGCCCCAGATTTAGTGGCGGAGACAGGATTTGAAACTAACCCTGTCTTTTTATTTCAAAATATAAAAAAATAATTAATAATTAATATAGATAAATAAATAATCGACTAATACAATTGATGTTTGCATAAACAACTGTGACGAATTTTCATACTCTCAAAGCAATGTAAAATACATTCGTTGTCTATACTCTTAAGTAAGCCTCTTTCAATGTATCATATTAAACAATCATTAGCAAACTGATCGCCAATTCGACTTTGAAACTTGATATTAATATAGTTCAAGCTAAAAATGTTATTTCTACACTTACAGTTGCAACTGGTAGAATCAAAACTAGTTTTAGAAGCAAATAAACTGACGGATATGACTTACGTATTTTTGTCTCCATCATTATTCGAGATAATTCATCAATTTCTTTCAATTAATGAAATCTCATAACATCATGATAATACCTAACAAGCTATTGTCGAATAATTATTATGAATAAGACAAATAAATTAATTATTTTTTTATCAATTATTAAACAAGTAATGAGCTATGATGTAGTAGCAAAATATCCTTATATTATTTGTAAGTGTTGAGTACATATATGTGGAGTATTTTTTACCAACCAAATATTACTCATGTCGTCCTAGGACAAGGGCAATATAGGCTGGCTCCGCCGATGCCCAGATTAGTGTTGCTATATAGTATAGGTATTATTATTACTATGGGTATTAATTAATAATTAAACTCCAGCAGCCAAGTGCAATCTGAACGACTGTCAAAAGGTGGACAACGGTGGTCTTTACATATATAATATATATAGCATTTCAGGCTCATCAATCCAGTCCAGTTAATTTGAATTTGTCCCAATGAGTCAATGACACTTTGACCAAATTTTTCTTTCTAGAATTACGTAGCTCGACACCATATCATGTAGAGACTAATATTAATATACATAAATGTACCCGGCCGGCTGGCCACGGGGGGAATCTGCATGCATGCATGGGATTGGGATCGGCTCCAAGCGGATTGGAGAGGCAGCCTAGCTACTTCCCGCAACTTATTGATCGGTTCCAAATCTGATTTATTTAATTGTTATTTTGCATTCCTATTTATTTATTAGTTGAATTAATTAATTAATTAATTAATTACGAACCCATGATGGCGGACCTAAGGGCTAAGGAAGTAGTAGTACAGCGTAACACAGACAGTTGCCATCTCTGTCCACCTCCTTGGCCCTTGCCCACATCCATCCACATGATACATGTATGTAATTATGAGCACCTTTATGTATTTTGGCTTCTGCCCCTTCTCAATCCACGCGAGAAAAAAGAGATGCTGCTATGCTATCCCCTCCTTCTGCATACTGTATAATGTTTTTCTGCCAGATTTCCCTTCCAATATTTATTAATTTATTTGTTTATATGTAATTAGCAAAAATTGTGCGCGCTAAGTTAGCTAATTAACTAGGAGATAAAATATAATTAGCAAAAATTGTGATTTAACTCTTAGCAGGTACTAGGTACGCTATTGTATATGTTAGTTAGGAAAAGCGGGTGCTAAGTTTGTTACTTTAATGGGCTTCCGGAAAAAAGAAGCCACGTTAGAAGTTTAGCTTGAAGACCAAGCACCTTTTCCCCCCAAATGCATATATTCCTTTCCTCCGCCAAAGAATGAATATATTCCTCGGCAACAAGGTGAACTTAAAGGGAGGGAGTGGGGCCCGTAGAAGCCCCATCTTTATGTGATGTCCAGTCCAACCATTCTCTCTCTCTCTCTGGTCATGGAACATGGATCGATATTAGGGATGGTAATGGGTCGGGTTGGGGCGGGTTTTGTCAAACCCAAATTCATGGGTTTATCCGCCTAAAAAACCGGGGTAAAACCCATTGGGTTTAAAAACTCAAACTCAACCCAACCCGCTGGGTATCCGCGGGTTCATGGGTACCCGTGGGTTTTTGTGGTAAAAAATTTACAATAACAAGTTTCTTTCAAAATAAAAGTTTAACATCAATTTTCTCATACAAATTAATCATACAAAAAAACACCAATCTAGAGCATACAAGCAAACCGCAAATGATCAATACAAATTGTTCAAAATTAAAGATAAACATCTATAAACAAAAGATTAATTGAAAGCTTCTTCCTCGTCAACTAAGTTTCTTCACTCTCCACTTCATAATATCAACTTCATTCTAAACAATTAGAAAGAACAAATTATACATGTCTCCACAAATATAAAGAATATTAATTTTGTAAGGAAAATATATTGTTTAGATTATTAAATATACCGGGAAAGTAATTATATGTGTGTAGGCGGGTACCCATGGGTCGGGTTTACCTAAACCCAAACCCAACCCGACCCGGTGAATAGTGTAGCGGGTTTAAACCCGAACCCGGCCCAAAACCCGTCAACACGGATTTTACCCGCGTTGACCGGGTTGGGTCGGGTGGGTACCCGTGGGTTCGGATTTTGTTGTCATCCATAATCGATATGCGACTATGGGTATCTTAATACCAATGCAGTCAAAAGCGCGATTCTACGTATAAACGTTTTGATGATCTAGAATCGTAAAATCGTAAGATTTTAAGTTTTAAAGCATAGATTTTGACTACATTTATAAGAGAAAAGTGTGATTCTACTTATAAACGCTTTGGTGACTTAAAAATATAAAAGGCTAAATTTTTAAGTTTTAAATCGCGATTTTGACCGCATTGCTTAATACTATTACATTACATGTTTTGTTTTGTGTAAGAGATGAGTTAGGTGTTGGATAAAATTGCTCAGCTGCCTTGAAATAAAAACCAGTTGGTCCATTCAAATATGTGATTACAGGCCCACTCCAACGGAGGAGGCAAGCGCATATATCGTAGCCCAATTTAACGAGCCGCAGCCCAAGCCCATTCAATAAACCTCGGCAGTAGCAAGTAAGAGACCAAGTGACCCAACCAACACAAAGTCTTGACTTTTGAGTACCGGGTTTTTCCCTCACTCGGAAAAGAGGCATGCTAATGCCACCAGGCAGCAGGTTATTACAGTGTCAAGACTAGAAGAAGATAGAGGTTTGCCTAGTCCTACTTATTTCACAGAGGCCAAGGCCTCCAGGCTCCAACAAAACTTGTGTTCATTGTATCTTACAATGTCTCCCACACATCCATTGGAAGACAACCCAGAAAGAGAAAATATCAAAAGATAAATTACAAGGCTGGTTCAGCTTCAGACAACATACAGTTTCTCACTCTCCCGGACCTTGACCCTGAAAATGCAAAGCTGCCTTCGAGTTGATATTGGCTGCTTCCACAACCCACATTCCAACTGTTCCCTTCCTTTGATGAATGGTGGGTGCAATGCAATCATTTCCTGTTCATATCTCCCAAGCACACATATTTCATCTGCACACAAGAAAAAGGAAGGAGAGAGAGAAAAGGACACCAAACAAGGCAACTCATTCTTTGCTTTCAAGTGACCATGTGGACATGCATTTGAAGTTTCAAAATCCAGATATTCGCACAATCCTGTGCTTGAGGGGAAAAAGAGTAGAGAGCATACCTCCAGATATTCGTCCATCCCATACTTGGAACCTTCCCGCCCAAGACCAGATTGTTTCACTCCTCCAAATGGAGCAACCTACATACATTCCCACACAGCAATCAACTCCCCAACGACCATCACACCCCCCATTATCTACCATTTTTATTTCATTGACAGAAGCCCAAGGAAAAACAAACAAATGTGTAGATGAAGCCTTACCTCTGTCGAAATTACTCCTTCATTAACACCAACAAGTCCATACTCGAGAGCTTCGGTAACACGCCATGACCGTTGAACATTTGTTGTGAATATATACGCAGCCAATCCTACATTTTCCAACCCCAAACAACAAATGCTACAATAATGTCATTCCACAAGACATTTTGACAAGTCTTGGTCATTGCCACGTCTACACAATTCGCATCACTAATGCAGATGTAGCTCTTTATCTAATCGAGATCCAACAGAGATGCTAATTATCGAACCTGCATTGGTGTCATTAGCAATGCTAATAGCTTCCTCCTCTGTTTTGAACCGCATCAGCGGGGCCACTGGTCCAAATACCTCCTCTCTGAGGGAAAGTCAAGACATTTTTACATAAATCAGTGTATAAAAGAAAAGGGTTGCTCTATGGTGCAACATGGTGGTATGCTAACCATGTGGCTATATTTCACCTTGAGACAATCATGTCACTACTGATATTTCCCAGTACAGTTGGTTCATAAAATGTCCTCCCAAGGCTATGTCTTTTGCCACCAAGAAGAACGTCTGCTCCCTTCAATTATAACAAATTAAAAATGATTCAGCAAAATCATTTTCAGATATCAACTACAGTATCCTAAGCCCATTAAAAAAAAAAAAAAAAACTACAGTATCCGAAGGCATATAACAGGTCTAATTGAAAAGGACCCTTTGCTGACCAGTTGGCCAAAATCTAATATTAAGGCCATCTTCACCGAGCACCAAAGGCTCAGTGGGGAAAGATTATACAAGTGTCTAAGCAACCCACTGAAATAAAACTAGAGGTATTGGAACGTGAAACTTTAGGGTACCATGGATCACAGAGTATAATAACAGCAGTAGTAGATAGCTTAACTATATGCAGCATTTTCTTATTGTTTTCCAACATTTTGCACATTCTTAAGGTGGTACCTGCACTATCTAAGTAATATAGTAGTAGGCTGTTTTGCTTCCTGTTCGTCATGTTTCTATTTAGGGTATCCAGATTATATCGAAACCACTTTAGTCTCACTTTGACTGAAACAAGGGAAGTTAACATTGAAACTAAGAGAACAAGCAATCCGTTAATTTAGCACCACAAATTCAGTTCAAATTCTTCCCTATCATTTGAAGTAGGCATTCCGACCTCAATAACTTGAGAAGTTATATCAATTTTCCAAATTATAAAGTGTATAAAACAGCTTATAGGCAAATAACTGATGCTTCCTTCAAAAAGGAAAAACAAACAAACAGATGATGGAGATAGTGAGATAAGACAAAAGTTAAACAAGGCAAACCTTTGAAACGGCATCTTCTACAAATGATTCAACCTGTCCATGTCAGAACAAGACCAAAGGGAGCACTCCAATTAAGCTATCATATAACCAAGACAGCAAAGTAAACAATATATATCAAAAGGAGAGTAACCTTTTCTATTGCAGCATCATTAATCAGTGGACCCTGTAAGAAATGTAGCAACACATAGATCAATATCTAATATAATTAAAGCTGAATTATTATGAGACTTGCTTTATGAACCTTGTGTCACTACTTAATTGTGATCTTCACGAATCAAAGAAACATTGTACAGGAGTATAGGTGCTGTAAACAGTAAAAGTGTGACATTGTTTAGAGGCCTGTTAGAGCAACTCAGCAAATGCCACCTCTAACAGCTTTCAGCAGGTGAGCAAAGCGAGAATATTAATAGCACACTCATAACAATTTCTAAACATGCCACAAGTGATGAAGGCATACCTGGGATGCACCTTCACTAAAGCCATCACCAACTTGCAAAATCTGAACGGCTTTGGAGAAAGCAGCAGCAAATTTGTCATAGATGCCTGCAAAAAAAGGTATACTACATTAGAACAAAACAAAAGGAGCAGCAGATAGGTGAAAAAGGAAAGAAACAGTAGCCAATAAATAAGCCATAGAAATAATCTAGCAGTACCATCTTGTACAAGTATTCTATTCGCACAAACACACGTTTGCCCACTGTTGCGGAACTTTGATCCAAGCTGCAAAGTTATACATATTAATATTCAAATCAAGAATGAAAGAGGACAACAGATGAGGGCACTGGAAATGTAGAAACCCAATGCTGGTAAGATACGGGTGAGGACTATCAGCCCCCATCTGTATGCCTAAACAGACAACTAAGGAGACTTACAGTTCCTTTAACAGCAACATCCAGGTCTGCATCATCAAATATTATACAGGGCGCATTGCCACCAAGTTCCAAAGAGACCTGAGAGAATAAAGCAGAAGGAGAACCGGGATTAAATAATTACCATAACTCATAAAAAATCAAGTTTAATTATTCTAAGCTTTACCTTCTTGACAGTCCCAGCAGCACCTGCCATCAACTTCTTTCCCACAGCTGTTGACCCAGTGAACGTGATCTTTCTAACCTGGGTGATGCAAACAAAACAACAACAGAATAGTGAGTCACTTCTTTACTCAGTTGCACAAACATTCAAACGGTCAGAGGATAACCATATTAAGGAGCAATACCCGAGTGTTGGCCATCAGCGCATCTCCAATAGCAGGAGCATCTCCCATAACAACATTGAGAACGCCCTAGGGAAATTAAAGGACACCATTATAAACAAATGAATGAGCAGAATTATGAAGTTTTGTTCAGATCAACAACAGAGATCCTGCACCATTTATATTTCATTGCATCTCCAAATACAGAATAAACAAAACTGACTGACGATTAAATAGAAGGGAGCTGACTACTTTATCTTAAGAAACTACGAAAAAAATCAAGCGGAAAGTTCTCTCAGACAAGCAAAAGGTCTATAGTCATATAGCATGAAGATGCTATTCCAAAATGTATTATATACTGGGTATATTTGGTTACTTTTGAGGTACCACTGATAATTTGAGAAACTACTGTCTACCCCTTTGTGCCCTACCTAGTGTTGAACTGCATTAAATTTCCATGGTAACTACTTGAAAAACGTACCGGGGGAATTCCAGCTTGAAGAGCCAGCTCAACTGCTGCTAAGGCTGTGAAAGGTGTAAGTTCAGAAGGCTTAATCACTGCTGTGCAGCCACAAGCAAGAGCAGGACCAACCTGAGTATAGAAAGATTTTGAAGTCAATTGTGATCCGGAAAGTGTCTGGTCTTGGAATTGTTCTCTGCAGGCCATAAAGTCTGAGTAGGCTTACCTTCCTAGTAATCATAGCCAAAGGGAAGTTCCAAGGAGTAATTGCTGCAATAACACCAACAGGCTAGCAGGAAAAGAACACAAGTCAATCCTTGCAGTTTGAGGATGTACAGACACAGCTTATAAAAAATCTAGACAACGGAAGTCTCAAGAGACATGTGGAAGCAGGCAAGCAGCGTAGCACTAAAATCAGTTTTGTAGAACAAGAATAGAAGTGGCGCATAAAAACAATATACTTTATCAAGGAAATAATTAGTGCCACCTGCTTAAGGACTAGAATGCGACGATCATTAAGTGTTGGTGGGATAATGTCTCCGTATATACGTTTAGCTTCCTCGGCAAAGTACTCGATGAAACTGGCTCCGTAATTGACCTGTCATTAGTTAAAGCTTTAGGATCACATATTTTGGATAATCTGGGTGACTGATGAGTGATGATTGAACAAAGCCAAGGTGCAAGTCCTGAAAGAAGGAAGAGGTGGGGTGAAAGTCATACCTCGCCAATGGCTTCTTTGAGAGGCTTGCCTTGCTCCAAGGTAATTAGTTGCCCAATCTCTTCTTTGTTGGCCATGAGTAGGTCGTACCTAAGGATAAGCAAGGAGGAGGCTGGAATCGTTAGATATGAACATACCACGATTCAAACGAATTTAAGCAAATAAGGGAATTAAAGAGATCGAAGAGAGGGTTACCATTTGCGCAAAAGTTGGCTCCTTTCGGTGGCAGTGAGCTTGCTCCAAGCTGCACAGGGAAGTCCCATTAGCAGCAATGAAGAAAGCATCCAAGAAATATGAAGGTTGGAAGTCATAGCCTCATAGGGAATGGACGGGGACTATACCGGGGAAGGCATCGTAGGCAGAAGAGATAGCATCTTCGGTGTCTTTGCTTCCCATGAATGGAACATACGCGATCACTTCACCGGTCGACGGATTGTGAACCTGACAATCATCACGCAACAACATTACAACAACAACAACAACAACGAGCAGAGGAGAAGGGTGAGCGGTGCCGGTGAGTGAATACGGCGACCGCAAATTTCAAAAAAAGAGGGCAGAGGCGGAGAGATGATCGGCATGGGGAAGGAGCGATGATCGGAGGGACATACAGGCATGGTTTTACCATCACGAGCATCAGTCCAATTGGCTCCGATGAGGCCCTTGGTGCGCAGGAGGCCGGCGCTGGTGAGGCGGGCGGCAACACTCTCCGTACTCAGCTGCCACAAGCAAAGCAAACAAACAAACAAACAGAGAGGCGGGAGAGATTGAGATCTGGAGGCGGAGTTGAAGGATAGGAATGGGAAAGGAAATCTGGGTTCAGAGAGTTCATACAGTGCGAGATAGAGGAGCCGCAGCCATGTGCATTGAGACGAAGCGGTAAGAAACCGCCACGATTCTTCTGGTACAGGAGGACCTCATGGTTGCGGCCGGTGGTGTTGACACTCCCACTGCGACTGCAACTCTCATCCTTTATAATTGAATCAAAGAAGGGAAATAAAAACCCCCCGAAAGGCGAGATTTTGGGTTACGTGTCAACAATCGACACTCCCCTCTCCTCCACTCTTCACTCTCCTTGACTTTGAAAGTCGACCGTCCCACTTCCTTTGGTTGAGTTAGCAACTTACTGGACTGGATTGGACCGGCGGACGGAGAGTAGTGGTAAGCTAATAGCCGAATCAGCAGGGCAGTCACTTTCTCTTGCTCTCCTTGCTTGCAAACACCTCGGCTTAGATCAACTCTACAGCCATCTTCATCCTCAATTCCTCTTTCTTCTTTTTACTTTTATCAGGCACTTGACTCTGTCTCTGTCTGAAACAGCGAAAGCAGCCTCGTGTCATATTATTTTTTGTCTGGGCTTTGATTTATCTGCCATATTGGACTGAGCCGAGGAAATTACAATGCCATTTTCCCCTTTGTTTTATCCTAGTCTACGATTGGGGTAGGTGGCCTCGCTCTGCGTTCCTTTCTTTCTTACCAACTTTTTTATAAACGGACAAAAATTCATTGTTTAGACTAGGGTGCTAATTGGTTTGGTTTCGATTAACCACTAATCGGTATGGCGATTAGCGATTAACCAATAATCAAAAAATGCATATTGATAACTGAATCGATAAGTCTATCGGTTAACTGTTTTTTATCGATTTGGTTACCCTTAATTTTTGTGGTTAACCAATAACCACTAAAATACATTCCATGATTCCAACAAGTATAGTTATACCTAATCGAACCAAATATCAAACCAATAGTTTCGATTTTCTTTCATGAAATATAATAAACCGAAGCAATAACCACTTATCATAAACAAATCATCATCCAATTAAGTTTAACAAGTATTATTTAACATCAATTTTAATCCCAAGCATACCAATGACAAATAGTCAGTGACGGATACATGACACCTTGGGAGTGTCCCGGGACACCCCTAAAATTTGGAACACAATTATTCAACCCCCGGTAGTAGTTCGCATATAGGTGAAAAATATTTAAGTGATAGAGCAGGACACTCTTAAAATTTGGAAAATGATTATCCAACTCCGAGTAGTAGTTTGCGTATGTGTAAAAATAAAAGCGTTTAAATGGTAGCTTATGTTATTTGAACTTGGGTCGCTGCTATTATTAGAAAACTATACATATTTTTAATTAGATCACAACTTATTTGTTCTTGTACTTTAAATCCAAATATACTAGTAAAAGCTATTCCTTTCCCCCAATTATTTTCAAAGTCTAACTATTAAATCCAATTACGGGCTCCCCTTGTCTAGTAGAATATATCGAGACTGATTTGTAAAGCATTGTTAGACACCGATTGTATTTTATAATTTTTTCAGAATACGAACACGTCATGTGCTTTGTTGTGTTTTGTACAAGTAATATATTTTCTTATTTAATATTTATTTAAATATTAATTAAATGTTAGGAGAGAACACCCCTATGTAAAATTTCTGGATCCGCCACTGCCAATAATACATAGTTCTTAATTTTAAAGACAAATAATCATACAAATAATTCAAAATAAACTATATATCTACATTGTAAACATAAAATAATAATTAGAAGAAATAATATCAATACAATACCATATTTATCGTGATTTCATAATTCAAATCGAAATTCCAATGCATAAAGTAAAACATAATCAAACTTATTTATTCAATTAGCGAGTACCAACTAGCAAGATATCAAACACAAGCATTACAAGATCATCATAATTCATAAACATCAAATAAACAAAGATCACTAGGGTGTGAGTAGGGATGGCAACAAAACCCGAACCCATGGGTACCCACCCGACCCAACCCGGTCAATGCGGGTAAAATCCATGTTGACGGGTTTTGGGCCGGGTTTGGGTTTAAACTCATTTTACTATTCACCGGGTTGGGTTGCGTTTGGATTTAGATAAACCCTGCCCATGGGTACCGCTCACACCCATATAATTAATTTTCTCGATATATTTAATATTTTAAACAACTAATCTTATTTATGATTGTGGAGACATGTCTATTTTTTTTTCTAATTATGTAGAATAAATTTGATATTATCGAGTGGAGAGTGATGAAACTTAATTGGAAGGAAGAAGCTTTCAATTAATCATGTTATTTATGGATAATTTGTGATTTGCTTCAATTTTCTTGAGTTTTCTAAATTGGTGTTGAACCATTTGTATAGTTAATTTGTGTTTTGCTTGAATTTTCTAGAATGGTGTTTTATATATGGATAATTTGTATTGAGAGATTGATATTTGCTTTTAATTTTGATAGGAACTTGTTATTGTAAATTTTTCACGACAAAAACCCGTGGGTACCCATGAACCCGCTGATACCCAGCGGATTGGGTTGGGTTTTACCCCAAATTTTTTTCACGGATAAACCCATGGATTTGGGTTTGGGTTTGACAAAACCCAACCCAACCCATTGCCATCCCTAGGTGTGAGGTTCTCTCTGCCGACTGCAAAGGGGAGTTAGAGAGGGGTGACTTTCGGGTTCTAAATCTTAAACATATTTGAGGCTCTTGGTGGAGTCCTGATTGTAATAAAGAGGAATCGGGATGTTGATTTGGAATTGCGACTTTTGTTGGTTTTGAATCTTGAAACTTTTCCCCTTATCCAAAGTCCAAAACTATGTGGGTATACTAGTAGGCGTTTATCGTCTTTCTCATCGATTTAACCACTAAGCAAAATACTGCTAACCGAAACTGAACCAATAAAAAATTATCGATTATCGGTTAACCCCTAACTGCCCTTATCAATTCGGTTATCGGTTAAAACTGATAACTACTAACCATTTACCATCCCTAGTATAGACCCTTTTTACTTATGGAGTGGATAGATAACAACATTTTAAGTATTGTTACCCTAGTAACAAGGACAAAAACAGTAAAATAACAATAATAAAAATAACTAAAAAATAAATGCAAGGCGGTTCTCCTCCCATCCCTAATTCTTCTGGATCTCTCATTGTCCTCGCGCTCATTTCATCCTCTGTCGAAGATACCATTTCTGGATAATCTCTGCCACATTCCCGTTCTCCAACGCCATCTTCACGGCTCCAAATAGGGTGCATAAGCTATGGTTATGCACCCATCAATAACTAAATCTGGACTCTTTATTCAGAAAAGTCATATCTAAGGGTGGAGGATTAAAGAAATTTTTATTTTTCCTTGTTTTCTTAATCGGCTCATATATTCTTCGTTTTAACTCGGATTTCAATTTTTTTTTTGCACAGATGGAACGAGTTCGTTGTGCTTTACAAAATGAGATCCATTTTTTATTCAGCCTCAATTGTACGCTTTTTACCCACGGTTTGCCTAGTCGTTTGAAGCATATTACTCCAAAAGGTTTGGTTTTACGTAGAGTTTTGCATTGTTTTTGTGTTTTTCAGACTTTGGCTGATGGAACCAACCCCGGAGTTAAAAGTTGGACGAAAGGGGGGGGGGGGGAAATCAAGTCAAACGGTGGAAACAACTGCGGTTCGCGGTTTAGGCTGTGAGTTCACGGTCACTAAGACCGTGAACTGGAGGTGCAACCCTTGAACCACCAAGTGTACAGAGCCATTTTCAGTCTCACTGACCTCAAGCCAGTTCACGTTCGTAAGACCGTGAACTCAGACCTCCGTCTGTGAACTGGGATTATTGATGCGACGCGTTTCGACCTTAGTTTACGGTCTGGGCTTGCAGTTCACGGCCGTGAACTAAGACCGTGAACTGAGCCCGATCTGGGTATATAAAGGAGGTTGAGCTAAAGGAGAAATGGGGCCTAGTGTGAGAAACTTCTTCTTCATATTTCTAGAGTGAGAAAGTGACAAACCAAAGAAGAGGAGAAGCTATGGTTTCATCTTCAAGTAAGGATTTTGGAATTCCTTCCCCAAAGGAGGATCTCTTCAACACAAGGAGCAAGGCTAGTGATAACGATGTAATTGCACGCATTTGCACCCCTAATTCTTATCCGTTTGAGAGGCATAGTCGTGTATTTTGGCCTATTTTACGTCGGGTTGTGCTATTTTGTCATATTTCAGGTTCCAGGCGTCAAAGGAAAGGCTAAGCACGAGTTTCGGGGTATTCGGAGGACATTTCGTCAAGCTGGAGCCAAAACACGGGCAGACCTAAAACAAAACACGGCCGTGTTCTGTGGCCGTGCTTTTTATGCCGAGAGCAAATTTGAGTTGGCAAAATCAAGCCAAAACACGGGCACAAAGCACGGCCGTGTCCACCCAAAGCACGGCCGTGCCCATCACCAAACACGGTCGTGTTTCTTCCAACACATGGCCGTGTAATTAACCCTAGCCAAAGCACGGGCGGGCTGAGGCATTACACGGCCGTGCCCTCGACCGTGCTTTGGCCACTGATGCCCTTTTAAGCAGATTTTCAGCCAAACAGAAGGGGATTCGAGTTTTTGAGAGATAGAACGATTCCTAGATAGAGAAAGCGACGAACAAGAGTCTCCAAGTGCCCTAGCTTGATCTTCAACACCATTGGAGGCCAGTTTGAGCTTGGAGAAGTGCCGATCAACGTCCAGGAGCAGGAATCCATCCTTCACAGTATGAATTCCGCGTCTGATTCTGCTTTTGCTTCTTTCTCTATGGAGTAGTTCTCCCATTCATCCGAGTATGGAGAACCCTAGATTTGTACGTTAGGTTTGATTGTATGAACCCAAGTACTGATTCTATGATTTGATTATATTCGATTGAGGTTTGAATGATTGAATGACTTGAATCCTGATCAAATTCCTGTTGTTTCTGCTTTAACCTAGAATGAGAATATTTGCCTAGGTTAATAGAGTATCCTTGATTGAAGGTAGGGAGTTGGTGACTTTAGTCGAGGAACCAACTCACTATTCTGTACCGGATTTACTCCGGTAGTGGAGGTTTTGTTCTTAGGGCCTCAATCTGTCTACTCCGGTGGAGGTTAGTCGCCCGCTAGAGATTCAGATTGAGAGGGTCTGAAGACCTTTAGTCGAGACTTCAGGCTGTTTAAGAACCTTCCGCAGTATAACTTTCATAGAAACTGAACTTGGTAATTGCAATCCGGCTTAACTGCAGTCTAGGGGGAACCATATCCGGGTGACCTCTCTTAACCTGAATACAACAGTTTACTTGCTTTGTTTGTTTGGTAGTTTAGACTTGCATTCCAGTTTCATTGCTAGATAACAAGAATTCACCGAGTAGTCATCAAATCTAGGACCCGGGTTGATAATTAAACCTAAACCCGCTATACTACGCTTTAGGAAGTGGTTACACTTGGCCAGTTCCTGGAGTGACAGTAGAAGTGAGTCAAGTTTTTGGCGCCATTGCCGGGGACGGCTAGGTTGTTGAAGAAAAGTGATTTCTGTTAATTTAGCTTTTCTTTTTGCTTTGTTTGCTTTGTCCCACTTGTGCCTTCACGGGTTTGCTTGCTTGAGTATGTGCAGTTAGTGCATGACCCGTAGCCAGTCAGGGGGTTTACTGCCGTTGAATCCAGAGATTGACCGCACCTATCGCCAGCTCAGGAGACAACAGCGAGCTAGACTGGCTACGGAAGAGCGCATAGACGGCCACGTGAGCAGTGATTCTGAGGAGGAGTACGAGATGGAAGACTACAATCAACACCAGGGGAATCCTCAGCAGGCTCCCCCGGTGAATCAGGTCCTGGGGAACAACCCCATACCCCAGGATCATGGAGTTCAACATCCACCGCAGTCGGGTCCCACCTTGGAGTACTACTACACTCCTCGGATTGCTGACATCCGCCCGGTCATCCTGTACCCGCCTATTCCAGCAAACAACTTCGAGATCAAGCCATGCTGGATTCAGCTCATCACATCCTCTATCCAGTTCCATGGCTTGAAGGATGAGGAGGCCAGGGTACATCTGTCCCGTTTTCTGCAGCTGACGAACGTGTTCAAGCTGAATGGTGTCCCGGATGATGCAATCCGCCTTCATCTCTTCCCCCATTCTCTGGCGGGGAATGCTAAGAGGTGGTTGGAGACCCAGCCCCCATTGTCCATCACCTCTTGGGACGATCTGGCTGACAAGTTCGTGCACAGGTATTATCCAGCATCGAAGACTACAGAGATTCAGCGGGAGATCACTCACTTCCGCCAAGAGCCAGATGAGTCGCTTCGTGATGCTTGGGAGCGGTACATGGGATATTTCTGGCAGTGTCCCCATCATGGCTTTAGTGATGCTTTCACAGTGGGGAACTTCTACAGTGCTCTTTCTCCAGACAGCCAGAGGGTGATTGAGTCTCTATGCCCAGGAGGGGATGTTCTTACTAAGACTCCACCAGAACTGAACCAGATGATTAATACTTTGGCTGCCAGAGATCATTCCTGGGGACAGAGCAGCAGAGGCAGACAGTCCCGGGACCGTGGTGTGCACGCCATGGAGACCAGATCCGGGCTCGAGCAGTAGGTAGCTGAGCTAGTGCAGACATTGAAGCAGCCCAACAGTCTTATTCCGGGCAGAGGTATGGCTACACCTCTAGTTGCTCAGTGTTAGTGGTGTGAGAGCTCGAATCACTTAGTGGAAGACTGCCAGGCTATGAGGGAGTCTACTACTCTCCAAGAGCAGTTGGACTTCATCGCCAATGCTTGGCGCCTCGACCCATACAGCAACACATATAATGAGGGGTGGCGCCAGCATCCCAACTTCTCTTGGGGCAGCAACACCACTAAGCCACCTGGTTTCCCAGCACCAGCTGGTGGCTTTCAGCAGAGGCAGCCCTTCCAAGCTCGACAGGGCCCAGTTCCACAGCAGCAGCCCTACCAGCCTAGGCAGGGGCAACCCCAGCAGCAGCCCTACCAGCCTAGGCAGGGGCAACCATTCCAGCAGCCCCAGCGCCAGTTTGCCGAGCCAGCAGCAGCCCCAGTTCCAGATACTCAGATGACGAAGCTGGAAAATATTCTAGCTTCATTCGTGACTAGCACTCAGGCAGCTATCACGTCACTCGAGGCAGGTCAGAGGAACCAGGGTGCCATCTTGCAAGATCTGCAGAACCAGGTGGGTATCTTGGCCCGCCAGAACACCACCAGGGCACCGGGGACTTTGCCTGCCACCACTGTCCCGAATCCTCGTGATCCTAACCAGCTCCAGCAGCTTGATGCCATCACTACCAGGAGTGGCAAGACCACATCAGCTGCTCCTGCCCAGCCCAGTCGAGATGAGCCACTGCCTGCTTCAACACTTCCAGCTGATACTGCAAAAGTGGGGGAAGACACAACAACGCCTGCTCCCAAGCCACAACCAGTGGTTAAGGAGCATGCACCTCAGCTTCCTTTCCCCACTAGCCTGCATAAAGACAAGCTGGAGACTGAGTTTGCCAAGTTCATGGCAATGTTGAAGCAGGTCAACATCAGCATGCCGTTCGTGGAGGTACTGTCAAAGATGCCCAAGTATGCCAAATTCATGAAGGACCTCCTCACCAACAAGAAGAAACTTGGGGATCTTTCGACGGTGATGCTGAGCGAGGAGTGTTCTGCCATCCTGCAGAACAAGCTGCTCGAGAAGCGAAAAGACCCAGGGAGTTTCACTATCCCTCTTGTTATTGGCAGCATGCATGTAGGGAAGTCCTTGGCGGACCTAGGCGCTAGCATAAATGTCATGCCTTATAAATTGTTTAAGAAGCTAGGCCTAGGTGAACCTAGAACTACTAGGATGAGCATTCAGTTAGCTGATCGTTCTATCGTGCATCCTAGGGGTATCATTGAGGACTTGCTTGTTAATGTGGGTGCATTCACATATCCTGTTGACTTTGTTATTTTGGATATAAATGAGGATGTGGATGTACCTTTGATTTTAGGTAGACTGTTTCTCGCCACCGCCAAGGCGCTTATTGATGTGCATAGTGGTAAATTGATTTTGCGTGCTGGTGATGAACATGCTACTTTTTCTGTGTCTGAGAATGGGAAACACCCTCATTTGCATGATGACTCCAATTACTGTGATATGCTTGCTGATTTTGAGACCTCACTCGCTATCACGAGTGCGGGTACTGACGATGTTCTTGAGCGTTGTCTTTTGCTAGGTGAGAAGGCATCGCAGGAGCCGCAGCTGGCGGAGCAGTTAGCCGAGTTGGAGAGTAGCCCCTTCTTGGAGGGCGACAGGCTGTTCAAACCGATCTCATCCTCCACCCGCATCGCTACTTCCTTGGAGGAACCACCAGAGCTGGAGCTTAAGCCCCTCCCTCCTTATTTGGAGTATGCATTTCTTCGGGAGGGGAATAAGCTGCCAGTCATCATCAGCTCGACCCTCACACCCGAGCAGAAGACCAGACTGGTGACCTTGCTGAAGCGGTACGAGCGAGCTCTCGCATGGAAGATCACAGACATCCGGGGGATCAGCCCTTCTTTCTGCTCCCACCGGATACTGATGGAGGATGAGATGCGGCCAGTGAGACAGCCGTAGAGGATACTAACACCGAACCTGGAGGCTGTGGTTTGGGCAGAGATCGTGAAGCTGCTGGACGCGGGAATCATCTTCGCCATTTCCGACAGCGAGTGGGTCAGTCCCACCCAGGTGGTACCCAAGAAGGGTGGGATGACTGTGGTGCCTAACGAGAAGAATGAGATGATCCCGATGCGCACGGTGACTGGGTACCGTGTCTGCATTGACTACCGGCGTCTCAACGACGCCACTCGGAAGGACCACTTCCCGCTACCATTCATTGATCAGATGCTGGAGAGACTGGCGGGGCACGAGTTCTACTGTTTCCTCGATGGGATGTCCGGGTACTTCCAGATCCCGATTGCACCGGAGGACCAGGAGAAGACCACTTTCACCTGCCCCTTCGGCACCTTTGCATACCGGAGGATCCCATTCGGGCTATGCAATGCCCCGGCTACTTTTCAGCGATGCATGCTCGCTATCTTTGACCGTCTGGTCGGCAAGATTATGGAGGTGTTTATGGACAATTTCTCGGTTTATGGAGACTCATTCTCTCACTGTCTCCATAACCTGGAACTTGTCCTTAAACGGTGTGAAGAAACGAACCTGGCACTGAGTTGGGAGAAGTGTCACTTCATGGTTCGAGAAGGCATAGTTCTTGGGCATAAGATCTCCAAGATGGGGATTGAGGTGGACAGAGCGAAGATCGAGACTATCAGCAAGCTGCCTCCTCCTACATCTGTTAAGGGGATCCGGAGTTTTCTTGGTCATGCAGGGTTCTACAGGCGGTTCATCAAGGATTTCTCGAAGATTGCTCTGCCCCTGACTAAGCTTCTAGAGAAGGATGCCCCCTTCCAGTTCACTGATGCATGCACAACGGCTTTCACGACCTTGAAGGAGAAGCTCACACAGGCTCCTATCATGGTTGTTCCTGACTGGTCCTTACCATTTGAGATTATGTGCGATGCTAGTGATTTTGCTGTTGGAGCTGTGTTGGGGCAGAGGCGTGATCAGCATTTCCGATCCATCTACTACGCCTCGAAGACCTTGAATGATGCCCAGGAGAACTACACCACCACGGAGAAAGAGCTGCTCGCGGTGGTGTTTGCCTTTGATAAATTTCGTCCTTATCTGGTCTTGTCCCATGTGATTGTGTATACTGATCACTCCGTGATTCGATACTTGATGAGCAAGGCTGATGCCAAGCCTAGGCTCATAAGATGGATCTTGCTGCTGCAGGAGTTTGACATTGAGATTCGGGACAAGAAGGGAGCAGAAAATGTTGCTGCCGATCACCTCTCCCGGTTGGACGCACCCCCTGCGGACAACCTCGAGGAGGAGATCAATGACTCCTTTCTAGATGAGAGACTGCTGATGATGTGCCTGGTGGAGAGTGTCACCCCCTGGTATTCTGATTTTGCAAATTATCTTGTGGGCCAGCAGCTGCCCAAGGGGATGACAACTCACGCTAAGAGGAAGTTCTTCTCCGACCTGAAGTACTACTTCTGGGATGACCCCCATCTCTTCAGGATCGGATCCGACGGGATCATCCGTCGATGTGTTATGGAGAGTGAGCTGGAGGGCATTCTATCTCACTGTCATGAAGGACCTGCTGGCAGTCACCATGGAGGAAACCGCACGGCGAGGAAGGTGCTCCAGTCGGGCTTCTACTGGCCCACGCTCTTCAAGGACGCAGACGCCTTCGCACGCAGGTGCGACCGATGCCAGAGGTCAGGTAACATCTCTGCCCGTGATGAGATGCCCCAGAATGTGTTTATTACTTGTGAGATTTTTGATGTCTGGGGTATCGACTTCATGGGCCCCTTCCCTCCATCCTTTGGCAATACATATATCCTTGTTGCTGTTGACTACGTCTCTAGGTGGGTTGAGGCGCAAGCTTTGCCCACTAATGATGCTAGACGTGTTTGTGGTTTTCTGAAGCAGCTATTCTCCCGGTTCGGGACACCTAGAGCCATCATAAGCGACCGAGGCACCCATTTCCAGGGTCAGTTCGATAAATTGTTGTCTCGCTATGGTGTAACTCATAAGGTGTCCGTGGCCTATCATCCTCAAACCAGTGGCTAGGCCGAGCTGACGAACCGGGAGCTCAAACGGATCTTGGAGAAGACGGTGAACCTATCCCGCAAGGATTGGTCCACCAAGCTTGATGATGCTCTGTGGGCATATCGCACTGCCTACAAGACGCCCATTGGTACCTCACCGTACCGCCTTGTCTATGGAAAGGCATGCCATTTGCCCGTGGAGCTAGAGCACAAGGCCTTCTGGGCCCTTAAGCTGCTAAACTTGGATGTTAGTGTTGCAGGTGTTGAGCGAAAAATGCAGATGTTGGAGCTGGAAGAGTGGCGTTATCATGCCTATGAGAACACCAAGCTGTACAAGGAGCGCACGAAGCGCCTACACGATGCACGGTTGCGGGGTCCGAAAGAGTTCCAGGTTGGTGATCGAGTTCTCCTTTATAACTCTCGCCTGAAACTCTTTCCTGGAAAACTCCGTTCCCGGTGGTCTGGACCGTACACGGTCACACAGGTGTTCCCGTATGGCATGATTGAGATTGCTAACCCGCAAACTGAGCCGTTTAAAGTGAATGGCCATCGTCTCAAGCTCTAACTGGGAGACGAGGTCGAACGTGCGGAGTTAGCAGTGGAGCTCGCGGACCCTTAGTTCCGCAATTGGCGTCCAGCTAAAAGACGGTAAAGAAGCGCTTGTGGGGAGGCAACCCCACCACGGTTGCATTTCTGCCTTTGTTTTTTATTTATTTATTTCATCTTTGTCGGTTTTTGAGTCTTTGAGTCAGTTTGGAGTCAGTCTGGAAAGTTTTTCGTGCCTCGGGCGGTTCGTTTTGATGTGTGATTGGGTAAATTTTAGAGCCGGGGCACGAATGAATCTTGGTGGTTTGAGATTGAAAATTGAAAAAAATGCATTTCAGGCTCGGCAGTAAAAACACGGGCAGCAGGGGGCCAAAACACGGCTGTGTTTCGCCCTGTGCCCGCCCGTGTTTCGCTTTGTGCTCTCAGCATAAAAAACACGGGCAGCAGGGCTCTGAAAACACGGCCGTGTTTTGATCAGAGCCCGCCCGTGCTTTAATGGGGGAAAACACGGGCGCGGAGCATCCAAAACACGGCCGTGTGATGGCCCGCCCGTGTTTCGGCCTCCCCCCTATAAATCGATTTTTTCAGCCCCCCAAAATCAGATCAGTCATTTTTTCAAACCTCCCCAGCCCCCCTCACCGGAAAATCGCCCCCTTCACCTTCTCCCTCAATTTTCCGGCCATAACTTCCTCTCCCGACCTCCAAATCACAAACCGCGACCGCCCCCACGCTCCTGGCGTCGAGGAGCGCATTCCCCAAAGCTTTGGGCTGGTTTGGCCGAGGTTGGGTCGCCGGCGGTGAGTTTTCCGGCAAGTCTCCGGTGTGTTTTCCGGCTACTTTGGGTGCTTCTTTCCACTTTCTTCACCTCTCTCGTGGTCTCTTCTTGCGTCTCCAGGTGTGTTCTCCTTGTCTTTTACTATATTTATGGAGAATCGATACCTAGAGTTAGGTGAAGAACTTCTGATTGTGGAATGCATGGTTTGGGAATATTTTGGGTTTGGGGGTGTGATTGGGCTGATTGCATGTTGCCTGTTATGCGTGCTATGTGATTTTTCTGTGCTGCCTCGCTTGGTGCTATTTAGGACAGTTGTGGTATGCTTGTTTCACCGGGGGCCTAGTTCACTGTCCGAATCGCTCGATTTGAGGGTCCCCGGTATATTTTGCTGTGTATTTCTCGTATGATGGGTATGTGTGTGTTGCCGGGAGTCTAGTCCACTGTCCATATCTTTCGATATGAGGGCTCCCGGTGTGGTTTTAGCCTAACATTGACCCCGTTGCTTGTGTACACTTTGTCCTTCGTTGTGTTTTGCAGGATCATGGAGGATTTTCTCGACCAGATGAACATCGTCCAGCGCCATAAGCTGCGGAACCTCCGTACCCGCAGCATCGCCGAGCACTTTCACCTCGATTGGGGGGTGTTCGAGGAGCTCCATGCCAGGCCACAGATGGAGGCCGCGGTCCGCTCCCCTGCTTGGCGGCGTCTTCTCACCCTCGCCGAGCCGACCTACAAGGAGCTGGTCTGGGAGTTTTATGCCACCTTCAACCACAACTCGAGGGGGAACCGCGACCATGCTGATGTCGTTCAGTTCACCCTCGGCGGGGTGGAGCACTCCCTCAGCTACTGGGAGTTCGCCAATGCACTTCGCCTCAACTCCCGGGAAGCTCGCAGGCCGCCCCTTCGCTTGGACCTCTCTGACCCCACCGACTTCGCTTCCTAGGCGTACTTTCAGAGCATCTGCCTGCCCGACAGTGTGGATGAAGAGTACGTGGCCAGCCAGATGCGGGCTGCTCTCCTCCGTCCGGAGTGGCGGATTCTCAACCACCTGATGTGCACTTCTTACACACCCAGCGCCGGCTCGTCCAACCGAGTCACCCTCCGGACTCTCTGGTTGATGCATGCGATGGGTCGCTCTGAGGACACCATCCAGCTGGGATCTGTGCTTGCCCGGACGTTCACTAAACCTGCCATCAGCACGTCTCGCGCCCTCGTTTGTGGCCCGGTGATCACCGCCTTGGCCCGCAACTACGGGGTGGACTACACAGGGATGACATTGGTCCGCGGAACGACCCCACTCGGCGAGCCTACTCTCCGCCACCAGCACTTGGTGGCTAGCCTCAGGCGTGTACGCTGGATCACGGGCCTTCCTCAGCCACCTATACCTGCAGAGGGCGACCAGGCCGAGTTGAGCGCCGCTGGTGGGCGCCGAGTTCCCCGTCGTGCCCAGGCTCCCGCGAGCCCCTCTCCTGCTCCCCGGTCTCCTTCTCCAGGGTCACCTCCTCCAGTGGTGGTGCCCATCTCCGACCAGTTGGCGGGGATCGCTCTGCAGAATGAGCGCATCCTGGCCGGCCAGGAGCGCATCCACACCCGCCTTGATCGTGAGCGGGACCGAGGGCGTCGTCTCATGTCGAGGCAGCACTACATCATGTCCTACTTGGGCTTGGACCCGAGCGCGGTCCACTACCCGTTCGTGCAGTCCCCAGGGTTCGAGGATGAGTACCCTCCACCCACCGGCGATGGTGGTGATGCCTTCTAGAGCGGGTTTTGTGCTTTCTTTGTTTTCCAGACTGCGACTCCGTGTTTTGTGATTTTGTTTTGTTTTGTTTTTTTTCTCTCTTAGATTGTAGACTTGGTACTCTGACTCCTATCACCCAGTGTGTGTGTTTTTGTTGTCTCTAGCTCTGTGCCTACTTCTTTTGACTGGTCCGCCATCCAGTCAACGTTCCTAACCACTGTTTCACGGTAACATCGTTCCCCTTCCCTCTGCTCCATTGAGGACATTGTCGCGTTTAAGTGTGGGGGGGTTCTTTGTATGAATTGGAACGTATATATGTGTGCTTGGAGCCTAGTCCACTATCCAAATCTTGAGATTTGAGGGCTCCAAGCACGGCTGTTTGCTTGATGATTGATCGTATCTGGCACTGTGGATGTGATTAGTGAATTGAATGGCTTTTGACTTGATACATGACAACTTGAGTGTGACTTAGACAACTTATTGTGATGACTGAGATGTGCAGTAGAATTGTGTAGGGATTCAGTTTTTCAACTGTCTGCTCACCAAATGTGACTTGGTTTGATCACTTGCTTTTGACAGTCATTTATGCATCTAGTTCAGGGAATCAGAACGAGAGATAGAGCATACAGGTAGCCATGTGAGATTTGAGCCTGCTCGTTTCTTTCTTGTGCGATAGTTTCCTCTTCTATGATGTGCATCATTCACGTTGTCATTAGCTAAGATGATGGAGGCATAGGATTAGCCCACGACCAAATTGACTGTCCTAGTGTGTCATACCCCTAGTCAGCCCCTTTGAGCCGTGTGTTTTCCTTTCTTTCGGTCTTCAATGAAAAATCACCCTTTTGCATCTTTTAGAAGGTTCCACGGAGTGATTTTTACATGTTCTCTGCTGTTTCTGCTAAATGTAATGTGAGGGTTGGAGGTAGTGCTTAAAAGTTGGGCAGGTGTTTGAAATTGTGCAGAGGTGGTGGTTCTCTTAAGAAATGAAAAATAATGAAAGAAAATCAAAGACAAAATGAAAGCAAAAGAGAGCCACCACCAAAAATCTGAGTAATGCTCATGTAGTAGTGTTTCTTAGCAGTCTGGCTTAGAAATACTAGCATTTATGTAACCTCCTTCGCTCTTGTGCTCTGAATTTGAGTAATGCAGAATAGCAGAAAGAAAGTTATTGGTTTGATTGATTGCGAGTTTGTTGGGTTTGGAAATGTGGAACCTTGTGCTGTATGAATACTTCCACCACCTAAAAAGCCTTTTCCCCATGTCTAAGACCCTAGCCAGTCATCTGAACCTGTGTCTAAGACCTCCGGATTAGTCAGTGGTGACACCCCATATGTGAACTCTAGCACTTAGAGGCTGCATTCATGATGAAGAGATGTTAGGGATTGAGAGATTAAGCATGCGCATTTTTCGCATCATATTGTCCTGACCCCACTGGTCGAGAGTGAGCGATTCATTTTCTCGTATTCTCTATACTCTTTATCCCGGTGAGGACCTAGATTGCTCGGTCTTACTTCTGATATCTTGAACTTTGTGCATGATGTGACTGTTTTGAACAAGTGGTTGAGTCAAGTCTATGTTGGTTGGTGAATAGAAGGGAGACTCTTCCTTTGCTCGATTTTGCTGCGTTCGAATGTCATCTGTGGTGGTTGTCTAGGTTGTCATTGAAGTTGTCCATGTGTTACTGATCGAAAGCCAGTATGATCCACGTGTTTTGTGCCGATATGCCATGCCTTGTTGTTTTGAGCTTACCTTGTGTCTGACTTGGTTTGCTTGGGGACAAGCAAACGGTTAAGTGTGGGGGAATTTGATAACGATGTAATTGCACGCATTTGCACCCCTAATTCTTATCCGTTTGAGAGACATAGTCGTGTATTTTGGCCTATTTTACGTCGGGTTGTGCTATTTTGTCATATTTCAGGTCCCAGGCGTCAAAGGAAAGGCTAAGCACGAGTTTCGGGGTATTTGGAGGACATTTCGTCAAGCTGGAGCCAAAACACGGGCAGACCTAAAACAAAACACGACCGTGTTCTGTGGCCGTGCTTTTTATGCCGAGAGCAAATTCGAGTTGGCAAAATCAAGCCAAAACACGGGCACAAAGCACGGCCGTGTCCATCCAAAGCACGGCCGTGCCCATCACCAAACACGGCCGTGTTTCTTCCAACACATGGCCGTGTAATTAACCCTAGCCAAAGCACGGGCGGGCTGAGGCATTACACGGCCGTGCCCTCGACCGTGCGTTGACCACTGATGCCCTTTTAAGCAGATTTTCAGCCAAACAGAAGGGGATTCTAGTTTTTGAGAGATAGAACGATTTCTAGATAGAGAAAGCGACGAACAAGAGTCTCCAAGTGCCCTAGCTTGATCTTCAACACCATTGGAGGCCAGTTTGAGCTTGGAGAAGTGCCGATCAACGTCCAGGAGCAGGAATCCATCCTTCACAGTATGAATTCCGCGTCTGATTCTGCTTTTGCTTCTTTCTCTATGGAGTAGTTCTCCCATTCATTCGGGTATGGAGAACCCTAGATTTGTACGTTAGGTTTGATTGTATGAACCCAAGTACTGATTCTATGATTTGATTATATTCGATTGAGGTTTGAATGATTGAATGACTTGAATCCTGATCAAATTCCTGTTGTTTCTGCTTTAACCTAGAATGAGAATATTTGCCTAGGTTAATAGAGTATCCTTGATTGAAGGTAGGGAGTTGGTGACTTTAGTCGAGGAACCAACTCACTATTCTGTACCGGATTTACTCCGGTAGTGGAGGTTTTGTTCTTAGGGCCTCAATCTGTCTACTCCGGTGGAGGTTAGTCGCCCGCTAGAGATTCAGATTGAGAGGGTCTGAAGACCTTTAGTCGAGACTTCAGGCTGTTTAAGAACCTTCCGCAGTATAACTTTCATAGAAACTGAACTTGGTAATTGCAATCCGGCTTAACTGTAGTCTAGGGGGAACCATATCCGGGTGACCTCTCTTAACCTGAATACAACAGTTTACTTGCTTTGTTTGTTTGGTAGTTTAGACTTGCATTCCAGCTTCATTGCTAGATAACAAGAATTCACCGAGTAGTCATCAAATCTAGGACCCGGGTTGATAATTAAACCTAAACCCGCTATACTACGCTTTAGGAAGTGGTTACACTTGGCCAGTTCCTGGAGTGACAGTAGAAGTGAGTCAGCTAGCATCTCTTTGATGGTTTTCCTTCTTCTCCCTTGTGTTTTCCCTTCTCCTAGCATGGACTAGTACCTTCTTTCACTTGGGTGTTTGTAAACCCTAGCTATAATTATGTGAATGCTTGTATGGATTGAATGATTTGTATGTGGTTGTGTTTTAATGTGAATGTGAAAGTATTATTCATGAATCATTGTGTTGTTTCACCAAATATTGACCGCTAGATAATGTTTCAAGCAATCGAAGTAGGGGTACATGAACCGGCCCGGGTTGACATTATACATACTTGCCCTATATTGCACCCATTTAAGGTTTATACTCGGGCCTTAATTGGGAAGTTTTAGTGTGATATTCGGGACGAGTCAAGTTTTTGGCGCCGTTGCCGGGGAACCCAACGGTTCATTATTTTGAAAAGATTGTTTGGTGATAATGTAGCTTTTAGCTTTCATTTGTGCTTGTGAAACTTGCTTGTGTTAGACGAGTTGTGGTTCTTTTTTAGTTTTTGCAGGGTTGTTTATGACCCGGAGCAATCCGAAACCTTTGGCGCCACTAAACGAGAACCTCAACTGCACGCTCCGACTCTTGGCTCGTGAGAGGGAGCTAGCGGAAGCAAGAAGAAGGATTGAGGAAAGGGGTCAACTTCAAGTTGGACCTGAAGTAGAAGCTGAAGTTGAGGAAAGAAGAGAAGTGAAGATGGCGGCAAACCAAAATGCTCAAGGTGGAGAAGGAGCGGCCGTGGGAGAGCAACTGAGAACGATGGGCTATTACATGACCCCACGCATGACGAATATCCAACTCGCCATTCGTCATCCTCCCGAGTCCGCCAACAACTTTGAAATCAACCCCTCCCTTGTCACCATGATAAAAAACAACGCCTTATTCCATGGCCTTAGCAACGAGTCCCCGAGGGAGCACGTGCAGAAGTTCATCGAGCTTGCAGGAAGTTTGAAGATAAATGGTGTGCCAGAGGATGTTTTGAATTTGAGGCTATTTCCTTACTCTCTTGCGAGAAATGCCTCTCGGTGGCTCAAAAATGGGTCGGCTCTCTCAATCACCTCGTGGGATGATATGCTCAACAAGTTTATGACTCGGTATTGCCCACCATCAAAGACGGCGGATTGGTGCAAGAAGATCACCCACTTCGAGCAAGAGGAAGACGAGACATTGAGAGATGCATGGGAGAGATACTCAGATTACTTCCTTCAATGCCCACATAAATACATCATGGATTCGAGGAGAGATTCCGGATTGAGACCTTCTATGATGGTCTCCACCAAGATGACAAGGTCCTCATTGACTCCCTATGCCAAGGGAAGTTGATGAATATGACTCCACCTCAAGTAACCAAGTTGCTATAATATGGCAAGTAAAGGGTATGCTTGGGGCTTGACAAGAAGTGGAAAGAAAAGCGCCAAAAGGTGAGTGCAAAGTGTGGGAGTGAATCCACCGCTTGAAGCCAAGATTGATCGGTTGATTGAGGCACTCCTAGAGGACAAGAAGCATGGAAAGAAGCCAATAATGGCGTGTGATTGGTGTTTAAGTCCTAACCACGAGATCTCGGATTGTCAAATGATGAAGGAATCAAGCACTGCCAAGGAGAAACTGAGTTTCATTGCCAATGCTAGGGGGAACAACCCCTATAACAACACTTACAACCCGGGGTGGAGAAATCATCCGAATTTCTCTTGGTCCTCTTCGACCAATCCAAGACCCTTTGGTTTCCAAGGACTCACGGGAAATTATCAACCAAGGCCTACTTCCATTCAACAAAGGCCGCAATTCCAAGGCTCTAACTTTCAACAACCGTTTCAAACTCAAGGAGGTGAATGGTTCCAACAACCCGATAAGTTTGAAACTTGAAGACCTTGTGACCACCTTTGTGAGCATGAGCACTCAAAAGTTCGAGAAGATTGAGTAATTCATGGATGTAGCAACTACAAAGTTTACCTCGGTTGAGGCGAGACTATGGAGTCGCCAAGCTAGTCTCCAAAACTTAGAGACTCAAATTGGCAACCTTGTCGGTATTCTCACTGAGAGGCCAAGAGGAGCCCTACCCTCTCAAATCGTTGTCAACCCCAAATATCAAAATTTCAGGTGCAACGCTATCCTTTGTGGAACGGGAAGGTGACTCCGGAGGTAGTTGCAAAGGATGTAGCTGAAGAGGAAAGGGTGCCTACAAACTCCGATGATCAAGAAGGCATGGAAGGAGAGGAAGGAGAGGCTAGGAAGTCATGTAACATCCCGAACCTTTTTCCGACAAGATACTGTCCGCTTTGGGCCTCTACACCTGCACGGATTTTCCTTGGGGTGCAATTCAATGTGACTTTCCATAAGGCCACCCATCCTTGTTGTACTCCACACTGAGCACGTTTAACTTCGGAGTTCTCACGAGAACTCCTCCATTTCACCCCAAAACGTGTCTTGTCAGTTAAGGTCGGTTTCCTACTTATGAAGCATGGATCTCTCCCATGCTTTGTCGATGTGGGATTTGCCTAAGGTGTTACATACCCCCCCCCCCCTTGGGACTCAACGCCCTCATTGAGGTTTTCCCCACCATCATTCAAGAGGGACGCGGAGAGGCTCTGATACCACTTGTAACATCCCGAACCTTTTCCTGACAACCGTTTTGGGCCTCTACACCCGCACGGATTTGCCTTGGGTGCAATTCAAGGTGACTTCCCATAAGGTCACCCATCCTTGTTGTACTCCACACTGAGCACGTTTAACTTTGGAGTTCTCACAAGAACTCCTCCATTTCACCCCAAAACGCGTCTTGTCAGTTAAGGTCGGTTTCCTACTTATGAACCATGGATCTCTCCCGTGCTTTGTCGATGTGGGATTTTCCTAAGGTGTTACAAGTCACCTCAAATGGTGGTCGAGCATGAGCCCACTCTTACTTTCCCGACGAGGGTTCATAAGCACAAATTGGATGCGGAATGTGGCAAGTTTATGGAGATGCTTAGGAACCTTGACCTTTTCATGCCCTTCTTCGAAGAAATGACTTGCATGCCAAGGTATGCAAAGTACCTAAAGGGGCTACTCTCAAAGAAGCACAAGTTTGAAGACCTCTCTTCCATCACCTTGAGCGAGGGTTGCTTGGCGATCATCCAAAATAAATTGTCGCAAAAGCAACCAGACCCAAGTAGCTTTACTATCCCTTTGAGCATTGGAACTAATCACATATAAAACTCATTGGCGGACCTAGGGGAAAGTATAAATGTGATTCCTTATAAACTCTTTAGGAAGTTGAACCTAGGGGACTCAAGGCTGTAGGCTTAGTATCACTTTGGCTGATCGCTCAGTTATTAGTCCTAGTGGAATTGTGGAAGACGTAATAGTAAGAGTTGGCAAGTTCTTCTATCCAACTGACTTTGTGATCCTTGATATTAACAAGGATTCGGATATGCCACTCATACTTGGGCGTCCTTTCCTTGCCACCGTCAAGGCATTAATTGATGTGAATGATGGTACTTTCATACTGAGGGATGGTGAGGAGAGAATTACCTTTTCGGTTGGCATTAAGAGCAAAGTGCATGATGCTAAGGTAGTGGATTTGGAGAATGAGATTGCAAGTGGTGGTAAGCCGTCTAAGGCGAGTCCCACTAGTGTTTGTGTCCCCTGTGATGATGAGGTGCAGGAAATCAAGGCGTGTACTAAGCCCGAAGGAAAGAAGAAGAGAGCATGGAGGGAGAGGCTTCACCAAGCCTCCATCCAATCAAAGGACAAGGGGAAGGCAAAGATGTGGGGTCAAGAAGGCAACCCAATGGAGCTAAATGTGGGAGGCGACAAGTCTCACCCTGATACCGTGGCGGATCCAATCTCGGTGGCCTCAAGCTCAAAGGCGTGATAGATCCGCAACCGTCAAGCTAATGACGATAACTTAGCGTTTGTTGGGAGGCAACCCAACGACGGTTTGTTTTCTTTTCTTTATTTTTCTCTTTTTGTGTGCGAAGAGTTCAAGTGTTGAATTTGGGTATCATCGTGCCAAGTCTCTGTGATTTGGGTTTTGGGATGTGATGTGATCAAATTAGGGGCACAGTTGACTAGATTGAGTCAAAGATTTTTGGGAGTGTCCTGTTTTTCACTCAGTTCGCGGGTTGGGCTTCCAGTTCACGGTCTTACGTGATCGTGAAGTGGAGTCTACATCCATGAACTGAGGGTGCTCCCCCATTTTCAAAAATCATTGTTTAACCCCAGTTCATGGGCTGGGAGTTATGTTCACGGTCTTAGTGACCGTGAACTCAGACCTCCATCCTTGAACGGCTCAATTCACTTCACGACCACCCCTTTCGCCAGAAATTTTTAAGAACTCGCCGGAAAATCCTAATTTTCCATTGATTTTTGTAGATCTTGGCGACCTCCGGCTTCCAATTCCAAAAAAAACCACAGACCCAGCCATCCCTCACCTTCGAGCATCTTCGCCTGAGTTTTGCGAAGGTTTGGCTCAATTTTTTTCGGCGAGGCGATTTCCGGTGAGCCTCCGACGAGCTTCCGACGAGGCTCCGACGACCCCTCTCTGGCCATTTTTTGTGCACTTTTCAGCTCCCTCGCCCTCCCCTCACTTCCACCTCGACCCTACTCGAGTCTCCAGGTTTTTTTTCAACTTTTCCCTTATAATTTGTTGGAGAATCGGATTAAGGTGTGAAGTGAGGTGAATTTTTGTGAATTGATGATTGAATGAGAACCTAGGGCGAGGGATTAGCCGATTAATGTGTATGAATGATGTTTGATGATGCATGAGCTTAATTAAGCCTTGGTGGGCATCAATTTGGACTATATGTGTGGTTGAGTATGAAAATTGCCCACCAAGTGCAAAAATGTGAATGAATGTGGATCATTGCTTGTGATTGATGGTTGGAAGCCATCAAGGCATGATTTAGGATTGCTTTTCTATGTTGATAATCCGTGAACCACCTAGAACCATGCCTCGGTGTGCTTTGCATGCAAGCTTAATGGCCCAAAAGTTGGTCTCGTGAAAAGCCTTCAACACATAGGACCGTAGTGGAAGCCTAATTGTGGGGGAATTCTTTTATCCACTTGATGTGAAATTGACAATTATTTCCACGTATGGTGTATGTCTGAATGTTTTGAAGGATGGTTGACGCAGAGCATGAGTACACCAGCTACTTGGTGAACCACGCAATGTACGGAGCCAAGTTTGTCCAGTGGAGGTACAGTGAGGCAGGGCCTCACTGGATGCTCGATCTTGACATATTCAACATGTTAAGATGCTAGACAACGATTTCAGGGGTCCTCAGTCACCCCCAACGGAGGCAGCTGCTGGCAATGGACGAGCTCATTTACCGAGAGCTCTGCGTGGAGTTCTACTCCACTTTCTCCCACGTCATTCCGGGAAGTAAGAGGAGTAGGCCATACGTGGAGTTCATGTTGGGTGGGCAACAGAGGGTGCTGACATATGATGGCTTCGTTGAGGCCATGGGGCTCGACCCCACCCACATGACGATGACAGAGAGGCAGTACACTGCCGGCTTCCACTACCAGGCTACCTTCCGAGCCATCTGTCGCACCGAGCATAAGGAGGACGAATTCAAGGGATCCAACACCAATCCTGTGAAGCTTAGGACGCCTTGGAGGATCCTGCACACCCTCCTAACAAAGTCACTCATCCCCAGCCTGCAGGCAGGACACTTGATCACGAATAGAAGGTTGGTGGCCTTTCATTCCCTGAACCGTCCAGCAGATCCGCTCCATCTGGGAGCCGTGGTTGCTACCACTTTTGATCGGTGCGAGGGTCGGGACCGATTGAACACGATACACTTGGGGGACATCATCACTAGGCTGGCCCGATACTTCGGGGTTGATGTGGCCCGGTGTACCATCATTGGCCGGACGAAGCAGTTTTTGGTGGAGACCCTCTACAATATGAAGATGGTTCTTCATGGACGATGAGTGATCTTGCTCACGACGAGGTAGCCATCAAGGGAGACATGTGACAAAGTCGATTTCTTTTGCCCCATTTCTCCACTTGCAAACTCTGAACTCTTTTCATTTTTATTGTCTCCTTTATTAGTGTGTGAACTAACACTTTGTAAGTTTTTCTTTTGAATCGTATTTTGAAACTTTGTTATGTGTAATAACCTTGCCTCGAGCGAGAATGTGGCGTGTGTGTGTGTGTTTTTTTGTTTTGTTTCTCCTTTGAAGCTCAAACATCCTACCCCGGGAAATTCTCCAACTTTCATTCACCAAGCCATGCAATAACAACGTTCTACCCTCTATTTTACGCCATTGAGGGCAATGTCGAGCTTAAGTATGTGTGTGTGTGTGTGGGGGGGGGGGGTAATATATTATTATGCTTGTGTGTGTGAGTGAATGCTTGGAGCCTTGATGTATGCCCAAATTTGAAAATTTTGAGGGCTCCAAGCACTGCATGTTCAAAATGGTCAGTTGGTGGGTGAATCTCGTGCTTATTTGGCATTGATCTTGAATTGTTGCATGTAATCGAGTGCATCCTATTATGATGACTGAGAATGAATTAGGGTTGTGCAAAAGCTTAGTTCTCATGTGTGCTTAAATGAATGGATGTCTTGATTTGGTTACTTCTTGATTACAATTGCTATGCATCAAAAAATTTGAAATTGGAATAGATGATTGGGTGGCTAGGTAGCCATGTGAGTTTTGTGCCGATCGTCTTTTTCATGTGTGATAGATCCCTTTCGCCATGGTGTGTAACATTCACCGTTGTCACTAGTGAGTATGATGGAGGCATAGGATTAGTCCACACCCAAAAGTTGATTGTCCCAAAACATTTTATCCCCTAGTCAACCCCTATGAGCCGTGTGACTTTGGGGGTCGTTCTAATGCTAGGAGCTTCATGCTTGATGAGCTTAATGGTGGTTGAAAGAACGACCCCACCCATCCTTTCTACGTGTCAAAGTTTGAGTCATCCTTGTGTCTCGAAGTTCTCACTTTTGAGCTCCATTGAGGTTCTACATAGATGGTTTTGCACGGTTCTTGCTAGAAATGAGAAGGTAGTGTTGGAGGAAAGTTCTTAAATGGAGAGCATTGTTGATTGAATAAAAGAAGTGGCATGTGTTTAGCTCTTTAGTACCCCCCTAAAATAATAGAAAAAGAAAAAAAGAGCAAAAAGAAACGAAAAAGAGGTAATAAAACGGGACACAAGGATGACTCTAGAGAGTGGCCACAAAAGTCTAAGTGTATGCTCTAGAAAGGGTTTCTTGGCACCCAAGCCATTGAAACACCTAAATTGTTTGATGACTTCCTTCACTACTAGGTTTGAAATGTGAATAGGAAGATACGCCGAAGAAGTGTGCTTGAATTTGGTTTTTGATTGATAGTGGTTTAGAAGAAGGGAAGTGTGATTTTGGCCGATGCTAGTGACCTATGTTTGTAGGAAAGGTTCTTAATTGAGACCATAGAACCTTGAGTTTTAGTTTGAAGATTTAGGACCTCATGTCATGTTTGCAAATTGCAACCACCCAAAAAGCTTTTTCCCCATGTCCAAGTCAATTTCCAGTCATTTGAACCCGTGTCTAAGACCTCCGGACAAGCTAGTGATGACAACCATCCTGTGAACTCTAGCATTTAGAGGTTTCCACCGTGGTGGAGAGACAATAGGGATGAGGGTTGATGATTGTGCACATCTTCTGCACCAAAAAGGTCATGACTATGCATGTTCATATCTTACCCCGGTGAGGACCTATGTTGCCCCATTGACTGTTCCTTGGACTTGAGTTCTATGCATGGTTAGTTGTTGTTGGTGAGTAGTCCGGTCGGGACTTGCATTGATTTGTGAACAGAGTGAGAACTTTTCATTTGCCCATTCTTGATGCAATCGAATGTCGTTTGTGGTGGGTGCCAGCATTGTTTGAAGCGGTTCATGTGTTGATGCCCAATAGTCATTGAATTCACCGCTTCGTGACTTTTGATTTGTCCCCAAGTTATTTTGTTATGTTGAGAAATCACCTAGGTTGAAAATGGTTTGCTTGGGGACAAGCAAACGTCTAAGTGTGGGGGAGTGACTCGGCCTCAATTGTACACTTTTTACCCCCAGTTTGCTTAGTCGTTTGAAGCATATTACTCCGAAAGGTTTGGTTTTACGTCGAGTTTTGCCTTGTTTTGGTTTTTTAGGACTTTGGCATATGGAACTAACCCCGGGTTAAAAGTTGTCCAAAAGGGCGAAAAATCAAGTCAAACGGTGGAAACAGCTTCGCAGTTTGGGCAGTGAGTTCACGTTCACTAAGCCCGTGAACTGGAGGTGCAACCCGTGAACCACCAGGCGTCCAGAGCCATTTTCAGTCTCACTGACCTCAATCCAGTTCACGGTCGTAAGATCGTAAACTCAGACCTCCGTCCGTGAACTGAGATTAGTTATGCGGCGCGTTTCGATCTTAGTTCGCGATCTGAGCTTGCAGTTCACGACCATGAACTAAGATCGTGAATTGAGCTCGATTCGGGTATATAAAGGAGGTTGAGCTGAAGGAGAAAGGGGGGACCTAGTGTGAGAAACTTCTTCTTCTTCTTCTTCTTCTTCTTCAGATTTCTAAAGTGAGAAAGTGACGAACCAAAGAAGAGGAGAAGCTAGGGTTTCATCTTCAAGCAAGGATTTGGGAACTCCTTCCCCAAAGGAGGATCTCTTCAACACAAGGAGCAAGGCTAGCATCTCTTTGATGGTTTTCCTTCTTCTTCCTTGTGTTTTCCCTTCTCCTAGCATGGAGTAGTACCTTCTTTCACTTGGATGTTTGTAAACCCTAGCTATAATTATGTGATTGCTTGTATAGATTGAATGATTTGTATGTGGTTGTGTTTTAATGTGAATGTGGAGGTATTATTCATTAATGATTGTGTTGTGTGAAAGCCTATCAATCTAATTGCCATTCTAACCTAGGTAGAGGGAACCCCCCCCCCCCCCCTCCTTTCTTTGAAAAGAGCTCAAAATCTGGGTTTTCTAGGCAATTCATTGTCTCCTACATAGATTAACGTAGGGCAAACCTCTTATTTCGTATTAGCACCTAGTGTATGGTTGTGGGTGGTCGTCCGAACTCCAATTCGAGGGTGAAGTGTAACCATTCCTTAGTCAATAGGTCGAGAGAGTCACGTGGGAGGCTTGGATCGTATCCCTTCCCTCGACCTAGAGACCAAGAGGGTGGCGCTCGGCCACTTGTTACATTTCCCTAAGGTTTACAAGCCCCTTTACCACATACAACCATTCAATCCTATGTGTCATAATTGTTAGCTAGGGGGAGCAACACTCGGGTGAAGCCTTCTCAATTAGTGTCAAATCCTTTTACTTTCACAAACTTTTAAGCTTTAGATTGTTGTTTTCACCAAAAACTGACCGCTAGATAATGTTTTAAGCAATCGAAGTAGGGGTACATGAACCGACTCGGGTTGACATTTAAACATACTTGCCCTATATTGCACCTAATTGAAGTTTATACTTGGGCCTTAATTGAGAAGTTTTAGTGTGATATTCAAGACGAGTCAATTTTCAATATTTTTGGAGGAAAAAAAATATTGCCTCTCGTTATGGTATTTTCTTCGTTTTTAAGTCGTTTTTTAAATTTTTTGCACAGAAGGAATGAATTCAGCATGATGTCAATTTGAAAATACATTAGTGATGACCATATTAATTATAGAGACGACTCTAAGCCATCACAAAAAAGCTTTTGTGATAACTCGTCATACAAAAATTATTTGTGACGCTCATATTTGGAATGGAACGCAACGACAACAGGGAGTCACAAAAGAGCATTTGTGACGGAAATGAGGCTTCACTGACAGAATCCTCTAGTCACCAATGACTCTCATTTTTGTAGTGATTCAAGCGACATTGACATATTCCGACCACGTTGGCACTTAAGAGGATTCCGATGATGATTGGCATATTCTGATGGCGATTAGAATATTCAGGCGATCGATAACCAGATTCCAGTGACCGGCGAACAGATTCCAGTGACGATGGCCGGATTTCGGCGACAAAAATTTGGACATAAATTAAAAAATTATTCTAAAATTATTTAATTGTTTCATCATTCATTTAATTTTTATTGATTGTTTACACATAATATTTATAATGTTGTATCATTTCATTCATTTTACACTAAAAATCAATCTAACTAATAAAAAGTTATCACAATCCTACCTTCTGGCTAACTATTCGTTCCATTCAAAACAAAACAGTAGTTCAATTAGCACAAATTTGGGCTTATATTACCGCGGAACGGCTATGTTTACCACCCTGCGAAGCCCAAATAAGACTTGAGGAACAAATATATTACCGGAACATATTTGGGCCGGGCTGATCTAAGTGGGCAGGCCGGATGAAATAGGTGAACACCAAGGAAATGAAGATGTCAACTTGTAGGCCAATTATCATCACCACGTTTATGTAGGTTACAGAAGGGAAAATGGAGAAAAGTAGAAAACAAGAGCAGCAACATGAGGTCCAATTGTATAAAAAAAAACATGAGGTCCAATTTACGATTTCTTCCGGCTACTATTATCATTATTTGGCAGAGTTGAAGGTAATAAAATTTACGAAATGGATGTTGATGTTAAGAACTCGACTTCATAATCATAACTTCTGTATAATATTTTACTAATTTTTTTTCTAGAAACATGATGCTACATATTGTTGTAACAACTTGACTAAATGTGAGAAGAACTACTAGTCACGGTCAAATAATCTGAATTGTGAAAACAAATTGAGCCAGCTCGCGAACAAGCTCGTTAACTAAACGAGCCGAGCTCGAGCCACCCCATGTCCAGTTCGAAAGCTCGCGACAAGCTCATTTAATGGTTTGACATTAAAAAATATTAGAATTCATTGATTTTATGTATTGAAATTGGGATAAATATTGTGTTTTGCTTAGCTAGACTTTGCTACAAGTTTGGATGTAATTTTGTGCTCAATTCTAGGTCAATTTTGAGCTATCATGAACATTTTATTAGTTGAACTCGATTTTGGGCTCGTTAAGCTTATTTGACGAGCGAGCTCGAGCTTTTCTTTTCATAAATGAGCCGAGCTCGAGCTTGCATATTAAAGCTCGTGACGAACACAAACCGAACTCGAACCTAAAAATATATTAACGAGCCAAGCCCGAACTATGGCAAAACTCAGCTCGGTTCAGCTCATTAACAACCCTAATCACGCTAAACAAAAAAGGGAACATGATTTGTTGTGTTCATATCTCGCTTTGGAGCGAACTAATTATAAATAAACACCAAGTTGGATGACGAAATAAAAATCATCAGATTGACTCTGGCTGGCTAAATAAACCGAAAAAAGAAGAGAATGGTAGACCTACGCGTCTTCCTTTGATTCTCTCCCCTGCGAAACAACATAGATAGAAGAAAAGTCAAAGAATTACACCTCTTGCTTCTTCCCCGTTTCCGCCACCCTGTTGGATTTCTGTTCCTCCAAGGAACTTAGCCATTATTCCAATAACCCATCCCACCCAGTCCCAATCCAAAGACCAAAACCCCCCAATTTGAAACCTAATTAATTAATTAAAAATTGATTATGCATTTTAATGCGTAATAATATAATTTGACAGAGAACAAAATATAAACCAATAATAAAAGAACCCAATCCCCTCTTCCTTCCTTCCCTCCCTCATTTCTTCATCGTCGTCTTCAGCTCATCCGTCCTTCTTATTCGAAGTTCCATCCAAACTCACACCCCTAAATACGTGTAGAAACTAGAAAGAAAGACAGAATCGCATAGTGATCTCCACCGCCGGCGGCTCCCCACACTTGGTCTGCTCCCCCGCCGTCCCCGTCTGATGAGCAACGACAACGCCGCCCCTTCCTCCAGTTCCGCTGCTGCCAATGGATCCGCCGATTCTGCTGCTCCTAGGCGCAATTCCAAGCGACCTAAATGTAATTTCTCCCCATACATCTCTCTCTCTTCCTCCTTCCCATTTCCTTCACCTTTTTCTTTCTCGATTATTGCTGCTACGGCTACTTCTCCTTCTTGTTGCTTTTCTCTTCTTCTTCTTGGCTTTCATTCCAGCCCTAATTTTAGGCGGGACAGTAACCCGGTCAATCAGCTCAACTCAGGCTTGGATCTTCCTGTTCTTTCAATTTTGTATATGTCTTCTGTAGTAACTTCCCTTCTTCTATCTCCTTCCTTGTATAGCTGCACCAAGTCCTGTGATCTAGTCCCCTAGTCCTAATTTACAGACCGGATGATCGCAAGAGAACTCTTAGCACTTGACGTACTCCATCATCTTCTTCAATTAACATGGATTCGCTTCATTCATATTTCCTTTCTTGCAGATTCTAAGTTTACACAACAGGAACTTCCTGCTTGCAAACCGATTCTAACGCCAGGATGGGTGATCTCCGCTTTCTTGCTGGTCAGCGTCATCTTCGTCCCAATTGGAGTTGCTTCCTTGTTTGCTTCCAGAGATGTATGACTCTCAATCTTTTTTCCCCGCCCACCTCTTTCATCTCTACTCTCCTTTCTAATGGATCTTATTTCTTCACATCAGGTTGTTGAGGTCGTTGACCGCTATGAAACAGCATGTATTCCTCCCCAAAACAGAACTAACAAGGTTGCATATATTCAGAGTTCTTCCAATAAAACATGCGTCAGAGTCCTAACTGTAAGCATTTCTAGGAGTTCCCCCGTGATCTAGATGTCCTCCCGATTGACTTGTTCTTTCAGTTTATCCTGTTGCTAAACTCTAACTCCTCATTCTGCTCGGTTTGTCTTCAATCAGGTTCCAAAGCGTATGAAGGCGCCTATTTATATTTACTACGAGCTTGACAACTTCTACCAGAATCACCGCAGGTACTGATAACTTGTTTTTGTCTTTGAAAGATAATAGAATAGAGGCAGGGGGAGAAGTGTTTAACCAGAGCTTAAGATCTATTTCTGTCGGAATGAATCACACTAGGTCTATTTCTGAAATGCGAATGCTTCTTCTTGGTAATGTAAAAACACTATCTTTTTCCTATTACAACTCTAGTGAGGGCAAGAGAATGTGGTGCTAGCAGATATCCCTGCATCTTGACGGATACAGGTTGTGTCCGGCAGGAATTTGTGGCTTTGTTGGTAAATTAATTATCTTGGTGCGAAGTATACCGTTATTACCCAAACTAATTATAGTTGCTAACTTGCCATAGCAAGAGTCCTTTATCTCCTGTTTCCACTTATGCCTTCATATGTTTATTGTTATAGAAGTATACATGGTCTCTGTTTCTAGTTTGGTGTTATCGGTAATGAAGTTCTGTCTTTCAGATATGTGAAGAGCAGAAGCGATCAGCAATTGAAAAGTAACAGTAGTCAGAACGACACAAGTACTTGCAAGCCTGAAGATCTGGTTAATGGAACAGCTATTGTGCCATGTGGTCTTATAGCTTGGAGTTTATTTAATGATACATATAGCTTCTCTCGTGGAAATGAATCGTTGAATGTGAATAAGAAGGACATTTCATGGAAGAGCGACAGAGACCACAAGTTTGGTGACAATGTGTTCCCTAAAAATTTCCAGAGCGGAGGACTCAAAGGTGGTGGGAGTCTCAACGAATCGAAACCGGTAAGCTTTTGGTTTCATTGTTATATAAGACAGAGCTAGAACTCTTTATGGGCCATCCTGCTCGAAGATGTTTTCTTTGCTCAACCCAGTCTTACTAAGATGTTGCTAATTTGTTATTATACCATTCTGTTAACCCTACTCAGCCCATCTTGCTTGTTTTCCAGCGTTTTGGAAGTCTGTACCTTTTTTATGCTTCACTGCTCATGACAGCAGGAATGGCTCGGTCCATTTTGCTGTGTTTTTTTTCCTTGCTCGTGGTTTTTCTTTTTTCGCCTTTGTGTTTCTGGACGGTGGCTGGTTCAGTTCTTGTGAACCTTGCTGCATTCGTTTTCCATGTATTCCGACTTTCCTTTCTTTTCGTTTTAATGCATTTCAATCACCGTTATAAAAAAAAAAAACTCTACTACCTTATATAAAGAAAAAAAGGATGCGGAATGCTTATCGTCCAATGAAAATAATCCTTGTTAGTCTCTTCCAGAAAAGTGTTTGACTTGTTTGAACTGGGATTACTTTTACAGCTTAGCGAGCAGGAGGATCTCATTGTGTGGATGAGAACTGCAGCTCTACCAACTTTCAGAAAGTTGTATGGGAGGATAGAGGTGGATCTCAACATAGGTGATACAATAAATGTTACATTGGGCAACCACTACAATACCTACAGTTTCAACGGCAAGAAGAGACTTGTGCTTTCAACAACTAGCTGGCTCGGTGGGAAGAATGACTTTCTCGGCATTGCTTACCTTACAGTTGGAGGGTTATGTCTGTTCTTGGCAGTATGTTTCATCATAGTGTATCTTGTGAAGCCACGGTAAGCTCATTGATGTTGATCGGTAGTTCCCAGAGTACTCTATCCTTGCACAGTGATGTTCTTTTCACTAACTGGGTTTCTGCTCTGCTGATCTTCTACCATGTCTCACTCAGTGTTATGTAGGTAGTTAGTGCATTCCCTGATATGATTTGCATATATGGCTTGTGTTATGTAGGTATTTAGTGCATTCCCTTGTGATATTTGCATATATTTCTTAGGGAAATTATGCATTGTCCAAGGATTTTCTTCTTTGTAGAAACACATAGGCACCTCCTAATCTTGCCGATGTAGCATATCGAGTCTTTTTCATCTAATTGGCGTTTTAGGCGTCTGTATGCCTACTGTCTGCCTTTTGTTTTATCTCGTTTGGCAATGAAAATGAACTAGGAAAGTGATGAAGTGAAACAGCTGGCTGTGTGCATTACTAGGACATGAGTAGCCATAACCTTGTGCCATTTGTATCTGACTAGCAGTGACCGGAAATCTTGTGTTTTGGATAATTTCAGGCGCCTTGGAGACCCCTCTTATCTATCATGGAACAGAAGTCCTGGAGGACGTTAAGAGGAAGAGAGGCCGCACCTTTTGTAGAACGAACCTGATGGGCTAACCCAAATATGCTTGATGTATCCATTTAATGTGTTTGAGAAAGATGTTAAAAGGACAACTTGTTCGGTGTAATATCTTATTTGTTTTGTGAAGACAAGGAATTCATGCATAATTTCCAGGAATAGGGATCATAGAATTTGTTCAGAGCATCCTACGAATCTCGTGTCTTTGCTTCCTGCCTCTTGAGTCTTGCCCGACGAATCAGATACGGAAACACCGCAAAAAGGCGACATGGACCTGTCAACCATATTGAAAACGGAGAAATGGATGCTAGAAATGTTTAAACGAGATAATTTTCACATGAATTGAAATTAGCAATATTGTGAAATATCGCGAGATTTAGTTCAATTGAAAGATAATAAATTATGAATAAACAATGGTATAAGTGGGGGAGCATGTTGCATGTACCTACATTTGTTAAGATAATTAAAGAAACAAACATACAATTAGAGAACAAGATCCATAGTGATAGTGGGGCATGAGCCAGGCCACTCCTTCATTTATATAGTAAATTTTTGCAAGACAATAGAGGAAACCTTGTTTTAAATGCCTGAACAAATCAAAGATACGTAATAGCTATTTTTCACTTTCAAGTTTCAACTGTTTACAAAATCATGAATCACACATGGGATGATTAAAACCCAGCCTATAAAATGTGATTTACCACTGAATGTCTGAATCTAACAATTAGAGTATTGATCCACTAATTATAAATTTATAATCCCTCTCTTTGCCTCCTTTATTCTCGTAATAATTTGTGTAAAATTCACTTTTTCTTTATGTCTTATATTCCCAGGACTAATTCATCACCACCAGCCTTAACTAGCTATCCACGCGTCAGTTGTAAACAAATTGGCAACCTTTGTAGCCTGAAAAGAGTGAATCGAATTGAAACCATCACATTACTGGTTAATCAATCACTAGATTTCATTGTAGAACTGGACAAGGAGTACTGGTAATAGAGTACTCACTAGGATCTACCGTGACGAGGATGGCAGTGCCGCCGAAAGAGCAAGAACCGCCAGCGGACTTGGTTCGCTGCCAGTAGCTGTTGAAAGCGTAGGAAGCGTGGGCAAACACTGTGTCCGGCTGAAAGCACGGCCCGCCAGGCTGTATCGAATCACAGTCGGCACCGGACCCGCATGCGTAGTTCATCGCCTCCTGCATGATCGGATCCGGCACCGAAGGCTTCGCCATGCACCACAATGCTGCCGGAGGCCCCGTCCTTGGAGACGGCGGACCAGTCGGCGGCGGGAAAACCACCGGAGGCATGAAAGCCACGGGCGGGCTCGGTACATCAAATGCAGGAGGGGCAGGGGGCATTTGGGCCTCAGGCGGATATGGGCCAGGAATGGTGTAAGTAGGTGGGCTGGGTATGTTCACAGGTGGGCCTGGAATGATTATTCCTGGAGTAGATGGGCCAGGAAGAATCGGAACAAGTGGGCCCGGGGGGAAGTAGTAGGACGGACCAGGGGGAGCTGGCGGCGGGAGGAGGAAGGCGGGAGCGGCTGGGGTGGGGATGCCGGTGCCGGAATCGCTCGGTGGTGGGAGGAGGAAGGTGGGAGCGGAAGGTGTGGGAACGCCGGTATCGGTGCCTGACGATGGCGGGGGCGGGGGCTGAGCCAGGCCTCCTTGTGGAGGTTCGTTGCAGTAAGGGGGAGCATTCTGAGGAGACAATGAACCGTACGGCGGCAGTGAGAAAGGGGAGCTGACGTACGGCTGCGTGTTGGATGCTCCATCGCCCAGCGTTTCTCTCTGGAGGATCAGGGAAGCAATGTTGAACCGCCCGGTGGCTCTCAGTTTCTTCTCCTTGCCTTCCGCTAACCCCGGCGATCTACTTCCATCTGCGCCAATACAATCAAGTCGTGCAAGCAAGAGCACAAATTTGCATCAGGAAATCGTCAAAGTCACAGTAGATGATAGGATGAAGACTAGTTCATCATTATTAATTTCCAGTTAGGGAATCTAAAAGTGAATTATTTGGTCGCTGGGTTGCTGCTTATCTTGGAGCTTAAAGAAGTGACGAATTAACGCAGATTACAAGCAGAAATGCAGTTAGAGAGTTGTGAGGAACCAACTTACTGCAGACAGGGAATGAAGAAGAAGCCAAAGCAAAATACACAAGCAAGAGAGGAAGAAAGGCAATGGGCCGTTGATGTGAGCTGCTACTTCTCCTCCTCATCTGGCTTATAGCTTGTAATCAGTAAGAATGTGCTTGGATTGCTTCGTGAATTTGCAGTTAGCATTACTAGGAGGGTTCTATGTTGAATTGCTTTGAGTCATATATGTATGTATGTGTCGACAAGTATATGCATGCAGAGGGTGATTGAAGGAAGCAATTGATGCGGTGGAGGGGACAACTGGTTTGCATAAAGATAGATTCATGTGGGCGGCAGCATAGGCATACCAACCGCAGGTAGCTTCACTTTGGCTTCCTACACATATACTCTTCACTTTTGCTTGTTAGTCGATGTGTGTGCCTCAAGAAAAACCACCCCACCCCCACTGGATATTTATGATGGCTTTATAATTGTCTGCATCAAGTTTCGTTTTATTCCCTCCCTCTCTTCTAATAAAGCAATAAATGAAAACAATTATCCAATAACCAAATGTGGTCTTGTATGGAAATAATGAGAAAGAAGGAGAAGGGCCGATGAGGTGAGTGAGCATATATGCTTACTTCGTCCTGGCAAAAAAGACATAGCTTGCATCAAAAGTGCTTGTTTCCCATCTACTCCTTTCTCCTTTTCCCTTCCATTTGCTTGCTTTCTACTCAACCCAGGTCTTCTCTCTAATACAGCATTTCTATCCTCATGGATGCATTCCTTAATTTTAATTTTATTTTTAACCCTTTATCTTGTCCTTTTAACCCTCATCCTATTCTCAAGTCTAACAAACCATAAACATAACTATATTATTGATGTATTAATTATCAATGTGATTCATTGAGGAATAATAAAGCTATTAAACGTGTTATACGTATTCAGTATGAGAGGCTTCAAACAAACGGGGGAAAATGAGACAGTTCTTAGTTCTTCCATCATAAAGAATTCTGGATCTCAGTACAGATCCTTATTAATCTTCAAATTTCCGGCACAATTTTATTGTTGTTCGGTTATATCAAATTGACAGAAGGACCTTCTAGTTGGAGCTGCCAAGATAGGGGAAACCGTAAACATCAAGAAACGCCAGTTAGTGTCAGAGTTTTCTCCTCTGCTAATCCTCTAATTACAGATACGATTAGCCCTGTCTCTGTGTTGCTTATTCATATTTTCAGAATATGTGCAGGTCATGGAGACCTCGGATGAAAAGGTTAGACCGGCAGGAAACCCAAATGTGATTGTTTGCGAGAGAGAAAGCATGTTTGGATATAGTAAGTTTGTTTCATTGTTTGTGCTCCATTTCATTCTTGGTGGAATTTGAATGTGGAGTTACATATTGATTAACTTTTAGTACTACAAGGTTGTTATATTTGAGAATATAAACTATCTGGAAACTTCACAGCATTAGTTAACTTAAACTTGTGACGAAATGATGCAAGAGAACTTAAGCAACTCATGACTGATGAATTGGACTCTTTTCAATTGGATCTCTGACTCTTAAATTTTTCATTTATTTGCAGATGACTCGATCCACGCAATCTTGAGAGGATGAGAGAAGCTAACTGCCCTGTTCTAAGTCAATCTAGCTCTAACATTTTTTTATTTTATTCAATTATATGTTGCCAACGTGTCATTGGAATAACTCATCACTGTTGAGGATTCTTCACACAGGTAGCGGATATCACACATTCACTTCAACCGCCTGCTAGTAAAAAGGTGTGTATTACTATTACTAGACATATATTTGGTTACAGGATGTAAAGCTTAACTGAATGAAATGGACTTTTGGTTCTAAAGTTCAAGCCGTTCATGGTAAGTGCATCTTCCATCTTTGTTTCCCAGTGTACTTTTAAGATGGATCCAGCTTGGACTTCTCTGCTTGCGGAACATGCACGCTAAGATGTTGCCCAGCTCGGGTATTTGCTTAATTCATGAGATTTGTTAGTCTTCTATGAAGATGCTTTGTCTATCAGATGGATAAATGAATTTAGCTGACTTAATTTATGTAGGAAGTGTGCTGAGATGATATTAAGGTTTCAAAAGATGGCCAGAACAGCTGCTTGCAAGTCACATACGCCAATTTTCTGAGTCCTGATCTGGATAATGGTGCTGCTATGAAGCCCTTAGATATGCTTCCACTTTCAAACTCTCTCCTACTGGATACGTAAATATCTTCCTCATGGTCATATCCAATGATGGTTTTTATAATGCGAAGGATTGAAATAGATTGCAGGCTTCTCTGGTCTAGCAGTGGTGATTTTGTTTGTTTGATAGACAAGTATTAATGATTGTATATGTTGCTGTTGTCCTTCTAGATGCTAGTTGCTGATGTGTAATATTATCCAAGTAAAACGGCTTGAAACAGAAGTAGGCGGATTGTGTCTTTAGTAGAAATCCCCAACAATGCCAACTGCTTGTGGCTGACTGGCTGTGGGGTTGAGTTTATTGACAGGGAGGAGTATCAATATTTGTTGCATTTCGTTCAGACATGGGTGATGGAAATTAGGAATGGCTTGCTGCTTATGCTGAACTTACTCACAAAGGACTCTGATTCACTTATGGTTTTCAGGTAAATCCTTCTTGTTAATGGCAAATACGTCTGAATATATCCGCTACAGTTTGCCTGGAAAAAAATGGCAAACATCTGTATAATTGAGATGGTTTGAATAACCTGCACCTAGAAAGAGTTGCAGTAACAAGAAATGCTCCCCTGTTCCGAAGCGAAGAACGTAAAACACACTTAGGGATGGCAATGGCAGCAGAGAGCTACACACGAGTCGATTCAAAATTGAAAATGCTGCCTATGTGCTAGAACGATCATATCAAGCGTGACAACAACAGCGAGCTACATGCATCCACCATGATTTCCCTTTAGCCAATGCAAAATGTAAATTCGTCTGGAACAATGGATAGTCAAGTGTAGTATGATACTTCATCTATGGTAATAGTATAGTAGCAAATACGTCTGAATATATCCCTAGACATATGATGAGAGCTCCTGCCAAATAAGGCTCTCCCTCTAAACTTGTCCGCCATCCTTAATACTTTACTAGTATGTACACAGCAGCAGCCAAACCTCTGCCGTTGTTCCATGCACATCATCATTGGCATTGCTAATTTGCCCAAAAACTGTCTTGCACTCTCCTCCTTTACAAGCCAGGCTGTAAGTAATCGGGGTCATTCAATGTGAGCACTAGGAGCAACAAGTGAGCAGAGCATCATAGCTTTCCCGCACAACAGTCTCTCTCACTGCGTCGTAGAACTCGAACCACGAGCAGGCAGAATCAGGGACATCCTTCTCGTCCTCGGCGTGCCACAACAAGAATGTCGGGTTGACACGAGCAGGACTAGCAGCAACCAAATCGGCAATGGAAACACCAGCGGACTTGAGCGATTGTGGGAAATTGAACGCCAAGTTATCAACCTTGTGCTCGTAAATCTTGCCATTCCTGTCCAATTTGTAGGTAGAAGTCCCCTGGAATTCACCCTTGGCCTCCCATGGAACCCGAGGAATCCCCTTCACGTTCCACCGTATCAATATCACATTATCCGAAGGCTGCCAAATCCTGTAAACCTCCACAGCTATGTCCTTGAACAGAAGCTTGCCGTGGAACCTCAACGACCAGAATAGCAGCTTGTAGTTGCTGATTCCCGCGAAAACGTTGGCTGGGTCGCGAAACGTTATATCGTCCCTGCCAATTTTCAGATTGAAACATTGAGAAGAAGGATTGATTTCAAAGACTACTATTATTTTATTGTTGTTACAGAGGCTGGAATGGGAATGGCAAAATGGAAGGGGGGGAGAGAAGAATCCATATGAACCTGTAGATATCGTAGTTGAGGTCTCTGATGAAGAGGGAAGGCATGTCCTCTCGCAGAGTCCGGACGGCCAACCCCAAGTTGACGTAGAAATCATTGTTGCGGTGGTTGAGATTGGTGGCGGGAGGAGGCGAGCTGTTAAGCAGAGGAGGTGAAGGAGATGCGCTGGAACCCGCCGGCTCCGCCGCTGCGGTGGCGGTGGCAGCTAAGGACGACAGATAACTCGAAGACTGAAGTTGAAAGCTGGTTGATGGCTTCTCCTTGGGATTGTTATTGGCAGTAAGGAGAGGGGGCGAGAAATTGGGGAGTAGAAATGCCATTGAACATCAGCTAATGGAAGAAGAGCTTCGAGGAGCCAAGATCCGGAGAAGAATGGAGTTCAGAGGGGATACGATGCGAGTGGCGGCAGCAAGCTAACACATGGTGGTGCGGATTCCGCTCATTCTAGTCATTAAATTAAAATGATCGACTGGTCTACAAGATGGCCAACACCACCTTTCGCAAATTTGTCATACTCTGCCTTTTCTATCGTCCAGGCAAATGAAGGGAATAACGAATATTACCTTCCTATCGTCCATTCAAATTCAAGACCACATCCGTTCGAGAAACCAAACCATGCCCACATCAGACTAACCATTACAGGGTTCCTCGCCACAAGCCACTAGTATTTCCCATTCATTCTGATAGATAAGAGCATTGGAACGTATTTACATTCATTTCACACATTGCAGCACACCCTTCAAAAGGAAGTTCCATTTCCTGAATAGCTTTGGGACCGGCCAGATCTTGTTACAACATGTATACAAATTTAAAGGATACATACTATTGATTCGTATCAGGTCACAAAGAAGGGAATTTGCTTATAATATACTCTACTAAGGAGACATTCCATTTTCATTGTTGCATCATGTTGTCGTTGTTGGCCTGTAAAAGTTGTTCCGTCGTGATGCTAAAGACCTTTATTTCTTTTTTAACAAATTGTGTAGTAGTGCTATGAAACAGACCACCCATGAACGCTACGCTTATTATGGTCTGTTCTTACTTCCGGTGGTGAGAAATTGTGAATTGAGAATCATATTCGCCTACCGCACTGTGTCTGGCTGGTGGCTGCTTACTGTGCTTTCTAGAGTTATGAAACAGACTACCCATGAACGTTACCCTTAAGAGTCCATAACTTTGCGAAAAACCAAATTTAGGCAATCAAAAGTGGTGGATGTGTGATAATTTTTTATGGCTTAATTGTTTGTGAATTGGATATCTGATCTTTGTATGATTAGAGTGGATGTTTGCTTAATAGAATAATCCATTTTAATTCATGTTTATTTTTAACATGAACTTTAGTAACTCAAAACCTTCGAGACACATATCACCTACTGCATTGTATCATTTTGCCTGGGTGCTTGTTGTGTTGTCAAACTTCTTTGCTGCTGCTGCTTTTACACTAACAGGGGAGTTAAGAACCCATGAATGTTTCCGTTTGACACAAAGATGAGGACTTGCTTCTAAATCGGGCACTAAAGATGATTGGAGGAAACATCTCTGTTGCAGTTGATATACTGGAGACCAGAACAAAAGCAATGTATAACATCATCAAAACCAACCATCTGAACTATTAGCATTGTTGCTTTACTCTTTTTTCGTGGTTGAGTCTTCTTCAAAATATTTAGTTTGATTTTAGAAAATTTTGCTTCTGCAGTCCTGTCTTGCCACCAACGCGTTCAATAGATGGAGATGGCAGAGGCGAAGGCTATTTTTGTGTTGTTGTTGCTGGTTTAGGGATCCGTCTGTGAAGAAGAGGGAGAAGAGAGGGGGAAAGGGAAATGCAGGAGAGGGGGTAACTCTTTTTTCCGACAAAAATGGAGTGAAGAAAGGAATTATGATCAGTAAGGATATGGTTATCTTACATAACGGTCTCTATTCTGTTTGAATTGAGCTTGGGAGGCAGTGATAAGGACGAGCTCCAACCAATTCATAGTGAGAAGAGAGCTATGAGCTATGAGCTATGAACTATGATCATATCTTATTTCAAGTTAGAAGGTAGTTTCAGTATAAGGATTATTTAATTTGACAAGTTGTTTATTCCATGATTCTTGGTAGTTTCAGTGCCATTCTAGCCATTGTTTAGTCTGTAATTTTTGAGAATTGATGTGCGAGTAATGACTTTCACTTAGCTTCAACTATTATGTGTGTATTTATTGGCATGTATTAGAATTCTCTTTTCCTTTTCTTTGAATTCGGTTTCATACTTTAATTGTATCATTCGTACATAGGCAAATCATGCTCGAGATGACAACTCGCTGATATGGCTGGTGCAAGGAACGAAGCCATCATTTGAATTCCGGCCGACAATGGGGAGGGATGCCCAGGACTAATTCAATGATGATTGATGATGGTATAATAAAAACTGCAGTTTGCATCAGCACCAATTTCTAGGCCTAAGTAAAGTTATTCAACCCAGAACTCTGCTTAGCGCTAAAAATTCCCTCACCCAACCTTGATCCTGTTTGACCCACTTCTGAAGAGTCAAGATATATGACTAATCCTCTCCGTTCGTATTTTCTTATTGACTCTTTCTGACCCTTTAGGTTGGGGCGGGTCGGGAAGAATCAAATTAGTAGGTCAGTCCTAATCAAGTGGAATCCCAATCCCTTCACTCTCACTTGCTTTCTCTCTCATTCCACAAGTGGTTAACATACAGTAATCCGGCCAACGGGCCGGGTAATAAGCTAGTCTATACATACTATAATACGCTGAAGCAAAAAGCAGAACCCCCATTTCAAAATCCCAGCCTCCAGAGTGTTTGTCGGAGGGGTATTTTCGGAACGGCAGTTCTGAAGGTTGGTTATCCGAGCCTCCTCCTCTCTCCTTTGAAGGTTGTCAATCTGGAGCTCCATTGCTGATTTTTTCTCCCAATCAATCTGAGCCTGCCTCTCACCGTCCTCCGCCGTTGTGAATCCGACCCTCCTCCTCTCTACTTCCTCCGTCTTCACCGGCAACGGGCCTGCTGAATTTGCTCCCAGTCAATCTCAGCCTCCCTCTCTCCGTCCTCCGCCGGTGTCTATCCGAGCTTCCTACTCTCTCCGTCGTCCGTCTTCACCGCCAACGGCCCTCTGAATTTTCCTCCCTATCAATCCGAGCCTCCCTCTCTCCGTCCTCCTCCGTTATCAAACCGTAATCGCGATGTCGTATAACTTGTGTTGTTACTGTGTCGGTTGGTCGAGGAGCTATTACCGTCTTTTCGCCCGATGGCCATCTCTTCCAGGTCGAATACGCACTGGAGGCCATCCGCAAGGGAAACGCGGCCGTCGGCGTCCGTGGCACCGACACCGTCGTCCTCGGCGTCTAGAAGAAATCCGCCGCCAAGCTTCAGGACTCCTGGTTCTTTATCCTTCTTCTGCCTCTTCCGATCCCCTTTTTCTCTAATTTCACCTTTTTAGTAGCAATATGTTAGGGTTTTTCGTAGCCTCTAGCAGTTAATCGCTGTTGATAAGATTTGAGCTGTCATTGGTATAGAAATCAATGGTAGTATTGTGTTTGCTGTAATAGGTTGCGGATGACGGGGAAACGAAATTGCTGATTTTTGAAATGCTGCGTATGAACGATTGTTATCTTGCTTCATTCCAGAAACATTTATTGCTTGCTCTTTCTTATCTTTTCGCTGCTACAATCTTGCAGATCAGTGAGGAAGATCGTCAACCTCGATAATCATATTGCTTTGGCATGTGCTGGCCTTAAGGCAGATGCTTGAGTGCTAATCAACAGGGCCATAATTGAATGTCAAAGCCACAGGCTAACAGTGGAGGATCCTGTCACTGTTGAGTATATCACCCGTTACATTGCTGGACTTCAGCAAAAGTACACACAAAGCGGCGGTGTCAGGCCATTTGGGCTTTCGACCTTGATCATAGGGTTTGATCCATACACTGGGGTGCCCTCACTTTATCAGACAGATCCTTCTGGCACCTTTTCAGCTTGGAAAGCATATGCAACTGGGAGGAACTCCAACTCCATCAGAGAGTTTCTGGAGAAGAATTATAAAGAAACTTCTGGTCAAGAAACCATCAAGCTTGCAATCCGGGCCTTATTGGAGGTATGTACTCATATCTTGGCCTATTGGATGTAGTGAAATTTGGGGATAATTTTTGGCAAAACCTATTGAGCTTTATTATGGTATGTTGAGCCAATAAAGATCAATGTCTGGATAGCATATGGAACAATTTGTTTTATAGTTTGTAGAACCAATAAGATCAAATTCTGTATACTATATGCAACGGTTGAACATGATTTATGTCCGATGATAGCAATATGACTTTGGTTACCAGCATTTCTTTTCCACAAATGGTTATGAATAGTGAGTTTGCTTTGGAAGACATAATCTGATGTAGGTTTGGCAAAAAACAATTCCTGAATTTCATCTTAAGCTGAAACACATAGAGTCAATGTTCAGTTTCCTTCCATCATTTCTTCCTTTGGACTTCTTGCAAACTTGTCTTCTTTTTGCTAGACCGTATAGAATGCCTTATTGTATAAAGCATATTCAACAGAAAGTATTGATTGACCGATTGAGTCAAGTTTGATGAAACTGGTCCATAGGATGCTGGTCATGTGTGACTTTTGACATTAATTGTAAACTAAATTGTTTCAGGCTTCTTGCTGAACGATCATGGGTCGAAACCAACTGAATTAGTTCGTCACTCATTTGAAAAGGGAAACTGCGGGAAATCTTGCGGGAGCTTGCTACTTCGTTTTGGGTGGCCGGTGAAGTGGAGGAGGAGAATGAGCATTAAGATGATACGGAGATGGTTGATCAGAACTCCGGATGCGAGCAAAGCCTCGATGAGGTACTTTCATTTCTCCATTCTACCCCACCAACGATTCATGTGCTGCCTGTGATCTTAGACCGAGTGAGAATCTATAATTTTTTGCGATGGTGAAAGTTTCACGCTTGGTACTCACCACTTGACGATTATTATTGGTAATGAAATTGTGTGTTGGAGAGACCCAATTTAGCTTCAAAGTAATACATGTGTTACCCATGCAAATGGGTTTTGGAGCTGCTGCTGTGCTAGCAGCTTTTAATGGTGAACAAGAAACTAAAGCTCTCTGGAGTTCATTCATTGCGCCAAAGCTGAACCATAGGAACTGGCTTCTAATATCACGTTCAAAGATGTGGGAGACATATTCTGAATGGTTGGTTTAGTTACAGGGGATACTTGAGATGTAAATACACGAGGTACTGCAATACGTTATCCACATCTCAACTATGATCTTAGGCAATAGCTATTATGGATGTACTCTACATGTTTATTGCTTATTACTTAGCAATTGTTCCACCTTCCTGATTCTGTTCCATTAAAATGTTGAGTTCAAGCCCTTTTTTTAATGAACTGTTCAAGCCTTCTTATTTGCTCTATTTAGTATATTGCTTATATTAAGTTAGGCTTGGGTGCTAGCAACAATAGAGCATTATAGATTCATTTTTCTATTCGATTAGTATAAATGGTTACATTGCCTCCATAACTTTCAATCCTATTTAATCACTATGACAATGTAGGATCCAGAAGAAGAGAAGATATAAGGTGTTGTGGTTTCTCTCTACATTTTTTTGCCAATGCTCTCTATCCCTCTTTCTTAGTGATTTCGCTGGCAAAGGAATGTTCTGGACAAGGATTATGGCAAATATAATTATTCTTGGAAGAGATACGTGAATTGGATCATGATGTTGCTTTCATTCACAAATTATGGACTGTTTAACGTGTAAATGCACATGAGATTGATTATCCAAGAAATCAAAAGTACGAGTTGTTGTTATTGCTTTGTTAAGTTATGCTAATTATTTGGGTGCTATTATTTTATATCTTAGTGGCTAAAATATAATGTATTTTAAAGTTATTCAATGGTTCAACCTCGACCAACCCAATTAGTCCAATTTTTATCATTTCAAATATATATTTTATAATTATTTGATATCATAATGATCAATTATAGTGTATTTTATAGGGAAACGTTTGGTATTTGTTAGTAAAAAACTAAACATAAAGATCTATTTGGTTATTTTAAACATTAAAATGATCCTAAATATTTTCAGTTCCTTTTGAATTTCTATGGTTTTATTCCCGAATAAGTGATGTGCAAATGGCGAATTGTAGTCGTCTCTTTTCTTTCACTATTTTTTATTTTCAAATAGAAAGTTTAAAAGTAAAGAATAATTAGAATTTGGCATGGGTCGGTCAAACAGGCTGAATTTCAAGTTTTGGCCCGTTTGTTTTATGCATTGGAAATTTATTAGCATGTTGATGGAAATGGCTTGGAAAAAAGACATATAAGTTGTACCTTTGCAGAAATGTCCTCAAATGTTTGAATGCTTTGTGAATAAGGTTCCGTGACTTTTGTGATGGTGTATGTGCTTGATGATTGCTCGATGTTGTAACTGCTTAATTTGAAAGTAAATCTTTTGATTTTCCCTATGAGTTGTGATATCAGTTCTGGTGGTTGCATCATGTTGTCGTTGTTGGCCTGTAAAAGTTGTTCCGTCGTGATGCTAAAGACCTTTATTTCTTTTTTAACAAATTGTGTAGTAGTGCTATGAAACAGACCACCCATGAACGCTACGCTTATTATGGTCTGTTCTTACTTCCGGTGGTGAGAAATTGTGAATTGAGAATCATATTCGCCTACCGCACTGTGTCTGGCTGGTGGCTGCTTACTGTGCTTTCTAGAGTTATGAAACAGACTACCCATGAACGTTACCCTTAAGAGTCCATAACTTTGCGAAAAACCAAATTTAGGCAATCAAAAGTGGTGGATGTGTGATAATTTTTTATGGCTTAATTGTTTGTGAATTGGATATCTGATCTTTGTATGATTAGAGTGGATGTTTGCTTAATAGAATAATCCATTTTAATTCATGTTTATTTTTAACATGAACTTTAGTAACTCAAAACCTTCGAGACACATATCACCTACTGCATTGTATCATTTTGCCTGGGTGCTTGTTGTGTTGTCAAACTTCTTTGCTGCTGCTGCTTTTACACTAACAGGGGAGTTAAGAACCCATGAATGTTTCCGTTTGACACAAAGATGAGGACTTGCTTCTAAATCGGGCACTAAAGATGATTGGAGGAAACATCTCTGTTGCAGTTGATATACTGGAGACCAGAACAAAAGCAATGTATAACATCATCAAAACCAACCATCTGAACTATTAGCATTGTTGCTTTACTCTTTTTTCGTGGTTGAGTCTTCTTCAAAATATTTAGTTTGATTTTAGAAAATTTTGCTTCTACAGTCCTGTCTTGTCACCAACGCGTTCAATAGATGGAGATGGCAGAGGCGAAGGCTATTTTTGTGTTGTTGTTGCTGGTTTAGGGATCCGTCTGTGAATAAGAGGGAGAAGAGAGGGGGAAAGGGAAATGCAGGAGAGGGGGTAACTCTTTTTTCCGACAAAAATGGAGTGAAGAAAGGAATTATGATCAGTAAGGATATGGTTATCTTACATAACGTTCTCTATTCTGTTTGAATTGAGCTTGGGAGGCAGTGATAAGGACGAGCTCCAACCAATTCATAGTGAGAAGAGAGCTATGAGCTATGAACTATGATCATATCATATTTCAAGTTAGAAGGTAGTTTCAGTATAAGGATTATTTAATTTGACAAGTTGTTTATTCCATGATTCTTGGTAGTTTCAGTGCCATTCTAGCCATTGTTTAGTCTGTAATTTTTGAGAATCGATGTGCGAGTAATGATTTTCACTTAGCTTCAACTATTATGTGTGTATTTATTGGCATGTATTAGAATTCTCTTTTCCTTTTCTTTGAATTCGGTTTCATACTTTAATTGTATCATTCGTACATAGGCAAATCATGCTCGAGATGACAACTCGCTGATATGGCTGGTGCAAGGAACGAAGCCATCATTTGAATTCCGGCCGACAATGGGGAGGGATGCCCAGGACTAATTCAATGATGATTGATGATGGTATAATAAAAACTGCAGTTTGCATCAGCACCAATTTCTAGGCCTAAGTAAAGTTATTCAACCCAGAATTCTGATTAGCGCTAAAAATTCCCTCACCCAACCTTGATCCTGTTTGACCCACTTCTGAAGAGTCAAGATATATGACTAATCCTCTCCGTTCGTATTTTCTTATTGACTCTTTCTGACCCTTTAGGTTGGGGCGGGTCGGGAAGAATCAAATTAGTAGGTCAGTCCTAATCAAGTGGAATCCCAATCCCTTCACTCTCACTTGCTTTCTCTCTCATTCCACAAGTGGTTAACATACAGTAATCCAGCCAACGGGCCGGGTAATAAACTAGTACTCTACTAAGGAGACATTCCATTTTCATTGGAGGCAACAGGCATCCACATAAAGCATATGCCGAGTATCAGCCAGGGTCTCCAATCTCAGAAAAAAACAATTGGCTACATAACAGCAACAAGCTTGACACGGACAATAGTTGTTTTGCAGGCAAATGTATCCTGGGGAACGGTCTCGGTGACCTAGGAAATAGAATAATAGATCCGAATCACTGACGCAAGTCTGTGCAAGAATCAACATCGCTGAGCTATTCTACCTAGGGATGGCAATGAGTCGGGTTGGGTCGAGTTTTGCCAAATCCAAAGCCAAATCCATGGGTTTATCCGTGAAAAAAACCCGGGGTAAAACCCACTGGGTTTGAAAAACTCAAACCCAACCCAACCCACTGGGTATCCGCGGGTTCATGGGTACCCACGGGTTTTTATCGTAAAAAATTTACTAACAAATTCCTATCAAAATTAAAGTCAAATATCAATCTCCCAATACAAATTATCCATATATAAAACACTATTCTAGAAAATTTAAGCAAATCACAAATTAACTATACAAATTGTTCAACACCAATCTAGAAAATTCAAGAAAATTGAAACAAATCACAAATTATCCATAAATAACATGATTAATTGAAAGCTTCTTCCTTTCAATTAAGTTTTTCACTCTCCACTCGATAACATCAACTTCATACTACATAACTAGAAAGAAAAAATTAGGTATGTCTCCACCAACATAAATAATATTGGTTGTTTAGAATATTAAATATGCCGAAAAAATTAATTATATGGGTATGGGCGGGTACCCATGGGTCGGGTTTACCTAAACCCAAACCCAACCCAACCCGGTGAATAGTGAACGGGTTTAAACCCAAACCCGGCCCAAAACCCGTCAACACAGATTTTACCCATGTTGACCGGATTGGGTCGGGTGGGTACCCGTGGATTCGGGTTTTGTTGCCATCCCTAATTCTACCGCCGAAGACCTTAACACGTAAGCAAGACTCCACGGCGTAAAAATTTCATTGCCTCTGCCAAAATACTTGAGAATAATGCAACTCCAACTGCACCTTATGCTCTCGGTAAGATGAGACGATTCAGTGCCCGAAGAAAGAAAAAAAAAAAAACTGAAACCATCCCTTTAGCAGGCCACTATAAAAGACTTGATACCAGCAAAACAGAGATGAGAAGCAAAAGAATGTGGAAACATCTGAATGCATAACCACCATGAATAAAGGAGACCATGCCAGAATCTCAGCAACCATTTCAATATCGGCAACGTACAGCACTAACGCAATACTGACAAAAAGCGCATCAGAGACTCTAATTTGTTGCCTACCTTCCCTCCCACACGAAATAATTTCAGATATTAGAATAGCAAAGAAAGGCAAAATTAGTCATTAGAGAAATGTAGGAACCATCTGAATGCATGAAGCCCAACAAAACAGTGGCAACCTGCCAGAATCTAGGCACCCATTATTCCTATTGGCAACGTACAGCACTGAATTACTACGAATTGAAAGTAGTCCAGAGACTCTAAATTGTTGCCTAATACCCACTATTATTTCACGAAACAAAACCGCATCCAAAGCAAGAATTAGAACAAGGCTCAGCATATAGAAATTATATTTGCATCAACAAGCTCAAGATTTATGACCGAGCTCTCAAAGTTTGATGGTAAAATTTCAGTCATCACTGCCCTTTCTTTCAAACAATCATTAGATAATGTTCTTGATGAAGAATACGAATGAATGGAAGCGAAATGATTTTGAAAACGAAATCAAATGAGAAGATATTCAAAAACGGCCTCAGAAGCTAAGAAACATCATGAACAAAGATTTTTTTCTCAGATGGTACGGACAACAGCTAGAACGCATCACCGGCCATTGATCCACAGTAATAAAACACAAATCTTTAATTGATCAATTCAGCAAGACAATCAGGACGACGACGACAAGAAGAGAAGCAGGCACGATAAGTTATTCGTAAGGAACACAGTAGCTGCCCGCAAATTGTGGTTTCTCTCAACAAGGAATGAATTCTGCACAGCGGCTGATGCTGGTTAAATAGAGCGGAGTACAAATGATCTGCTGCTGCAGGAAGAAGGGAAAAAACCCTAATAATCCACCCGATCCCAGGCCAGGCTTGGCGCGACCGAATCCCCGCCACAACAAAATTCTTACCCGGCAACTGGATCTGCGCCTACTCTCCCACGTTCAAGGCATATGGGCTGCCCTAAATGCCCAAAATCAAGAATAGCGGCCCACATATGAAGCCCAACAACCGCAAAAAGCTCTGTGGCACTAACGATATGGTCTGATACGGTCATTATTCATGGGTTTATTGCACCACATACCATTTAAATATTGCTTTTGTTGCATGCTAACCACTTTTAACATTTTTTATTTGCAACTAAATCACATAAGTCTACTTTCGGTTGCACCGTCATATTTTCCATCCATAAACTTAACAGTGGGTATCTTATGGTAATTTTCCATGTCATGCGAGCATTCCAGCTCAACTTGGTTGCTGAGTCATATAAGGGGCCACCAAGTTTTCAATGGCCCACATCTGAAGATTTTTTTTCCGAGCACAAAAAGCGGTTGATCATTCCGTCTTCCTTTCCCCTTGCTTCCGACACTATATTTGAAAAAATGATCTCATTCCCAGCCAAATAACAAAGCAAATAAAAGGGTGACATAAATAACACTTGGAGCGCTGCAAGAAATATCCAAGAAATTTTGCTTCGTGGTTTCCTGTACTCAACAAAACATGCAGCTGCATCACTGGTTCATTATTTTCATTCTCCCTCTACAATCGATTGCATGGTTACCTCAAAATTTTTGTTCTTCACTATTTGACTCATGCATATACATTACTAGCTGAATTAGGTTGCTCTTTAAGTATCATGGTTAGGGATTGTCGGTATCAGCTAGGATTAATGATTTTGGTGGAAGCTTTTGTTCGATGAATCATGGATTTTTTTAGCTCCTCTGAGCCGAACTTCGTGTAGGGGATTGTTTTTTCTCTTCTGGCTTCATTGTCGCGGGTTGGAATTTTATAAAATTGAGAGCTGCTGGTTTTTTCCTTTTCTTTTAGTAAGATCAATTTAATCAGCAGATTCTCGAGCTACTAAGTAGTTAAATTCATTAATGTTTGTAATAGTATTATCTCGTAGTTATTTCATGGGTGAAAGCCAGAAGTGTTAGATAATTATAAGCATTGATGTGGTGTGTCACGCGAGCTTTAACAGTGTGTAGTCGTTTGCGAGTTAGTCGTGGTTGCAAAACAGGAATTAGAGGTTAGTAAATTAGATTGTTAGTCGGTTCAGATGCTGTGAGTGTTTTAGTTGGTAGAGTCGAGTTGAGGGTTTGTTAGATCAGTTGGCTATTCTTAAGGGTTGTGAGATTGTGGGGTTAGAGAGTGGGCTAGTTGGAAGCTTTGCTAGATTGTATATATGTTCTGTCTTTCGCTTTCAATAAAAAATCACTTAGTTTGCTTTCTATTGAGTTTAACATATATGTCAAGAACCAGTTGATCCCAATAACTCGAGTTGTTGGGAGAAGTTCAATCGTGGATCATATACCGTTTATTAACAAGAAGTATCTCCAAATCTATAGATAGTGGACGTTTTTGGTGGGTATGATTACTAGTTAATTGACTTAACAATTGTTATATATTATCTTAAAGAAGAACTTTAAATCAACAACTTACCTGTATCCCCCAACGCTGTTTATGAACGTTGGAATGAATGGGGTATATGGACTATGGACTGTACATAAGTTTTCAATCGCAGCAAAAGGAGGGCTGCTGGTGTGGGTGAGATGGGTGGAAAGGAAAAGAAATACCCGAGGAGAGAAGGAATGTTAATGGAGATAAGAGGAGGACAAGAAGGAAAATAGGAAATTTTTTAACCAAGCAGTCAGGACGAGTTGGAATGCTGATTTGGTACTAAAAATTGCAATTTGGTACCTGCCGTTAAGTTTGTGGATGGAAAATGCGACGGTGCAACCATAAATCGACGTTTGTGGTTTAGTTGCAACTAAAAAGATATAAGTGGTTAGTATACAACGATAGTAATATTTAAGTGGTATTTGATGCAATTAACCCTTATTCATGCATATGGATGACATTGACAACAATTCTCCTCCAATTTATATATTGCACTTTTTTTACAAAAGATAATCTTATATTGATTCAAAAAATAGATAGCTACATCCTGGAATTCAGCCAGGCCTCAAAATCAAAGAATTGACTCATAGCCGGGTACAACGAGAGGGCTTTACGAGCCACCATATGGGCTACCCTGTTACTACGCCGACCTACAAATCTAACACGAAACCTAGTACTGCTGTTAAAATATGGCATAAGCTCCTCCAGAACAGCTCCAACTTGGTTATCCCTGGTATCCGCCTGATTGATTTTATCAATAAGCACCTTAGCATCACCTTCAAACATCACCGCCGAAAGGCCAACTGACAAGCACCATAAGACTGCCTCCCGGAGGACAAGCAGCTCGACCACCATGGGGTCCTCGACTCCAGGAAACTGAACTCCTCTCGCCAGCCAAACCTCCCTCTTCGGAGATAAAAGGACCATCCCACCAGCTGAATGCGGCCCCCTCCTCACTGCCCCATCCCACATACAAACAACTTTATCCTCCCCCGCGCGGACCTAGATGAGGCACCCTAGGAGGATCTACCACCGGGGGAACGGGCTTGGGGATCCTATCCATAGGAAACTGAACCCACTCCTCATACTGCTGATGGAACTGGTGCATCAAGGAGGGGAAACCGAACTGCTTGCCTTCATAGACAACCCAGTTCCGTGAACGCCATATCCGCCAAAGGACAGCCACCACCGCTATAAAGAGAGAAGGCTGGTGGAGCAGAGCCAGAAACCTCTTGAGGAACATAGGGAAGGTATGTCGAGGGAGCCCCTCTCCCAGATATCCTAGGCCAGAATAATCCCAAAGGGCACGAGCCACTTGACATTCTAAGAACAAATGCTCCATTGTTTCGGTACTAGCCCAACAAACCGGACATCTGGGGTGCACCGGGACACGCTTTTCAATAAGCGCCTCAATTGTAGGCAAGATGCGCTGGAGAATGTGCCAGACAAAGATTTTAAGTTTTGGAGGGATGTTTGCATCCCACAAACGAACCCAGTCTTCCTTATCCATCCAACCAACCACCGATCGCCAACCACCCTTCCTCCTATCAACGTCAACAGCAAAATGGTAAGCAGATTTGACCGTGAAAACTCCATCCGTCGTACCATGCCAGATTAACTTATCCGCTACATTCTGCCTCGGAAGGGGGATAGCTTTAATGGCCTTACAGGTAGGCGGATCAAACCATTGACTTAACTTACGATCATCCCAACATCCCTCACCTGGACACAGGATCTCCGCAACAGGTGCCCCCCCCCCCCTGGTAGGACCCGAGGATTATAACAAGGGGGATCCATCTGGAGTCGAGGAATCCATTTTGAGTTGAGCAAAGACACAGTTTGGCCATTTCCAATTTGCCATCTCAAACCCTTTATCAGTAATTCCCTACCAAAGAGGATGCTTTGCCAACCCCATGAAGGGCGGGAGCGAGCCGAGGCCTTCATAAAAGAGCTAGTGGGGAAATACTTGCCTTTATATACCTGTGCCAATAGGGATTGAGGCTCCATAAGGATACGCCATCCAATCTTAGCAAGCAGAGCCTGATTAAACTGTTCGAACCGACGAAACCCTAACCCCCCATCATGCTTACTCCGGCATAAATTACGCCATGACACCCACCGGATCCGAAAATGGTCCTAAGCATCACCCCACCAAAACCGGGCCATATGCCGATCCAAGAGCCGACATAGTGAAAGCGGAAGCTTAAAACAGGACATTACATGCAATGGTAATGCCATAGCAACCGATTTAAGCAAGGTTTCTTTAGCAGCCCATGACAAGGTCCTCCGTTTCCAACCCTGGAGACGTTCTAGCAATTTCTCTTCCAGATACCTAAAAGTGGCCATCTTGGACCGAGCAATAAGAGTCGGTAGACCTAGGTATTTATAATGGACCCCAACCGCTCCCACCCCCAATATCGATTCCAAGAATTCCTGGTCAGCCCGGACTATATTCTTACTGAAATAGACAGCAGATTTAGCCAAATTCACCCGCTGGCCACTCAGCTCCTCATATTCATTTAGGACCTCAATCAAATTTTCACACTCCCGGAGAGTACCTCGCAGAAATAAGTACGAATCATCCGCAAAGAACATGTGCGAGATTTGGGGGGCGCGAGGAGCCACCTTAACCCCCTCCAGTCATTTTTCCGAAATAGCCTTTCGAAGGAGCGCAGCAAAACCCTCAGTGCACAGCACAAACAAAAGAGGGGAGAGCGTGTCCCCTTGCCTTAACCCCCTAGAAGGAGTAAAATACCCTGAAGGAGTCTCATTCATAAGAACCAAGAAAGACGAGGATCGGAGACACTCCCGAATCCAACCTTGCCAAAGCGAGTTAAAACCCATCTTATCCAAGACAGCAAGGAGAAAAGGCCATTCGACTCTATCATAGGCCTTTTCCATGTCAACCTTTAGAGCCATGTACCCTTTCTTACCTCGCGTCTTTATTTTCAGGTAATGCATTAACTCATGACCTAGGAGTATATTCTCAACAATCTGTCGTTCACGGACGAACGCATTTTGTCCCTCAGAGATAATATTCGGCAATACGCAGGCAAGACGCTCTGTCATAATTTTGGTAATAATTTTATAGACGAATTGGCATAAGCTAATTGGCCGCATCTGCCGTATAGATTCCACATTATCGACCTTGGGTATCAACGTGAGCCACGTATGGTGAGCATCTGACTCGTGGCAAAGAAAGAGCACACCGCCGCAACTACCGACTCGCCCACAACATCCCAAAAGGCCTTAAAAAATTTACGCGTGAAACCATCAGACCCAGGTGCCTGTTTGGACCCCATATCAAACACCATTTTACGCACCTCGGAGGGGAGAACTTCAGTCGTAAGACTGGCATTCATCTCTGGGGTAACACTACGAGCAATAGGCAAAGTTGCCACCTGCTCAGCCATGTTACCCACCTGATTCTCCGTAGTAAAAAGGTGTTGGTATAAGGAGGAGGCAATCCCAGCTTTCCCAGCTTCATCAGTAATCCACTCTCCATCCTCATTATGGAGGCCAGCCACAAAATTTCGCTTACGGCGAGTCCTAGTCACTGTATGAAAGTACGAAGTATTTTTATCCCCTTTTTCAACCAGTGAACCCTGGACTTCTGCTGCCAATAAATTTCCTCCGCTTCCCATTGCCGTGTCAACTCGACCTCCAATCCCCGCACCATATCCCAATCAATCGGCTAAACTAGCTTAATTCGATCAATTTCACTTTGAATGGTTAGAATACTCCACAGGGAATTAGTAGTACCTGCCCTACTCCAGTCATATAAGAGATGACGAAGTTTCTTAAGGCGCTCCCATAAGCAGAACATAGGGGTTCCCTGGATATCCTCCTTCCAAAAATAAACCACCATCGCCCTAACTTCAGGATTATCCGCCCAGCGGGCATCAAAACGGAAGAGAGGTCGTCTATTTCGAGCATAAGGCCTATCTGACAGGAGGAGAGCTCTATGATCAGAACCTTGGTCCGTAAAGTGTTTGACCATGGTTTCGGGAAATCGATCAATCCAGAGCTGGGAGCACAGAGCTCTATCCAATCGTTCACGAATGCAGGCACTACCCATTCTCTTGTTTGTCCAAGTGAAAAGGTCACCTTGGAACCCTGGGTCATGTAGACCCAAGTCATGGATAAAGTCACGTAAACTAGCCGAATTATTAGCATTCCAGGGATTGCCACCATCCTTTTCACTCGCAGTGAGAATAGTATTAAAATCACCAATAACCACATAAGGGAGGTGGAAAGTGGAACAAAGTTCCCGGAGATGCGCCAATTGGGCGGCTCTATTAGTGGCAGAACAACTTATATAAACACAGATCACAATATAAGAAAAATTCACTTCATTAATTTGGGAGCAAATACAGAAGTTGGACGAATAAAAAACCGAAACATGAACTTCTGGAGCCCAAGAAAACACTAAGCCCCCAGAAGCATCAATAGCTTCAATAAAAAAACACTGAGAAGAATCAAAGCCAAGTCCCCGCATACGACGGGAGACAACACGCCGGCTAGACCGCGTTTCCGAAAAAAACACAAGTTCTGGTTTATTCGAGTGGACCAACCCCACAACCGTTTGGAACGTGAGAGACGGCCCAATGCCCCTCACATTCCAGGCTAATAGCCTCATTTATCTGGTTGGGGCCATTCTAGGCTGGCTTCCTCCACCTTCTCAAGAGTATCAGCGATTTCCACAAACTGTTTCTTTGGCGTTGGTGGGTCACCCACCTCCCCTCAATTTCCTCCAAAGGCCGTTAATTCAACCCTGAGGGTGGGTTGGCCATATTGGAACCATACTCATCTAGTATCCCAGCAGCCAGCCCAGCAGGGCTATTATCTCTAGAATCGACTATAACTCCTGTGACTCTGGTTAGCGGCGGAGCTACTATCTCATCAGTGATGGTCAAGCCCGCTTCAAACGCTGCCACCACTTGGCTCACTCGACCTTTGGGGGGAGGACCATTCTTTTGCAATGCAGCCGATGGGGTTCTCTTCTTTATCACAAAGCAATGAGATTCCTCACCCGACAAGGATTCCTCCGACCCATTATCCACCACCGCTTTTGGCTCCACACCACCATTTGGAATATGGTGGCTAGCTATATCCGGATTCGCCATTTCCTGAGTACCACAAGTAGAATCTTCGAGAAGCACCCCTGCATGCGAGGAGGCCCCGGGCTCATGGGACTTATGTTCCACCCGAGGTTTAGCTTTCCTTAACTTCCGATTGCCACGCGAGGACGCTATCTGGGGCTCAACAGGGCCCGCGTCAGCAGCTAGCTCCGCACGAAAAGCACCCTCCTCCAACACTTTGGGAATCGACTGCTTTTTGGTGCGCCGGGGTCTCCTCTTCCCCGAGTGGTCCACCCCAGCAGCCTTCGGACGAGGCAGACTCGCCGGCTCTGCCAAGACCTCCTTCTGCATGGGCTGCTGGATGGGGGCCTTAGCATCCGGCTGTACCACATCCATCATGTCGTCATCAGAATCTTCTTTAAGTAAAAGTCTTCGCCGCCGCGTCTATTCATGGATCACGGCGGATTAATCCCCGCTCGACTACGGAACCGGGGCCATCCGAGCTGCTGAATCATGTTGGGACTGGGTCGTCGAAACAATAGCAGGGGGATCCAGCACAGCCCCACCATTTTTTGTCCCCGACTGGTTCGGCCGCCCCTGTCCAAGTGGAATCTTAGGAGGGCGATTGAGGACGATGCCGCGCGGACTTTCCCGGCGGGATGGTGAGTTCCCCAGCCCCTTCGCCTGGTACTGCAACGGTTTGTCCCGAGACACCGACCCCTTCGAAGGTTGGGAGGGAGCTGCCTGCTCCATCCTCCCCGAGGTCAGGGTGTGAGTTCGACCCCCCAATTCTCCTCTACCGGCAGCCGTAGGGTTACGCGGTTGACGATTTATCCAGACCGATCTCCTGGACCCTCCATAAAGAAGGGAAGCACCATCTTCCTCATAGAGTTTTCTTCCAAGCTTCTTAGTTGCCATATGCGGGCCTAACCGCTCTTTCACATGGGGTGGTTCAAAGACACAATCACGTCTCCCATGGCCAACTCGGCCGCAGTGGAAGCAAAATCTTGGTAGGAACTCGTTGTTTAGGCTAACCCAGAAGCTATCGACATCCTCACTAACCGCCATTAACTGCGATCGGAGAGGTTTGGAGAAGTCAACAATAGTGTTGACTTTTATAAAATGCGCCCCGGTGTCTTTGCAAGCAAAAACTTCTGATTCCAGAACTTTACCAATCGTCGCAGCTACAATTTTCTGTCCAAAAATTTTGGTACAGCAATCCTCCTGTACTCCCCAGAACTGGATCTGAAACGGTGCTTTAGACATCTCCTTAAAGGTTCCTTGGGAGATAACAGGAGCCCAAGGACGAAGAATAAGCAATCGATCATTGATGATCCATGGGTTTCGAGATAGAGCCCATTTTTTTGCTTCCTCGTTAGGGAGGACGATCTCGAATAGCCCATGCTTCACTTTCAAAACTTTGAGGAATCCACGGATCTTCCAGGCCTCCAGCAGGCCCTCGCGCAGTTCCATAGTGGTGATTTGATCATTGGTGAATAGACGACCAATGAGGGATCGCGAAGCTCGAAATTTGTTCGATTGCACCTCCTCAAGGAAGAATTGGACCACTTGATCTTCTGCTACATGAGCCAACGTGCACAACACCTGACAAGTAGGCAGTGAACTCATGTTAAAATCAGTCGACATACACCCTAGCTTCTCTTCTGCCGAGGTTGTACCATGCATGGGAGGAACGTAACGAGATTTCATGACAGGTGCATTTTTATAAATAATAGTGTGAATAGAAGGAGGAGGCAGGGGAGGATTTAAATGACCCAATATACCTGAGCAGCTTTGGGATGAAAGCACAATGGGAAGAGCACCAATAGCAATAGGCTCTCTCGTGCGTCGAAGCTTATGATTAGGTGAACTAATCAGCCCAGGTAAGGAGGGTATATATAAAGGCCCTGAGCCTCGGTGACACCCAACTCTCAGCGACACGTTTTTAGCCAGAGTTTGAATACAAGTAGGATTAGGATTTTCGCACGGTTTGGATTCCCGAACTGATTTTTCCCGTTGGATTTTGTTACATCGATAACCTCCTACCACTCCCAAGAAAATCGGCCGGTATAATCTCAATCCAATAACCAAAGTATCATTATCCCCCATATCACGGGATTGAGGGGATACGGCACACGTGATTGTGCACGAGGGTTCGGCGGCCGACCCTCCAGTGGCAGCTGCCGGAGAATCTCGCAATGGCCGGTGAATCACCAATGACCGAATTTCCGCCGCTTCCAAGACATAGTCTCGAACGCCCTGTCCAAGCTGAACGTCAGCTCTCCACAGGGGACTACTGCCCCCATCCATACACTCATCGGGTTTGGATAACATCGATTCATCAGCTACCAGATCTGATGATGGAGGGAGCCAGAATCTCCATTCTCTTATTCGAGTAACTCTGTGTTTTTTCACAAGTTTAGGGTTTAATAAATAATTATCACTCGAGGGATTCAGATCCTCTCGTAGCAGTGCTCTTTTTCGTTTACTGAATCCCCCATTAGGGCAGCGATCCTTTTGATGGGGGAAAGGAGTGGCCAAAGGTTTTTTACTCTCCGTCCATCTCATCCCGCCTTTCACCTCACTGCCATGAACGATTCCGCCGACGCAAATACCCCCAGTCGGGTTTATCCAATCTCTATTTTGGTTCCGCAAGCTGGTTAGGAAGAAGGAGGAAAAGAACTTCAGTAGATAGCCCCGAAGCCAGTTTTGGATTGGGTTCCAGGTCACTTAGAAGTTTTTAAAACTTAAGGGGTCGTTTGGATGGATTAAAGTGATGAGTCACTGCCATGAACGATTCCGCCGACGCAAATACCCCCAGTCGGGTTTATCCAATCTCTATTTTGGTTCCGCAAGCTGGTCAGGAAGAAGGAGGAAAGGAACTTCAGTAGATAGCCCCGAAGCAAGGTTTGGATTGGGTTCCAGGTCACTTAGAAGTTTTTAAAACTTAAGGGGTCGTTTGGATGTATTAAAGTGATGAGTCAATGTGCTCCAATCGACTCAAAATGAGACAATTCTACCAAATTATCCCATTTGGCTGCAAAAAGTAAGAATGAGGCAATTGGACATGAGGCAATTGAAATTGCTTCATTTTGGGTCAATGTCAATTACTTGGGTGGGAGGGAGGTAATCTACATTACTCCATTTTGTGGGTCACTTTTCCCAATATGATCCCTTTTAATTAATTTCTTTTTTCTTTCTTTCTTTCTCAAGATGGAGAAGAGTAAATGAATGAAGGCAAATATGTATTTTAATAAATTGCCTCACACAATTGTCTCATGCCAAATCACAAGCCAAACAAGAGAATTATGTAAACATTTCCTCATACAATTAGCTCATTTTCTAAAATGAGACTTTTGTCTCAAATTATCTCATTTTGAGAATGTTCTATCCAAATGACCCCTAAGTGTATATTATCTTTGAATATTCATATGAGTAGATGGGTTCAATCGTTATCGACACCCAAATATTGAGATATTCATCAACTTTAATATACTAAGATGAAAATTCAATCGTCACGACATTTTCATTTATGTTGAAATTTTGTTGGAAAAATGTTGTAATTTTAGTGGATTCTTAGAATACACTAAAATGGAGGAGGAATGTTGGGAATTTGGTTGAATCAGACTAACCAAGTCAAATCGGTTTTGGGTTGGACTCACCAAGCGGTTTGGGATCAGACCGACCAAATCAAATATTTTAAATCCATGAAGGAACACGTCCATTTGATTTAGTCGTGGTTGCATGAAACAATGGTAGTTGAAATTTTGCACAGTTTGTACTCTAATAATTAAGTGGCCTAAATGTCACTATATAATTGATTAGCTGAAACGGTTGCATGAAGCAATGTCATTTTGAATTTGAACCCCATTGTAAATATGTTCTCCACGTGACGCCTTTACCATGCATGGACTAATTTCTTCCAATTTTGTGATTCAATACAATTCTTCATGTAGATGTTATATGATGATAATGGTAACGTTTGGAATTGGCAGTTACCTGCCAAAACCACTAATGAAGCGATGCAATGCATTGATATAGTGTTTCATTCACTATAAGTATGAGGCATATGGAGAACGGCACAAACACACCAAAATTCATTCTACCTATGAAACTTCTAGAGGGTCGTTTGGATGAAGGTTTTTTTAAATGATGGATTTAAACACAAATAGCTCATTTAAAAACCCAAGAAATTAAAACACGAAAATTGGGCTCGGCCACCCGAGGGTGGAACCCAGGCGAATACTTCCCCAAATTCCCGGAGTAACGTGACGAGGGACTGGAGTGACTCTCGCGGCCAGGCGGTCGATATGCGAACTGTGTGCTCATCAACGAGTGAGAACTCCTCGTCGTCATCAACAGGAACTGGGCGGGCAACTTTCTCTCGGGCGTCGTTCGCGACAATCGCCTTTTTCTCATGGGATAGAGCGCAACATTGTCGTGCTAGAGCTTGATCCCCTTGCACACACCCAACACCGGCTTTAGTGGGAAATTTAAGACGGAGATGGAAAGTTGAGGGGATAGCCTGAAGTTGATGGAGAAAAGGTCGACCGAGAATACAATTGTACGCCGAAGGACAATCAACTACATGAAAGTTGACGATGGTTTCAGCGGTATGTTCACCACTCCCAATCTGAACACGAAGTGGTAGGGTGCCGATCAATGGAACCTGATCTGGAGAACCCCGTCAGGAAGATCTCTGTCGGTCGACACTATTCAGGGCGGTATCCAAGGATAGGTAGTCAGGGTAGAAGAGTAGGTCCGTCGAGCTTCCCCCATCCTCCAAGATTCTATTGACCTCGTAATCGGCTATTGTTGCCTTTATTACCAATGGGTGATCGTGTGAGTGCGCAACTCCTTCTAAATCATGAGAGTCAAATGAGATTGGAGGAGTGGCTGTTGTTGTTGAGGTGGAGCCCATCATGGCTTGGGCATTCGTCGGAGATTTAGCTTGTAAGCCCTCGAGGCCGGCTCCCCCATGAATGACATCGACGACCCCTCGAACAACGATGCTCTAAAGATTTTTGCCTCGATCGGTGGGCGAGAGCTCTCGGGAGCATTTTGTTGAGCCTTCAACGTATTTCTTGAGATGTCGTTTTTGAAAAAAGATCTTCTATGGAATTCTTTAGAGTCCAACAACGCTCTATATCGTGACCATAACCTCGGTGGAAATCGCAATACTTGTTCTTCCCTTTTCGTGGTTCCTTGGTTATTGGAGCTGGCTACACGATCGAGATTTTCTTATCTTGGATTATTTGCAAAATGGTTTTGCGTGGTTCCGTGAGGGGAGTCAAAGGACATTCTCCTTTGGGTTCAACTCCTTACCGACGGGCATCTCGATGACCTCCCTTATCTGAGGGCGGCGACGAATGACCACATGGGTGCTCACGAGCTCGGGGTGAGTCTACCCTCAATCGGAGATCAATTGGCGACTCGGGAGAAGAAACTCGGGTATGACCTGAAGAGGAATGGATTTCGACCTCATTTAATGGACAAAGAATCATGTAATCTAGGCATGTAAAGAAAAAGGACAAGACTACGAGTGTCTGGGATCAAATGGCAACTGATTAGGAGCTCGGATGAGGGAGGTATGACTGAAAGACAGCAGCCTCTCCAGAGTTACGGGCTGGCCTTCATAGTTACCGCCAGCACCGTAACTCGGGCATTTGGGTCGTAACTCGAGGCCACAGGAGGCAGAATCATTTCATAAGTTACGGGCTGAGCCATAACTTGGGACCGTAACTTTTCTTCTAAGAGTTGTATAAATGTGTTTTTGCGGATTCTGAAGAGGCAGAGTTGGGTTTTTGGATCCCAAACACCCAAGGGACGAACCAAATAGTGAGAGGACAATTTGAGGGCGTTTTTGGAGCCTTGGAAGCTCGAGGAACAAGCCCGGACTTGAAGATTGATCATCTGAAGATTCTTACTGTCTCTCTTCTCTATGGAGTATTAACTTCCCTTCACTTAGGTTTTGAGGAACCCTAGCCATGTTTGTTTGATTGGATGATTGTATGAGTACTCCTACTTGATAATATTGAGTTCATATTCAATCTATGCATGTTTTCATGATTCAATTCTGCTTTAGTCGAGATTATTGATTCTGCTTTGATCCTATGAGAGCGAATAACCGATTAGGTCAATAGAGCACCATAGATTGATAGTATTGGATCGACTGCTTTAGTCGAGGGTTGATTCACTACTTTGTATCGATTGAGAACCTCATTCGATAGAGGGAATCTTGTTCAGAACGCCTTGATCGGTTGTTCTAGATAAGGATACGTTCCTCTAGGCAATTGTCTCAAGAGGGACTTAATCCTTTAGTCGAGACTCAAGGTCTAGTTAAGGATTCTCCGCATTGTGAATGAAAGTGAAACAAGTTAGAGATCATCAATCATTAATCTGGCTAGCGGCTAGGGGGATCATACCTAAATGAGTTTCCTACCTGTAATTAGATTAACTTTAACCGTAGTTTGCTAGAGTAGTTTTAGTTGTTCTATCTTAATCTGGTTTGCTAGATAATGAACTGAAGCTGAGTAATAGTAACTTAAGAGACCCATGGATTCAATATTTATTACTTGAGCCACTATACTGCAGTCCCTTTCATTGGTTACACTTGACCTTTGTTAGGAGTTGTGTTTTAGCGAGTCAAGTTTTTGGCGCCATTGCCGAGGACTTTCTAGATTATTAGGAAAGGCATAAGTTTTTTACTTTAGCGTTTTTTCTTTTCTTTACCACCCTTGCTTTTCACTTGGGTGTTTTTGTTGGTGCAGATCTGAATCATGGATCCTCATGGCTTCTCCAACCATTGGGGGTATCCACCACCATCCGAGTGGTGTTACCCCGAACTTCCTGGAGAAATCAAGGAGGAGAAGACCATGGATTCGGGTTCCAGTACCAACCCCCTTACTACGGAGAACAATCAGACCCCTCGGCATATCAAGAACAACCTCCTTATCAAGAAGAATTTCTCCCACAACCAGAAGGGCCATCGGAGCTGGAGTTAGCCATGGTGGCCTTCGCGGGCCATTATGCAGAGCCATGCTACACTCCATGACCAGATCCAAACTTTGAATTGAGGCTTCTCGTGGAGCAGTGATAACATTGGATTTGCACATGTTTGCACCCTCGTTTCTTGATCATTTTGGCTTGATTTTCTGCTTTCTTGGACTATTTTACGCTAGGTTGTGTTCCTTTGTCACATTTCAGGTCCTAGCATGTGAATTGAAGCATAGGCGCAAGTTTCAAGTCAATCGGAGATCATTCGGCAATTCGGGAGAAGAAACACGAGCATGACCTGAGGAATAATGGACTTCTACATCATATTATGGACAAATAATCATGTAATTTTGTCATTAAAAGAAAGAGGACGAGACTACGAGCATCTGGGATCAAACGGCGACTGATTCGGAGTCCGGACGAGGGAGAAACAAAGCATTAAACAGAGGCAAAGCATTAAACACAGGCACGACCCACACGGCCGTGTGAACTGGCCATGTGGCCGTGTGAAAATCACCAAGCACTCACACGGGCATCTGGGAAAGTCACACGGCCGTGTGGCCTGGCCGTGTGATCGGGAATTTCTGTTTAAAACCCGATTTTCAGCAAAAGGAAAGGGGAGAGCTGGGTTTTGGTTCCCAAACACCCAAGGGACATTCTCTTCACCATTTTGGAGGATTTTGGAGGATTTCTTCGCCATTGGAGCTCGGGAATCAAGCTTGGAGATGGAGATTGAAGATCTAGATCAGATTTTTGCAGTCTCTCTCTTTTCTATGGAGTAACTTCCCTTCACTTAGGTTTTGAGGAACCCTAGTTCCATGTGTTAGGATCTTTCTTGTATGAAGTTTTGGGTGCTATATTGTTTGATTATAAATGATTGAGGCATGATTTATTGAGTCAATTGAATCTTGATCAAATTCTCTTGATTTCTGCTTTAACCTATGATAGATAGAATCTGATGAGGTTAAGAGAGCTTCCTTGATTGATAGTGGTGAATTGGTTGTGCGAGAGTCAATCAATTCACTGCTTTGTACTGGAATTCATTCCAGTAGTGGAGTTCTGTGTTCATAGCCTCAACTTTCTATCCTGGTGAAGACTAGTCGTCTACCGGGTAGTTGGACTGAGAGGGCTTGGTCAGCTTAAGAGATTCCAAGCTAATTTAGGATCTTCCGCAGTTTAATCAACAGTAGATCAACCAAAGTTAATTGCAACTTGGACCTAATTGAGGATCTAGGGGGAATCATACCTAAGTGAGTTCCCAACTTGTAATTAGTAGAGTAGTCAGTAGAATAGTTTATAAATCAATCCTTAATCTAGTTTGCTAGATAATGAACTGAAGCTGAGTAATAGTAACTCTAGAGACCCGTGGATTCGATATTTATTACTTGTGCCACTATACTGCAGTCCCTTTCATTGGTTACACTTGGCCATTGTTAGGTGTTGTGTTTTAGCGTGTCAAGTCTTTGGCGCCGTTGCCGGGGACTTTCTAGATTATTAGGAAAGGCAGAAGTTTGTTACTTTAGCATTTTTCTTTTCTTTTCCACCCTTGATTTTCACTTGGGTGTTTTTTATTTTTGTTGGTGCAGATATGAATCATGGATCCTCATGGCTTCTCCAACCATTGGGGGTATCCACCACCATCCGAGTGGTATTACCCCGAGACTCCCTAGAGCAATCAAGGAGGAGAAGACTCTGGATTCGGGTTCCAGTACCAACCCCCTTACTACGGAGAACAATCAGACCCCTGGGCATATCAAGAACAACCTCATTACCAAGAAGACTTTCTCCCACAACCAAAAGGGCCATCAGAGCTGGAGTTAGCCATAGAGGCCTTCACGGGCCACTCTACAGAGCCATGCTACACTTCACTGGAAGATCCGAACAAACAATTAAGGCTTCTCGTGGAGCAATTTGCTCGAGACACTGAGAGATCATGCTCCAAGATGGATCTTCAAATCAAAGCCCTTGCCCCTTCCGATCCCTCATTTCTCCATGAAATGGAGGAGACTGTTCAGCGCTCCGCGAAGCAAACAGAGTGGGTGGAGCAAGTTTGCTCACATCTTGCTCAAGATCACCTTTCTGCTACCACGCTAGAAGAGGTGGAGGATGACAAAGGCTACGGGGATGTTGAGGAGCATACAGAAGTTATCACAGAGAACTCCCATGATAACCATGATCAGGAAAGTCCTCTGGTTGCAGATCACACATTTCCTTATTTCTGCTCTAACATGTTGGGCCCGAGCAAGGAGATGCAAGATGATCTCATTGAAGAAATTACATGGCAACTTGCTCTCCAATCTGTGCTAGAAGAAGAAGAGCAAGAAAGGGTGCAGAAAGAAGTTGTGGAGGATGACAAAAGTGAAGCAGGAGGAGTTCTTGATCATTTCCCAGGGGTGATACCACATGAAGAAGAAAGGGGGGTTGAAGAAGCAATTGGCGTCCAGGCTGAGGACGGAGTTAAGGTGGAAGAGGCCTGCACAGGCCATGAGTTACATGTGATATCTCCACCAAACTTCGAGGAGCTGCTTGGCAAGGACCCATTTGCAGTGTCTCTTTGCCAGACCAAGGCCACGTCGACATCAGTCCCCCTTGGTGGAAGCGATGGTGGCCAATCGATGCTGTCATATCTGGTTTGGGGCAATGGGACGAGAGAAGAGAAGAAGAGGTCTCGAGGATGGAGACTTCATCTGCATCAAGTGCACAAGCTTCCATCACCAGTCATACCACATGCTCGTGACTTGCGACTCCACCTCATTGACGAGAACTTCAACTTCAAGGAGGTTCTAGCATGGACCGAAACTTAGAAGCCATCGTCCGGGGCACGACGTGAAAGAAGCGCTTGTTGGGAGGCAACCCAACCAGTCGGTTTGCATTTCTTTCTCTATTTCTCCTCGGTTGAGTCAGTTTTGTTATTTGATTTTAGAGTCAATAACTCAACCTTTGTGAGATTTTGTGTGGTGTTTGTGTTCTGATTTCTCTCTCTTTCTGGAATGCACCGCCTGACTCGTCCATCATCATTCACCCTTGATCTGGCAACTTCGTTCTACCCTCCTTATCTTTCCTCCATTGAGGACAATGTCGTGCTTAAGTGTGGGGGGGGGGGGGGGTTTATTATGTATGCGGGTGAATGTTTGGCTGTTTGTGTGCTTGGAGCCTAGTCCACTGTCCAAATTTGAGATTTGAGGGCTCCAAGTACTGTTGTTTGCTTGATCATATTGGCACTGTGGTTTTAATTGGTGAATTGAATGGCTTTCGACTTAATGCATGACAACTGAGGTGTGACTAGGACAACCTATAATGATGACTGAGACGTGTAGTAGAATTGTGTAGGGGTTTGGTTTTTCAGCTGTTTGCTTACCAACTGTGACTTGGATTGATCACTTGTTTTTGACAGTCTCTTATACATCTAGTTCAGGGAATCAGAATGAGAGATAGAGCATATAGGTAGCCATGTGAGATTTGAGCCTGCTCATTTCTTTCTTGTGCGATAGTTCCCTCTTCCATGATGTGTAGCATTCACGTTGTCATTAGCTAAGATGATGGAGGCATAGGATTAGCCACGACCAAATTGACTGTCCTGATGTGTCATATCCTCTAGTCAGCCCCTTTGAGCAGTGTGTTATCCTTTCTTTCAGTCTACAATGAAAAATCACCCTTTTGCATCTTTTAGAAGGTTCCACAGAGTGGTTTTTACATGTTCTCTGCTGTTTCTACTTAATATAATGTGAGGGTTGGAGGTAGTGCTTAAAAGTTGGGCATATGTTTGAAATATGTGCAGAGGTGGTGGTTCTCTTAAGGAATGAAAAAGAGAATGAGAAAAAAAAAATGAAAGCAAAAGAGAGCCACCACCAAAAATCTGAATAGTGCCCATTAAGTAGTGTTTCTTAGCAGTCTGGCTTGGAAATACTAGCATTTATGTGACCTCCTTCGCTCTTGTGCTCTGAAGAATTTGAGTAATGCAGAATAGCAGAAAGACAGTACTGGTTTGATTGACTGTGAGTTTGTTGGGTTTGGAACTGTGGAATCTTGTGCTATGAATACTTCCACCACCTAAAAGGCCTTTTCCCCATGTCCAAGACCCTAGCCAGTCATTTGAACCTGTGTCTAAGACCTCCGGATTGGTTAGTGATGACAACCATTTATGTGAACTCTAACATTTAGAGAATAAGTATGCACATTTTTCGCATCAAATTGTCCTGACCCCACTGGTCGAGAGTGAGCGATTCATTTTCTTGTTCTTTACACTCTTTACCCGGTGAGGACCTAGATGGCTCGGTCTTGATTCTGATGTCTTGAGTTTTGTGCATGAGGTGACTGTCTTGAGTAAGTGGTTGAGTCAAGTCTATGTTGATTGATGAACAGAAGGGAGACTCCTCCTTTACTCGATTTTGCTGCACTCGAATGTCCTCTGTGGTGGTTGTCCAGGTTGCGGTTGAAGTTGTTCATGTGTTGATGTTTGAAAGCCGGTGTGATTCCCATGTTTTGTGCCTATATGATTTGTCCCCAATGTTGGTATGATTGAAATTGTGAGCTTACCTTGTGTCTGACTTGGTTTGCCTGGGGACAAGCAAACGGTTAAGTGTGGGGGAGTTTGATAACATCGGATTTGCACATGTTTGCACCCTCGTTTCTTGATCATTTTAGCTTGAGTTTCTGCTTTCTTGGACTATTTTACGCTAGGTTGTGTTCCTTTGTCACATTTCAGGTCCTAGCATGTGAATTGAAGCATAGGCGCAAGTTTCAAGTCAATCGGAGATCATTCGGCAATTTGGGAGAAGAAACACGAGCATGACCTGAGGAATAATGGACTTCTACCTCATATTATGGACAAATAATCATGGAATTTTATCATGAAAAGAAAGAGGACGAGACTACCAGCGTCTGGGATCAAACGGCGACTGATTCGGAGTCCGGACGAGGGAGAAACAAAGCATTAAACAGAGGCTGAGCAAGCCACACGGGCACGACCCACACGGCCGTGTGAACTGGCCATGTGGCCGTGTGGAAATCACCGAGCACTCACACGGGCATCTGGGAAAGTCACACGGCAGTGTGATCGGGAATTTCTGTTTAAAACCCGATTTTCAGCAAAAGGAAAGGGGAGAGCTGGGTTTTGGTTCCCAAACACCCAAGGGACGAACCCTAGAGAGAGAGCGACCTGGGAACATTCTTGGAGCTATTTTGGAGGATTTCTTCGCCATTGGAGCTCGGGAATCAAGCTTGGAGATGGAGATTGAAGATCTAGATCAGATTTCTGCAGTCTCTCTCTTCTCTATGGAGTAACTTCCCTTCACTTAGGTTTTGAGGAACCCTAGTTCCATGTGTTAGGATCTTTCTTGTATGAAGTTTTGGGTGCTATATTGTTTGATTATAAATGATTGAGGCATGATTTATTGAGTCAATTGAATCTTGATCAAATTCTCTTGATTTCTGCTTTAACCTATGATAGATAGAATCTGATGAGGTTAAGAGAGCTTCCTTGATTGATAGTGGTGAATTGGTTGTGCGAGAGTCAATCAATTCACTGCTTTGTACTGGAATTCATTCCAGTAGTGGAGTTCGGTGTTCATAGCCTCAGCTTTCTATCCTGGTGAAGACTAGTCGTCTGCCGGGTAGTTGGACTGAGAGGGCTTGGTCAGCTTAAGAGATTCCAAGCTAATTTAGGATCTTCCGCAGTTTAATCAATAGTAGATCAACCAAAGTTAATTGCAACTTGGACCTAATTGAGGATCTAGGGGGAATCATACCTAAGTGAGTTCCCAACTTGTAATTAGTAGAGTAGTCAGTAGAATAGTTTATAAATCAATCCTTAATCTAGTTTGCTAGATAATGAACTGAAGCTGAGTAATAGTAACTCTAGAGACCCGTGGATTCGATATTTATTACTTGTGCCACTATACTGCAGTCCCTTTCATTGGTTACACTTGGCCATTGTTAGGTGTTGTGTTTTAGCGTGTCAAGCAGTTTTCTCGAGACACTGGGAGATCATACTCCAAGATGGATCTTTTTACCCAGGCTTATCGTGAAACATATGAGATCCTCCTGAGCATTAAGAAGAGCCTTGAGGATCTTGAGAAATCTTATGCACAGTCTGCTCAAGATCACCCTTCTACTACTATACTAGAAGAGGAGGAGGAATACGAAGGATACGAAGACATTGTGGAGCATACAGAAGTTGTCACGGAGAGCTCCCGTGATGATCATGATCAGGAATGTCCTGTCGTAGCCGACCACACCTTCCCACATCCCACACTGAGCTTTGAAGAGGCAGACATGAGTGAGGAGATGCAAGATGATCTCATCAAAGAAATCGCTTGGTGACTTGCTCTCCAATCTATGTTGGAAGAAGAAGAGCAAGAAAGGGTGCATAAAGAAGTTGTGGAGGATGACGAAAGTGAAGCATAAGGAGTTTTTGATCCTTTTCCAGGGGTGATACCACATTTTGAAGAAGGAATGGAGGTTGAAGAAGCAATTGGCATCCAAGCCGAGGATGAAGTTGAGGTGCAAGAGGCTTGCACCGGCCATGAGTTACATGCGATATCTCCACCAAACTTCGAGGAACTGCTTAGTAAGGACCCATTGGCAGTGTCTCTTTGCCAGACCAAGGCCACATCGACATCGGTCCCTCTTGGTGGACGCGATGGTGGTCAATCGATGTTGTCATATCTGGTTTGGGGCAATGAGACGAGAGAAGAGAAGAAGAGGTCTCGAGGGTGGAGACTTCATCTGCATCAAATGCACGAGCTTCCATCACCTGTCATACCACATGATCGTGACTCGAGATTCCACCTCATCGACGAAAACCTCAACTTCAAAGAGGTTCTAGCATGGAACGAAACTTAAGAGCCACCGTTTGGCTCATGACGTGAAATAAGCGCTTGTTGCGAGGCAACCCAACCATTTGGTTTGCATTGCTTTCCCTATTTCTCTTCGGTTGAGTCGGTTTTGTTCTTTGATTTTAGAGTCAATAACTCAACCTTTGTGAGATTTTGTGTGGTGTTTGTATTCCGACTACTCTATCCTCCTGGAATGCACCACCTGCCCCGTCCACCATCATTCACACTTGATCTGGTAACTTCGTTCTACCCTCTTTATCTTCCCTCCATTGAGGACAATGTCATGCTTAAGTGTGGAGGGATGTTCGATTATACATGCGTGTGAAATGTTTGGTTGTTGATGACTTGATATATAAACATGTTTTTATCCACTATTCTTATGTCGTTTGAGCCTCATTTCTCGTATCTTAGGCCAATTTCACGCTAGGTTGTTATCGTTTGTGTTATTTCAGGTCCTAGTACGTGATTGGAGGTTTGGGAGCGAGTTTCGAGTCGATTGGATGGAAGTTGGACGTAATTACGCGGGCAAGCCACACTAGCCGTGTATTGGGTCCCTTGAGGTCGTGTGGAAATTCCAGGGAGCTCACACGGTCAGGCTATGAATCCACACGGCCGTGCACTTCTGGCCGTGCAGCGTGCCTAAAGCTCATTAGATGGAATGCCGCGTTTTGGCACTCACACGGGCAGACTGAGAAGACACACGGCTGCGTGGTCGAGAAATTCTGGGGTTTAACCCAATTTTGAGCCTAAGGAGAGGGAATAGATTATCTAGAGCAAAAACAGAGCCCTAGAGAGAGAAAGTGCGAAGAACACCCCCTAAGAGTGATTTTGGAGCTGGGTTTCATCAATCAAGCTTGGAAATCATCCTTGGAGTGAAGATCATCATCCCAGAGCAGATTCTTCCCATCTTGATGATTATGCCTGCTTTGTTTGTTGTTTCCCTCTCTCTCTCTCTCTCTCTCTATGGAGTAGAACTCTCTCTCACTTGGGTATGAAGAACCCTAGTTCTACGTGTTAGGGATCATTGTTGTAACGACGTTTGGATTGTGATATTGTTTGATTATAATCGATTGAAGTGTTTTGATTAATTTAATTGAAGCCTGATCATCTTTTATTGATTTCTGCTGCAACCTGAGATAGATAGAATCTGATTAGGTTGTTAGAGCTTTTTCAATCGGTAGTAGTGAATCGATTATACGAGAGTTAGTCGATTTACTACTTTGTACTGGAATTCAGTTCCAGTAGTGGAGTTCTGTGTTCATAGCCTCAGCTTTCTATCCCGTTGAAGATTAGTCGTCTGCCGGGTAGTTTGATTGAGAGGGCTTGGTCAGCTTAAGAGATTCCAACCTACTGTTGGATCTTTCGCAGTATAATCAACAGTAAAGCAACCAAAAGTAATTACAACTGTGACCTAACTAAGGAGCTAGGGGGACTCATTCCGGAGTGACTCTTCCCTTGCTTTAGAAAACCGAACAATTTCCTGTTTTCTTACTGCTTTTAGTTAAAATCACAATCACTCGACTTAGTTTGCTAGATAATAAATATTCACGGAGTAGGCAATAGATCTAGGCCCCGGGTTGACAAATAGAGCTTGCCACTTACTGCATTTCCAGACTGAGATTACACTTGGTCGTAGTTTGGTGTTGTGTTTTAGCGTGTCAGCTGTATGTGTGTGCTTGGAGCCTAGTCCAAATTTTTAAATTTGAGGGCTCCAAGTATTGTTCCTTGGGATAACCTGCTCAGTATGCTTTGAATTGACAGCCTTTATGTGATATGCAACTTAGGGAGGTAGTTGTAGCACCATGGAGGATGTTGAAGTATAAGATTTTTCCTATCTATCTCCTTACTGTGCCGGTTGATTTTGTGAACTAGTGGAATTAGGACCGTTGATTCATGTGATATTGATGACTCTCCTAAAGTGTGTTGTGGACTCTCGTATCAAAAAAGGGTGCTCAAGTGTGTGAAATGCAAGGCAGTTGGTCCTCCGTGCTATAAATTCTAAATTTAAGACATGGGGTAAGCCCAACGTGTGTGGCACCGTTCATTGCACAAAATCGGGTTTTGGAAGAGATTTTAGTGATCCTTGGTCGGGTATCCCTACAAGGTGAAGCTAAGTTGTCTCTAACACAAGTAAAATTTCCACCCGTTGAACGATTTGCCTACTCGATGATGTGTATTTAAGGGCACGGATAGAGCTTCCGACACCCCTTAAAATTCATTGAACCGCCTCACAAGTTGAGGAAAAGGAGTCAAAAGAAGTACTCTGGCGACTGGCAGATGTACTGACTCGCTCCTACTGTCACTCTAGAAAATGGCCAACTGTAACCACTTCCTAAAGCGTAGTATAGCGGGTTTGGGTTTTAATGTCAACCCGGGTCCTAGATGTGATGACTACTCAGCGAATTCTTATTATTTAGCGGTGAAACTTTAGTGCAGGTTCAAACAAACAAGCAATTAAACAGTTGTTTTCAAGTCGAGAGAGGTCACCCGGATATGGTTCCCCCTAGACTGCAGTTAAGCCGGATTGCAATTTACCAAGTTCAGTTTTAATGATAGTTATACTGCGGGAGGTTCTTAAGCAGCCCGAAGTCTCGAGTAAAGGTCTCCAGACCCTCTCAATCTGAGTCCCCAGCGGGCGACTAACCTACACCGGAGTAAACAGATTGAGGCCCTAACGAACCAAACCTCCACTACCGAAGTAAATCCGATACAGAATAGTGAATTGGCTCCTCGACTAAAGTCGCCAATTCACTACCTTCAATTAAGGGTGCTCTATCAACCTAGGCAGATATTCTCTTTCTAGGTTAAAGCAGAAACAACAGGAATTTGATCAGGATTCATGCCATTCAATCATTCAAACCTCAAGTGAATATAATCAAATCATAGAATCTGTACTTGGGTTCATACAATTAGACCTAACAAACAAATCTAGGGTTCTCCATACCCAGATGAATAAGAAAACTACTCCATAGAGAGAGATGGGAAATCTAGCTCAGATGCGGAAACCATACTGTGAAGGATGATGATCTGCTTCGGGCACTCAATCAGGTCTTCTCCAAGCTCAAGTCGGGCTCCAATGGTGATGGAGATCGATCTATGGCACTTGCAGAGTCAGGTTTGTCACTTTCTCTCTCTAGATATCACTCTATCTCTCTAAAACTCGGAACTCCTTCTCCTTTGGCTCAAATCTGCCTAAAAGGCTGACCCTGGGCAAAACACGGTCGAGGGCACGGCCGTGCTTTGGTTTTGCCCGCCCTTGCCACGTGTTAAAAACACGGCCACATTTTGGGGGAAACACGGTCGTGCCTAAAGTTGGAAACGACCGTGTTTTGAGTCACTCCCGCTCGTGTTTTGGGCCAGTGCAGGAAAATCTTGGATCAAGCCTCGGTAGTAAAAACACGATCCAGGAACACGGCCGTGCTTTGGTTTAGGCCAGCCCGTGCTTTGGCCCCAGCTCGACCGAATGACTTCCAAATGCCCCGAAACTCGTGCTTAGCCTTTCCTTCGACGTCTGGGATCTGAAATATGACAAAGTAGCACAACCCGGCGTAAAATAGGCCAAAAATACACGACTACGCCCGCAAACGGATAAGAACTAGGGGTGTAAACATGTGCAATTACATCGTTATCAAATTCCCCCACACTTAACCGTTTGCTTGTACCCAAGGAAACCAAGTCAGACACAAGGTAAGCTCAAAATGTTTCAATCAAGCAGGCTTTAGGGCATATCATATCGGCACAAAACACGTGAATCATACTGGCTTTTGATCATTAACACATGGACAAGCTCAACGACAACCTAGACAACCACCACAGATGACATTCGAATGCAGTAAAGTCGAGCAAAGGAAGAGTCTCCCTTCTGTTCACCAACCAACATAGACTTGACTCAACCACTTATTCAAGACAGTCACTTCATGGCTCATGCATAAAGCTCAAGATATCAGAATTAAGACCGAGCAATCTAGGTCCTCACCGGGGTAAAGAGTATAGAGAATATGAGAAAATGAATCGCTCACTCTCGACCAGTGGGGTCAGGACAATTTGATGCGAAAAATGCGCATGCTTATTTTCTCAATCTCTAACGTCTCTTCACCATGAAGGCAGCCTCTAAATGCTAGAGTTCACATATGCGGTGTCACCACTAACTAATCCGGAGGTCTTAGAAACAGTTCAGATGACTGGCTAGGGTCTTGGACATGGGGAAAAGGCCTTTTAGGTGGTGGAAGTATTCATAGCACAAGGTTTCACAATTCCAAACCCAACACACTCACAGTCAATCAAACCACTCTTTCTTTCTGCCATTATGCATTACTCACTTTCTTTAGAGCACAAGAACGAAGGAGGTCACATAAAACGTAGTATTTCCAAGCCACACTGCTAATAAACACTACTCAATGGTCGCTATTCAGATTTTGTGGTGGTGGCTCTCTTTTGCTTTCATTCACTTTTTTTTCTTCTTTTTTTTCATTTATTGAGAGAATCACCAGCTATGCACATTTTGCAAACGCATGCCCTTTTTTTTCAAGAACTACCTCCAACTCTCACATTATATTAAGCAGAAACAGCAGAGAACATGGAGAAACCACTCCGTGGAACCTTCTAAAAGATGCAAAGGGGGATTTCCATTGTAGACTGAAAGAAAGGATAACACACGACTCAAAGGGCTGACTAGGGGGTATGACTAGGGCTGCAAACGAACCGAGTCGAGTCGAGTTTTTGCTGAGCTTGAGCTCGGCTCGTTTATTAATTTTTCAGCTCGAGCTCGGCTCGAACTCGAATTTTGATAATCCAGCTCGAGCTCGAGCTCGGCTTGAATAAAAATAATCTAGCTCGAGCTCGACTCGGTAGAGCTCGATAAATGCTCATTAACATAGCTTGTTAAGCTGAGTACAAGCTCGGCTCAAGATGAGCTCGATTTAAAATCATTTTTGCTGGAAAAATGTATAAACATAAGAATTTAAATGATAGAAAGAACACTAGAAACTAGAAATAACATCTAAATTTCATACACATCTGTATTATAAGACAATGTTCATGTTTAAAAGAGTAATTCATCCTTCCACAAGCTCAAAACAAGGCAGCTCGCGAGCTTAGCTCGACAAGCCACCGAATCAAGCTAGCTCGCGAGCTTATCAAGCTGAGCATGGTCTAGCTCAGGCTTGGCTCGTTAACTAACGAGTTGGCTCGCGAGCCGGCTTGTTAAATAACGAGTCGAGTGTCGAACGAGTTTTTCCCGATTCGAACGCCGAGTTGCTCGCGAGCGGCTTGGCTCATTTGCAGCCCTAGGTATGACACATTAGGACAGTCAATTTGGTCGTGGGCCATTCCTACTCCTCCATCATCTTAGCTAATGACAACGTGAATGCTGCACATCATGGAAGAGGGAACTATCGCACAAGAAAGAAACGAGCAGGCTCAAGTCTCACATGGCTACCTATATGCTCTATCTCTCCTTCTGATTCCCTGAACTAGATGCATAAATGACTGTCAAGAGCAACGTGACTAGCGCGTTGACTGTTAGTCGACACGTTTGATCGTCCAAGATAACGGTCAATTTTCGGGTTTGGCCAATTTTGTTACTTTGGTGTATAGTTCAGGCCATGATGTTATGGATCAAAAAAATTGGTCAGGATGTTTATTATGTAAAAAGTTCAGATCATTCAAATATATTAACCCTTACCCCAATCATAAAAGACAGAAAAAAAAATACTAAACTCTAATAAAATGATAGAAAATGGACTTTATTTACACAAAAAAAAAATGAAAAAGAAAATGCACTGTACAACTGCACGCTATTATTTGAATTCCATGTAATTTTAATGGGCTTAAGTGCCCTTGTTTCACATCGGCCCATCATGGAATATGGCAGGGTCAGCTTAGCGAGAGAAGGCTGAGAAGCAGTAAACGCAGTGCTTCATTGAATGGATGCGAAAGGACGAGAGTGGACATTCGAAATTCACTCAGAGAGCTCCAAATTCAAATCTCTGAAAATCCAACTTATGTTTTGCCGTAGATTTACTTAGTGACAAAAACGATAACTCACATCCATCCACCACTTCTACCCCAATAGATGGGTTATAATTGGGTGGGTTCGGGAGGGTCTAGAGATAGCCCCAGCCATTGCAGTTCCCTACTCTGAGGGAGATGGAAGATTGGGAAGCAAGGGAATAGAATTGCCGCCGCCGTCGATGAGCTCCTAAAATCGCTGTTATTCTCTTCTCTGATTCTTCTCCTCCTCCGAGGAAGATAGCACAGAAACGAATTAGCGGATAAGAGAAGAAAAAGACAAAAGACGAGAAAGAAGTTTCACTGTTTCAGTTTCCGCCACCTAAAAGGAGGGAAAGGAAAAAGGAAGAGCGCGAAACATAAACCCTATTTATCCTTCGCACAACTAGTTTAAGATCTCTACCCTTCCTTATTCGTCCTCTCGTTCCTCTTTTGGTTCACTTTGCCTCATCAGAGCTCCAACTATGGTCAGTCGTTACCTCCTCTGTCGTCTTCCCTTCCCTTTCATTTTATTTTGATTCGCCCCCGACCCTTCCACTCATTTTCTTACTTGATTTACTCTGCATATGCATCTCCTTTTCCTTGTTTGGTTTGTCATTAGCCTAGAACTGTTAGATCTTCGAGGTTCATGTACCAAAAGAGTCTAGTTGCTAAATCACTATCCCGTTTCCATGCCAACTAAGGGTTGAAAGCCTTATCGTGTCCCCTGTAGCTCGTTCCGCTTAGGGTCTAAGGTGGTTACTACAATGAAACCAGAGAGGAAACATTGAGTCTTACGTATTGAGTATCGAGCTGGATGCGACCACCTTGCCCATCATGAACGAATGGAAGGAAAGAGCCCCATTGTTTGTATTTCCAGTTTCGAGAAAAATGAAATGAAACTTTCCCCTTGGTTCCGTAGTGCGGTTTACTTAGGCTCTGTTCGAGTACTACGTTGACAGTCTTGTTGTTGCTTTGCAGAACAAGTTTGGTAGAGGCCACCGCGACAAGGTCCAGCAGTTCATGGCCATAACTGGGGCAAGGCAAGTTCAGAATTTCTTTTTCGTAGGGCTTTCTGTTCTACGAAACTAATGGTGATAATCATTCGGTATCGGTAAGTATAAAAAAAGTGAAATGGCAAGCCACTATGTTGGGTTTTGATAGATGAAAGAGATTGATTTGCGGGTTGCTGCTTTTTTCTCTTTCCTGCCTGCTAAGAGATGATGATGGGTTGACCATGTAGACACTGCATGTTCATATTTATCCACCGTGTTTCTTGATCGACTAAAGATGTCCTTATGTTAATGAGTTTGTGGAAGCATTATGGTACTTCTCTTGTGGCTAATACTTTGATTCAGAATTGAATAATCCATTTCTGGGTTGTAGTGAGAAAGCCGCAGTTCAAGCATTGAAGGCAAGTGATTGGCATCTTGAAGGTGCATTTGATGTGTTCTACAGCCAGCCCCAGAGTAAAATACATACAGACTCCAGACAATTGGAAGAGCTATACAACAAATATAAAGGTGAATCATTTTTGCCCTCAGTGTTTTTTGTGCTATCTATGCAAGATATGTTCAATAGGAGAGTAAATGGTTGCATACATGAGAGTTTGTTACTAAGCACAGTTGTACTGCATTCCTAGTCTGCTGACAAAAACTAGAGATTGCCCTTTCTTTTATACACATGCTTTTCGTTCTGTCTCTGCTTTAGTTGGTAACATTATTAACCAAAAGAAACATACATTTGTGGTGTTTACTGTGAAATTAGTGTGCTGCTATGCTTTGCAGATCCATATCTGGACATGATAATGGCGGATGGTATTGCTCGTCTTTGCAATGACCTTCAGGTAAACTCTTATTATGCCAGTCAGTACTAATGGTTGTAAAGGTCTTTGAAATATCAAAATGTTTTCTTGGTCAGTGCTGGCATTATGTGAATGACCATTGCTCATGGTTTGCTTGAACTGCAGAGTTTCCCTACATTATGTGTGTGATTAGATTGCTAATGGGTTACCAATAACACTTGACTTTTCATTTTGCTCAGGTGGATCCTCAAGACATAGTTATGGTAGGTTACAGGTTATAACCTATAACTTCGTTTGCTGTTATACTTATATATAAGCTTATAAAGTGTGTGTTAAAAGCTACTTAAGATCGCCTGTTTGGTTCTGTTGTAATTTTCTTTTTTGTTTCTTGTGCAGTTAGTTGCTTCATGGCACATGAAGGCTGCCACCATGTGTGAATTTTCGAAGCAGGAGTTTGTCGGTGGACTACAATCTATAGGGTTGGTTCAGCAAGTTAGTTTGTTTTATTGATTGCTTCAGATCGTGCTATGGCATATCTAATTCTAGCTGTACCTTCTGATGACAGGATAGATTCACTGGAGAAGTTCCAAGAGAGGATACCATTCATGCGTTCTGAGCTGAAAGACGAACGTATGCACAACTGGATATTTTCTTGAGCTTGTACAGCATATCCATCTAGTTTGAATCCTCCTATGGGTAATTTTGTTCCTAACACAAAATATCTTCTGATTTTGCAGAGAAGTTTCGTGAAATATACACTTTTTCTTTTGGGTGGGCAAAAGAGAAGGTACACACTGCTATAGTGCTATGTACAAATACTGTACTTGTGTTCTAACTCTTCATTAGTGTTCTGTTTATCTGACGAACTGAATCACTAAAATAAAACATTGACTTGCCTATCTCTTTTAAAATGGCTCGAAGCGTGATAAGGCAGCAATTGAGGCTCTGCAGAGAAGCAATGTGTCTTGTTTGTCCAATGTGTGGGCAGTTCCTGAACCCTAATGTTAGGCAGCTGATGGTCATTTTATGTGGCAGGGTCAAAAATCTCTAGCACTGGATACTGCAATAGGAATGTGGCAACTACTATTTGCTGAAAAGCACTGGCCATTGGTTGATCACTGGTGCCAGTTCTTACAGGTACTCTTTAGGAAGCATTTAAAGTCGGATTGCTTTCCATGACATAACACCTCTTGTGAGAATGGCTCCTGAATGTGCTGAATCAATCTGGCTGAACTGAGAGTCAAAATGGGAGTAATATGCAATCTTATCTGCAGTATGCACTTAAGGGTCGGTAAACTAGCACTAGTTGTTTTCTCCAGGAGTAAGTGGTTTCTATGGTGCAATGTGGTTTTTTCCTCTTTCGTCCTTATAAACAGAAGTGTGGTTTTCACTGTCTTATCATCCATCATTGAAGGTGAAGTATGGCTGGTGATGTGCTTTCCTCTCTGATGTCAGTACTGACTTGGTCTTCCTTTTCCTTAGGCTCGGCATAATAAAGCTATCTCGAGGGACACTTGGTCTCAGCTATTGGAATTCACACGGGTAAGTACTGAGAGATGGATTTGGACCGTGTTCCCTTTCTCTTCCATTTCTGTGTTATCTCTTTTACTTGCTTTATTTGATGATGCGGAGGAATAACAGTTCCATTTTGGGCTTCATAATGTAGAGTTAGCGAAATGAAAGATAAGCTGGGAGGGCAGTCTATGTAATGAAAATGTTTGTTGGTGTGGTGCAGACAGTTGATTCTGGATTAGCAAATTATGATGCTGAAGGGGCATGGCCATATCTGATTGATGAGTTTGTGGATTACCTGAATGAGAACGGTGTTGGTGTTGATGGGTTCAGTCGAACAATTGGAGCTTAAAACAGACGAAGAAAATAAGAGGACCAGATGTGTAGCAGAAGCTGGGAATTATGGTGCTTGGTTCTCAATCATACAGTTCTGCAGCGTATAGGATTGCGTTTCCTCTTAATTTCTTTACCTTTCTTTCTCTACTAGCACAAGAACCGGCCAACATGGCTATCTAATTTGTATGTGTCATTTACTCTAATAATGTATGTGTTGTTTGGTATTTTGCATGAACTTTCTAGTCAAATACTCGAATTATTTTGAATATGCTTAGAAAGTATTGAAAATTGTGTAAGCCCCAATGCCCTCTCCTTTACGCTGCGCGCCTCCTTTCTTGTTGTGGCTCTGAACGGGTTCCTGCCTACACACACAAGTGCCTTGCGGACCTAGGAGGTTAGTTAGCACTGTGACGCCCAAATGAGAACCTTTCTTTCTAGAGAGAGAAGTGGAGAACACTTCTAGTAAGAGAAGCAAAACTGAGTAAATGAGGTTTACCTACTCCACTATTTATACCTGGAGCCAGATCGATCGGTACCCGTCGCTCTCGCCTTGTGTCAGGTTCGCAATAAATGCGTCGTACTCTCCTCGCGCATGCGCCTCGACCACCTGACTTTTCTGTCAGGAGTCTGAGGACTGAGGCGCATGACATCATGTGGTCAGCTTTTTGTACACTTCCGACCGTTGGATGTCTTTTGCCTTATGCACCTCCTGTCGGGTGTCCGGCCCCACTTGTCCCGCGCGTTGTCTTGGTCATTTGGGCCATTCACCGTGCGCCCCCAAGCCCATGGCCCCTACTCCTGTGGGCTTCCTTGGGCTTCTCCATTTGGGCCCTACTTGGCCCATGTTTGTGCCCTTACCAAGCTTCCTTAGGCCTTTCTATTTGGGTTGCCCCTTGCCCATACTTATTCCCCCAACAATTGCCCCCCCCCCAGTTAGGCACCTAACGTCCCTGGTTAGGGGCCTAACTGCACTCATCTTCTACCCCTGCGTCTCTGCTTCCCTCCTCACTTGGACCATCATGCGCCTCCCATGCTGGGCTTTGTGCGGCCCATCCGCCTCCGCTGGGCATGCCTCTTCCGCCTTCCCTAGTGCTTCATCCGGACCCACATGCCCTCACCTGGGTTATGCGCCTCTCTCCGCGTTAACAACCGGACATACCTCTTCATCTTGCTCTGCGATACTCTTGCCCTATTCGTACGCGCGCCCTTCTACCCCTTGTTTACTACATTCGTGCGCCTCCTGTCCCATTCACATGGGGACTTATGCGCCTCCCGCGGGCTCCCACAACCTATGTGTTTTGTTTTTTTTTTCTTTGCGTCTGTTCCCCTCCCTTCCTCGCCTTCCACCCATGCCTGCTCCTTTTCTTTCCTCGTTTTCTGAGCTATTATGCCTCTTGCGATTCCCTCTTTCTCTCTCTCCCCCAATCCGCTTTGAATTTGAAATTTGAATTTGAAATTGAAAGCGGATTGATGTGATCTCTTCGCCTTCCCCCATTTTTTATCTCTCTCTCGCCCCATCCCCCTTTATAAACTCCCTCTTCCTTCTACAGACTCTTCACAATTTCATTTTCCACCTTCTCTCTACTTTCTCTCACTAAACCCGCGACCTCGCAGCTCTCTTGCGCGACTCCGTCCTTCCCGTTGTGCGCTCTCTGCCCTCGTCATGGCGTCTTCTCGCCAAATCCCAACCCCTTCGGCCTCGCCGGCGCTTTCTGATGGGCAAGCCGGCGCCGCACGCCATGCTCCTTCCATCTCACATGCGCCTTCTGCCTCGCATGCGCCTTCTGATGTGAAGACCACTTTCACCTGCCCCTTCGGCACATTCGCCTACCGGAGGATCCCATTCGACTATGCAATGCCCCTGCCACTTTTCAGCGATGCATGCTCGCCATCTTTGACCGCCTGGTCGGCGAGATTATGGAGGTGTTTATGGACGACTTTTTGGTTTATGGGGACTCATTATCTCACTGTCTCCATAAACTAGAGCTCGTCCTTAAACGGTGTGAAGAGACGAACATGGCACTAAGTTGGGAGAAGTGTCACTTCATGGTTCGCGAAGGCATAGTTTTGGGGCATAAGATCTCCAAGATGGAGATTGAGGTTGACAGAGCAAAGATCGAGACTATCAGTAAGCTGCCTCCTCCCACATCTGTTAAGGGGATCTGGAGTTTCTTAGATCATGCAGGGTTGTACAGGCGATTCATCAAGGATTTCTCAAAGATCGCCCTACCCCTAACAAATCTCCTTGAGAAGGATGCCCCCTTCCAGTTCACCGATGCATGCACAACGACATTCACGACCTTGAAGGAGAAGCTCACTCATGCTCCTATCATGGTTACCGCTGACTGGTCCCTACCGTTCAAGCTGATGTGCGATGCCAGTGACTTTGCGGTTGGAGCTGCCTTGGGGCAGAGGCGAGATCAACACTTCCGTCCTATCTACTACGCCTCGAAGACCCTCAATGATGCCTAAGAGAACTACACCACCACGGAGAAGGAGCTGCTCGCGGTGGTGTTTTCCTTCGACAAGTTTCGTCCTTATCTGGTCTTGTCCCATGTGATCGTGTACACAGATAACTCAGTGATTCGATACCTGATGAGCAAGGCTGATGCCAAGCCTAGGCTCATACAATGGATCCTACTACTGCAGGAGTTCGACATCGAGATTCGGGACAAGAAGGGAGCTGAAAATGTTGCTGCTGATCACCTCTCCCGGTTGGACGCACCACCTGCAAACAACCTCGTGGAGGAGATCAAGGACTCCTTCCCAGATGAGCGACTGATGATTATGTACTTGGTGGAGGGTGTCACCCCTTGGTACTCCGATTTTGCAAATTATCTGGTGGGCCAGCAGCTACCTAAGGGGATGACGACTCACACCAAGAGGAAGTTCTTCACCGACCTGAAGCACTATTTCTGGGATGACCCTCATCTCTTCAGGATCGAAGACGACGAGATCATCCGTCGTTGTGTCATGGAAAATGAGATGGAGGGCATTCTGTCTCATTGACATGAGGGGCCTACTGGCAGTCACCATGGCGGTAACCGGACGACGAGAAAGGTGCTACAGTCGGGCTTTTACTGGCCCACGCTCTTCAAGGATGCAGACACCTTCGCACGCAGGTGCGAGCGATGCCAGAGATCATGTAATATCTCTGCCCGTGATGAGATACCCCACAATGTATTTATAACCTATGAGATTTTTTATGTCTGGGGTATCGACTTCATGGGCCCCTTTCCTCCATCCTTTGGAAATACTTACATCTTAGTTGTTGTTGATTACGTCTCTAGGTGGGCTGAGGCGCAAGCTTTGCCCACTAAAGATTAGACGTGTTTGTGGATTTTTGAAGCAGCTATTCTCCCGGTTCGGGACACCTAGAGCCATCATAAGCGACCGAGGCACCCATTTCCAGGGCTAGTTTGATAAGTTCTGTTTCGCTATGGTGTCACTCATAAGGTATTCGTGGCATATCACCCTCAAACGAGTGGTCAGGTCGAGCTGACGAATTGTGAGCTCAAGCGTATGCTGGAGAAAACGATGGATCAGTCCCGCAAGGATTGGTCCACCAAGCTCGATGATGCTCTCTGGGCATACCAGACTACCTACAAGATGCCAATTGGAACTTCACCGTACCGGCTTGTCTATGGAAAGACATGTCACCTGCATGTGGAGCTAGAGCACAAGGCCTTCTAGGCCCTTAAGCTGCTCAACTTGGATGTTAGTGTTGCAGGTGTTGAACAAAAATTGCAGATGCTGGAGTTGGAGGAATGGCGTCACCACGCCTATGAGAACACCAAACTATATAAGGAGCGCACTAAGCGCCTCCACAACGCTCGGTTAAGGGGTCCGAAGGAGTTTCAGGTTGGTGATCGAGTTCTCCTATATAACTCTCGCCTGAAACTCTTTCCTGGAAAGCTCTGCTCCCGGTGGTCTGGACCGTTCACGGTCACACAGGTGTTCCCGTATGGCACGATTGAGATTGCCAACCCGCAAACTGAGCCGTTTAAAGTGAATGACCATCGTCTCAAGCTCTATCTGGGAGACGAGGTCGAACGTGCAGAGTTGGTGGTTTGCATTTCTTTTTCCCTTTTTTTCTTTGTTTTGTGTCGTCTTTGAGTCAGTTGCATGCCTGTGCTGAAGTTCGGTCGTCCGGTATGCCTCGTTTTGGTGTTTTCGTGCAGGGGAGTTCAAAAAATGAGAAAAAGGGAGATTTGGCTGCGAAGGGAAAAATGCCCGGCCGTGACTCAATACCCGACCAGGTATTTTGGCCTCACGACCGGGACCCCTTCTATTCAAAAGGGGGGGGGGGGGGTCGAGATCGAAATCCCCGACCTGGAGCCAAAATGTCCGACCAGGTATTTTGGCCTCGCGGCCGGGACCCCCCTGTTCATGATTGGCGACTCAGGTGGAATACCCGACCGGGTATTTTGCCTATAAAAGCTAATCCCCGAGCAAAACTTTCTCTCTCCTCTCATTTTTTCCAAACTTCCCCTCTCTTCCCTCTCATTTCCTCCCCCCTCTCTCCCGCGTGAGCGCCGCCGGCCACCGGCCACCGCCCGCCGGCCACCGTGCCGCTGCTAGCCGTCGCCATTTTCCAGCGACCTTCAGGCGAGCCTTCCCGAGCCGTTTTCTGAGCTTTTTCCGCGTCCCTCACCCTTTGATCGCGTCCCTCTACGGTCCTACTTGGGTTTCCAGGTGTGTTTCTTGCTTAAGTTGATCTTTTTCTAGAGAATTGGACTGTAGATGTTAGGACCGAGCACTGTGAATTTCCTGGCATGTTTGAATTAGAATAGGGTGAGTGATGCCGTGGTTAGGCATGGCAATTGCATGATTGATGTCCCACTGCTTGAATGTGTCGTGTTCTACATGATTCCTGCTTAAATTGCGGTTGTTTGTTTGCAAAATCGACCGTTTGTGCGTGATTCCTTACCATAGGTGTCCTTAAAGTGTGGGAGAACTGTTGAACCCATACTTGTGGTCCTAACGCGCATTTTATTGGCTCCATTGGTTTGTTAATTTTGCAGGATCATGTCTCTCGACCACCCATTCATGCAGGGCCTGCGCCTGAACCCGGAGTACGCTGACCAGTACCGTCGGGTCATCAACGGAGTGTTCCACCGCCATCACCACCTGGTTTGGGGCGTTTTCCAGCAGCTCCACTGCATGGATGGGATCGCTGCAACCATCAGCCACCCACAGTGGCGGACGCTCCTGAGCATCGAGGACTCTACTTACACGGAGCTGGTGTGGGAGTTCTACTCCACCTTCCAGTACCGCCCCAAGGCGGAGAGACTCCCCCACCGCGGTGACTTTTCGGCTCGGCGGTCATATGCGAGAGCTGAGTATCGACGGGTTGGCCCAGGCACTGGGAATCCATTACCACCCGTTCTCCCACCATGAGAAGGAGGTCGCCCACCCGAAGGACTGGCTGCATGACGTGTTCTACCAGAGCTTCGCCCGTCCTGCCTACATGTTCGACCCCTTCGACGCTGGCCAGACCTATGTCTCCACCCTTCGGTCGGAGTGACACATCCTCAACCTTCTGCTCACCCGCTCGATCACGCCCAACGCCACCGGATCTCACAAGATACCGAAGAGAGTGTTGTATGCCATGTACTCGATGGGGCACCCTGACCACCTGCTGCACTTGGGGTCTGTTGTGGCCACCACCTTTGCTCGGTGCCACAGCAAACCCACCTACTTCTTCTGTGGTCCCCTGATCATGAAGCTGGTGCGCCATTTCGAGATCACTTTCGATGGTTTGACTAATGCCACAACATAGGGTGGTTCTGCACCTCTCAGCCGGGAGGTGTTTCATAACGCCCTGTTGTTGGCCTCCGATGGCAGACAATCCTGGGTGGATGGGTTGTCCATGCCTCCCGACGAGGATGAGGAAGATGATGATGAGGACGAGGAAGAGGAGGACGAGGACTACACCGGCGCGGATGAGGCTGAGGATGATGACGATGATGGTGCTGCGATGGATGCTGAAGAGCCGGACCCCCCCCCCCCGGATCTTCAGCCACGATGGAGACCCGAGCGAGGTGAGCCCTCCTCCGGTCCTTTCTCGTCCGTCGATGGCTTCTGGTCCGTCTATGGACTTCTTCACGGAGCAGTTTCACCAGATGGGGGCTCCAGTTTCAGCAGCTCGGGGTCCGGAACCAGCTGCTCATGGACCATCAGGTCCAGTTTTACCAGCAGTATTCGGCCCACCAGGCTGAGTACCACTCTCGGATGATGGTTCTAGATGAGCGCCTTGACCGGATGGAGGCTCAGCAGGGAGTCACCAGTGCTCGCATCGAGCGGGAGCGTGATCGTAACCTCCGGATGATGGAGTATCAGGAGCACCCGCTCCAGTCTTGCCACCCGCCACAGGAGCACCATTGGACTACCCGATGGGACCACTCACCACCGACAGATGGGGTAGACGACCTCATGGGACAGATCGACTTCAGCGAGCTCGAGTAGGCTGTACTCGCTGCTCGTTTTGTGTTTCTTTTGTTTTGGTTCGGAGTGCAAACTGGCTTTTGTTTGGTTTATTTTATTTTCTTTTGGATGATGTACTATGGGGCTAACATTTGACCTAACATATCTGTGCTTAAGTGCTTGTGTCTTCTTTAGCCTTGCCTTAGCCCGACTGGTCCGCCTTCCAGTCTCATTGCAGTCCGCGCATACAGGTAACATCGTTCCCCTTATCCTTCCATCTTCTCCATTGAGGCCAATGTCGAACTTAAGTGTGTGTGTGGGGGGGGGGGGGGGATGTTTCTATTTGTCTGCTTAAATATGTTTTTGTGCTTGGAGCCTAGTCCACTGTCCAAATTTCGATTTGAGGGCTCCAAGTACATGTTCCTTGCAAATTGCCTACTCAATATGCTTTGAATTGACAGTCTCTATAGTAATGTGCAACCTAGGGAGGTAGTGTAACACTATGGAGGATGTTGAAGTATAAGATTTTTCCTATCTATCTCTCTGTTGTGCCGGTTGATTTTGTGAATTAGTGGAGTTAAAACCGTTGAATTCATGTGGTATTGGTGACTCCTTTTGAATTGTGTTGTGGACTCTTGTATCGAACAAGGTGCTCATGTGGGAAATGAAAAGCAATTGGTCCTCCATGTAGGAATAATTGAGATCTTAAACATGGGGTAAGCCCAACGTGTGCGGCACCGTTCATTGCACAAAATTGGATTTTGGAAGAGATTTTAGTAATCCTTAGTGGGGTACCCTTACAATGTGAAACTAAGTTGTCTCTAGTACGAGTAAAATTTTCACCCGTTGAACGGTTTTCCTACTCGAGGATGTGTTTTTAAGGACACGGATAGAGCTTCTGACCCCCCTTAATTTCATTGAACCTCCACACGAGTTGAGGAAAAGGAGTTAAAAGAAGTAGTCTGGCGAGTGCCAGATGTACAGAAATTGCTATTGCTCGACTAATAAGGGTCGACCATACAAAAGACTGCAGTTGGAACCCCCTCCAAGTGAATGAAAAAAAGGAAATGTAAAATGAAAGTGAAAAGGGGTTCCAACGGTGAAATGAAGTGAAAGAGCACCGCGGTATAATGGTGTGAGTCCCTTTACCCATGAACTGGCTGTCTTACTTCCACTTCTTCTCATGATCCTGGCTTGAGTCTAGTACTCGCATTGAGAGAGATAGGGGACGTCTTAGAAGACCAGTTGACCTCGTAAGCTGCTATATGATCTAGGAAATCCCCTACCGATGATCGGGGTTGTTTGTTGCTATAGAGGTCTGGAGAGCTACATTGATTTGAGTTAGGTTTGCTTGGGGACAAGCAAACGGTTAAGTGTGGGGGAATTTGATAGACCATTAATATCACATGTTTATACCTCCATTCTTGAGCCATTTGAGAGCCGATTCTTGTGTTTTAAGCTGATTTCACACTAGGTTGTGTGTTTATGTCATATTTTAGGACTTGGCGTTGACGTGAAGGCGAGGAAACGAGTTTCGGGTAAAAAAGGAGGACACTAGAGTGAAGGGCGCTGAAAGAGCAAAATACCCGGCCAAGAGTTAAAATAACCGGCCGGGTAAAATGCTAAGAAGGCCGGGGATTCGTGCTTTTGGACTCCAAGAAGGCATAAGGGGTCTCGACCGGAGAGTGAAAATACGCGATCGGGTATTCTGGACCACGATCGGGTATTAACCCCCTACGCGCTGCTGTGCGTTTTGAAATTCCCGGACGGATACCTAAAATACCCGACCGGGTATTATGGCCGAGGATCGCAATCTGTCAGTTCTTAAGGAAAAGAAGGCCAACTTTTGATGGATAATTACAAAAATAGCACCCATCCCAACAACATTTACAAAAATAGCACTATTTTTATCAAACCGCACCTCCAAGGTGGAGGTGTGTTTTATAAATAAACCGCACCCTCCAGGTGCGTTTTATGTATTAACCGCACCTTGGAGGTGCATTTTAGTCCACCTCAGACTGAAAACCGCACCTTGGAGGTGCGGTCAGTGTTTGGTGGGCAGCGGCCTTGCGGACCGCAGGATGAAGAAGCGATCCAGTGGCGGACCGCTTGCCAGGTCAGCGATCCTTGCCACGGATCGAAGACCGCTGCATAGAGGTGCGGTCAAGCATCGGGGAGCGTAAACCACGTCGGGAAGGTGCGGTTTTGATTGGGCCAAAATTACCAGACCGCCCCTGGAGGGTGCGGTCTGATGGGTATAAATACCCCCTCCCCCCTCTCATTTTTCACACAACAACCATTCTCCACTCTCTCTCTCTCTAGAATTAGCTCTCTAACCCCTCCCCTCCCCTCCCAAAAGCCTAGGAAATAGTGGTCTGTTGGTTGCGGCTAAGTCCGATCTGCCATTAGAAAACATTTCTTTGGTTTTTTCCTCAAAACCCGCCGAGCCTAGCCGAACTCTGTCCGAATTTCCCGAAAAAATGAGCGATTGGTGGCAAGGAGAGGGAGTTTATGTTGATGAATTTCTAGCGGTACGTACTCATTATTCTGGTTTAATTTTTGTTGTTCTTATAAGCATTGTAATTAATCTATGTACTAACCTCGTTATTTTCTCGTAGGTTGGGGACGACATTGATATATACAACCAACGGTATTATCTCGAGCAAGGACCGTTGGATCCAACCGACTTGTACGACCAACCCAACCATCGGCCAAGGGATGTTTGGATCCAACGGTCCTTGCTCGAGATAATACCGTTGGTTGTATATATCCACGTTCTCCCCAACCTACGATAAAATAACAACGAGGTTAGTACATAGATTAATTAAAAAGCTTATAATAACAACTAAAATTAAACCAGAATAATGAGTACGTACCGCTTGAAATTCATCAACATAAACTCCCTCTCCTTGCCATCAATCGGCCATTTTTTCGGGAAATTCGGACAGAGATTCGGCTCGGCGGGTTTTGAGAAAAAAACCTAAGAAATGTTTTCTGTTGGCAGATCGGACTTAGCCGCAACCAACAGACCACTATTTCCTAGGATTTTGGGAGGGGAGGGTTTAGAGAGATAATTCTAGAGAGAGAGAGTGGAGAATGGTTGTGGTGTGAAAAAATGAGAGGGGGGGGGGTATTTATACTATTTTAGACCGCACCCTTCAGGGGCGGTCTGGTAATTTTGCCAGAGCAGAAACCACTCCCACCCGATGCGGTCTCTGCGTCCCGAGGCGCTGGCCGCTCCCTCCCAATGCGCTCCACGATCCACGCTCCAAAACCGCTCCTCCTCGCTGCGTTTTGCGATCCACGGTGCGGATCGCTGACGTGGCATTGCTCCTGCCCGCTGGATCGCCACCCAATCCTGCGGTTTGCAAGGCCGCTGCCCACCCAATGCAGACCGCTCCATGGAGGTGCGGTTCCTGGCGCAAAACGCACCTTAGAGGTGCGGTTTATGTATAAATCGCTCCCTGAGGATGCATTATATATATAAAACGCACCTCTAAGGTGCAGTCCATAAAAAAGGGTGCTATTAGTGTAAATTTTTTCGACTGGGTGCTATTTTTGTAATTTTTTTTAAATGGTGCTATTATTGGAAAAATCCCTTTAATTTCCCCCTCTTTAATCTTTGACGGACGATTTCTCAGTCGGTTTAAGTCGAAATTTAATTTTTTCTGCACAGTTAGAACAGATTAATTGTGCTCTTCAAAATGATATCAACTTTGATATATTTTTTGAACCAAAAAATTGAGCCATTTTTTACCAGTCTATACCATATGGTATAGACTGGTATTGAAATAAGAGCATACCTATGGTTTGAAAAACGTACCATGGTGGTATGAACAAATCAAGACTACAGGATGGTTGAATACATGATAGTAGAAGTATATTAACTGTCATTTACGACTTTTAACATTGTTTACCACAAGATACCACCCCGTACCAGGGTGGTATTGTGTGGTATTTTTTGGTGCTATAATTTGTTCACCCAGAAATTTGTAGATCCAATAGATCATGATGAACTCGTTCCTTCTGTGCAAGCGTTTTCAAAAACGAATTAAAAACGAAGAAGATACTATATGGTATGCAGTTGGTACCGAGAGGCAATAATTTTTTTTCTCAAAAAATATTGAAAATAAATATCATTTTGTAGAGCACAACGAACTCGTTCCATCTGTGCAAAAAAATAATAATTAAAATCCGAGTTAAAACGAAGAAAATATGAGCTGATTAAGAAAGCTAGGGAAAATAAAAATGACCTTTAATTCTCCATCCTTAGATCTGGATTTTTTAAATGAAGGGTCAAGATTTAGTTATTGATGGCTGCATAACCCATGATTATGTACCCTATCTTGAGCCGTCAAAAAGTGCCCATTGTGAGATAAACACTCAGCCAGAAAGTTTGCCTCTATAGAGACGTGAGTGAACCGCACAATCCACTTTTATTGGGCAATGCCCTTGATATCATACAAGATCCAAAAATCGAGCCCTAGATCACGATTCGAGAGAACATAAAACCCTATACTACTAAACTCACCTTTATTGCCATATTATCAAATTTGGAGATAATATATTTTAAAAAGTAATAACATTTTGTACCCCTCTACTATTACAAATTAACAAACGTACCTCTCTACTAAATTTTTGTACAAACATGTCCTTCAAATATTAAAATGTCACATGTATACCCCCTCGATCTAATTATCTGTAAATAAGTCGTTAAATGAACTGAAAAATTACTTGAGTGGCCTCATTTAATTTAATTTTTATTGTTGTTTTATCACAAATCACAATCCAATTAAAAATTAAAACCTAGCCTAAAGCTAACATAGCTATGATGCTCACAACTTCACAAGCCTTTTAGTGAGTATATACTCATAGGATAAGATGGGAGGCCACATGAGCAAAGTCAAGATCCAAAGGTTGAGGCTGAGTGGCTCAAGAAAGGGTTCATTTAAGTGGATTTTGGTGGCTTTTCGGTTGCGAGCCAAGCCAACCGAGAGAATTCGTATCCAGTCGAAAAAATTGATATAAAAAATGCACAAACTAGTATCCAATCCTGTTGCTTGTATGAAGTAGTACTAAAGTATACATGAGAGCACATACTAGTACCCAAACATCACAAAACTAATATCCAACTCACAAAATTAGTATTCAACCAATCAATTACCAACTAATATCCACAATTAAACCAACTAGTATTCAAGGTTTGCTAACTTATATCCACCATGAAATCAACTATTGTTCCAAATTCAATAACTAATATTCAAACAACACAATAGAGTATTCATGCATCATATAATTAATATCCACCCAATCAATTACGAACTAATATCCACATTCAAACCAACTAGTGTTCAAGGTTTGCTAACTCATATCGATTAGTACACTTGGTAGTATTTTGATATCGGTTAATATACATGAACTAGTAACCACGCTATGATGAAATAACATTCATGTATACATGAGAACTAGTATCCAGACATCACATAACTAGTAGTTAGCTCATATCGCTCAATCTAGTATCCGTCTGTGTTGAAGTAGTATCCATGTTTTGTTGAACACTTGGTGGCATTCAGTGGCGGACCCATAAATTTTATATAGAGGTGTCCTCTTTCAAAAAAATAAAAAATTAAATAATTCTTAAATAAGAAAATACCTAAGTCATACAAGTTAAAAAAAGTCCATGATGTATTTTCATATTCTAAAAAATTTGTAAAATACACTTGCTGTCTACACTGCTCAACAAATTTGTCTCGATATATCCTACTAGACAATCATTCATGGACTAACGCATATTCGACTTCTAAATTTATTCTTGATGTAACTCGAAGTTGAAAAGACACTTTCAACACTTGTCTTACAACCATAAAATCAATACAAATTAAATGTAGCTTGTAATAGATTAAATGTTAGGTTTTGAAAATAATTAAAAATAAATAATATGATTTTGCTATTACACAATGTTTAGAATAGAACAACAAAAAAATGTTGCCTAATGGAAATTATATTTATTAATAGTAGTAGTGTCCCGGGTTTGAATTACCCAAACTACCACTTATATTCCCATACGTAAACTACAAAAGAGAATAGGATAATCATTTTTTTTCAAATTTTAGAGTGTCCCGGACTATTAATTATAATTTTTTTGTCCATACGTAAATTACCACAGGGGGTTGGATACTCGCTTTTCCAAAATTTAGGGGTGTCCAAAGACCCCTGGGTCCGCCCCTAGTAGCATTCAAGTATACACGAGAGCAAAAACTAGTATCCAGAGAGCACAAATAATATTCAAACAACACCAACTATATCCACAATCAAACCAACTAGTATTCATGGTTTGCTAACTGATATCCACCATGAAATCAACTAATATTCCACATTCACGAACTAATATCTAGACAACTCAATAGAATATTCATACATCACATAATTGGTATCCACCCACTCAATTACGAACTGCTAACTCATATCGATTAGTACACTTGGTAGTATTTTGATATATGTCCATATACATTTCCGAATTGGTATCCATGGCATTAAATAACGACGATCTACCAAAAAATCCCAGAAAACCAAGAAACAAAAGTACCCAGAAAACCAAAAAATCCAGAAAGCCAAGAAACCGAAGAAAAGTATACATTTACAAATTGGTATCCATGGCTTTAAAAAACAACGATCTAAAAAAAACCCAAAAAACCAAAAAAATAAAAAATAGAACAATCCTCAGAGAGAAAAAAAAACCCACCAGAATGAACAAAACCCGCAACATCATATCTCCATTAGAGGTACCCCAAGCTCTAATGATTCAAAGACGAGCAAGACCAAATCATATCTAAATTCATAAGAGAGAAGGGAGAGCAAAATTTTCAAAATAAAGAAGAAATGGAGGATTTCTCAACACATGCGGATACTAGTATTTGCATTTCAGATACTTGTTTTTCTCAGCTGGATACTAGTTCACTCGGCTCTCTTGGCTCTCAGTCGAAAAGCCAACAAAATTCACTTAAATGAACTAAGCCTCGGCCCTTGAATCACGACTGCTTAAAAAATCTGGTGCCCATCAACTCCCTTAACACAAATGATGCGTCAGGAGGTCCATACAAATTTCTTCTCAATACAATTTCTTTCAAATTCATAAAAATATCATGCACTGGTTCTTGAATACCTGCTAGAGTAGACAATTCGTGTGGTATTTTCTCATATTTTGCACGTGTGATACATGTTCCTTCAACTCCCGCTGCACCCAGCTTGTCCTCAACTGCGGCTGGTGTAGGCTTCAGTGGGTGAGACAGTGAGCACCCAACCATGAGAAGCGAAACACAATAGTAGGTGAGACGCAACGAATCCGACGACCATCAACTCCGGCAGCGCCCAACTTGTCCTCGCCCCTCGGCAGCGGTTCAACAGACTTCAACGGACGAGACGATTAGCACACAATGGTGAGAAGCAACGAACAACAGTGGGTGATCATTTGTTAGGGTTGAGATGTGATGAATTGGATTGCAAAAACTCCGGCTACCCCTCAATGATGGTGGAGTGGGAAACAATCCGATCTGGTTAAAATTGGACCGGATTAACCTGGTTTTTTAAAACCGTTTTGACCAATACCACAACCGAAAACGGGATTGGATGGGTACCCTGTTTCCACCGTGACCGGACTGGATGGGATCTGGTCCGATACGGTTCAACCAAAAACTGGATGCAGACTGTTTCCTTTAAAAAACGCTACGTTTGGACCAAAATAAATTGAAAATAATATTTCTTTCCCAAAGTCCACCCACACAATTGGCAATCCCTGATCCCCCCACTTCCCTCTCCAATATCCAGAAGATCCACTTCTTCCCTCCTTCGATTCTTCTACTCTCTCTACCTTTCTGATTCTTCTTCTCCTTCTCTCCTCTATCAAAACCCAATCCAGCTATCGACGCACGCACATCATCGCCTCCGTTGTTGTCCTCTTCACCGCGATTCGACAAACAAAGTTGGGATCTTCGCTACGATGTCAACTGGGATCTTGGCGGCGATGTCAGCAGGGGAAAGGTTCTTGGCGGCGATGTCAGCAGGGCAGCGGTAGTGCATGTCATCCTCAGGAGTAGTGTCGGCACCTTGGTGGAGTTCGAGAAGAGAGAGACCCGACTCGCTGGCTAGGGTGAGATGTCGTCAAAGCCGGAGGGAGAGCTGTTGGACGCCGACGAGAGAACGAAGAAGAAGAGGATTCTGACGTGCTGATCAGGACAGAGATGCGGCGGTTGACAAGTTTGAGAGAAGATGGAGGAGTGCTTGAGAGTTGGCGTTTAGGGTTTTGCAAGTCTGGATGGGCTTTGGGCTTTGAGTGGGTGAGTTGGGGTCGGGTTGGGCTTTGGGTGAGTGGGTATGTTTTGGCTGGGCTGGGCTTGGCTTGACTTTGGGCTTCAGGATAGGACAGGGTCCGGTTTTCGGTTTTTGCGGTTTTAACCGGGTTATACTTGGTATGGTTTTTCTCAATATGTTGGCAAGCGTAATCCGAACTAGACCGGGTTGCATCCGGTTTTCGGTTGCAAAAACCGGATGCAACCGGGACGATTTAAACTTGTCGGTTTCTAATTTGACCGGAAAATCGTGACAGGATTCCCAGCCCTAGTGAAGCTAATTAGAATATGTTATTTGAAAAAAGTATGTCAATATTTTTTAGGCAAAATACATTTTATAGCCAAAACTTTCACGTTTGTGCCAATAATAGCCAAATTTGGAGAAATACCACTTATAGCCACTTCCGTCCAATACTTTAACGGTGTTATCTAACATAGTGACTGGACTAACAACAACGATTGATGTGGCATATTTTATTGGAAAATAATGACAGGTGGAAAATCATCAAAGTTTTATTCTTTAATTTTAATTAAATAAAAAGAAAATTACAAAAAAGCAATAAATTCATTAAAAAAACAATAATCCTCGTCGTCTTCCTCAACCTCTTCACCTTCCCATCTTGGAAATCACGGTCGCTCTCGTTTTCTCTGATTCTTCATCTCCATCATCGAACAACAAGAAAAATATTCTTTTCTTCTTCCCAGAACGATGACAACCCACAAACAAAATCCTTTCTTCTCCTCTCATCTTTATCGTCTTCTTTCTCTTTCAAAAACGCCCAGATCCATTCTATAAAAAAGCCAAATCCTCCAATCAATATTCTTGTTGGAATCTCCTTCTTGTCGCCGACCATTGCTCCGATGCGTTCGTCAAGTCCAAGCATCTGGCGAACAGATATGCCTTCTCAAGACAGAGATGCTTCGACGACGACGACAGCGACGAGTCTGGACCCTTGGGGCACTGCCCGGATCGAGCATCGATGGAGGAGTGGGCATTGGAACGAACAGATATCCCCCCGGAGCGCCTAATTTGTTTGCCTCTAAAACTCCTAACCGGAGATTGAATCCCTTCACGCAGAGATTGGATCCGTTTTCTTCAACCCCTAAATCGCACTCTATCTCGCTCTCTGTCTCTCACCATCAAACTTCCTTCTCGCTTGAATCGAAACTCTTCCCCTCATGAAAACCATGCTATCCACTTCTATCCTTCTCGTTTATTTCCCAATCTCAACCCCTCTCCCACATAAATACCCACATCGGAGCTAACCACACAACCGCTGGTTTTTGCTCTTGGTAGCAATTATAGGTTTTCGATTTCCTCCCCCTTCCCCCTCTCTACAAAATCACTCGCCTCCTTCTCGCATTCATAGAGCTCGGTGCCGGGAAGCCCAGCTATCTGAGGAACATTCTGGCGCGGGTGCTTCTCCTTGGGTCACTTGTGGGATTAGCGTCACACGTTTTTTTTAATCCCAACCTCCTGATTCGGGTTGCTGGAGCAGAGGAGTGACGAGCAGCGGTGAGGCCTGCAAGGGTGGCGCACGAAGCCAAGTACGAAGCTCACCACTTGGGTCTCCGATTGACCGAAGGAGCCAAATCGCTCTGTTTCGAAAAATCCGGCTACTTGCAGGTGGAGCTGGAGCCGCTGTGTGGGAAAACCAGAATCGATGCCAAAGGGGCATCTGATGCTCTACACAGGGGAAAAGGATAGTTGCGATTGTCATAGATTGTTGGTGCACAGAGAAAAGAGTGGTGTCTGTGGCCCAATTATGAAAGAGGAAGAATGAGCACAAGAGGCAGAAGGGAGGAAGGAGATGCAAGGGTGGGCGGCGGCTGGGAAAAGGTTGGGGTTAGGCTCCAATGAAGAAAAGGGAATAAGAATAATAGATTATTATTTTTTGGTTTTTATTTTGTTTTTAAATAATATATAATTATGTGGCAATTGACCTTTTGTCATGTTGCTGACGTGTACGATGATTTGGTGTCCTAGTCAGCATATTGTTAACCTAACTGACGGAATATTTAACATCGTTAAAGTTTGTAACGAAAATGGTTAGATTTGTCATACAACAACCAGAAAATCTGGCTATAAGTGGTATTTCTCCAAATTTCGCTATTATTGGCACAAACACGAAAGTTTTGGCTATACAAGTGTATTTTGCCTATTACTAAATCGCTATTCGTCGCCCTAAACTTTAAATTATTTCACCCTAAATCATATTAAGTTGACGTTTATACCCCTATACTGGGTTTCTGTCAAGCCCCGCCGCCATTCGCATTCCCCACTCCGCCAACCTGCTGTCATCGCTGAGAAAAAGAAAGAATCCCACTGGCCGGATTCGGCCGCCATGGTCATTCCCCTAGCACGCCGACCCACTGCAATCCCTAATCCACCGACCAGCTGTTGTTGCTGAGGAAGGAGGAAGAATGTCTCACCTGCTTCGATTCCCCCAATCTGACGACTCGCTGATGTTGCTGAGGAAGGAGAAGGATGAAGTAGGATGTATAAGGTTTGAGCACTGGTCTGCATTGGAGAAGGAAGTAGAATCCTTCAACTTGGTTCGTCGTTGTCGTTCCCCAGCCGCCCGCTATCCGCTGCTGCTATTTTTTTTTTAATTGGAGCCAGCGAAGTCTCTGCCGCTTTCGGTCCCCAACACAAGGATTCCCTCCATATACCTACTCGCCCCATCGAGTTCATCCGCAAATACCCTTGGGTGTCCAAGGAATTCCTCTCCGTCAGCATAGGGATTCACCCCCATATCAAGCTCACCCAACATGTATTTGATCTCGACACTTAGTTTACCAGAGCGAAAGTTACAAGCAGAATGTTACCGATAGACTTGTGAAGATGGCAATGCTTGCGTGTATTGATAAAATTCCATTGAATGTACTTGATTGCATAAAATGAGATCTGGGTTTGCTTGATGATTACATGAAAAGCATAGTTCCTGAGTTGCCCGATTACTTCAGAGTTGTGGGTGGCAAGAATTCCTCATCCCAGTTGGGGCTAGAGATGCATTGGAGTTTGTTGGTATGCTGGAGTGATTAATTGGTTGTTTCAGTGATGGAAGGCCAAAGTGGATGTAAGGTTTACGAAAAAGGGAAGCCTCTTTCGTTCCAGATGCAGGAGGTCAACGTGTCTCGAGTTTTTTTTTTTTTTTTTTTTGTCAAAGATAGCGGTAACAATTTAGTTATACATAGCAGAAAGAAGAGCGCGGGAGTCGACTAATCGTCGAACTCCCGATGAAAGGGCTTTTTGTGCCACAAATACACCCGATGGATTTTCCTAAATTTTACATCTTTTGTATGTACTTATTTTAGTATTTCTATGTTTTAAAACAAGGCAAAATACACCTGATATCCATAAATATCACCTTTGTGCCAAATATATCCACATCTATCGAAATACATGATATATCCATTTTTGTCTTCTCCGTTACCTCCGTCAGTTAAACTGATGACTGGACAAACGGTGGTTGCTGATGTGGTGGGTGGTTGCTGATGTGGTGGGTTTTTTGACCCCACGGTCTGACGTGGATTAAATGAGGGGAAAAAACCCTTACACCACTAAACGAAGCCCCACCTTCCATTTCTTATCATCTTCTCCCCTTTCGATTCGTCTTCTCCCCTTTCGCGATTCTCTCTGTTTTCCGACCACTCCGACGGCGAGAGTAGAGCTTCAAACCCAGAAACACGGCGGAATATCACCGATCTTCTTCGATTGACGCCTGCACCCCCCAATTAACCCTACCCCAAACCCAGTTTTCGATTCGAACCACGAACCACAACCATCGCCTCCATTTTTCGCCGACGGGTTCCATGCAGTCCGCGCCATGGTGATTCTCAGGAGCACCATATTTCCGACGAAACACAAGCACAGTGGGGAAATCTAAGGTGCACCGTCGAAGGCCAGGAAACCCGAGAACGAGCATTAGCCAGGAAACCCTAATCGCGGCCAAGGACAAGGAGTTCCATTTTCAGGTTAACTTCGTTTGCGAGTTTCGCATACCCTTCAAATAACATTGGTGTGTCTTTTGATTTTGGTTCGAAAGGTTCTTATAGTGGATTGTCTACTTTTCGTGATTCGGTGGTTGGTTTGAAGGTGGGAAAGCGACATAGCGATTTCGAGAAGGGACCACTATTGTCTGGGGACATCTGGTTATCGCGATTTTGCCCCTTAATCCAACGGTGAGAACCTGCTTCTCCTGGGTATTTACGTATTTTAATCCTTGGGTTGTGAAATCCATATCATACAATAATGGTTTTTCTGAGTGTGTTGTTTATTTGGATGGTAGTGGGTAATAAAATATAAACCTAAGGTTAACAACTAATTAGTGGTTATGCTATTGTTAATCATGGTGCAGATGGCTGACTCGTGGGAGGAACTGGTGGGAGAGAATGATCCAGGCAAACCGGCTGAATCACCACATAGCTTTGCAGCAGTGGATGGAGATCAATCTGTTGCTAAAGACGTGTTCTTTGTCTATGACTCGGACGATGCTGACACTTCAGATGATGAATATCATGCTGCAAGGGACAATCTAAGGACTTACGGGGAGATGAGAAAAAGGAAGGTGAAGGCCAGGTCTGACTACCATGGAGAAGAGGTTGAGCAGCTAGATGAGTTTGAAGAAGAAGACAGTGAGGATGAAGAAGATGATGAGGTTGAGCATGGTGGCCAAGATGGTGATGCCGAGGCTAGTTTAGATGGTGCAGATCAGGGCAGTGAGATACCTGAGCAAGCATGCCAGAACAACGACGAACCTCCACAACATGAAGCAAGGGAAGAGATTTCCCAACATTCCAGCTATCGTGGATCAGAAGATTCAGATCATGTTAGGCCTAATTTGTCAGACGAGGATGGTGGTGAACCATTTGCTAATGCTCCCCATTATGATCCAATGTGTGATCATACTCAGTTCCAGTTTGTTCCTCGGCTGAAGTTTGCAAATGTGGAGCAGCTCAAGAATGCAGTGGTTTTGCATTCTCTAGCAGCGGAGCTTGTTTGAGATGGAAGAGGAGTGAACCATCCAGAAGGGAAGTTAGATGTAAGGATGAACGATGCAAGTGGAGGGTCTATGCTAGCTGGTTCAGAAAGAACCAAAGTTTCATGGTCAGGAAAGTGGGACTCAATCACACATGTGCACGTAACCTAAGGGTGAATCAAGTAACGGCAGCTTGGATTGCAGCTGATATGTTAGACAGATTTAGGATAAAACCAGAGTGGGCTCCTGATCAGATAATGGCTGAGGTCAAATTGAAGCACAACATGGATGTTAAGAAGAGAACCTGCTATAGGGCGAAGGTAGAAGCTATAAAGATGTTGAGTGGGAGTTTGGTAGTTGAGTACGAGGCTGTGAGGAGCTATATAGCTGAAATGGTCAAAAGGGACAGACATGGAAGGTTCACCTTGGAGGTGGATCCACATCCCAGTCAAGAGAAGGTGTTTTTCAAGAGGCTGTACGTAGGGTTCTCTAACCTGAAAGAAGGTTTTCTCAGGGGCTGCAGGCCAATGTTTGGTTTAGATGGGTGTTTTTTGAAGGGGAAAGTGAAAGGGATGCTTCTAACTGCTATGGGTAAAGATGGGAATAATCAGATGTATCCTATCGCGTGGGCAGTAGTGGAGGGTGAGAATGCAGATTCTTGGAGGTGGTTCTTGAACACTTTGTCTCAAGAGTTAGGCATGGTAGATGGAAGAGGTTGGAGTGTAATTTCTGACGAGCAGAAGGTGAGAAAGTTTCTCATCATTTAAGGCCAAATGTTAGTTTCAATCATTTATACTTTACACTTCTAACTGTTTAATTTCTAAATGTTTTCATTGACAGGGACTTGTTGAAGCTCTACGTGATCTCCTACCTGAAGCTGAGCATAGAAAATGTGCTAGGCATGTTTATGCAAATTGGAAGGCAAAAAACAAAACAGATGCTGTGAGGAAAAGTGACTCGACTCTACTGTCACCCTAGGAATTGGCCAAGTGAAACCACTTCCTAAAGCGTAGTATAGCGGGTTAGGTTTATATGTCAACCCGGGTCCTAGATCTGATGACTACTCAGCGAATTCTTGTTATCTAGCAATGAAACTGGAATGCAAGTCTAAACTAACAAACTAACAAAGCAAGTAAACTGTTGTATTCAGGTTAAGAGAGGTCACCCGGATATGGTTCCCCCTAGACTGCAGTTAAGCCGGATTGTAATTACCAAGTTCAGTTTCTATGATAGTTATACTGCGGAAGGTTCTTAAACAGCCTGAAGTCTCGACTAAAGGTCTTCAGACCCTCTCAATCTGAGTCTCTAGCGGGCGACTAACCTCCACCGGAGTAAACAGATTGAGGCCTTAACAAACAAAACCTCCACTACCGGAGTAAATCCGGTACTGAACAGTGAGTTGGCTCCTCGACTAAAGTCACCAACTCCCTACCTTCAATCAAGGATACTCTATTAACCTAGGCAGATATTCTCATTCTAGGTTAAAGCAGAAACAACAGGAATTTGATCAGGATTCAAGTCATTCAATCATTTAAACCTCAATCGAATATAATCAATCATAGAATCAGTACTTGGGTTCATACAATCAAACCTAACATACAAATCTAGGGTTCTCCATACCCAGATGAATGGGAAAACTACTCCATGGAGAAGAAAGCAAAAGCAGAATCAGACGCGGAATTCATACTGTGAAGGATGGATTCCTGCTCCTGGATGTTGATCGGCACTTCTCCAAGCTCAAACTGGCCTCCAATGGTGATGAAGATCAAGCTAGGGCACTTGGAGACTCTTGTTCGTCGCTTTCTCTCTCTAGGAATCGCTCTGTCTCTCTAAAACTCGAATCCCCTCGACTTGTGGCTGAAAATCTGCTTAAAAGCAGAAAATCCCGACTCACACGGCCAGGGTGGCACGGCCGTGTGGCTTACCCAGTTGCCCGTGTGAATCAAAACGCTGCGTTCCAATTAGTTCGATCTTCAGGCTTCTCACACGGCCAGGGTCGCACAGCCGTGTGAGATTTCCATCTGCCCGTGTTTGCTCTCCCAGAAATCCACACGGCCAAACCACTCCTTCACACGGCCGTGTGGATATCAGGGCAGGCCGTGTTTTCCCTTGCACAATCTCACACGGCCACAAATATGAGTTGCACGGCCGTGTGAGTTGTGGGTGTGCCCGTGTGACCTCCTTTGTGACTTGCCTCGCGCCCGATCTTCGCCCAAAAGACCCCGAACTCGCTCCTAAACCTTCATTCACTTGCCAGGACCTGAAATATCACAAACAAGCACAACCTAGCGTGAAATCGGTCTAAAACACGAGAAACCACATCTCAAACGGTGTAAGAACAGGGGTGAAAACATGTGTAATTAACGGTCTAAACTCCCCCACACTTAACCGTTTGCTTGTCCCCAAGCAAACCTAACTCAAACCAATGCAACTCTCCAGACCTCTATAGCAACAAACAACCCAGATCGTAAGTAGAGGACTTCCTAGATCATTTAGCAGCTTACGAGGTCAACCGACGCGCAAGTCATCTCATAGCTTCTTCGGCGAGAGCACTAGTATCGAGTCGGAATCATGGCAAACAGTGAACAGAGGACAAATGAATTGTGGATGAAGAGATTCTCAAAAACAAAGGATCATGGACTCACAATTTTCAAGGTGCTCTATTTTCTTCTTGAAGATGGTTGGAACCCCTTTTCTTTCTGTTTTGCTTGTTTTCTGTTATTTTTTCTTTTTCTTTTTCTTTTTCAAGGGTCCCAACCTGCTCTTACCGGCCATGCCAGGTGCGGATGTCTCGAGCCTCGTGCGGGGGAAAGATATGTAAGGGGGCTGGAGGTAGTAGGTGGAAATTGGGAACGGATTCCCATCTGCCCTTACACAATTTCGCCCTATTCGCACGGGAGACGTTATTTTGAAGCACATTTTCGAGCACCTGTTATTTTCAAGACATGATACAAGAGTCCATGGCAGGTAGAGAATCCACAACACCACACAATTCAAGGGTCCTAAGATCACTAATTCACTCAATCAACCAACACAATATGAAGAAGAAATGAGACTTCTTAAATGCATCAACATCCTCCATAGTGCTACACTACCTCCCTAGGTTGCATATTACTATAAAGACTGTCAATTCAAAGCATACTGAGCAGGCAATTGCACGGAACACGTACTTGGAGCCCTCAAATTTAAGAATTTGGACAGTGGACTAGGCTCAAAACACACAAACAGATCTAATGCAGTCAAAAGATAAACATCCCCCCACACTTAAGATCGACATTGCCCTCAATAGAGAAGAGGGAAGGAAAAGGGAACGATGTTAGCGGTATGCACGGACTGCAGGGGACTGGAAGCGGACTGGAGAGAGTACCAGTCAAGACAAGCACAGCCAAAGGAAACCAAAGAGCTCAAACACAATATGTTAGGTCCAATGGTCAGCCCAATAAAACATCATCCAAAACAAAAGAAAACAAACCAAAACCAAACTGGTTTACAATCCGACTCAAAACACAAGAAAGAAAATCAAACCGTGGTGGGGTTGCCTCCCCACAAGCGCTTCTTTACCGTCTTTTAGCTGGACGCCCATGGTGGATACTCAGGGCGGTGCAGGAACAGGTGCCTTCAAGAGCGGATCCACGTCGCTCTCGAGGTACAGCTTCAGGTTGTGGCCATGCACCCGACGGATGCGACCACCATCATCAGTCAGCTCGACCTGCCCATCTGGTAAGATGCAGGCGAGCGAGTACCCGGACGGCCAGGGTGGTCGTGGTGCAGGAGGTGGGACCAGCTCATAGTGGTCTCCACCCTTCTTCCGTGCAGGCTTAGCAACCTGCTGCTTCGGCCGCCACTCCTCCTTGAGCTTTTTGTTCGGAGGCGAGGCTGGATGGAGTGGCGGCGAAGGAATGATAGGAGGGTCCTGCAAAATAAGAGGTGCAGAAGGGTACACGACAGGCTCGTGTACCTGATCAGAAATGGCATGCACAGGCGTGACAGCAATCATAGCACAGTGATCAAACTCAGTCACAGAAAAAGTAGCCTGTTCATTCCCAGCATGCAAGATCAGTTTACCATCATGCACATCAATAAGTGCCTTGGCGGTGGCAAGAAATGGTCTGCCCGGAATCAAAGGTACATCCACATCCTCATGTATATCAAGAATAACAAAATCAACAGGATATGTGAATGCACCGACACTGACAAGCAGATCCTCTATGATTCCCCTAGGATGCACAATGGAACGATCAGCCAGCTGAATGCTCATCCTAGTAGGGCTAAGTTCACCTAGGTCTAGCTTTTTATACAACTTATATGGCATGACATTTATGCTAGCACCTAGGTCCGCCAAGGACTTGCCTACATGCATGCTGCCAATAGTAAGAGGGATAGTAAAACTCCCTGGATCCTTGCGCTTTTCGGGCAACTTGTTCTGCAGGATAGCAGAACACTCCTCGCTCAGCAACACTGTCGAGAGATCCCCAAGTTTCTTCTTGTTGGAGAGGAGATCTTTCATGAACTTTGCGTACTTGGGCATCTTCGACAGTGCCTCCACGAACGGTATGCTGATGTTGAGCTGCTTCAACATTGCCATGAACTTGGCAAACTCAGTCTCCAGCTTGTCTTTGTGTAGGCGAGTGGGGAAGGGAAGCTGGGGCACATGCTCCTTAACCACTGGTTGTGGCTTGGGAGCAGGGGCTTCCTTCTCCACCCGCACTTCTGCATCGTCGGCTGGAAGTGCTGAAGCAGGTAGTGGTTCCTCCTGTCTGGCCGGGACAAGATCAGCAGATATGGTCTTACCGTTCTTGGTAAAAATGGCATCCAGCTGCTGATGCTGGTGAGGATCTCGAGGATTCGGGACAGTGGTGGCAGGCATAGTCCCCGGTGCCCTGGTGGTGTTTTGGCGGGCCAAGATGCCCACCTGGGTCTGCAGATCCTGCAAAATGGCACCCTGGTTCCGCTGACCTACCTCCAATGACGTGATAGCAGCCTGAGTGCTAGTCATGAATGAAGCTAGAATGTTTTCCAGCTTCGTCATCCTGTCATCTGGGCCGGAGCTGCTGCTGGCTCGGCAAATTGGCGCTGGGGCTGCTGGAATGGCTGCCCCTGCCTAGGCTGGTAGGGCTGCTGCTGTGGGTCTGGCCCCTGGCGAGCCTGGAAGGGCTGCCTCTGCTGAAAACCACCTGCTGGTGCTGGGAAACCAGGTGGTTTAGTGGTGTTGCTGCTCCAGGCGAAGTTGGGATGCTGGCGCCACCCCTCATTATATGTGTTACTGTATGGATCGAGGCGCCGCGCATTGGAGATGAAGGCCAACTGCTCTTGGGGTGTGGTAGACTCCCTCATAGCCTGGCAGTCCTCCACTAGGTGATTGGAGCTCTCACACCACTGACATTGAGCTACTGGAGGTGTAGCCAAACCTCTGCCCGGAATAAGACTGTTGGGCTGCTTCAATGTCTGCACTAGCTCAGCTACCTGCTGCTCAAGCCCGGATCTGGTCTCCATGGCGTGCACACCACGGTCCCGGGACTGTCTGCCTCGGCTACCTTGTCCCCAAGAATGATCTCTGACAGCCAAAGTACTGATCATCTGGTTCAGCTCGGGTGGAGTCTTAGTAAGAATATCCCCTACTGGGCATAGAGACTCAATCACCCTCTGGCTATCTGGAGAGAGGGCACTGTAAAAGTTCCCCACTGTGAATGCATCACTGAAGCCATGATGGGGGCACTGCCAGAAATAGCCCATGTACCGCTCCCAAGCATCACGAAGTGACTCATCTGGCTCTTGGCGGAAGTGAGTGATCTCCCGCTGGATCTCTGTAGTCTTCGATGCTGGATAGTACCTGTGCACGAACTTGTCAGCCAGATCGTCCCAAGAGGTGATGGACAATGGGGGCTGGGTCTCCAACCACCTCTTAGCATTTCCCGCCAGAGAATGGGGGAAGAGATGAAGGCGGATTGCATCATCCGGGACACCATTCAGCTTGAACCCGTTCGTCAGCTGCAGAAAACGGGAAAGATGCACCCTGGCCTCCTCATTCTTCAAGCCATGGAACTGGATAGAGGATGTGATGAGCTGAATCCAGCATGGCTTGATCTCGAAGTTGTTTGCTGGAATAGGCGGGTAGAGGATGACCGGGCGGATGTCAGCAATCCGCGGAGTGTAGTAGTACTCCAAGGTGGGACCCGGCTGCGGTGGATGATGAACTCCATGATCCTGGGGTATGGGGTTGTTCCCCAGGACCTGATTCACCGGGGGAGCCTGCTGAGGATTCCCCTGGTGTTGATTGTAGTCTTCCATCTCGTACTCCTCCTCAGAATCACTGCTCACGTGGCCGTCTATGAGCTCTTCCGTAGCCAGTCTAGCTCGCTGTTGTCTCCTGAGCTGGCGACAGGTGCGGTCAATCTCTGGATTCAACGGCAGTAAACCTCCTGACTGGCTACGGGTCATGCACTACCTGCACACACTCAAGCAAGCAAACCCGTGAAGGCACAAGTGGGACCAAGCAAGCAAAGCAAAAAGAAAAGCTAAATTAACAGAAATCACTTTTCTTCAACAACCTAGCCGTCCCCGGCAACGGCGCCAAAAACTTGACTTGACTCTACTGTCACCCTAGGAATTGGCCAAGTGAAACCACTTCCTAAAGTGTAGTATAGCGGGTTAGGTTTATATGTCAACCCGGGTCCTAGATCTGATGACTACTCAGCGAATTCTTGTTATCTAGCAATGAAACTGGAATGCAAGTCTAAACTAACAAAGCAAGTAAACTGTTGTATTCAGGTTAAGAGAGGTCACCCGGATATGGTTCCCCCTAGACTGCAGTTAAGCCGGATTGTAATTACCAAGTTCAGTTTCTATGATAGTTATACTGCGGAAGGTTCTTAAACAGCCTGAAGTCTCGACTAAAGGTCTTCAGACCCTCTCAATCTGAGTCTCTAGCGGGCGACTAACCTCCACCGGAGTAAACAGATTGAGGCCTTAACAAACAAAACCTCCACTACCGGAGTAAATCCGGTACAGAACAGTGAGTTGGCTCCTCGACTAAAGTCACCAACTCCCTACCTTCAATCAAGGATACTCTATTAACCTAGGCAGATATTCTCATTCTAGGTTAAAGCAGAAACAACAGGAATTTGATTAGGATTCAAGTCATTCAATCATTCAAACCTCAATTGAATATAATCAATCATAGAATCAGTACTTGGGTTCATACAATCAAACCTAACATACAAATCTAGGGTTCTCCATACCCAGATGAATGGGAGAACTACTCCATGGAGAAGAAAGCAAAAGCAGAATAAGACGCGGAATTCATACTGTGAAGGACAGGGGTGAAAATATGTGTAATTAACGGTCTAAGAACAGGGGTGAAAATATGTGTAATTAACGGTCTATCAAAAAGCTTTTGGAAGGCGGTCTACTCATGTAATGAAGTAGATTGGAAGGCGGCTTGTGCAGAATTGCAAGCCATAGAAGCAGCGGATCGATCCACAACACCCTACAAAGACTTCATGGATCAAGAGCCTAGGTATTTCTGTCGAGCATTCCTATCCCCTATTCCCAAATGTGACTCTGTGGAATCCAATATATGTGAAACGTGGAATGGATCCATAATCAAGTATAGGGGAATGAGGCTGATTGACATGCTTGAGGGTATTAGGGTGTATTTGATGGATAGGTTTGTATTGAAGTACAAAATGTTGTATGATAACCCTGATCAGCTATGCCCTAGAATTAGGAAGAGAATTGAGAAGGAGAAGGCTCTTGCTAGATTGTACACTTCTAGGCAAACATTAGATGACAAGTGTGAGGTTAAGATGGGAAGTCGAGGGTACATTGTCGACCTCAACAATCGTAGCTGTAGTTGTGGGTATTGGGCAGTGAGTGGATTACCATGCTGCCATGCTATTTCAGCAATATCACATCTGAGGAAAGATGTTGATTCGTATGTTAGTCAATGGTATTGGACTCATGTGGTAGTGGATGCATACAAGGTAGGCATTCCTTGTTTCGATGGGAGACAAGCATGGCCAGAGGCCTCTGGCTACCCTGTGCTCCCTCCAAAACAAAGAGCTATGCCTGGAAGGCCTAAAAAAAATAGGAGGAAAGCAGCACATGAGTTTGAGGTTCGACCTCAAGCGCATGGAGTGGGTGAGGAGGTCTCAAAAAGGGGAACCCTAATCCATTGTGGCAAGTGTGGTGCAGAGGGCCATAATGCACGAACTTGCAAGTCTCCCACAGTCGTTGAAACACCAAGAACCGTAAGTACACTTTATTCCGTAATTTAAATGTTTGTGGTAGTAATTTTCCAGTGCTAATGTTTTGTTTTTTATATTGGCAGAGGAGCAGGACCCTTCCTAGGTCGAGGGAGGCCACGCAACAACAACCTGCCTCAGCAACTGGAAAGAGGACAAGAGTGTCCCATTGCAGCAAATGTGGCTCTGCCACACATAATGCTAGAACATGTCCCCTTAATCAAGGGGTTGGAATTCAGGTATTATACGAACTAGGCTTTTGCTAGAGTGTGAGATGCAATGATTCTGATGTGTTGTATCATTGTAGCAAGTAAGGCTAAATGTGGATGTTCGAAGAACCATAGAACGTGAGATGAGGGTAGCAACAAGAGGAATAGGAGTCTATGTAGATGAAACTACTGGTAACCAATATGTTAAGGTAAGTTCCATATTCATCAGAATGATCCTTTTGGAATTTGTGTCTATATTTGTGACTATCTACGTTTTCCTTTTCAGCTGAATGGAGCACGTGGACGTGTAGTGGATGTGGGTCAACCTACAGTGGTAGATGTCCAGGGAAGTCAGCCCCCAGCAACACAACTAGAGACTTGATGAAAATAGACAGTCGACTTTTAAACATTTTGAGCCCCATGTAATGACCTCCGAGGAGGGTATTTTGGAAGTCGACTTAGTTATAGTGGTTAATTGCTATGTAACATGACGTGGGGTTCTACTTTAAAACATTAAGAATGCTATGTATTAGGGGATGACTCAAGTAGTATTATTAGGGGTTCTACTTTTAAACATTTTGAGCCCCCATGTATTGACTGAAGTAGTACTTTGTTCCAGACTACTTTGTTCCAGACTATTTGGTCCATTTCAATATCAACTTTAATTGCAGTCACAACATTCAAATACAAAAGCACATTACACAGACTACTTGTTCCATTATACAAAAGCACATTACACAGACTACTTGGTCCATTTCAAATACATTCAAAACAATCACCCTGCTGTTACATAGACTACTTCCCCCCATCCTCTACAAACAAGTTTGGTTCCTCCACAAAAAGAGAAGAAAGAAAACATTGGAAACTATCACAATGCCTATCATTAAGCGAATAGCCCGAATATCATCGTTCAATCTCCTTCCTTGAGCAACCATATCTTTGATCAACGCATTTTTCTCATTCTTCCTCCTCTCCGCCTTGGACTCAGCGAGGCGCAATGCATCTTCCAACTGTATTATTATTGCCTCAAGATCCTGGTTTCCATCATCAATCCTCTCGACCCACCTAAAAAACCTACACTTCTGTTTCCCATCCACATTCTGTACCAAGAACCATCCAATCAACAAACCAAAGCCATCATTGTGTCACGCGTATAGAAACCAAGATTCTATGTTTTACCTGCCAATATGGGCATCCATAAAACTGCCTGCCTGGGTTGGTCGAGGTGCCTGATGTCTTAACGACAGCGGGAACATTGTGCTCGCAGAGAACCACCCCACCGCTGTTGATGCTTGTCGCAGATGAAGATCGACGCTTTGACATCTCGAGACAAACCTCGCCCAACTCGGATTCGCTCCTACCTGAAGTGATTCGTGTCGCGAAGTTGTCTGTTGACGATGTCGTTGACTACCGCCGGTGACGAGGTTGCTCAACGCACGCAGCGACGTCCTCTCCGACGGCGCCGATTTTGAATTCGAACCAGAACCCTAAATTTTTCGATTGGGGAAAGGGGGAAGTCGGGAAGAGAGAAGAGCCCGATAGATTAAATAGGGGAAATGGGAATTTTGTTTTCGTTTTTTATTCATAGGGGAAGTGGAATTTTTGTTTTCGTTTTTATTCATTTAAAGTTTTATTGAGTCAGCATCCACGTGTAACGTTTTATTGATTTTTGGCTTATGTGGAAAGTGATACGTCATTGAGTCAGCATTCCGTTAGTGTCTGAGATGCCGTCTGAGACGTCGTTAAAGTTTCATACGAAATTGGATATATTTGTCACACGGCCCTCTGATTTTTGGATATATCGTGTATTTCCATAGTTGTGGATATATTTGTCACAAAGCTGAAAGTTGTGGATATACAGCTGTATTTTGCCTAAAAACAAAGACTAAATTAAGGATATCTAAATCATTTTAATGAAAATTAAGACGCAAATAATAAATTTAAGACGACGAATAACTATAAAAAAAGAAACGGCTTCATAAATGTTAACAACCCGTTCCGTTTTATATAAAAACTAGCTTGGTGCCCGGCCTTTGGCCGGGTGTTAGAATGCGTTTGTGTCGGATTAATGTCCTAATTTGCATACTATTTTAATTTTTTTAATAATAGTGGTCTATCACGACACTATGTTTGTTCCTTCTCGATGCTAGATAGTCTCCGGTTCTTCTTTGCGCTCCTCTCTCTATTTCGAATTTGATTTCCCCATTAGTTTCCAAACGTGGAGAAGTGTAGGAAGTAGAATAGAACTGAAATGATTGAATTGCTGAGTTTGATGCATTACAAAGAATTGGATGAGTTAGAATCATGATAACTGTTGTTGAATGCCGAGGGAGAGGCTTGATTCAAATCCAAACAATATTGTACTTGTTTTAATGCCTTGAAAACAATGAGTGAATTGGCGGATGGATTGCTTTGTCGAGGTTGATGCCAAGGAATTTCCTTGTTGGTGGTGTTCTTTTGTTCTTCGTCCTCCTGCATAATTGTTAATTAGTAATATCTTTCTTCTCTAGTGGGGAAGGTTCGGAAAATCTTGTTTTGCAATGCAACTGGTTCTTTTTTAAGCTTAAATTCACATGAATGACAATGGAATGGATATATCTTATCTAAGCTTAAATCTACCTGAATGACAATGGATTTCATGTTCTTATCAAGCTCTACTTATGTGTATATAGTATGCAACATGGAGTCTACATTTATAGAAAACAGACCTTTAAGTACCTCTCATGAATTGCCCATATGGCCAAGTAGAACAAATATGGCTATGCCTACATTGTCCTCATCTAATAGAGTGACGCTGTACTTGAAGTTTTGTTCTTGGTTATAGGCTTATATCTTTGTTATTTATTGTAGCAAAAGGCTTTCATAATTGGTTTTGCGAGTTGGTGAAGTTACCTTGGAATACCATTGAGTGTGTTGAGGATGCAGTCCAAGGATCAAAACTACAATTCTCCTGGCGGTATTTTCTTGCGGCAATTAGTGCAGCTTAAGTAACTCCAATCTTCCATCACATCTCCAACTTTTGCCATGACTTGGCAGCTTTCTCCCTGCAGTAAAAGCAACAGGTATGTAATTAATTTTGGAACTGGAGTTGATGCAAATGAGTTTCGTTGCAGCAGTGTGTGTAATGGACTTGGTTTTCATAGTCTATTTTTTGCTGCTTCTAGTTGTGTTGTACTCATGTGTGGAGGATCTAGTTGTTATGGAATATTATAAGGAAGAGTTGCTAAAGGAATACAATCTATCCAATTACAAAGAACCAAAACTAAAATGACGTTGGAGGGACTAAATCTTGATTACCAACAATGAGGGATGACAATAGAGAAATAGTAGCAGTGGGCATAAGGTTATTGGGACCTTCCTCAGCAGGTATAGTAGTCGTCAATGTTATGCAAGTGTGGTTTCAATTTGGATGATTGATTATGGTTTTCTATGACTGACTACATTAGTTATGTTTTGAGACGAAAAAAACTCTTACTTACAACACGGTTAATTGGTAAAAACTAAGATCAAAGCTACAACTACATCAGCAACTACAAAACAGGGAAGGAGGATTTGGGGAATTACACCAGATGCAGTAGCTAATAATGAATCGATTCAATTAAAGAATCAAACTCGATCCCATGGTAGTACGCGGCCAAGAAAAGAGAAGGAAAAATAATGTTGATGAACAGGCAAACAAAGAAACAACAACTCAAACATAGGCGGTTGTTTCTCCTCCACCCAACCTAAAATCTCAAACAAAAGCGTCAGACTCACTTTATCTGACTGTAATTAATAACAAAGTTTGCAACTTGTTGACAAAGGAAGGCGAGAATGATCCAAAGAATGTCAATTAGAAAGCAAATTTGCAGGACATAGGCTGAACAAACTCATTAGAATGGGGCTTCAAGAATCATTGTGACGATATTGAGGGCTTAGCCAAGAAAATCTTGGCTTCGCAGGCCGCAGTCGGCCACAATTTGTCCGCGTCGTTGCCTTTCCCGATTAACGACAGGAGAGGATGTAGAGAATGAACCAACGGGTGTCAATCAGAAAGCAAATTTGTAGGGCAAAGGGTGAGCAAACTCGTAAGAACAGGGATTCAAGAATAATTACAAAGATATTGAGGGCTTACCGAGGAGACTATTGACTTCTCAGGCCGTAGCCGCCGAGTCGCCGACAGTTAGGCCGCGTCGTTTCCTTTCCCGAGCAACGACAGAATAGAGGAAGACCGCCTGACCGGTTCCCTTCCCGATCAACCACAGAAGAAAGGAACATCATTGGTGGGTATTGATCAGAATACGCAGGAGGATTTGAAGCCGAAGAAGCAGGCCATGGAGGATACTGTTCTGGCTTTTTGGAGAAGCAAGCAATCGAGATTGAAAAGAAACAACCGAGAAAGAAAGGTTAACTAAAGGAAAGGCAATCTTTTTTTACGGTTTTAATGCCCGCACCATTAAGTGATTGGAGGAAAACAGGTGATGACGTGGACGCATGAGGAGGGGAGAAATTTGAATCCCTGAAGCGTTTTTCCGGAAAGCCTATTATATATTCTTTAGATTAGACATTTGTCAACGGACTAAATTGATAAAAGCTAAATCACATCGGCGAACAGTCGAGACTCGAGAATAAGAAAGGCGAGGGAGAGGGAGAAGGATCGGAATAGAATTGCCTCTGACGACGATGAGCCCATAAAATCGTTGTTATTCTCTTCTCTGATTCCTCCACCCAGGAAGTCAGCACAGAATCGATATAAGAGAAGAAAAAGACAAAAGACGAGAAGGAAGTTTCACTGTTTCAGTTTCAGTTTCAGTTTCCGCCACCTAAAAGGAGGGAAAGGAATAAGTAAGAGCGCGAAACATAAACCCTATTTATCTTTCACACAACTAGTTAAAGATCTCTACCTTTCCTTCTTCCCTTCCTGTGCAGCTGTGCTCGTTGTATTGGATTTCAGCGGTTGTGTAAAGGTGAAGCTCTCTGGTGTTTCGCTGAAGAGGGTTGCTTCCATGGAGGTCTGTAATACAAACTTCTTGCTTTCTTGTATGCTCCAATTGTATCTGTCTCATCCTCCAAGATACCCACCCTCTTTTGCTTGATCAATTCTTGCATTTTTAGAAACAAGAGAACCAAGGTGAAATAGTGAACATTGACGAGACAATGGTAACACTGAAACCAGAACAAAGCTGTCAAGGAGGATTGTTTGTTCCTGGCAAGGAGAGGGTGAAGTTTACAGCTCCCGAGAGGAAATCTCTTTTAGGTAAACATCCTTTCTTGATCTGATCTCTTTTGATTACCCAACTCTTGTAATCTGCTTCTGTAATTTTTCAAGTTCTAGATTCTTGTTGCGCTAATATCCAAAATTTTCCCAGGACTGGATGTCCTTGCAATTGCGAAACGAGCCCAATCTGATGTGGATGGAGGTTTTAAGGTCCCTGCGCACAGAATAACTAACACAGTGGCCTCAGCTGACGAGGATGAAGAGAACGACACTTCTGAAATAGATGAGGCTGGAGCAGTGGGTGCAAATAATAATGCTGCGCTGAAGCATGTGAGTGGCCGAAGATACCGTGAAACATCTGCTAGTGCTGGTGAGGCAACTCATGCAGGTGCGTACTTTTCTGTTTAAATCTAGACCCCAAACATTGAATCAGTAAGAGTTTGGATAAAACTTAATTTTGTTTGAATCCTGGAGTTAGGCACCAACTGATAGAATTTGACTACATTAGCCGGTATCTAGTTTCTCTAAGGTGAATAATTGTTAAGTGCCGGTTAGTTTGTCTATTGATGAATTGTTTTTTTCCGTTGAAGTAGAATGGAATACCCACTTCTAGCTACATAAACCTCTTGGATGGAACTTTTTGAACAAGGTTCTCAGTTCCCTATTTTTGCAAAGGGTGTGATGTGTGGATAGTGTAGAGTGCTTTACCTAAAAGTTTCGATAGGGATGCGTTGATGTCAATTTTCTATACCTTTGTGTTATTCTTAAATAGAATTTCATTTGGAGTTTTACAAGTACATATTTTGAATGCTCCATGTGATGCGTAATAATATCTTTTCTGTTTCTCTGTTCTTGTATCCATATACATTCATCGAATCAAAGCTTTGCATATCTCATGTGAGATCTCGTCAATTACAGAAAGTACTGTGACCCGAGAAAGATCAGTTAGTGATGTGTCTCGAAATCATCACTCCAAGGGGGGTTCATCTTCATATGTAAGTTGATATTCTATTTTTTTTTTGTACAAAATATTCTAAAATATTTACATTGGACTGTAATCAAATTATGCATGTACCCTCCCTTTATTTTCTTGTGCATTATATGTGGTTAATAACATCAAATCATCATTTCATCAAAAACTAACATTACATCATCTGGAATTATAGGGACCTAGTACCTCCCCTCGAACTTCTCAACGGGATCCCTCCAGGAGTCCATGGCGTCATGGAGATGATTACATCACTGAACAAAGAGGCAGAACAGATGATGATAGGATTGATAATCGAAGGGACAGACACAGATACAGCAGTGACCGTGAAGACCGAAGTCATGGAAGAGAATCACGCCATCGGTATGAAGACGATTATGATGGAAGTTATGGAAGAAAACGCTCACGAACACCAGGTTTGTGTTGACTTCTTATTTGATGAATTTTCTTTTTTCTTAGCACAATTGCAACCAGGAAATGTTTGGCTTTTTTTTTCTTTTACACATTTTATGTAGTTGGAACAATTTTTACCTAACCCTATTAGCTGAAGTGAGCATGTGGACTACTGTGTCAATCTAACTTTCCCCTTGATTAATTTTCAGGGAGATATGATTGGGATGATGGAAGATGGGAATGGGAAGAAACTCCTGTTCGTGATGATACCTCTAACTCAGGTCAGCGGCGTCAGCCTTCAAGGTCCCCAATGTTTGTTGGGGCATCACCTGATGCACGATTAGTTTCACCATGGTTGGGTGACCATACTCCTTCGGCTGGTATGTTGGGAGTTAAGATCAGGTGATCATTTGCTTTTGTATCATGTAATTCTAGGTGTTAGTTGACATTTTGTCTGTGCTACACTCAGGCTCCAGTGCTTCCCCTTGGGATCGGGTTTCTCCTTCTCCTATACCAATACGAGCTTCTGGGTCGTCAGATAGGTCCTCTGTTTCTAGACGGGGTGGGAGATCTCATCAGCATACTTTCTCTGTTTTAAGCTCCCAACCATTAGAGGTAATTTTGTTCACCAATATATTGCTGACATTAGTGTTCATATATGAATAGTTACAGTTAACATGCGAAAGTTAAGTGAAACCTCTAAAATAGTAGTATCTTGAAGGTAAGAACAGGCGTAGAACATGTGCAAGCTGCTTTAGTTAAGCTTTCTTTTTTCTGTTTTAGGGATATACTTTCTGTATTAACTGTGGTAAGATGATGGTTTTATAATCGAGCAGCATTCTTACTCACAGAATAATTTCCTCTGGCAAGAATTATTATCTAGCCTTTCTTTTTTCAGCATACTTTCTCTTATGGTCAATTTGTTCTATTTGATTTTAGTGCACGATAGGTCTTTAATGGTTTATCACTCCAGGATGAGTCACGTTCTGCATTCTAAATCATCTAAGCTAATATAATGTCTGTTAATATCTCCAGGAAGGAGAAAAGCCATTCGTGTCTGAAGAACATAATCCTGAGATTACTGAGGACATGCGTTTGGAAATGGAATATACTTCTGACCGAGCATGGTAAAATCTTCCTCTCTATCTGCAACTTGTGCGAAGTATGCAAATACCTGCAACTGGACTGTCTTTAATGTTCTGTTAATTTACGTCAGCATTCTTTTGACTTAGGCTTGATGGTTCTTATAAAGAAGTTGGTTGGACTTTCAGCCAGTATCTCTGTATTAATTGGTGTCGGTATTGCTCAGGTACGATAGAGAAGAAGGTAACACATTGTTTGATTCTAATAGCTCATCATTTTTCTTTGGAGACGAAGTTTCAATCCAGAAAAAAGAGGCAGAGTTGGCTAAAAAGCTGGTATGTTAAGATAAATTGTGATTTTTAAAGCACGAGAATTAATTATCTCTGTCTGATAGGGTGTCTTCCGGCACCATTTGTCTCCATCTCCATTGTGTTTGAGTAGTTTGTTCTCAGTATGAGATTTTTCTAACATCGGAGGAGATATTTCATGTGTGTTCTCTTATTTAGGTTCGTAGAGATGGCTCCAAGATGACACTATCTCAAAGTAAGAAGTTATCTCAACTTACTGCTGATAATGCCCAGTGGGAAGACCGGCAACTGTTGAGATCTGGTGCTGTTAGGGGAACTGAAGTGCAGACTGAATTTGATGATGAGGATGAACGCAAGGTTATTCTCCTTGTGCATGGTAAGAATTTGGTTGGCCACATGGAAGCAGAAGAACTGCAAGCTTTTGTATTTCTATTTATTAAGCCCATCATAACTTCTTTTGCCACCTGCAATAGATACAAAACCCCCTTTTTTGGATGGAAGAGTCGTTTTCACTAAACAAGCGGAACCAGTAATGCCTCTAAAAGATCCCACATCCGACATGGCCATCATTTCACGCAAAGGATCTGCTCTAGTCAGGGAGATTCGTGATAAACAGAGTCAGAACAAGTCTCGCCAACGGTTTTGGGAACTTGCTGGCTCAAAACTTGGTGATATTCTTGGTGTTGAGAAAACAGCGGAGCAGGTTAGTACTTGTATGCCAATTTTTTTATTTCTCCTATTGCCGTCACCAGATTGTTCTTGTGCTTAAAGAATTACTATATTTCAGATTGATGCTGATACTGCTGAAGTGAATGAAGAAGGTGAAGTCAATTTCAAGGAAGATGCAAAATTTGCACAACACATGAAGAAGGGCGGTGAAGCTGTGAGTGATTTTGCAAAGTCAAAAAGTCTTGCAGAGCAGCGGCAATACCTTCCTATATTCTCTGTGAGGGATGAGCTGTTGCAGGTCTGTTTTCCCCTCTGTTTATGTATGTTAGTTTGTCTTGGTATGCAGTTGGTAAGGGTTTCAGTTGCCACCTGAGTACTTTAGAAATGTCATCATATTTGGCCTGATGATGGGTTGCCAGACTCTAGAATGCAGTTCCTTGTCATTTTTGGGAACCTAGTTGTGGTGGATTGTTACTCATACCATATTGTGCAGTGTGCTTACTATGGTCAAATTCCCTGCTCTGTAGGTGATACGTGAAAACCAGATAGTAGTTGTAGTTGGAGAAACTGGGTCGGGAAAGACTACTCAACTGACACAGGTTTTTACCCATCCCTTGTTCTCTTCATGTCATAAACTATTGTTATATGCAATACATCTCCTTCTCCAATCCTCATTGGTGTACTAATGCCTTTTCTTTGCAGTATCTACATGAAGATGGCTATACAGCAAATGGAATTGTGGGTTGCACCCAGCCCCGTCGTGTGGCAGCCATGAGTGTTGCCAAGAGAGTTAGTGAAGAGATGGAGACTGAATTGGGGGATAAAGTTGGTTATGCAATTCGGTTTGAGGATGTGACTGGAAAAAACACCATAATCAAGGTTTGATGATGCTGGTGGTGCTGATTTCATATCTTCTATGGTCTTCTCTTACGTTTCCTAGTATTTGTTTGACAAGCTCTATTTTCAAGGGCCAATGTTTATACCTAGGATTTTCCTTCAGTGACGACTGCCTACAAACCTGTTAAAAATTCATTTCTTGGTTTTGCAGTATATGACTGATGGAGTACTCCTACGTGAAACATTGAAAGATGCTGAATTGGATAAGTACCGGTATGGAAATCATTAAGTTGCTGTGTAGGTTCTTCTCCTGAGCAACTTCTCTGTTATGATATATTAATTTAACGAAGCTGTGATTGTGACAGGGTCATTGTCATGGATGAAGCACACGAGAGATCATTAAACACAGATGTACTGTTTGGGATATTGAAGAAGGTGGTTGCACAGCGTCGTGATTTCAAGCTCATAGTGACATCTGCAACTTTAAATGCTCAGAAGTTCTCGGATTTCTTTGGAAGGTAAGATGAGATATTTTCAGTGTGCTTATGCACATCATATAATATTTTAGTCTGTTGATTTTATAGAGCAATTGGTCCAATCTTCAAATATTTTCCAGTGTACCAATATTCCACATCCCTGGGCGAACTTTCCCTGTGAAGACCTTATATAGCAAGAGTCCTTGTGAAGACTATGTAGCAGCGGCTGTTAAGCAAGCTATGGCTATCCACGTCCAGAGTCCTGCCGGTGACATCCTCATATTTATGACTGGGCAAGACGAAATTGAGGCAGCGTGCTATTCCCTTGCAGAGCGCATGGAGCAGATGGCTGCGTCCACCAAGGATGTTCCTAAGCTTTTGATCCTTCCAATATATTCTCAGCTTCCTGCTGATTTGCAAGCAAAGATATTTCAGAAAGCTGAAGATGGAGCTCGGAAATGCATTGTGGCGACCAACATTGCTGAGACTTCATTGACTGTGGATGGAATCTTTTATGTTATCGACACAGGATATGGTAAAATGAAGGTTTACAACCCAAGGATGGGTATGGATGCTCTGCAAGTTTTCCCTGTCAGCCAAGCGGCTGCCAATCAGCGTGCAGGACGTGCTGGTAGAACAGGCCCTGGCACATGCTACAGGCTGTACACCGAGAATGCGTACCTGAACGAGTTGTTGCCAAGTCCAGTGCCGGAGATTCAGAGGACCAATCTCGGTAACGTAGTTCTTCTGCTGAAGTCTCTCAAAATAGAGAACTTGCTGGATTTCGATTTCATGGACCCACCTCCGCAAGATAATATTTTGAACTCTATGTACCAACTGTGGGTGTTGGGCGCGCTGAGCAACGTTGGAGGTCTGACTGATCTTGGATGGAAAATGGTCGAGTTCCCCCTGGATCCTCCACTAGCTAAGATGCTTTTGATGGGAGAGCAATTGGGATGCTTAAATGAGGTTTTGACTATTGTATCAATGCTCTCGGTCCCCTCTGTGTTCTTTCGGCCCAAGGACAGGGCCGAGGAGAGTGATGCTGCACGGGAGAAATTCTTTGTTCCAGAATCTGACCATTTGACTCTGCTCAACGTCTTTCTGCAATGGAAGGAGCACCAGTATCGGGGAGATTGGTGTAACGACCATTACTTGCATGTCAAAGGATTGCGCAAAGCCAGAGAAGTTCGGTCTCAGCTGCTGGATATTCTGAAGACTTTGAAGATTCCATTGACGACCTGTGGGCATGATTGGGATGTGATCCGGAAGGCGATCTGTTCTGCGTACTTTCACAATGCAGCAAGGTTGAAGGGTGTTGGTGAGTATGTAAACTGCAGGTCAGGAATGCCGTGCCACTTGCACCCGACCAGCGCCCTCTATGGCCTGGGGTACACTCCAGATTATGTTGTGTATCACGAGCTGGTGTTGACCACAAAAGAGTACATGCAGTGTGCAACCTCTGTAGAGCCCCAGTGGTTGGCTGAGATGGGTCCCATGTTCTTTTCGGTCAAGGATTCCGATACATCGATGTTGGAGCACAAGAAAAGGCAAAAGGAAGAGAAGACTGCGATGGAGGAGGAGATGGAGAATTTGAGGAAGGCTCAAGCAGAAGATGAGAGACGAAACAAGGAGAAGGAAAGAGAGAAGAGGGCAAAGCAGCAACAACAAATAGCAACGCCAGGGCTGCGTCAGGGATCTTCAACTTACTTGAGACCTAAGAAGTTTGGTTTGTAGATGTGGCTTGTGTGAAATTAACTGAATCTTACAAGGAAGAAATGTTGTAACTCTCAATTTTATTGTGGAGTAAACCAACTAGAAGTCACTTATTCCCTGTAACTTTGCTACTACCCTCACCTTCCAGTAAAGTGTTCCTCTTGCGATGGGTTGGACATGACTGTGATGTCCTGAGGATTCTGAAACTTTGTCAAGTGTGGGTGGTGAAATCACCTAATGCTGTTGCACTTTATTCCGTTGCTCCTGCTATTGTAAGGTTGAAGAGGTTGCGGCTCCACATTTGGAGGTTGTTGATAACATAAGGAGAAGATGATTTTGGATCCCGAACTGGAAGTTTTTGTGTTTTCAGGCCACCTATAGAAAGTAGTTGAATCTCTTGCTACTACCCTCACCTTCCAGTAAAGTGTTCCTCTTTTTTTTTTTTTTGGTAAGAAGTGTTCCTCTTGCGATGGGTTTGGACATGACTGTGATGTCCGTGAGTTGGGATGGCAAAAATAACTGGAACCGTGGAACTGTGGATATTCACTCGAATTCGACCTAATCGGGAGGTATGTTTGTTAATTTACTAAAATTGAGGGTATAAAATACTATTCACCCACTAATAAACTATAAATATACATGGTCCACCCTGAGGCCGCAGAACCGAAAACCCCTCCCTCGCTCATACTTGTGGCGCTGGTGCGTGCTAAAGGCACAGATATAAAGTGTAAAACCGTTGCTGTCCCGTTCGGCTTATCAAGCGAAATGACCAAGGTTGTCAGCCGCGGGTTGACCCGCGGGTCGACCCACTTTGACCATGGCCTGGTGAGAAAAACGGACCGCATGCACCCGTCGGGTCGACTGTTACAAGGTACCGGGTTGAAGGTCAAATTGTGTCATTTTTTTATTTTGTTTGCGAAATGCGTCTATTTTCCGATTTTTCTATTCGCCTAACTCAATTTTTGGAATCCTAAGTTGAACATTTGAATATTGATGTTAAATAAATTTGTGTGAATTTTCACTATATGTTGGATTTAAGTACGACATGTTATTTTGGTGTAATATTATATATTATAACTCATATGTTATATAAAATTTGACATAACTTATCAAGTACAATATAATAACTTTTTCTATATTTTCGGGCCAAACCAGGCTAAAATAGCTGACCTATTAACCCTTGACCCACTAGGTCGACCGGGTCCGGATCAACTCGTGAGTAGGGATGACAATTTCGACCTGACCCGATTTACCCGACCTGTTTGACCTGTTTTGGGGCGGTCCAACCCGCCCCGTAGGTGGGGCGGGGCGGGCATGGGTATCTCTCATCGACCCGACCTGCCCTGACCTGCCCATTCTCGACCCGTTCTTGTCTAAATTACATATAATCTTAGTCAAATTACTTAACATTTTCCTCTTATTACATTATATTTTAGCTATAATAAAGTTGTAAATAAGTGAAAACCTCAATTTCTTCAATAATTTAATTACATTTTATCATATTATGGTTTCTTTCTTGGTCTTTCAATGAAAAAAATGAATATTTCTAATGTTTTTCACATAAATTACATATACATTGGGTCGACCTGATCCGATCTGCCCCATAATAAATTACCCGACCTGCCATGAGGCGGGTATCCATATGGGTATCGAGATACCCACCCCGACCTGCCCATTGCAATCCTGCTCTCGAGTTGATGACACTTCCATGAAATAATTATTAAATTAACTAAACGAAAATTATTAAAACCGAAATGCGTTTTCTGACAATCCACAAGAAGAACTAATCGCGCTCATATTTCGCGTAGTCTGTACACGCGAAGAGCTCCGCTGTTTCCCTCTCGTTTCCCCTTCTTGACCTCGGCGAGCTCTCCTCGGTTTCCCTCTATCGTCGCATTGGGCGGTTTCCGTCGGCATTTATCCGACTCGCAGTCGGTCGAATTTGACATTAGCCGAATTGAGATACTCGTTAACGGCCGAGATCCTTGCCTCTTGCGCTTCGGTAATTTCCGGTCACGGTAAGGTGGGTTGCTTGTTTGCTAGCTTTCTAAATCCCTTTCTTCGTTTGTTTCCGAAGAGCATCTTGTGGAGTAACGAGTTGATCCTGCTTTCGTTTTGTGTTTAGAGGAATTTAGGTTTAGGATTAACGAATTGCTTTTGTTCATAAGTATATTGTTTTTATATCGTAGGTCTTCTTTTCCCTGGTAAACGAACTCGGAGTTTCTGGAGTACAGGAGAAAGAGAGTAGGCGTGATTTCCAATTCTCTTAGTGCCTTGGTTATGCTTGGTTTCTATGAATTTGCGATGTTTACTATCATTAGTGCTTTATGATCTCGCTCTTCAGTTTCTTGATTTCAATTTCGTGTGTTATTCAATTTACGATTGTCGGTAGTAGGCTGTCTGATATTAGTATAATTGAATCGGAGGTGTTCTTAAATCCACCTAAAGCCTCGTAACTTGCATTATTGGTCTCTTATATTTAGTTTAGTGGAAATGTATACAGCCTGTGTTTACTTCTGGAATCTGTTTTTATTTTTTAGAGGGGGTACACAGAATGTATACGTAGCCTATCTGCCCCCATTTTGGAGGTTACTCAGCTTTACGACGTCCCCATTTTATCCCTTACTTTGGGTGGTATTCTGATAATGTTATACTCGTTGATAGTTTTGATTTTGATAATTCGTTGCATCAAATCAAAGGTGACTAATGGTTGCAATCATTTATGTGTAGGTTCCAGTGTCGTCGGTTTCTTTTGAAGTTCTGGTGCTGTCTGATTGCTTGTTGGAAGTCAGCTCAGAGCCAGATATGAGCTCCCAAACCAGAAGTGATAGAAGTGACAGATCTAGATTACCCTCTCAAACTGTGCGCCAGACTTGGGTTCCCAGAGGACAAGGCCCCTCCACAGTTTCTGTAAATCTACCTCCTCCAACTTTCATTTCCAATATCGATGAAGGCACCAGTCATTCAGCTGTCCCTAAACCAAGACACAGAGGCACCAGTAATCCAGCTGTTTTGGATCCACGACAAAGAGGCACCAGTAATTATGTTGCTTCTGAACCCAGACCCCGAGGCATCAGTAATTCTTCTCGGAATCATGTGGGTCGCCCCACAAACCACAGGAGGGATAAGGAAAGGGAGAAGGGTCAGCCACAAACTTTGAAAGAGTTGAAGTATGCAAATATGCCGCAACTGGTGCAAGAAATTCAGGAGAAACTTGCAAAGAGCACTGTTGAGTGTATGATTTGTTATGATATGGTGCGAAGGTCTGCTCCTATTTGGTCTTGTTCCAGCTGTTACTCCATTTTTCATCTCAATTGTATCAAGAGATGGGCTAGGGCTCCTACTTCCGTCGACTTGTCTGCCGATAAAAACCAGGGTTTTAACTGGCGCTGCCCGGGCTGCCAGTACGTGCAGCTGACACCAATGAAAGAGATTCGTTATGTTTGCTTTTGTGGGAAAAGAACAGATCCACCCTCTGATTTGTACTTGACTCCTCATTCATGTGGTGAGCCATGTGGGAAGCCCCTCGAGAAGCATTTGCCAGGCACCAACTTAGAGAGTAATAATAAGAATTCTTGCCCTCATGTCTGTGTGTTGCAGTGCCATCCAGGTCCATGCCCACCTTGCAAATCATTTGCTCCACAACGCTTGTGCCCTTGTGAGAAGAGCACCATCACCACTAGGTGCTCTGAACGTCAATCTGTTCTCACGTGTGGTCAGCGATGTGATAAGCTTCTCGATTGTCAGCGTCATCGTTGTGAACGGATTTGTCATCTTGGTCCTTGTGATCCGTGCAAAGTTCCGGTTACAGCTTCATGTTTTTGCAAGAAAAAAGAGGAGGATATATTATGCGGAGACATGTCTGTGAAGGGAGAGGTGAATGTCGAAGGAGGTGTCTTTTCATGCAATTTCATGTGTGAGAAGATGCTTGCTTGTACTAACCATGAATGTACTGAAGTATGTCATCCAGGTCCTTGTGGAGATTGTGATTTGATGCCAGGAAGGGTCAAATCTTGTTATTGTGGGAAGACGAGCTTGGTGGAGGAAAGGAAGTGTTGCTTGGACCGAATCCCTAACTGTATGCAGGTGTGTGGCAAGCTACTTTCCTGTGGGGTTCACAACTGTAGGGACCTGTGCCATTCTGGAGATTGCCCTCCTTGTATGGTTGATGTCACCCAAAATTGTTGTTGTGGATCTTCCTCGAGAACTGCGGCCTGCTACAAAACATGTGATATCAATGAACAGTTCAAGTGTGACAAGCCTTGCGGACGAAAGAAGAATTGTGGGAGACATCGGTGTAGTGAACGTTGCTGCCCTCTTTCTAACAACTCAACTGCTTCTTTCTCTGAGGATTGGAATCCACACTTATGCCAAATGGCCTGTGGCAAGAAGTTGAGGTGTGGCCTGCATTCTTGTGAGTCACTATGTCACAGTGGTCATTGCCCTCCTTGTCTTGAGACAATCTTTGTTGATCTGAGCTGTGCATGTGGAAGGACTTCAATCCCTCCCCCCTTGCCCTGTGGTACAACGCTACCATCATGTCAACTCCCCTGTTCGGTTCCTCAGCCTTGTGGTCATGCGGCTTCTCATAACTGCCACCATGGAGACTGTCCGCCTTGTTCTGTCCCTATTGCAAAGGAGTGTGTTGGTGGACATGTGTTTCTCAAAAATATACCTTGTGGTTCGAAAAATATAAGGTGCAACAAGCTCTGTGGTAAAACTAGGCAGTGTGGTCTTCATGCATGCGGGCGGACTTGTCATCCAGCACCGTGCGACTCTTCACCTTCCTTTCAAGTAGAGGCAGGGAGAGCTTCTTGTCGCCAGATATGTGGGGCCCCCAGAAGGGACTGTAGGCATACTTGTGCTGCACTTTGTCATCCTGCTGTTCCTTGCCCCGATGTCAGATGTGAGTTTCCAGTCACAATTACTTGCTCATGTGGCAGGATAACAGCCAGTGTTCCTTGTGATGCTGGAGGGACAAGTGGTGGTTTCAGTGCTGATACAGTTTTTGAAGCTTCAGTAGCCCAGAAGCTACCAGCACCACTTCAGCAAGTGGAATCAACAACTGGTAGTAAGAAGATTCCACTTAGCCAAAGGAAGCTTACTTGTGATGAAGAATGTGCCAAGTCAGAACGTAAGAAGGTTCTTGCTGATGCTTTTGACATTAATGCCCCCAACTTGGATGCTCTTCATTTTGGCGAAAACTCGGCTGTTACTGAGTTGCTTTTGGATTTATATAGGCGTGATCCAAAATGGGTTCTTGCTGTCGAAGAGAGGTGCAAGTGCCTTGTCCTTGGTAAGCACAGGGGGGTAACTGTGGGTGGTGGTCTCAAGGTTCATGTCTTCTGCCCGATGCTGAAGGACAAGAGAGATGCAATTAGGCTGATTGCGGAGAGGTGGAAGCTAGCAATCCATGCTGCTGGGTGGGAACCCAAGCGATTTGTTGTTCTTCATGCAACTCCCAAGTCCAGACCACCACAACGTGTGATTTGTGTCAAAGGGGTGACTGCTGCCACAAGTCTGCACCCACTTGCTTTTGATGCCCTTGTTGACATGGATCCCAGGCTCATTGTTTCTTTCCTTGATTTGCCTAGGGAGTCGGACATAAGCTCTTTGGTGCTTAGATTTGGCGGGGAGTGTGAGCTGATATGGTTGAATGATAAGAATGCTTTGGCAGTTTTCAATGATCCTGCTCGTGCAGCAACCGCCCTTAGGAGGTTGGATCATGCGTCTGCTTATCATGGTGTCGTCGTGATTCTTCAGAACAATGGTGCAGCAGCTAATGCATGGAGTACCCCTAAGGATGGAGTGAATGCAGCAATGAAGGGAAATAATGCATGGAAAAAGGCTGTTGGTGAAGATGTTTGGGGTGGTGAAGAGCAGCCTAGCGGATCCAGTGATTCTTCTCCTTGGAAACAAAAGGAAGCTACTTCTGCAATTACTGCTTCGGTTAATCGCTGGAGCATTCTAGACACTGAGACGGCTTCCAGCACTATTGCTGCTGCTTCATCAGTGGTTAGAATTGAGGATCGAGGTGGGGCTTGTCTTGATTCAGTAGTAATAAGACCTTCGTCCGAGCAGCTGGAAGTGGCAGATGACTGGGAGAAAGCTTTTGACTTGGACCACAATACGCAACAGGGGTAAACGCCCAATCTAGTTTGTGATTATTCGGGGATCTTGATCCATTGGAACTGATACAAGCTTTTAGTGGTCATATCCTGCCTGGCTACTTTTAGTTGAGAATTTTGGTCCACTACCCTTGCCCATTCTCTTAGCCAAGTTAAGTTTTATATCAGAATGCTCAACGTTCTATTGAGAACTTAAGAGCGGTAGACTGAGTTAATTGGCTTCCAGCCATGTATGTAGTAACAGAAGGCTTTGGCGAAGAGGCGAGGTGTCCGATTTCTGTAATCCACTAAAGCTTTAGGTGGAGAGATTTTCTGTTTCCTTTTCCTGGAAGCAGTATTGTCGAATTGTGAAGCAAATGTGATAATGATCAAAGATTAAATATGGCTTATTTAGCCTCTATTAAGGCAGATAGCAAACATGAAATGTTTTCCCCATTCAAATCATGCTTACTTGTGTGATTGATGGCCCGTAGCAAGTATGTAATGTTGTATGCTTCCTATGTTTATTATGGGTCAGCATGTGTTCGTTACTTCTTTAGGTTTCCTACAGTCTCTTTGAGCTGATAAATATATTGAAGATCACTTTTGTGCCGCTGGTGCACATCATTATATCTGCAGCAGTTCGTTCTAGCATTTTGTAATAGCTGCTTTTTATATTCTTGAGAGTCCTGCAGTTGATGGTAAGAGGTAGGTCTTGTTATCGACCATTTCAACACAATAGCCTACAGTTTGTTTATCCCACTATGTCAGATTCCACATAGAATCATGTGTTGAATGGCGAAAACAACATATGCTAGTTCTGGTTTCTTTGCTTCTAGCGCTGCAAAGAGTATGAGGTAGTAAGTGGAATGAGGCTCCAACATTGAGTCACTCGGCTGATGCTCTGCAAATTCTTTTACAGGTAACAGGTGTGTGATCAAAGAACATCAACTAAAGTTGCTGTCTTCTCCTGCAGTAACGGTATGCATTGTTTTCTTCTTCTTGATAAGAGAATACCTGCAGGCCTTGAGTTGCCTGTCCTAGACGATATCTGGACACCTAATTTTAAGTAGCTTTAAATTCATTGTACCAGGCAAATCTTATTCTCTAATTGTCATATTTCTGTATCAATAATGAGGCAGACAGAGTTTGACTTCTCTTTGTTTTTTTTTTTCCTGGTTTAATTTATTAATTTTCTCCCGCGTTCTCTGCGTGAGAGAATAGGAAGAAGGTATTCTTAATTGAGACACTCACTATTAGATTGCATTCAAGCACTCACACACTGTAATTTCATGAATCTAGTGCGGATTTCAGTATGCATTGAGATGGGTTACCTCTTAAGGTTCAGGAGTTCTGTCTATATCCAGGTTGTAGCGCATTGCATAACTCATGCTTGTGAACTTCTTGGGGTAGTCGTGGTTAGAATGAATTCTGCATTTCCTTTAGGCTCTTGGCTTTTCTTTGTTGAACGTATCACTCGTGAACTATTTTGGGTGATTAGACTTGAGGCACAAAAACACTTAATTGGTAAGGGTTTGAGGAAATAGAGAGGACAAAGGTTGGCTATACAAATTTGTTCTCTTTCTGAGTGCGACCTTATTGGCCATCAACTCCGTGCCAGAGGAATATATTGTTGCATTGGGATTCAGCTCGTAGTGGTGAATGGCTCATGGTTGCGTTATTGCATAGAATAGAAGTTCTTTCCTGCTGTATCTGTATCTAACATGTTCACTTTTTGGGCAGTCGGAGGTCTCTGTCAATCACTGTTGGAATTCTTGGATTCAAGGGCTTGATAGGATTTGTTTTCTATTTCCTTATCATGGCTGTAACTTCTGTTGAACCCACAGCCGAAGCAACGTGTTCCATTCACTCCTACTTTGACTCAGGGAACTGAGTCGTGGTTTGAAGGCCCTCTTTTGGTGTGCTTCTCTTATTTGCCACTTTACATCTTTCAGCTTCTTCTTTTTTTCCTTAATGAGGTCTTAGGAGAGAATTTTGCTGATCTTCGTTTATCCCATGGATAAGGCTTTGACCTCTAGTTTTTATGGATTAGTCACGGTAATGTCTGCATGGTGCGTAATTAGCCGAGTTAAGAAATTCCTGCAGTATTAAATCGATATCCGTACAGACCTAGCAACAAACTTCTATGTCGGTAGGAAAGTAACTTTGCCCATTTTTCAGCTTTTACCTTACATCTCTATTAATGACCAACAGCTGGTTCTGGTTTTGTGACTTCAGGAGCTCAACAGCACTTTTATGTTCTTCTGTGCCATCTTTCTTGCTCTTCTGGACATATTTTTCCACACATTAGAAATATGGTTTCTTATTTATTTACCAGTTATAGATAGTTGGAATACTACTCAAATATAAAATCCTGTTTGCTCATGTTTCAGCTTTTGATTAGCCATACACTGTCTTCTAGCCGGCCCTCCCATTTTGTTGAACTTCATGCTTGCTAAGTCCGATGTGTTGTAGCAAGTACAGAGTGTGATATACGAGCGATGCTTACTGTGGGTTTTTTTTTTATATAATCTGAATCATGTTTTTTGTTGTTTCTACAGGAGGTATGACTCTTCAAATTCACAAGTTCGTAGGCGGATTGGCTTTCTACCCAGCTAAAATAATAAGAGACTGCTGCACAACATAATAACTGCAGCAGTTCTTTCCAGTGTTCTGTGCTCTCCGGCTTTTATAATGGATACTTCCGTAGTTGATGGTAAGAAATGGCTATCGTTGATGAGTATGTTTTTGTCCTTGGGGTACACTGACTGCTAGTTCTGGTTTCTTTGCTTCAAGTGCTGAGAATCTGAGCTGGTAAAAAGAATGAGGATCCCTGACGCCGAGTCAGTCAGGCTGCTGCTTGAACGATTTCATAGCTTCATACAGTTATCAAAGTGACTAATATGAGAAAATGATAGGAAATTTTTTATTTCACAACCAATTGAGTGTCTTTTAACTTTTTGTTTATGTTATACCTTTGCTTGGTTCAAATGGATAGGAAAAAATTAAGCCAGTAACCTGATCCATGAGGCGGTGGGTGCCTAACCAGTAAGCTATTTCTGCAGGTTCAATTGGTTAAATCAGTTTGGTAGACAGAAAACTAGTTAATTTCATTCGGTAAAAATGGATTGTAAATGGCAAGAACTTGTGAATTTGAGAGTTTGGGTTATTATGTTGTGCAGCAGAGGGATTGTAAATCGTAAGAAAGGAAAGAGCGAAGAGGAAACTAGAAAGGAAAGAGCAAAGAGGAAACTAAAAAGGCAAGTGGTGAGTGAAATTCCCACCATCTCTGCAATCTCTCTCCTCTTGAGAGAGTGCATCTTTGGGGAGTGGTGATTACTGAGTAGTGACGGAAACCAATGAGTGAAAAAAGCAGGCCTAGAGAATCTGAAAGGCTAAACGTCGCCCTAGTTTTTATTATTTATCGCCCTAATTTAAACATGAAAGTACGTAACTGTCCAACAAAATAAATGAAAATCAAAGCGGATTTTAAAGAGCAACTCCTTTGCCGGGAGACACCTAATCTGGCGACGATGTTCTCCTCTGCAATCACCCATTCCCACCGTCGGCATCCTATCTTCCTTACGACTGCACATATTCCGTCTTAACTCTCAACAACCGATTTCAGCTTAATTTCAGGGACTCTCCTTCCCCATCGGTTCCCACCCTTCTCTCTCTACCTCCCTCCGACCTACATGTTTTCAGGTCATTCACTTTCGTCCACTTTCTTACAGAAAAATTCAATTATGCTTGGTGACATTTGCCATTTGCCAACATTAATTGAGCTGGGGATTCATAATTCAATTGGGTAGATTCTCAATTTGTTCCCTCGTCGATCATGAATTGTCGATGGTGAATTTTGTTCTTTCGTGAAAGAAAAATGGTTTATTTATATTGTCTCGCCGCCTCCATCCGAATACGATGGTAGGGTTTTACCTGATTTGTCAGTGGCCAGAGTAGTATGGTGGAGAGGATATCGACGGGCAGTGGTGGCGACGGGTAGCGGCGGTGCGCAGTTAAGGTCAACCGGTTAATTTCTTTTGGATAGAATGTGTTTATTTGGATTAAAACAACCGTAAAAAGAGAAGGATACATATGGAATTTTTAACTTGATAATTAGGGCGATTATAGAAAAGTAGGGCGACAATTAGACCACCCACAGCAAGCATTGAAACAAAAAGGGGGAAAAGGAAAAAAAAAGAGGGGAAAGCCTACAATAAGAGAGGATAAAAAAGCTAAAAAGGAAAAGAAGACTATTGGGGGAGGGTTTACCCTTCTGAAAAAGACAAAAGAAGGAGGAAAAAGTGGGTTGCTGGTGGAAGAAGATGATTGGACCACGCGGCTAGTGTCCTCTTTTTTTTTTTTCCCCCACCATTTTGAAGAAAAAAAGCTCTCCCCATTGCCCCTTTTTTCCCTCCCACCCATTGTGACCAATTCCTCTCCTCCACCCTTTTTCCCCTTTTTTCCCACCCTTTTCAACCTTTTTTCCCTTCCATCTTTGTGGATGGTCTTAGTAGCCCTCCTAGACAATTGAGCCAGTTAGATAAAATGAGTGGCCAGAAACTAAAGAACTACGTGGCATCCAACACGCCAAGTATACCACAAAAGTATCTAATCTATGCTTCTCTATCTATGATTCCCTCTCAAGTATCATTGGGAACACCAGGAGACAACGCGCTGACCAATGCAACCTCTCCAGGGCCACAAAAATGCACCTTGACCTGCCAATCAGAGGTTCCATCATGGTCCAAACAGAACCAGAGCGTTAGAAACCGACCAGAGCCCACCATACACCCGCCCACCCCTGAGCATCATCTGAGTTGAAATAGTATTTATGAGTCTGCGTGTACAGTGAAGTGTCTCTCGGTGCACAGTAATCGCCTATGCTGGGGGTTTTGTGTTTTCAATATGCAAGTAGGGATGACAAAAATATTTGTAACCGTAGATATCCACCCAAATCCGACCTAATCGGGTAGGGTAAAACCCGAAGCCGAAGGACTTCTTCTGGGTACGGGTAAAACATGAACCCGAATATCGCGGGTAATGGGTGGGCACAGTTTTCTCACTATTCAACCCGAACCCGCCCGATTATACACATGCAAATGTATTTGTATATAAATCATCATGATTTTTCTCTAACATATTTTATATTTAGCATATAAATATAATGTTTTCATGAAATTGTGTTGTTTTAATCAATTTTCCTCATTCTAGTAAATTATTGTCGTACTTTTCCTCTTATGTAATGTGAGAATTGTGTCAATGTTAACATATTGGTTGGAATTATAAAGAGGAATTATTACCCATGGATAAGCGTGGATACCCGAAACCCGAATGGGTATGGTTTTGATTTTCTACCCATTTTTTATGTGGGTATGGGTATGGATAAAACCCGAAGCACTTTGGGTATGGTAACGGATATGCACTATCCGTGCCTGACCCGACCCGACCCATTGCCATGCCTATATGCAAGCTTTTCAATTCGGTTTAGCCAATTGGTTCGGCCGATCAAGTGGATTTATGGTTAATGGTTCGATCATTTAGTCCGAATGTATGAAAATCACTATATATTTTTCATACATTTATAAATTATATTAAATCTCATTTAACATTTAGTAACATATCACTTTCTAACATATTAAAATGTTCCACTTAGAATTAGCAAGATAGGGTTAGGCAAAGATGACGTTATATGACCTCCAACCCAGTGAGAAAAATGGGCGCCACACACAAACGATGTGGTTCTTGTTGCCATGTCCCTCATTCTACACACAAACGATGCAGATCTTGTTACCCAATTATGTGTCATTAATCCAATATTTTTTATGATTTTTTTCTTTCTTATTTTCCATAATACGACTTCATTCACGGATTCCCATGCATCTCACCGCATCCAAAATTTCATGGTTATAGTTTGGATTCTAAGGCCTTCCGCAGGGCAAGACCCACCGAGAACCGGAATCAAATCGGAAGGACGGGGGTACTGTTATTTCAGCAGTTGTGGATCTCCTCGCTCATCGAAATCATTGTCGTCCGATTGCCGTAGGTTGCGTTGCTCACTTGGTCTATTGGTAGAGGTTGTGAATGACGTCGTATTATGGGAGCAAAAAAAGGAAACGATGGCGGATAACATAGAGAAGTAGTCAAACTTGGCAAATTATGACTCGACTCGTTGATCGCTCAAAAATATAAGCTTTTATAACCCAAAATCCGAATAAAACGAACCTGATTTACCTGTGATTTTTCGGGTCAGGTTGGGTGGGTTAGCGGGTCGACACTTTAGACCCGTTCCATTTCATATGTCACTCCCAAAATTATAAAATCACTCATAAATTAATGAAATGTTTAAAAAATTTCACAACGATTTGAAAGACCCAACCCGCAACTCGAAATAACCCAACCCGACTCGGTTTCCAAGTCTAGAATTAGTAATAGTGGTTCTCAAAACTGGTCAGGAGTCCAACATACGGATATTATTAGCCCAATAAAATAGGTCCGAGAGATTTGACATTAGTTGATTTCTTAGTGAACAGTAAGAAATCAACAGTAACTACATTTTATATTTATATATATTAATTTGTGTCATGTTTTACCTGCTCTTGGATATCAAATTCTACGGCTGAGATGTCGCTTTTTAGAAAGACCAAACCTACTTTATAAGCCCAAATTCCTTTTTAACCACTTCCGCAATACCGTCACCCAGAGAAACCGAAAACCGCTCCACGAATAGTCATTAGATTTAATCAGTGTTTACAAAAAAATAATAGTTATCAACTTATCATACTATTGATAAGCATTCATTCCATTGATATAAGTCCCTTCCTTCGTCCGGTTTATAGGTTCAATCAACTTCAGTGTGTGTAGTAATAGGTTCTAAGTTAGCGATTAAGGTTACAAAGTTAGATAATCCAAAAGCTAACCAACTCTTTGTCTTCACGAATGTGGGTCTCGAAGATCACCTTCACGAATCACGATGATGCTCTAACCCTTGGGCTAGTTACAGAAGTTGGCTGCGTGGCATATTTCTTGATTGTGAAAGTTCAGAAGCTCAAACAGGGCTGACATGACATAAATGTATCTGTTGTGGCTCTTAACAGACCAATACTCAAGACTCAAGAGCCAACCTACTTTGCCCCGATGAAGCAGAAGTCTAATGCGAACAAATTAACTCCTGAATCAGTATGGCATTTCATATAATAATATAAGCTGTAGAGCAAATTAGACCGAAGCAAGGAGGCTAACTCAGTTCACCATGCTTCAATTCTCGTACATTGAGAGAGTATGTGCCAGTCCCAGCTTGACTGACGTCAATATGTGTTCAATTCAACACAATTATTTTTGCCTTTGACATTGAAATCAACAACAAAAAGAAAACTCTCACGTCAAAATGGAAGAAAACCACTACCAAATCCCAAACTACTATCCTTCGACCAACAACACAGCAGCATGAGCAATTACAGCCGAGAACCTCCCCTCTCTAACACCATCTTACTTCTGTGCTGCCACCAGTGCCATGTGCTCTATGAGGTCCAGCACGCGGTTGCTGGGGTAAAACAGACAGCACCACCATCATTCCCAACTTGTGAAAAACTGAAAATAGATAGGCACATACAAGAAACAAAGAAAGAGAGCAAGAGAGAAGTACGATACCTGTATCCCCACTCATTGTCGTACCAAGACACCAGCTTCATGAAGGAATTGCTTAACCCTATCCCAGCCTTCGCATCGAATATACTTGATCTGGAAATACAGACACCTTCAGAATCCCAACGATAGTAACGAGGAAAAGAACCATCTCTTCTAACAAGAGGTTTACTTTTAAATAGAAAAGCAGCAAACAAATATACCACTTCATCCTGTCTACATCACACTGAGAGAGAGGGAACAGACCTTGAGTCACCAACAAAATCATTGGAAACGACATCCTCATCAGTATATCCAAGAATACCCTTCAATGGCCCCTCAGATGCATACCTTTCAAGAAGTTAGAATCGAAACTTAGTCCTTCCAAATAAAAAATTGAGAATAGGATAGTACAAATCAGGTCAACTGGGCCATACTTAATAGCAGCTTTCACATCATCATATGATGCACCTTTCTCAAGCCGGCAAGTCAAGTCCACAACAGAGACATTAGGTGTTGGCACACGGAAAGCCATTCCGGTAAGCTTTCCGTTGAGCTCTGGAAGTACCTTTCCAACAGCCTACAAGACCATGAATACAATTAGTCACATATGTATTGTTCTTTTTGTCTAAAAGGATTGAAGCTTTTCCTCTACCCAAGCTCAAAATCAGAGAAGCAATACCTTTGCTGCACCAGTAGAACTTGGGATGATATTTTGACCAGCTCCACGGCCCCCACGCCAATCTTTCATCGATGGACCATCTACTGTCTTTTGGGTAGCTGCAAGGAGAACTCGACTGTTAGCATCATGATTCATATAGTTGACTGACATCCATGCAAACATAGGGAGGAGCACAAGAGAGAGAAGCAAAGAGTTGAAGAGAGACCTGTAGTTGCATGAACAGTTGTCATCAACCCTTCAAGAATACCAAACTCCTCATGAACAACCTGCAAGACATTAAGCAAATCCAAAATTAGCATCACAATCAAAACTCCTCACCCTACATTTTCCTGTCCCAGAAGCATCACATCCCAGACAACCCCAAAATTCTAAACAGACGTTTCAGGATGGAAATGTACTACCTTGGCAAGCGGAGCAAGACAGTTTGTTGTGCAGCTGGCATTAGAAACAACATCCATGTTTGGCTGGTATGTCTTCTCATTGACTCCGACCACAAACATTGGCGCATCGGCAGAGGGAGCCGATATGACCACTTTCTTAGCACCTCCCTTTATAAAATGTAGAAAAGGTGCATAAAGCAAGTTAGCCCACTGAAAGCATTGGAAGATTCAGGCAGATAAAGACTACAAACCTTTTTGTGAGATGCAGCCTTGTCAATAGTTGTGAAGACTCCAGAAGATTCAACTACATATTCAGCCCCTAAATCACCCCATGGGATATCTGCAGGGTCCCTGAACAGAAGACACATTTTTTAAGGTTAACTGGATAAACCCACATTTGAAACAAAAGCTTTCCACAATTCAAGGGGATTTCTTCGGGCTTGAAGCTATGTAAATTAAACAAATCCTATAAGGCTATAACTAATGGTGAGTAAGGTACCAGCCAATACCTCTTACTAGAGATTTTGAGTTGCTTTCCATTTATTTCCAAGGTAGACTCATCCACAACACTGATGGATCCATTGAAAACTCCATGAGTAGAATCATACTTGAGCATGTAAGCCTGCACACAATGAAAGAAAGATAGTGACTCATAATTTATTTTCGAATAAAATGAAAGATGTGTTTTGCTTTCTGATCCCAATGCAGGAACAACCATTTTCATGCCAGCATATCCTCAATTTTTTCAAATGAAATATTTTGGCTCACACTTCAGAGAACAACCCAGTATTAAACAATTTAACCATCACTGAAGAGGGTTTTTTCATTTTTAGTGTAGACTGTAGACAACAGAAATGTTATTAGCTACTCAGCCAATTCTTACCATGTACTTAGCATCAATGAAAGGATCATTGACTGCCACCACTTCCACATCGTCCCTAGATGTGGCAATACGCAGAACCAATCTTCCGATACGACCAAACCCTGCATTAGCCCGGTCATGCTATTAGTCAGAATCCAGAAAACTATATCCAGGAGACACACCATGAGAAACTATGAGGTAGAAGTCGTTCACTTATGCTATGTCAGACCATCTTTCTATGCTCATTTACAAGAGGACATAATTAGTTCATACTGGCTAGGCCCCAAAAATATCATATGTCCATTAACAGTTTCAGAGCTTCTACTCATAAACAGAAGCAGTTAACGTTGCAACCCATTGTTCCAGCATCTGATTTTCATAAATAATCTTCTTCTATTCCAAGCTCTAACAGAAATCATAGCAGATACCAGCACTCTGTATGCACAACAAAGAAATAGCTCCAGGCAATTCAAAAGGCAGAAGAGAGCATAAGTTAGCAAATATAAGCACGGGAACATACCATTGATCCCAATCTTTGTCCTCCCGGCTGTCCGAGATTCTGGGAAAAGCTCAGATGGGCCAGACAATGCAATGAACAATGTGAGCACCCGATCCCAAATTCGGAAAAAGAAGTCAAATGCTACAAAAAAAGATGGCGAGTCTTACTCAGAACAGTGGGAGGAATTTCAGTAGCTGTGGCTTTGATGGGCTGAATACTTCTTCCACTGCGCGTCCTGGAAAAGACGAACACATCGAGTGAACTAGAGATCATTGGGGAAAATAAACGATTGCAGAGAGCATAAACACAAACAAAAATGTTCATAAAAAAAACACAAACAAAAATGGCTCAACTGGAATGAAGAAGTGGTAGTTGGAACCGGGGTACCGAAGACGCCCTTTGAAGGGAAGCCAACGCTAAAAACCTGAAGGAAAAAAATAGTCACCAGTTATAAGCAGGTTGGTAGAATACAGTATTCTAGCTCGCACCACAGATTGAAAGAGCTCGTCGTTAAATAACCAGAGTATCGAAATCGTGAAAGAATAGACCAAAACCGCCGGAGCAAGATCCTAGCTTTCTTCTTCGTTTTACTTGCCGGTCAAAAATACAAACTGCACCCGATATGATAAAAGAAGGAAGAGGTAGAAGCCAAATGGGGGAAAACCGCTAACGGCATAGGGTTCTACCTTGATGCGATCGCAGGAGAAGGAAGGGGAGAGGGTGGATCGGGAAGCTGCATCGGCGAGAGGTGCGGCGGCGGCGGATCTGACGAGACTGGAGAAAGCCATTTTCTATTTTTGGTGGTTTTGGCGCCGAGCGGCAGCAGCAGCAGCAGCCGAAAACCCTAGAAAGCACCTTCCCAGGAGAGTCAACAGAAATCAGGTGACGATGGTTGGTGGTGATGGCGAAGGAGCAAAAATAAAAAAGAGGGGGAAAGGAACTGCACCGCTGCGACGAAATGTTAGCTGAGGAAAAATGGAAATTCCAATATTTAAATGCGTGAGGAAATAATTAAAATTAAATGAAAATAAAATATTTGGCGGAGTTTTTTATGTTTAATGCTGTTACGAGGCCATGGCGATCCCGCCAGCCAACAATCAAAACCAGGGAGGCTGAGAACTCAACTCCGGAACGCCCATCTGCCAGCTTGCTAAAAGCCGGCATTTTTTCCCGCGAGCAAATTCAGTGATTAACTTTGTGGCAAATAACCTCATGCATAAGCAAATAAAAATCTATCACATCAGCGTCTTCTTCTCTCTTTTGAAAAAATCATTAATTTTTTTTCCTTTAATCTTTAACGGCTGATTTCTCACTCATTTTAACTCGGAATTTTTTTTTTTTGCACAGTTAGATCAGATTAATTGTGCTCTTCAAAATAATATCCACTTTGATATTTTTTGGAACAAAAAAAATTTGCCAGTTATTACCAATCAATATCATATGGTATTGCTGGTATTAAATAACAGCATATCATATGGTATGAAAAATACCACCTCATACCAGGGTGGTATAGTATGGTATGGAATTGGTAACGATTCAAAATGATATCCACTTTGATATTTTTTTGAACAAAAAAAATTTGCCAGTTATTACTAGTCAATACCATATGGTATTGACTGGTATTAAATAACAACATACCATATGGTATGAAAAATACCACCTCATACCAGGGTGGTATAGTATGGTATGGAGTTGGTAACGAGAGGTATGTAATTTTTTCCCCCAGAAAATTTTGAAATCCAATAGATCATGATTAAATCGTTCCTTTTGTGCAAAAATTTCTGAAAATGACTAAACAACGAAGGAGATACCATATGGTATGGAGTTGGTAACGAGAGGGATGGAATTTTTTTTTTCTCAAAACATATTGAAAATGGATATCATTTTGTAGAGCACAACGAACTCGTTCCATCTGTGCAAAAAAAAAATTGAAATCCGAGTTAGAATGAAGAAGATATGATCCAATTAAGAAAACTAGGGAAAATAAATTTCTTTAATTCTTCATCCTTAGATCTGCAACCACTTAAAAGAAGGGTCCAGATTTGGTTACTCATTGTTACTCACCCTAAGGTTACTCACCCTATCTTGAGCCTTTTTCCCCTCTCCCTCTCTCTAGATCTTTTCCTTGTTTCCGAAACTACCCAGATTTGGCCCACCTGTGATTATGTGCTGCTCGCCCTCCAGGGGTTGGGTTAGGGGTGGGCATTCGGTCGGTTCGGTTCAAATCAAACGAAATTATGCATATCGGGTTCCCGAATTCTATCAAATCTCAAACCGAATTTGAACCATTGGGTGGGTAGGTTTATGTAGATCCGATGGGTGGATTTTGTGCTAATTTACTAGGGGTGTTCAAAGTTCAAACGGTGTGGTTATCGTGGTAATTATATTAAATGATAGTATTTGGATAATTTGGTTTGGTTAATTTGAATATTTGGTTTGGTTTGGTTAAAAAGTTTAGCTTGTTTGGTTTAGGTGGTGTGGTTTGGTTTGGTTTCATACATTGCTAATCAATCAAACCAAATTAACCAGTTAAGTAATTAGCCATATATATTATATATTATACGCACATACTTAATACTTTTGCATAACCACTTAAGAGTTAAGAGTCAAATGTAAGATAATTGTATTAGTTAGATGTATTTATGCTCAAGGTTAACTATAATTATTTGTTGATTGTTATGTGTTAATTATTATATAAATTGCAAATTGATGCACTAACTAGAACATTTTCTCACTTAATGATAATGTGGTGGTATATTGGTTATTTTGGTTGACCAATCAACCAAACCGATTAAACTTTAGTTTGGTTAATTTGGTTGTTGTATTAGTTTGGACGATTTGGTTATGATATTGTATTTCATGGTTAATAGTATTTATACTTATTTGGTTTGGTAATTACCATGGTAACCATTTGAACACCCCTATAATTTCCCCATTCAATCCATAGATATCGATTTCAAGAACACTAAACCAAAACCTACTCACAAAATCAAAATCTGGTTGATGTTTATTGGATCGGATTGGGTGGATATCAAGGTTGTCAAAGCAGTTTATACCGATGTGTCGGTTTAGCAAGTGAAATGGTACGATCAGTGGTACAACAGGTTTGTGCCAGTTCATGTAGACTTAATAAAATATGACATTCTAAATAAAATAACAAATACTCATATTTAAATACAACATTTGATGCCAATATCTAAACGTTTATACCTGAATCCAACAAATTACATCAACTTTTAACTTTTACATTCATAAGACACATGATAAATTCATTTTTTATCAATCAAGTTTACTAAAACGACGTCATTTTACTTAGAGTTAGTAAATCAACCATACAAGTCATACCGCCACCAATGATGTTTATGCTAGTTTCATAACCGACAACGATTAAACCAGGTTCAACAGACCTATATGCCACTGATAGTCAACACGATCAAACCCATCACAAATCCCACCAAGTCAAATTATCAAATAAAAAAACATGCCAAATGCACAAACCCAAAAATAATGACAGTGATTATCAATCAAAGCTATTCGAAAAACAAGAAACACGGGGAGATAAGGATCTGTCATTGACGTTAGGTTTGATATGATATGCATGTTTTCAAGACTCCATATCAAAATTTCATGTCCATCTTGTCGTTGTGTGTCAAGAACTAGTTTGTATCAAATAATTCGAGTTGTTTGAGAGGTTTAATAATGGATCTTTTGTCATATATACTAACATGCTCCTTTAAACGAAAGTCACTCATATGGTGTTTAAGTTTGTACATGATGGAATACCATGCGCTTAATTAATGGGGTCGTTACTCGTCAGAATTCGAACATAAGATCTCTCGATTATAGAAGATTCTTATACCATGTCAAGAACCAATTGATTTCAACTAAGCCTGTTGGTTCGATTCGGATCGGGTAACCGAACCTGAAACCCGTGAAAAACCTAAAACCCGAACCCGAGCCACACAACCCGAAACTGTACTTTGTGGGTTTCGGGTACTGGAACCCGAAATTTATGCTGGCGGGTTTGATTCGGTTCGGGTGAACCCGAAACCGAACCGTTTTGAGTTTTTTTTTCCTTTTGTGATTTGAATTTTACATTCTTTTGCTTGTACAAATAATTTTATTCTTATTATTTGTACATTCTTATTTAACCATTATGTTTAATTTTATGGGACGCGGACAGTATAAAACTAATATTTACGTATTAGTTTATTATTAAAATATTAGTTAATTATTAAAATATTTAATTTTATGTATTCTATAACTATAGACATACTATTAACTATTAAAGAGTATCAGTAGTTTAGAGACAAAGTAAAACACTTAAACATATTTTATACGTAACTTAATCATATCTTATTTAATTGTGGATTTTCGTATAATTAAATGTTTTAGTAATACCATAGGTCCAAAATTGAAGGTATATCAATTATCATATGCAAAAAAAGTTTGGTATTTGGCGCAAAATTATAAATAATTTTGTTCAACATAAAATACCGACAATCATAGATGAGATTATCTTCAACTCGTAATTAAACACATTAGTTTTACAATTCTCAAATGATAACATCCAAGTAAAATAAAAATTCATCCACCATACAAGATAAACACTACTACCATTATCACTCCTCATCAGGCTCTACATCTACATAAGTCTCATCATTCTCATCAGAATTGTCGTCGACATAGTCTTCTTCCACTTGTGACATAGTAGGACTCGGGACCAAAACATGGGTAGCAGAAGAGCTTCCACTAGGTCCTGCACGAGAGCTTCCACTAGGTCCTGCAGGTGCACTTGCACTCCGAGCTTGAAAAGCTGCATATACTGGATAACATAAACAATAACAACTTGTTAGAATATGACTTGATCAAGATAACAAATATAAGAATAAAGAGAAAGGTGACACTGTTGGTCCTGTGCTTAGCGCTAAAATGGGAATAACAGTGTCACTACCCCAATTCACATACAACTTTTATGATGACCCTAAAAACCATTTGTGATATCCATATGCATATATCCATAGCCGATAAGGTGACACCAAAAGGCTAAGCATTGAAGTTTCACCAGAATGAGCAAGCTCCCACCTTCATTCAACCATGGCAAATAAGCATTACCAACAACAAAAAGTACAATTTCATCGCTGCTGACTGTGTGAGTACCGTGTAGATAGATAGAGAAAGTTCATCGATCATCAAACCAAAGGTTTAAACTTTCAAATCATAAGAAAGAGAGATTCAGAAAAAGGAAGAAATTCCATCTTGAGATTCATTCAGCATTCCTCAAAGCCACAATAGAGCATGTCATTAATACTTCTCCGCAGACAGGAAAGTAAACTTAACTACCTAAGCAGAAAACTTAAACTTGCCAATACTAAAATTGAAACATCCCACCTCTTTGAATTTGGAAAAAGACATTTCTACCCCGGGGTATAAATAAAAATCTCAAATCACACAAGTTTAAATAAAATACCAAACTCAAATATCTCAATATCTCAAATCGAAGCCCTAACACGTGGGCAAAACTCAAATTGTCCAAAAGAAATGAATCTCCAATCCTTAACTCTTTACCATAAAGTTTTAATAACTTGAAAAAGTTCTCCGATGCTTACTCTGACGCCTGGCTCGACATCTCTCAGCGACGGTGGTGTTGAGCTCCTCTAGCTTGCTGCTCACGAACTGGCTGGTTAGGATTTCCTCCTCTACGATCTGGTGAGTGAGTTGGGGTCAGTCTACGCCCTTATGATGGAAAGCTCTGATATTTCTTACTTAAGAACTTAACTCAAATTGGTAGATGATACTTCCATCCTCTAAGATTTTACTCTTCAAACTCAAATCTCAACTTAAAAATTTGACTGACACTGGGATCCCTCACAAGCTAGTCCGGTTGCCAACTCATACGTATGAGAAGTTATTCAGGATTTCCTTAAACTTAGTTAGGGAAGTCGTAACGATTCATCCCCCTAACATCTTAAACTTATCGTGGTGGCTCTTCACCACGATTCTCAAGGGCATAAATGCTGCCCATCTTAAAAGTCTCAAGAGCATAACTGCTGCTCTATCTCAAAATGTCTCAAAGGCAACGGACTGGCGCTAGTGACTAAAAACACTTAAAACGACTTCACATTCTTGAAGGTGAGTTACTTATTAAAAAGGAATTTGTTTCTTAACTTCAACAATAAACTTATAAACTTAAAGCTTAAATTTAAATAAGAACTCATGCACATTCACATCAAGCATAGCTCAAACAAAATCACATATCATCAACCATAAGCACAATCAAACAACGATATTCACTTCATCAAAATACTAAAGACTTGTAACTCTTGAAAGAACACGTAAGGCGTAGAATTTACCCCCTTTACACTCACCTTGTAAAGTTGACTCCTCGATTCTTTATTCGAAGAAAACCCTCCTAGCCGAAATATCTCGGTGAACCTATTAATAAGAAAGTCGTCTCTTTAGTCGTCCTTTCTCGATTTAGAAATCCCTTTTGGGTCACTAGAACATCCTCTCCTCAACATCCAGCCCTCGAGACTCGCTCCCAAGGTCCCTTAACCCTCTTTAAAAATTTTCTAGAAACAATCCCTCCAAAACCGACCACTTTTCCTAATTATTCTAGTCTTGGACGAATTTTCCACCTAACTTGAACCTTCATAAAAATTCGGATAATAATTTTCCTACATCAACCATGAGTACTTAAACCCTGGAAAATTATCAAACCCTTGTAACTCCTCGGTAATATTTTATAACTAAAACGAATGTTCAAACAATTTCTAAAATTAAAAATACATCTTCAAAAATCCCCAAATTAAATTACAGCCATCTCTTAGACCTCCCTCAATTTATAAAAATTTTAAACTCAAGAACAAACCCCCATAAAGACTCGAAACAATTTAAACCATCTAAAACAATTTCTGGAAATTTCCAGTAGCTTTAGTGACCACCCAAATTCTGTTACTAAAGGCCTGAAAGTCTGTTGCTAAAACCTCAGAATTGCACCATCACGAAAAATAACCAAATCAATCGACCTAACTCAAAGGGATCGAGTTCCCTTACCTCTAGAATGTGCCTAGTCCTAGATTGGCTGACCCGGGACGTTGATCTCCTCGGTGATCGAACCCTCAACGTCACCGCTAATAAAAATACGAGCTTCGGATTAGACTATCGGTAAATCGAGTATAAAGATCGCGAAGGAGTTCATGATCCTTACCTAGAAACACGAGAGGAATGGGATCGGGATCGGGATAGGGTGCAACTCCTTCTTCTATCCTCTCGTCGCGCCCGCGTTGAGAAGCGGGGACAACAGCGACGGTTTAATTCCCTGCGCCGACTGGGAATTGCAAAAGGGGCGGTGCTTACTTCCTTTGCTTGGGGAGTTCGATTTCTTTGGTGAAATCGGCTGCTGGGAAGGGCCGCTCGGTGGGGAAAATTTTGGAGAAGGTTTGGGGTTTGGGAAAATCTCTATTGGCCGAGGGTTTGGGGACAACTGGGCTCTGGGGAAAATAATTGGCGGTGAGGATTTGGAATCTCTAGAGAGGGACACCGGCCCTTTTTGGACACTACGCATTTTTTTTAATAATAATAATAAAATAATTATTATAATTATTACTATTATTATTATTACTACTAATCCGCGATTGCAACTTTTAGTATGCAACTGTCAACCCAACCGATCACGTATTATAGTCGAACCATAACCCAAAATTCGGGATGTTACATTTCCTCCACCCTTATAAAAATTTCGTCCCCGAAATTTGAACGGTAGAGCAATCACTTGAACGATTTAACGCTGTACTCGAAGGAACGATGCTAGTTGGGATATAACATTTCCCTCTCCGTTAAGAAATTTCGACCTCGAAATTGTAGGTTGAACTGGGTTGGTAGCTATCGTGAAACCAAACTGAACCCCCAGGTCTTATTACTGAAAAATCGAGAAATGGGAACTAAAAAGAGTACTAAAAGTGAGAGTACACAGAAGTTCACCCACTAACGATCTAAACACCAAAAAACAACTCTAGGTACTTCTCTCTCATGCTACTCTCTTTCTCCCAGGTCGCAGCCTCGCTGCCCTGGTTTCTCCATAACACATTTACCATGGCAATCTTCTTCCTCCTCAACTCCTTTTCCTGCCTATCCACGATCTGGATTGGAACCTCCTCATAGTTCAAATCATCTTCCAACTGGATGTCCTCGTGTCTGATCACATGCTCCGGGTTGGATCGATACGCCCTCAGCATGCTGACGTGAAAAACGTCGTGGATCCTAGATAGGCTAGGAGGTAAGGCTAGTCGATAGGCTAAGGGTCCAATTCGCTCCAACACCTCATATGGGGCCGATATACCTCGGACTAAGCTTTCCCTTCTTACCAAACCTCATCACTCCCTTCCAAGGAGACACCCTTAGGAATACCATATCACCCACTTCATAACTTCGCGGGTTCCCTGGTCTCTCGGCATTACTCTTCTGCCGGTCCTGAGCAGCCTTCAAGTTCCGGCGAATCAACTCCACTTTCTCCACTGCCTTATGTACCATCTCCGGACCCTCTAGCTGTCGCACGCCCTCTGCATCCCAGTACAATGGTGTACGACACTTCCTCCCATACAATACCTCATATGGAGCTGCTTGTATTGAGCTGTGATACTGGTTGTTGTAAGCAAACTCCATTAAAGGCAAATGCTCGTCTCAAGCTCCTTCCATGGTCAAGACACACGCCCTCAACAGGTCCTCTAGTGTCTGAATCGTCCTCTCTGACTGCCCATCTGTCTGGGGGTGATATGCGGTAGAGAAGTGAACTTTAGTGCCCATTGCCTTTTGAAGACTCACCCAGAATCGTGTCGTGAAGCTAGGGTCACGATCAGACACGATACTAAGTGGAACTCCATGCAATCTCACTATCTCCCTCACATACAGCCTAGCCAACTCCTCCAGCCCTGGCTTGAATTTGATGGGTATAAAATGAGCCACCTTCGAGAAGAGATCCACAATCACCCATACTCCATCATTTCCCCTTGGGGTCCTCGGTAAACCAAACACGAAATCCATGGTGATCTTCTCCCAAGTCCACTGCGGAATCTCCAACGGTAGGTGCTCAATGACTGGAGATTGATGTTCAGCCTTGATCATTTGGCACTCCAAGCATTGGTAGACATGTGTAGCTACCTCCTTCTTCAAACCTGGCCACCAGAAATGCTCCTTGAGGGTACGATACATCTTAGTAGCCCCAGGGTGCATTGCATAGGGTGCAGAGTGAGCCTCGTCCAGAATATCCTTCCTTAGCTTGTCAACATCTGGGACACACAACCTTCCTTGATACATCAGTACCCCATCTACCAGTCCAAATTTGGTGTCTTTCCCTTCTAAATAGAGAGGGTTACCGAAGGTGATGATTCCACTGTTCCCAGTCCGATCTGCACAGATGGACCCAAATTGAAACCCTACAGTGTTGTTGTTGCCGCTAGCACTCTGTGAATCACCGGTCTGCGGTGACCCAGATTGCGCGGCCATCATGTTGCGGAAGTCGGCCTAGGACGGCGGCCGCTCTGATACCATGACAAGTTTCTAGAATTAGGGTAGCCGAGAATGTGCAGAGAGCAAGTGAGCTACTCTGCTTTTGTATTTATCTTTGTAATCAGGATTACAGTTGATTGCCAGGTGTTACATTCCCACTGGTCAAGTTTAAAGTTAAACAGTAATTATAAAGGCTAACCTATCTCTAACTGAAACGGTGTCGCAGCACCATAAGAGACAGTCTGTTTGTGAAACATCTCTGCTATGAAACGTTTCTGTTTCTTCTTCTTCTTATGTAATCCTGCTCTGATTAGGATTAGAACTCTGTCAGATGGAGTTGTTGGTCATGGACCAGCAGAACGCAGTCGCGCGTGATCAGTTCTGAGCCTGGGACGAGGAAGATGGCGAGTTCCCGGGAAGCGAAAAAGGTTCTGCTGATGAGCAGCGACGACCGCATCGTGAAGTAGATCATCGGCGTTGGGAGTCAGGGATGCGAGTCGAAATTCCTGAATTCCAAGACGGGTTGCAGCCCGAAGAGTTTCTTGATTGGTTGGCCACAATGGAGGAGGTCCTCGACTTCAAGGAAGTTCCTGAGGAAAGAGGGTCAAATTGGTGGCGACTAAACTGCGGGGAAGGGCTACCGCGTGGTGGCAACAAACAAAATTAACTCGTAAGAGGTTGGGCAAAGCTAAAATAGCTACGTGGGGGAAGATGAAAAAGGCTATGAGGGCACAATTCCTGCCGTACAACTTCCAAAGACTGATGTACCAAAGGCTGCAGAATCTGAGACAAGGCAGTAAGTCCGTGGATGATTATACAGATGAGTTTTATCAGCTGATCGCTAGGAACGAAGTCTAGGAAATGGAGGATCAGTTGGTTGCGAGGTATATCGGCGGCCTGAGGGTTCAAATCCAAAGACACCGTCAATCTGTTTGACCCCATTAGTGTGTCCACGGCATACTAGCGGGCTTTGGTAATAGAAAAGCAGCAGCGGAGAACGGCCTGGAGCTCGTCTAGTAGCGGTACTCCGACAACTGGCAGTAGCGGGTTTCCAGTATAGGCGGGGGAAACTAGGGGTGGCAGTCGGTCGGTTTCGGTTTAATCGAAAACCGATTTCTCGATTATCGGTTAAACCGAGCAACCACCTCCTATTGCCAACCACCGACCATGAGATACACCACGGCTAGCCGACCACCGACCGGTCAGTTATCGGTTTTGGTTCGGTTAGCCACATACCCAAAAATACTCCCTTCTCTAAAAAAAATTAAAAGAAAAACAAACGAAAATTCTCTACCACTAAATCCTTATCTACTTCCTCCTTCTCTCTCATTCCTTCCTCTCCACCCACCAGAGAACATACCACTTCTTCCTTCTCTCTCCTTCCTCCATTTCAAACCCACAACAGACAACACCCACCACTCCTTCCTTCTCCCTCCTTCCTTCTTCCATTTCAGATCTGAACACCACACGGATCAGAAGCAGAGGTGCGGCGGCGGCGAGTGGAGGCGGAGGTCGAGCTGCTGCTTGTGTTGGGAGGGCGACGAGCTGCTGCTGCCTGCTGGAGTGCTGGTGGAGGCGGCGGGGCGACGAGGGTGCGGCGGGGCGACGTCGACGATGGTGGAGGCGTGGGTTAGTGAGGGGAGACGGCGGGCTTGTTCGTCATCGGTCGTGGAGGCGCGGGTTCGGCCGTCGGGGAGGAGAGATGGAGGGCGGCCAAGGAGAAGGGTGGAGGCGGCGGAAGACGAGGGAAGAAGGAGGCAAAGGGTTTTGGTTTGGGCTGGATTCTGGAAGGTGGAGGCGGCTGATATGAGGGAGGGATGAGGGAGAGTCAAGAGTAATGGGGAGAGTGATGGGTGATTAGGGTTTCAAATTCAATTAGGTTTTTTTAATAGGTAAAACGACGTAGTTTTGGGAATATCTGGGCTGAGTTCGGTTAGCCGCGGTTAACCGTCTCCGGTTACTCGGCTAGCCGAACAACCCCTATCTCTGTCCGCCAACCGACCGACGTTACATACAGTCGGTTTTCGGTTAGCCGCTAACCGGTGGTTTTCGGTTAAACCGACTGGTTAGCCGCTAACCGGAAACCGAACTGCCACCCCTAGGGGAAACCCCCCACTGATACTGCTACTGGACGCACCAACAAGTTTGGTTCCGCGGGAGCTAATAGCAGCGGCAGCCTGCTGAGGTGCTTCCGATGCGGTGAACCGGGTCATCGCCAATTAGATTGCAAGCAGCCACCAAGAAGGCGTTATTTGCGGATGAAACCGAGCCTGATAGTGGCCTGCTTGAGACTACGGGCGGTGGGTAGCCTATGTTCGATGAAGAAGAAGAGGTTAACTTGGTGGTGAGGCGGTCTTGCATGATCCCCCGGGCACCCGACGAGGATTGCCTGCGAAGTAATATATTTCAGTCGACCTGTACAATTTTGGGTAAGGTCCTGCCGATTTATGATTGATTCGGGAAGTTGTGAAAATATTGTCTCGGCAGAAGCGGTGCAAAAGTTGGGCATTAAGACCGAAGATCATCCCAAGCCGTACAAGCTAGCTTGGTTGAAGAGAGGAGGAGAAGTTCAAGTGTCCCAGCGGGCTATGATCACATTTTCGATCCGATCCAAGTATAGGGATTCAGTTTGGTGTGACGTTGTGACAATGGATGCTTGCGACCTATTGTTGGACATGCCATGGAAATTTGACAGGAGTGTGCGGCACGAGGGACGAACCAACACTTATAGTTTCACGTTTGAGGGAGTGAAGATCGTGTTGGTCCCGGCCAGTGCAACCCCGAGGCCAAATCCCACAGCTTTGGGAGTGGACAGAAGTTACTTTCACTAGCTCGATTTGAAGAGGAGGCGCGCGAATCGGGAATGGTGTTCATCCTTGTAGGACGGGCGTTCTTGAAGGTGATGGAGGTACCAGCTGCTGCAGCCGAGCTGTGCAGGAGTTCCAGGACCTGTTCCCGTAAGACCTTCCCAATGGGTTACCACCCCAGAGGGATATCCAACACCAGGTCGACCTTCAGTCAGGAGCGACCCTTCCAAATCGGCCTCATTACCGTATGAGTCCTGCCAAACATGAAGAGTTGAGGAGACAAGTGGAGGAGTTACTATCCAAGGGATTTATTCGAGAGAGCCTCAGTCATTGTGCAGTGCTAGCTTTATTAACGCCAAAGAAAGACGAGACATGGCGCATGTGCATTGACAGTCGGGCTATCAATAAGATCACGGTCAGGTATTTACTTGATCAATTTCCTATTCCTCGACTCTATGATTTACTTGATCAATTAAGTGGTGCTCGTGTGTTTTCGAAGCTGGATTTAAAGAGTGGGTGCCACCAGATCCGTATTCACGAAGGGATGAGTGGAAGACCGCATTCAAAATGCGGGAGGGTTTATTTGAGTGGTTGATCATGCCATTTGGGTTGTCGAATGCTCCTAGCATATTTATGCGTGTCATGAACCAGGTGTTGCGGCCATTCATCGGCCGGTGCGTTGTGATCTATTTCGACGACATTTTGATCTACGGTGCTGATCCAGAGCAACACCTTCATCACTTGTGCGAGGTTCTGCTCGTGTTGAGGAGAGAAAAGTTGTATGCAACACTTAAGAAGTGTGTTTTCCTGTCATCTGAGGTACTCTTCCTGGGTTACATTATTTCGGCAGATGGATTGCGGGTCGATCCATCGAAAGTACAGGCAGTGCGGCAGTGGCATCGACCCCGAACACTTACAGAAGTTCGAAGCTTTCATGGTCTGACCTCGTTTTACATGCGCTTCATACCACACTTCAGCACCCTTATGGCACCCATTACGGACTGCAGGCGAAGTAGCACCTTCACGTGGACGGATGAGGCGGATGCGGCCTTCGAGGGTATCAAAGAGCGCTTGACAACTGCCCCCATCTTAGTTCTACCTGACTTTCACCTTCCTTTTGAGCTGCACTCAGATGCTTCGAAGGTCGGGATTGGCGCAGTCTTGAGTCAAAATGGTCGCCCAATTGCCTACTTAAGTGAAAAGTTGACCGGGGCGAAACTCAGATATAGTACTTATGATGTAGAGTTTTATGCTGTGGTCCAAGCCGTGAAGCACTGCCGTCATTATTTATTCCATCGTGAGTTCATTTTGTACACTGACCATGAAGCGCTCAAATACTTGTATGGGCAAGACAAAGTATTAGCAATGCATGCATCGTGGGTATCTTATTTTGGAGGCTTTACCTTTTATGGTGAAGCATTACGAGTGGAATTACTAATCGGGTCGCCGATGCACTGAGCCGTCGGCGAAGTCTTCTGAATAGATTGGCAGTTCAGGTACCCTGCTTTGCTACTTTTGCCGAATTGGAGGATGAACCTTTCTTTTCCCCTATACTTGCAACAGTTCGGGCTGGACATCGAACAAATTATCTCCTGCAGGATGGGTTCCTCTTTAAGGTAATCGATTATGTATTCCGAATTGCAGTCTACGGCCATTGATCGTTCGTGAGCTGCATGGAGAGGGCCATGTGGGACGTGACCGTACCTTACAGCTTGTGCAGGCTAGCTATTTTTGGCCAACCATGCATCGGGAAGTCCAACGCTTTGTGCAACATTGTCGTGTTTGTCAGGTTTCAAAGGGAAGAGCCACTAATGTATACTCCCGTCACAACCCTAGGTTGACGTCAGCATGGACTTCGTGCTCGGGTTGCCTCGTACTCAACGGGGTAATGATTCCATCTATGTGGTTGTAGATCGATTTTCCAAGATGGTACATTTTATTCCCTGTAAGAAGACTACTGATGCTGTTCGTAGAGGTGGCAATTGGATCGGATTCGTGGATTGGATTGGTGGATCCATGGATCAAATGGATTGGATCCAATGGATTGGTGGATTCATGGATTGGATCAAATGGATTGGTGGATTGATCCATGAATCCAAAATGACATCCAAGGCTTGAACCAAAATGTAAATTTTGAAAAGTTTAGGTATTAAATTGTCATAATAAAAAAATTTAGGTACCAAAATGTAATTTTCTAATGATATTTTTTCGTATAAAAATATAAATTTTAGGTACCAAAATGTAAAGTATAAAAAATATAGGTACCAAATCATAATTTGCCATTTGGATCCATGGATTGATCCATGAATCCACCAATCCAATTGGATTTGGATCAAATGGATTGGATTTAAGTGGATTGGATTAGGTGGATAATTTGGTGGATAGATTGGATTATGGATTTGGATCCTAATTGCCACCTCTAGCTGTTCGTGTGGCCTAGCTATACTTTCGGGAGGTTTATCGATTACAGGGGTTGCCTACTTCCATTGTTTTTGACCGGGATACGAGGTTCTGGAAAATAGTTAACACGGAGCTGAACTTTAGTAGTGCTTACCATCCGCAGACCGATGGGCAAACTGAAACGATGAACCGGTCTCTGGGCAATTTACTCCGATGTTTGGTGGGGGAGAATGTGAAGAGCTGAGATTTGAAGTTGTGCCAAGCTGAGTTCGCACATAATCATGCGGTTAATCGAAGTACTAGGTTCAGTCCGTTTCAGGTCGTCTACTCCATGACTCCGCGAGGGCCGTGTTGGACTTACTTGCTTTGCCTGATAAAACCCGGATCCATGGTCGAGCTGCCGATTTTGTCAATCACTTGCAGGACATTCATCAAGCTGTGCGCGCCAACCTGGAGAGCGCCGTGGCCAGGCACAAAAGAGCGGCCGATCAGAAACGTCGCCATGTGGAGTTTGATGTTGGCGACTATGTGTGGGCAGTCCTCACCAAGGACCGTTTTTTCGCTGGTGATTATCACAAGGTGGCGGCCCGGAAGATAGGCCCCGTTGAGATCATCGAGAAGATCAACCCCAATGCATATCAAGCTTCCCAGCCATATTCGTACAGCCGATGTCTTCAACGTCAAGCACCTTGTTCCGTTCGTTGGCGACGACTCTGACGATGACAATTCGAGGGCGAATCCCGCTCACCCCGGCGAGGATGATGCAGTGGAGGTGGCGGCAAGCCAATTCCTTGAACGTCGGGACAGGAAGAAGGAGAAGTAGAGTGCGAGGAGGAGGAGCATGCAACGTGCCTTGCATGAGCTGGGGAATTGGGCTTATGTTTATTGTCATTGTCTTTTCTATTTTGAGTTGGACCTTTATTATGTAGGGTTTTACTTTTACCCAGTACTATAAATTGTCGGCTGAACCAAGGCATAGGGGGTTAGTTTTTGAAGAATCTACACATAATATAATACGCCGAAGGAAAAACAGGAGCTCCATTTCAAATTTCCTGCAACGAGAGTAAAAGTAGGAAGGACATTTTAGTCTTCACAATGATTTTTTTATTCATTAAAAAACATGTAATGGGATTCGAACCATGACCATTATAAAGAAAAACAAGGATTGTAACCAATCACACTATGTACATTTGTTATATGTTATTAAATTAAAAACATATAATACCAGGGAGGAAAAAACTATTCCCTCATTTCAAATTCCCTGCTCCAGGAGCGTTTGTAGGAAGGGTAGAATAGGGAGTGTCAATTTTTTTCTCTTTCCTCTGTGGAACGGGCCAACTTACCGTACACATGCGGATTTGAATGGATCCAGGAGTGTCAATTTTTTTTTCTTTAAGCCCTTTTATTTCTCTGTGGTGATAAAATATATATGAAAAGGCAAAAATAATACTTCTTTTTATTGCTAAAAATAATATTACTCTGTGGAACGGGCCAACTTACCGTACACATGCGGATTTGAACGGGTCCAGAAGTGTCAAATTTTTTTCTTTAAGCCCTTTTATTTCTCTGTGGTGATAAAATATATATGAAAAGGGAAAAATAATACTTCTCTTTATTGCTAAAAATAAAAAAATTAACAATAAACTAATGCATGGTATCTAATGGGCTAACCGCTAACCATAAAATAAAAGAGCTGAATGAGCCTGACCTATACGGTATTTGGCCATCAAATAAAACAAATGAACATCATTGGTTTGAAATTATAAAACAAGCTATTTTCTATGGCATAATATATATTATGTTACTATTTTATATCTTAGTGGCTAAAATATAATGTATTTTAAAGTTATTCAATGGTTCAACCTCGACCAATCCAATTAGTCCAATTTTTATCATTTCAAATATATATTATATAATTACTTGATATCATAATGATCACATTATAGTGTATTTTATAGGGAATCGTTTGATATTTGTTAGTAAAAAACTAAACAGAAAGATCTATTTGGTTATTTTAAACATTAAAACGATCCTAAACATTTTCAGTTCTTTTTGAATTTCTATGGTTTTATTCCCGAATAAGTGATTTGCAAATGGCGAATTGCAGTCATCTATTTTATTTCACTTTTTTTTATTTTCAAATAGAAATTTTAAAAGTAAAGAATAATTAGAATTTGGCATGGGTCGGTCAAACAGGCTGAATTTCAAGTTTTTGCCCGTTTTGATCAAGTCTAATTTATAATCACATGGTTCCCTGATACCCGATAAAAATCTTAATCCAAACCAATTTGGCAGGTGAGTCCGTGTTTACCACCATTTTCTAGGGACACGACAACGGCGGTTCCTATCCCAAATCGTGTTGTTCGTTCTTGATTCCTTAGATTTTATCATGGTCTGACAAAAACCAGAAAGCACAATGACGACAAGATGAAAGTTTTATAAAACAAATTAATCGGCCAACGGGCCGAGTAAAAGCTAGCAACGATTGTGAGATGCTCATTTCCCGAAAACCGACGGGATAGGCGATTTTTTATTCGATTTTCTGGAATTCGGTTTCCATAAAACTTACTCCACCTCATCATATTACCAGAAACAATATTGTTTCACAAGGTAACAGGTACTTGATTTTGGTTCATAAGGCCGATTTTTGATTCGTTGCATCATTCATGTCTCTTTCCTACTAAAATTCACTATTTTTATCACGTGTTTCCCAAAAAAACTATACAACAATAAGTTATACATTTCATTACATTATCAAATTTCATACCTCACCTTCCTCCGGCCAACTGGCCGGGGCCCACACTAGTAATATTACTACAGAGCACCGCCACTCTTTTCCCAAACCGAGTTCCTTGTGGGAGTTCGTGTTTGATGCCATTAACCTAGTTATTCGTTGAATCAATAGGTTAGTGACGATCGATCTTCCGATATCTTGCGGGATCAATGGTTTATCGATTTTATCCAGGTACACGCTGCGTCAGTACACCGACAGCTTGATCGAAAGTGCTAGCATGGTATGTTACGAACTACGTACGAGTGGAGAGTGGTATAGTACGTAGTGTCCATTAGTAATTGTTTGAGGGTTGTTTAGCATTTATGATTTATCCCTAGTTGAGTGATGAAAAGGGATATCTAGTTACTTGCTTAACTAAACTCTAAAGGCCAGTGTGTTGCTAAGCTCACTGAAATTGGGAGCTCCAAATAAACGAAGTTCAAGGACACACTGGGAGTAGGCATCATCATGATGCATCCCATTTCATTCAAAGAAAGAAAGCCCGCTTATTTAAAGCATCATATCCCTCTACAGCCTCGCTCTCATCTCTCTACAAAAGGATATCATCAAGAGTTCATCCACTCTATGGGGTTATAAAACCAACCCTCTCCATAGACTACGCAGAATCCACCAAAAGACACAAAAATTGCAGACAACAAACATTCCCCTCAAAGGTCCATCCCACATACCCCTTACAGCTTAGAGCTGCTTCATGCCTCGTCAAGAGCAAGGACTCCAGGGAGAGGCTTCCCCTCCAGAAGCTCCAAACTTGCACCTCCTCCAGTGGATATATGGCTCATCTTGTCAGCCAGCCCAACTTTCTCCACTGCAGCCACGGAGTCTCCTCCTCCAATGATCGTTGTCACACCCTTCCCACTCAACTCAGCCAACTTCTTGGCAATCGCCTGAAAAATTGAACACACCACAATGACCTCACATTCCACTCAAATATTGAGACTAGCCAAAGTTGCAACCAGTTACCATAAACACTAATGCATACCTCGGTTCCCACTGCAAACTTATCCATCTCGAACACACCCATGGGTCCATTCCAGATGATGGTCTTGGTGGTATCCAAGGCCTCGCTGAACGTCTTGATGGAATCTGGCCCGATATCCAAACCCATCCACCCATCAGGGATCTCGGATGCTGGCACCACCTGCACCAAACAAACAGACATTTTCAGCCAAACCATTCAAACCAACAACGCAGACATAAACAAGTTTCTATTGACTGAAACAGACCTTGCTGTTGGCATCAGCAGCAAATTTGTCAGCAATGACTACATCAGTAGGCAACAATAGGGACACTCCCTTGGACTTTGCTTTCTCAAAGAGTGTAGTAGCCAGCTCAAGCTTGTCTACCTCCACAAGGGATGACCCAACTGCCTTTCCTTGGGCCTTGTAGAATGTAAAAATCATTCCTCCGCCCAGCAACAGCACATCGACCTTCTCCAATAGAGATTCAATCACGCCAATCTTAGATGACACCTTCGACCCCCCAACAATTGCAGCAAATGGCTTCTTGGGGTTTGAAACAGCTCCATCAAGATAATCAAGTTCCTAAAGAAAGCAAAGAACCATACATTAAGCAATGCAACAATCTTCACACAAGTAAAGACATGGGGGAGTTTGGCAGATGGATTTCAAAATTGATGGATTTTGAGAGGTGGAATGGATTCGGGATTGTGTGTGTGGGTCTCATAATTAAATGAGAAAGAAATAAATGTTAAAGACTTTTGACATTTTCCTACATAGCCATGATTTACAAATCCATCAGTTTTCTTTTTGTGAGCCAACCAATGCTGTTGAAACAATCCATCAACTAAATATCCATCAGCCAAACAGTCTCAGAATACAGCAGGAGATGGTCAACCATACCTTCTGCATGAGGAAACCAGCAACGGCAGGCTTCACGAATTTGGCAACTCCTTCGGTGGAAGCATGGGCCCTATGGGCCGTACCGAAGGCATCATTGACATAGACATCAGCAAGTGAAGCCAGCTTCTTAGCAAACTCGGGATCGTTCTTCTCCTCCTCCTTGTAGAATCTCACATTCTCAAGGAGCAGCACACCTCCATTTTGGGTCTCGGCAACCAATTTCTCAACCTCCTCACCAACACAGTCATTAGCCATCTTAACCTATCAAACAGAGAAAATAATGGTAAGAACTCAAACAATTCCAGTGGATAGAGGAGAGCAAGATTAGAACTTATTCCAAGGAAGCAAACCTCGACTCCAAGCAGTTCAGACAGTCTTGGCACCAGAGGCTTCAAGCTGTACTTAGGAGTAACACCCTTCGGGCGACCCTGGGAATCATAATCGGAGAATCAAACAGAATAAGTTTCTAACGGACAGTAATGAACTCAACAGCATCGCTCCAATGTGAAAATTTTCTGGTGAATACGATAATGTTAGAAAGAGTAGGAGACTGAACAATGAACAGAGGACCTTAAGCTTTCACCACTATTGGAATATCATGACAAATAAGAGAACTTTCCTTATGGACATAACTAAATGAGTAGTAACACAACAAACGTGAAAGAAAGGACAGCCACTCCAAGAGATAACAATTAGGATCTAAATCAAACAGACAAAAATAAAAGTACAGAGCTCCGTTAGAAACTTAGAATGGTAAAATCCATGCTCAAGAAGGTAAATGATGAACCTCAATGAGCAGTTGAGCCTAGTGACTATGATCCAGGTAGTACAAGCAAGGTTATAGAATAAGGGCTGCTAAAGCGGGAGAAGCCAGGAAGAGGTTCTAGCTACTTGGTAAATCCTAACAGAGAATCCGATACAAATATACATTTCAACATCTGAACTTTAGACAAAACAACATATCATAACTTCCTTCTGATGCAAATCTAAAGACTGGCTTCGATCAACCACTGACATTTTGCAAAAAATTGAAGTCAATATGCTCAAAATCTATATCCAATATGGAAAATCAATGTCACAAATGCGTGGAACATTCGAATCAAGTGATATCCAATCTTAAAGACATTACTGTAGCAGGAAAACCATTTTCTGGCTAACGATCACAAGGAGATCAGAAGGATCATTGGGTGTGGAAGGACGCGGATGGTATACAGAAGCGAAAACCCAGATAAACTAATAGAAACGTATTCATTCGAAGCTGAGAATGGGAAAAGATCAAATACCAAGTGAGAGGAGAGGATGACTCTGGCGCCATGATCTATCAAGTACTTGATGGTGGGAACAGCGGCACGAACCCTGGTATCATCAGTGATCTTGAGGTTGTCGTCGAGAGGAACATTGAGATCCACCCTGACGAACACTCTCTTCCCCTTCAAATCAGCCTCCTTCAGAGACCCAACGCTCTTCTTGGCAGCCATATCTTAAAACACTGCGGATTCAGCAATCACAGAAACATAAAGTCGAGGAATTAACTAATGCCCAGATCGTAAAAAGCTGAAAAAAGAAAGAGAACTTACAGATCGCAAATAGTGCTGTGTGTGTGTGTGTGTGTGTGATGAAGAAACGACAGGTGGAGCTACAATTGAGGCTTTGGTCAAAGGAAGGAGAAGCGGGAGTTTATATAGGAAAAGCGAGCTGAGAAACTTCTTTCCTTTCGGTTGGAAAGATAGGGTTGGGTCGGGTTTTCTTGGGGAGCACACTGGAATTTGGGCGGGTCCATACCGCGGTAAAAGTAAAAACCTTGGGCCGGGAGGGACTTGGGGACTGCCGGGAGCCATTTCATGTGATTCGCATATGATACGAGCGCAAGGTTGTCTTGTACCATTGTGCATGTTTGGTAAGTGGAATGGTACGACCGATGGTATAACCACTTTGTGTCGGTTCATGTCGGTTTAAAAAAATGTGAAAACAATTAATATTTAACGTATTTAATCATATATAAAACATATTTGTGGACAATTTAGTTACAATCCAACAAATATCATCAACTTTTAACTATTACATTCATAAAATCAATAATAAATTAAAATTTTTATTCATTAAATTCATTAAAATGATGTCATTTTACTTAGAATGCGCAAGTCGATCATACCGGTCATACCGGTGGTGTCATGCCGATTTCATGACCGGCACAGGTTGAACCAGGTTCAACCAGGTGGCATGCCACCGGCATGACAACCATGTATGAGCATGATTTTTGTTGCTTTACTGCTTTTCCATCTTCTGGTGACGAATATTCTATTTGCTTTGCTACAACATTCCAGTAGTTCGGCTTCTAATCACTCAGTGGCTACTTAACAAACGGGCTTTTGGAGAAACGAGATGGATGGAAGTGGAAGAGTGTTGGGACTTTTAAGGGACGAGGGTACACGTACGATAGCCCGAGACCGGGTGACTAGGATTATGATAGAGTCGTGAACAACGTTCACTTTCCGTAAAGAATATTTCCACCCTCAACAAGCCTAGGGTTACAGGAAATTTCTTCGTAGGATAAAACTATCACCACTTTAGGTTCCAGGCTTAAGTACCTAAAGCATACTTAGAAGTTTAATATGAAGGAAAATGAATTTTTTTGGTGTGTTTTTTCCACATTCCCACCACATATATTTATAGGATACGAAGGGTTACCATTGAAAAGCTGCAACCTTTCAATTTTGTGGCGGTTGGGAGAAAACCGTGAATGCCAAGGTTTTGGCCAAACCCATAATTTCATTTCAATGAAACGTTGCCATGAAAGTTCATGACCGTCCATGAAATATTATTTAGCCAAACAATGTGTTTCTTTATCCCAATTTCCAAACCGCAAGGATAAATATGAGTTTCTTGCCACTAAATTTGAACAATGAAAACGTGCATTGTTTTTAGGCTAACAACCAAGTTCCAACATTGCCATGCAACGTATACATTTATTCAAATTAAGTGGACATGGCTTTCCAAAAAGCTTCGCATCACATCTTTCAGAAAACTGGATTTGATTTGTTGGTCCAATCCAAAATTGGTTTGATTTGGTTAGTCCGATTCGATCAAATTTCCAACATTCCTCTCCCATTTTAGTGTATTATTAGAATTCACTAAAATCACAACACTCTTCCAACAAAACTTAAGCATAAATGAAAATGTCGTGACGATTGAATTTTCACCTTAGTATATTACACTTGACGAATATACACTTAAGTTTTCAAAACTTCTAAGTGCCTTGACACTATTATCCGCCATGTGTCCAATCCTTCTCATAAGCGCACACGAAACCAAAGTCTGGGTTTCTTGAAGCGGCTACACTTCATGCTTACGTAGGTCGAATCTTTTATTCGTGTACCCACATAATACACTTAGTCAAAGATTCAATTAAAAAGTTTTGAACTTCATCCTCTTCTCTCATGCAGATAACAAGCACATACCTCGGGATGACAAATTTTGTGCTTCAATTTCTGAATATAAGCTTTCCACATTGAATTCAGCCTCTAACGTTGTATTAGAGGGGAATTGGGTGTCCCATTACCAGAAATTATATGGACTTTAATCCATCCCTTTCACAGACTTAATCACCAAGTCACTAGTTAACCACTTTGTCAAATGATCAACCAAATTAATTCGAGTTTGGTCATACTGTTTAGACACAACACTATGAATGATCAGTTCACAGCTTTTACCGTGCCATACTCCCACATGACCGTACTTATCATTTTCACTTGACTATATGCCTTAGCCAAATTAGCATTACTATCACAAAAGATAGTAATAGGTGAGATTGGTTTAGGCCATAAATATATGTCATAAACCAAACCTCTCAACAATTATGTCTCTTCTCTAAGAGAAATCAAGGTCACACAAACTTTGATTCCATAGTGAAACTTAGTGATGCAAGTTTGCTTTCTAGAGGCCCAAAATATGGCACCTCTCCCAAGCAAGATGACTCATCTCAATGTTGAAGTATCACCTTTAACATGAGAAATACAACTAACATCAACAAATCCTTTCCAAAATTGATGGAAAGCCACTATAAGTCAATACAGTGTGCCTTTGATATATCCTAGTACACGCCTCATTTCATTTCAAATAATGAGAACTAGGATTCATCACGTACCAACTTAATTGTTCTATCGCATATGCGATATCTAGCATCATGTAAGTCATGCATAAATCTCCAGTTGTAAAACTGATTTTCAGTATTAACCATAAGTTCCATACTTGGATCCATTGGGGTCTTTAACTCACTACAATTCCTACTATGGAATTTATGCAAGTACCTTCTCATGCAGAAAAATTGAGAGAAGGACTCTTATTTGTCGTTTCGCTTGATTCAATACACAGAATCACATTTGCCTACCCCATGTCCTACATGGAGAATTGAAATAACAACTTTTTATCGAAGTTCACTTATCTTTTATTGGTTCCAAAGATAAACATGTCTTATACATACAAATGTACGATGACTTCATTAACAGAATCATCATAAATTGTGTACACATTTTGTCTCATTGGTTTAAAATAGCATAAACCACTAGACAAAAGCACTTATCTTTGATTGGTCCCAAAGATAAATATGTCACCTACATACAAACACAACGACTCTATTACCAGAATCATCAAACGTTTGTATATACAATTTTGTCTCCTTGGTTTAAAATAACATAAACCACTAGACAAAATTACACCACCAAACCACTAGACAAATCCAAATTTATCTAGAACTTCAAAAATGTCAAATAGAGAATTAGACAAATTAACCATTGAGTATGTGACCTACACAAAAGCAATTGTCATTCTTCTATTTCTCCATTTTACGAAGTCTTCTCCTTCTTCCTCATCTTCGAATCATCCCTCTTTCAAGTTACCTTCCGAATATGGAATACACCATGAGACTAGTATGAAGAAAACCCATCTTCTACTATCATCGATGAAAAAACTCATCATCGAACATTCTCATAATTCCATAGACCAGAACCGGTTTCTTGTAAAGAGCGGTTCGAGCCATCGTACCGGAAAAATATTCTTTACGATTGTTGGGACTTCTAAGGGACGAGGGTACACGTACGATAGCCCGAGACCGGGTGACCAGGATTGTGATAGAGTCGTGAACAACGTTCACTTTCCGAAAAGAATATTTCCACCCTCAACAAGCCTAGGGTTACAGGAAATTTCTCTCGAGGATAAAACTATCACCACTTTAGGTTCCAGGCTCAAGAACACTAAAGCATACTTAGAAATTTTTGGAAGAAAGTAGAAGAATATGTTTGATGGTATGTGGCACCATCCACCCTACCCATATATTTATAGGGGCCGAATTCATGCATTGTTTCATGAAAGGTTGCCTTTATCCATACGAAAGGTTGCCTTTATCCATACGAAAGGTTGCCTCTATCCATATGAAAGGTTATCCTTATCCATATGAAGGGTTGCCTTTATCCATAAGGTTATCCTTATCCATAAAATAATGCAACCGCGACTAGGCCAAAGGGATGTGTCCCTTCACGGAATTAGAATATTGGTTCGGTCGGTCTAATCTCAAACCGGTTGGTCTGTCCAACCCAAAACCGGTTTGACTTTGTTAGTCCAGTTCAACCAAATTTCCAACAAAGAGCGACGAGTGAGTGTCAGTCCCAAATGAAGCCCGTTTCAAATCAAAGGGATGTAATGAGGAATCCATTCACAACCCGTGGGCTTTATGCCCTCGATCGGAGTCCATATCAAAGATCAAGTCGACAGGTTCACAACACCCAACTCGTGATGTGAGACCATATTAGTGACCAAGTCGATGGTGTACTAACGTTATAGGCCGTTGGGCAGCCGGAAGGTTGCCACGAGCAAGTAAGTTTTGGATATCGAAAGCAATTCTCCGTGCACCGAACATGTATCAGTGACCAAGTCGATAGGTTCGCTACACCCAAATCGTACTCTCACCAATTCAAAACCGTTGTTTATCATTTCTCCAGTTTGATCTCAGACCCAATGTAAACAAACATCATTGTCATACTCAGTTGAAGTTGAAGTTTATACTAAATATTACTTATAAGATTCCAGGGATTATTATTAATCCTCATAATCAAGGTTGTCAAACCGGTTTATGCGAGTGTGTCGGTTCAGCAAGTGGAATGGTTCAACCAGTGGCACATATCGGTTTGTGTCAGTTCATGTCGGTCAATATTACAAATAAAATTATAAATACTCATATTAAACATGACATTTAACGTCAATACCTAGGCATTTATATTTGAATTCAACAAATAACATCAATATTTAACTTTTATACTCATAAAATAAATAATAAAATAATTTTTATCAATTAAATTCTCTAAAATAAGATCATTTTACTTAGAGGTTCGTATATCGATCATGCCGGTTATACCGGTGGTGTCACGCCGATTTTATGACCGGTACCGGTTGAACTCGATACAACCGGTGGCACGCCGACCGGCGTGACAACCATGCTCATAATCCTTGGGTTGACTTTTCTGAAAAGGACCCATAAAGACACAGCCAACACGCAGCACAAGTCACAAGAGGGAGTTTCTGTGATGTAATATGTCACGCCACGGTTCATCAACATTTATCTCCCTCCATCTCCAACCTCATTGAGTGGGAATCTCATATATCAGTAGGCCATATATATACATCAACTTCCTCCACAAAAACTTAGCCAGAAAGAAAAATTGGTGGGTGGGAACTGGGAACTGAAACCTTTTCTTTGTCCCATCTCTTCCAAATAGGGATGGCAATGGGTCGGGTTGGGTCGGGTTTTGCCAAACCCAAACCCAAACTCATGGGTTTATCCGTGAAAAAAACCCGGGGTAAAACCCACTGGGTTTGGAAAACTCAAACCCAACCCAACCCGCTGGGTATCCGCGGGTTCATGGGTACCCACGGGTTTTTGTCGTAAAAAATTTACAATAACATGTTCCTATCAAAATTAAAGTCAAATATCAATCTCTCAATACAAATTATCCATATTTAAAACACTATTCTAGAAAATTCAAGCAAATCACAAATTAACTATACAAATTGTTCAACACAATCTAGAAAACTCAAGAAAATTGAAGTAAATCATAAATTATCCATAAATAACATATTAATTGAAGGCTTCTTCTTTTCAATTAAGTTTTTTCACTCTCCACTCGATAACACAAACTTCATTCTACACAATTAGAAAGAAAAAATTAGACATGTCTCCACAAACATAAATAAGATTAGTTGTTTAAAATATTAAATCTACCGAGAAAATTAATTATATGTGTGGGCGGGTACCCACAGGTTGGGTTTACCTAAACCCAAACCCAACCCAACCCGGTGAATAGTGAACGGGTTTAAACCCAAACCCAACCCAAAACCCGTCAACACGGATTTTACCCGCGTTGACCGGGTTGGGTCGGATGGGTACCCGTGAGTTCGAGTTTGGTTGCCATCCCTACTTCCAAATCTCCACCACACCACTATCCCCAATATACCCTATCCCATCCTACACCAACCAACCCAAGTTGGACAAGTGCAACTCAATTCACTAGAGAACAAGGCTCAGCAACCCATCAACAGAAATCAATTCAAAAGATAAATGATCCATAAGATGGCTTCGTTTGGATGGATCACTCTAGAAATGAAACAATTTGTCCAATTTGTCTAATTGTTTCGTTTTATGAACGAGGCAATTAAAACGAGTTAATTTAAATTACCTGCACCTACTCCAAACAATTGAAAGTGACTCAAAACGGATCAATTCAAAATAACTCAGACAAATTGATTCATCCCAATTTTTTGCTGACAAACGAGTCAATTTGGTATAGTTGTTTCAAAACGAGACAATCGTGTCAAATTGATCCATTACAATTCCTTATCCAAACGATCCAAATTGGACATCTTGATATTGCAGGCAGGCAAACATGTAGATTGTACAACAACAGCTCACATCTTATATCTCTACATCATCACAACTCTCGTTGACAATAGCATCATAATGGCAGCCAAAAAAAAGAAAAAAAGAATTTATCTTACACGGCAACTGGTGTGGCTTCATCCAAAGCAAGGACTCCTGGAAGCTCTTTCCCTTCCAATAGCTCCAAGCTGGCACCTCCCCCGGTAGAAATGTGGCTCATTGCGCTTGCTACTCCTACCTTCTCCACAGCTGCAACTGAGTCTCCTCCTCCGATGATCGTTGTCACACCCTTGGCGCTCAGGTCTGCTAGCTTCTTTGCTACAGACTGCAAAACCACAGCCAAACAGGTCGTTTTCATCATATACACTTAAGCACACCACGAATTTCTGTCCACAAAACTTCACCATACTTCTATGTATATGGTTGTTTGACATTTCATAGTGTATGAAATGTGTGGATATGTAATAGGTTGGATGCACTTTTTTGAAGGAGGAATGTTGCTGATGAAATTTACCTTTAAAGTGAAATGTACAATTTTACCTTTGTTTCCTGCTTACAAATGCCCTTATAAATAGTGTTAATATGAGGCTTTATAAAGGGGATTTCGGTTAAAATGGATCATGAAAGTGGATAAGGAATTTACCAATGCAGTCAAAATCGCTTTTTAAAATTTAAAAACTTACGATTTTACGCTTTTAGGTCACCAAAACACTTTCGTTTCCATATAAAAACTTCAGTATATAAAATCGGACTAAATTGCGTTTTAAAGCTTAAAAGCTTACGGTTTTACGCTTCTAGTTCTCCAAAACGCTTTACGTTTTTACGCTTTTAGTTCACTAAATGAGTATTCTTTTCATGAAATTAATTATAAAAAGTATATTTTAAAAGTAAATCACCAACAATATGATACATTTGAGATTAAAAGATACATATAAGGTACTTGTATGCATTCTCAACTTCGATAGAGTAATATAATTCACCCGTTAGGCTTTTCCCAAATTCATTAGCATAGTGGGAAAAGTGGCTTATTGTTAAAATTTATGTTTACAAACTTATTATTAAGATGCTATAAGTTGTTCTACTTTAGGCATGAATCGCATGTATTTATTGACTTATCAAAATTTCGTGCATTCATATTTTGCATAGCATATATCCTACTTAACACATTTTTAGTTATTTTTCAGTATGCGTCAAAAACTTACGCTTTTACGCTTTAATTCTACGCTTTACGAGTTTACTCATTTTCCGCTTCTAGTTCTAGGTAGAATCACGCTTTTGATTGCATTGGAATTTACATTGCAACATCCCATGATCAGCACAGTCCATAGGTCCTAAAATGGCCATCTAGGGTAAGTAGGCAATATTCCATGGTCAAATTCTGTCATCCAAACAAAACTTTGGCCCCCTTATGCCCCACTGACTCCGAGAAGATGAAAAGCATTCAATTAAAGCATGCACTCATACAGCTATTAAATACCTCAGTTCCGGCGGCAAACTTCTCAAACTCAAAAACTCCCATTGGCCCATTCCAAATCACAGTTTGGGTAGTCTCCAAGGCTTCGTTGACGTCTTGATAGAATCTGGACCAATGTCAAGCCCCATCCAGCCATCCGGAATGGCTGATGCCGGCACAATCTGTCAAGGAAAAAAATACTTCAATATAATTTCCTCCTCGATAAAGTATACACTGAAACATGGGCTTAAAGCACCACACATAAGAAACAAACCTGGCTGTTAGCATCAGGAGCAAATTTGTCAGCAATGACAACATCAGTAGGTAGCAATAGTGAAACCCCCTTTTCCTTGGCCTTGGCCATGAGAGAGGTTGCAAGGTCAAGCTTATCTTCCTCGACCAACGATGACCCCACCGACAGACCTTGAGCCTTGTAGAAGGTGAAGATCATTCCTCCACCCAAGAGAAGGATGTCACACTTCTCCAATAGGGACTCAATGACTCCAATCTTGGACGAGACCTTTGAACCACCGACTATGGCAGCGAACGGCCTCTTTGGACTCGAAATAGCGCCTACAAGATAATCCAGCTCCTGTGAACACAGAAAAATGAAGAGATTCAGTAACCCACACCATCAATTATTAGCGATAGTCCAGCCAGCAAAAAAGGGCAACCTTTTGCAAGAGGAAGCCAGCAACTGAAGGCTTCAAGAATTTGGTGACACCCTCAGTCGAAGCATGAGCTCTGTGTGCAGTACCAAAAGCATCGTTCACAAACAGATCAGCAATGGAGGCAAGCTTCTTGGCGAATTCAGGTTCATTCTTTTCTTCCTCCTTGTAAAACCTCACATTCTCAAGGAGAAGAACTCCACCCTCAGGGAGAGCAGCAACTGCTTTCTCCACCTCTGGGCCAATGCAATCTTCAGCCTTCACAACCTGCGCAAGTTAGCAAAAGACTGGTCATTGACTCCATCTCCATGTCAAAGTTACTCCATAGTCGTAAATATCACAAGAAGAGGACTAAGCACCTCGATACCAAGGAGTTCAGATAATCTGGGAACCAGAGGCGCCAAACTGAACTTTAGGGTAACACCCTTCGGTCTACCCTGCACAAAGTTGTTGAAGCAACGATTCAGAAAACACAAGAACACACGCATTCCGCCATAGACAATTATGCTAAGAACTGACTTAAGCCCAATATGCAGAAGTTCTTTGAAGAATTGGTGGAACAGTATCAACATGAAAAGGTTTGATTCCAGCTCACTGGAAACCCATTGGCCCAATCAAATGACGCAAAATAAAGATGGAGAAGCAAAAGAACAGAACTTACAGCTGAATAAAGTGCTAAAATGCAATTGAAGGAGTGGAATAGGTGGGAGGGGAAATACCAAGTGGCTGGAGAGGATGACTTTAGCTCCATTCTGCATCAAATGCTTGATGGTAGGGATTGCAGCTCTGATTCTGGTATCGTCGGTGATGTTCTGGTTGTCATCTAGCGGGACATTCAAATCAGCTCTCACGAAAACCTTCTTCCCCTTCAAATCAGCAGCGCTCAAATCCCCAACACTCTTCTTGACGGCGGACACTACCAATCCCCTGTGGGACTTGGCGCGAGAGGAGGAAGAAGAGGAGAGGGATCGGATGGTCAGAGAATCAGCGGTGGAGAATGCGAGGCTGCGGAGGCCGGAAGAAGAGGATGAGCGGAGGCCAGAGTAGGAGAAGGGGAGAACGGCGGCGCGTGAGCGGGAAGCGGAGGAAGATGATACTGTTATTTTGAGGAGGGAGAGTGAGGTCGGGGCGGTGGCGGACGCCATTGATGGAGGATTTTGAAAGGGGCGGTGGTAGAGTTACAGCGAACTGAGTGAGCGAGCAAGTGGGGGCAGAGTGATGATGAATGCCGATGATACTAATAGAAGGACGAAAGGGAAGGGGAAGAAGACAACGGGAAGATGTGGACGGCAGTAACGAAGCTAAAAAGCTAATGGTGAGCTTAGAAATCTGCGAGGAGAAAATCGAAGCCCCAGCTTTAGATTGTTCTCTTATCGCTGACGAGAGGCTCGAGATGTTCTATGCTCTTCCTTCCTTCTATTCTACTAGATTAGGGTCCGGCCAAGAGGCCGGGAGACTTTGATTTTCCTATGTGTAGTAAACATTGAGGATTGAAGTAACAATTTAATTTGGTAAGTTCTCTATGAATAATATAGGAAAGTATTTAATGTATTTGACGAAGTTTAAAAAAAATGACAAACGCCCAACTACACTAACGTAAATTCATATTTCAAACAAAGTCATATCTATATAAAAATGTCTAAGAAGAACAATGATAAGAGTTGTTTTACATCACACATACATAATCAATCTTCAATATACGATAAATTTTTTTTTGTCTTTTCCATTGACTTTCGTGTATTCAATGATATAATGAAACAAACCATATGTTTAGAGTGTACTTAAAAAGAAACAAACTAACTCACACGGTCATGATTCTATTGACTTTAGTGTATTCAATTATATAATGAAACAAAGCATGCAGATCTCCAGCTGCAAGTTCAACTAATAGTGCAACACATAAAAAGCTAAATCAAAGCGAAAAGAAGGCAAAAACTAAAAGCAGCATACATAACATTTTGGGGGAAATCCACAACAATAAAAGTCATTGTATGAACACTTGATAATGATTTGAACACTTGTGATATATGAGTAGTGAAAGTTAATAAAAGTCATTGTAGCTCTTACTCGAGTTAGAAAGACTTTGATTTAATGGTAAGTAAACAATGATATGTAGTGCTTAAGAGGGAAGATGAGACCTTTCATTGTTTATTAATATGCATCTTAGTTTCATAAATTTTACATCATTAAAAATTTATGTGCTGAATAGAAACCCATCCAAGTTTGGAGCCATTGTAAAATGTAAGTTATGAGGCAAATGAAAAGTCTCAAGCAAGGTTGTCAACCTGCGAGTTGACCCGGACCCGGTGAATCTAGTGAGTCAAGGGTTAATGGGTCACCCGGTTTAGCCCGAAAATATGGAAAGAGTCCTTATATTATACTTATCCTGATAAATTATATCAAATCTCATCTAACATATGAGTTATAACATATAATATTACACTAAAATAACATGTCGTACTTAGATCCAACGTATAGTGAAAATTCACACACAATTATATAACAACAATATTCAAATGTTCAACTTAGGATTACAAAGATTGAGTTAGGCGAAAAGAGAATTGGAAAATAGGCGCATTTCGCAAACCAAAGAAAAAAATGACACAATTTGACCTCTAACCTGATACCTTGTAGCGGTCGACTCGGCGGGTGCGTGCAACCCGTTTTTCTCACCGGGTCAGGGTCAAAGTGAGCCGACCCAGGGGTCGACCCGCGGGTTGACAACCTACTCTCAAGCATCCACATGCTTGCAAAATAAATCTATATTATCAAACATAAAATCATATCTTGCATCAGAAAAAAGAACAAAAAACTAGTAATTCGATAATCAATATAGAAATCAATATGGACACAATATCTAACCAAGAGAAGAAGAAGCGAAAAAAACACAAATTGCCGTGTATAGATTCCGCTCACGATATTTCAAAGTGAAAAATATCATAAAAATTATTAACCAATAAAAGGGAACGGTTAAGGGGAAAATGCATCAATTTGAACCTAAAATTAGAGGAATTAATATCCTATACCATCATATATAATGATATATTATATCCCAGAACATCATAAACAAATCTATTTAAATGAAAAAGTATACTAAATTGAATCCAATGTAAAAGTAACGATGAAGATAGATATTATATCCATCTAAGGAATAATAAAGTAAACCATGTTTCTTAGAGACCTCTCTCGATAGAACCACTCTATTATAAAATCCATTTCGTCAAACAATTGCATCATATAGAGTTTTAACTTAAATTTGAAGTGCTTATAATTAGCTATTTCAACTCATGAATGAATTAATTATATCATTTGGTAAAAGAAAATAATTTATAAACTTGAGAGTTATTTCGTTTGTTGTTAAATCATTTGAACTAAAGTGTGAAATTGCTTCAGAACCGTTATTTTATTCATTATTGTTAAAATTGCTATTTTTATTATAATGTCTAAGCATGTCTAGGCGAGCTAAGAGATAGACAAATGCCCAATGACCGTCGTACGCCTAACGTGCTGCTGAACCTCAATAATTATAGCAAACTTTGAGTGCATCTTATAAATTTGATCACTTCTATTTGGATATAATTGATTACATTAATAAAATGATCAATCAAAGAGTCTTTCTTTAAGATTTTGATAAGATGTCCCCTACTGCACAATTAGTATGACTAAATTGTACTAAGATAATCATGTATTGAATTTTGAATCGATAGCGCAAAAGATTGTACTAACTCAAGTAGAATTTTAGCTACTCAGTACTTCATATTCACATGTAGATAGCTATTTCGAAGAGTTCGAATATTGATTGAGTTTGTTGAACTTTACCTAACGAAACTATGATATCAAACGCAATATATCATGCTTTCAGGAGAAATTGGGAGAATATGTTGGTGACATCAAACCTAACATGGATACCATTGAATTTAAGTGATAAGTAACATTTATGTTTAATAGATTAGACATGAACAATATATTTAGCATTCTCATAAGTTGGTGTGAAGAAGTGAATAATTAGGATTTGAAAGTTAGAAACAAAGTTGATTTAATAAATAACTGCAAATGATATTGTGAAAAAGAAAACAAATGCTTAGAGCATAGCTAGACATGAGAGTGTTACATTAAACTCTCTAAGAGAAAGCAAGTAAAAGTAATCATTAATAGTTAGCTGTGGATATTGAAATAATTAACTATGATGAATACTATATACTGGTGTTAATACTTGGACCTTAGCTTGAACATTGCATCATGCTGATAAAAATTATTTAATTAATTACATTTTTAAAATAAGGGGTCGTATGAAAGTTTTGATTGTTTTTTAGATGGTTAAAATAAATAAATTTTTTCTTGATACAATACATATGTTTTTATTTTTTTTCATACACAATCGTGAATTATTTGCTTGATTTGACTAAACTATCATTCAAATTGAATGATTAAACAATTTTGAATTTTAGCATAGACTGTCGAGATAATTTGTATCGGTGTTTATCATTTTTATTTATCTTGAAATGTATGGTACCAGTGTCCTTATATCGTCATTGAACACTTCAATTCAATGCGCAATATTCCAACCAATGATATTTGTGTTGAGATTTTAAGATTATCGTTCATTTATAATTTAGAAAAAATTATAAATTAATTATTAAAATATGAAAATAGAAGTATCAAACTCCACAAAATACTTACAGGAGACTTAGCGGGCTAACTAACTGTGATAGAAAAGTACTTTGTTTTTCATAATTTTAATGTTTTGTATTAATAAAGTACGAAAAATGTGTCTAGTCTAATTGGTTACAATTCTTGTTTTTGGTGAAAGAGACCATGGTTCAAATCCTAGCATTGATATCTTTTTATATGAAATAAAAATAATAATTGTGTAGACATAAATACCCTTCCTACTTTCACTCTCGTTGCAAGAAATTTGAAATGGAGCAAATCAAACTCTTTAAAATGTATTATAAGTAGTCTAGTCTAGACTAGACTAGACTAGATAAGAGGTCGTATGGAAGTTTTGATTGTTTTTTTTAATTGTTAAAATAAATAAATTTGTTATAATACAATACATATGTTTTTATTTTTGTTCATACACAATCGTGAATTATTTGCTTGATTTGACTAAACTATCATTCAAATTGAATGATTAAACAATTTCAAATTTTAGCATAGACTGTCGAGATAATTGGTATCGGTGTTTGTCATTTTTATTTATCTTGAAATGTATGGTACCCGTGTCCTTATATCGTCATTGAACACTTAAAAAAATGATTGTGTAGACGAAAATACCCTTCCTACTTTCACTCTCGTTGCAAGAAATTTGAAATGGAGCAAATCACACTCTTTAAAATGTATTATAAGTAGTCTAGACTAGATAAGGGGTCGTATGGAAGTTTTGATTGTTTTTTTTAGATTGTTAAAATAAATAATTTTTTCATAATACAATACATATGTTTTTATTTTTGTTCATACACAATCGTGAATTATTTGCTTGATTTGACTAAACTATCATTCAAATTGAATGATTAAACAATTTCGAATTTTAGCATAGACTGTCGAGATAATTGGTATCGGTGTTTGTCATTTTTATTTATCTTGAAATGTATGGTACCCGTGTCCTTATATCGTCATTGAACACTTCATTGAACACTTCAATTCAATGCGCAATATTCCAACCAATGATATTTGTGTTGAGATTTTAAGATTATCCTTCGTTTATAAGTTAAAAAATTATAAATTAATTATTAAAATATGAAAATAGAAGTATCAAACTCCACAAAATACTTACAGGAGACTTAGCGGGCTAACTAACTGTGATAGAAAAGTATTTTGTTTTTCATAATTTTAACTTCCTCTATGTTTTGTATTGATAAAGTACAACAAATGTGTCTAGTCTAATTGGTTACAATTCTTGTCTTTGGTGGAGAGGACCATGGTTCAAATCTTAGCATTGATATCTTTTTATATGAAATAAAAAAATGATTGTGCAGACGAAAATACCCTTCCTATTTTCACTCTCATTACAAGAAATTTGAAATGGAGCAAATCAAACTCTTTAAAATGTATTATAACTTTATAAGTAGTCTGTACTAAACTAGATTTTCTCCTATAATTTTCACTTTTTTAATTTTTTTTCCCTTCTTGCATTACTTGGTTAAATGGAGAAATTTTACAATGCTATATAGTATTGGTGCTATAGGTTTTTGCCTTTATGGTACAACTTAAAATTGTACATTTACGTTATGGTACAACTTTAGATTGTACCTATACTTTTTGTACAAATTTTTTTATGGTACAACTTGAACTTGTACATTTATGTGATGGTACAACTTCAAATTGTAAAGTTGTACCATAACATAATGGTACAAATTACTTTATGGTACAACCTAAACTTATACATTTAATATTATGGTACAACTTTGAGTTGTACTTTAAAGCACCAATACTATATAGTATAGTAGAAGTGCTCGGTTAGATGGGCCTCAACGCAAACCCAATGAGCTTAACATCCAGTTATTTGTCCCGCCACACCCAGCACATGAGCCCAACATAAAAAAAGAAAGAAAAAAAAAAATCTTCTCCAAAATCTACAATTTCCATCAAATTTTCGATAAACCTCCACAAAGCCTCTTCCTCTTCCCATAGCCGATGAAAATTGAAACAATCAGATGCTCTCTGGTTCGGCAGCTCCAAAGAAATGAACTCTACGGTTTCTCACAAGCATCATCATAACCCGCTCCTCCACTACTCGACTCTCCCAGTTTGCCGGTTTCCCGCTTTACATTTATCCGGCGCGCAGAATTTCAGGACTTCACGAAGGAGGAGAACGGCTCCACCGATAAGGTCTTCTTCTTCTGGAAATGCAAATGGGTCGGGCGGGTTTTCTTGGCGGGATGTGTCGGAATCTCTCCGGCGTGGTTCGGAGAAGCTAATGCTGAAGTTCAGCGAGTCAGTGAAGGAGGAAACTGCGTTTGATTTTGGAAGAGTCAATGCCGAGGCGGGTGAGCTGCTGGAGAGAGCTAAGGTTGAGGTCAGTAAGGGCGAAGCCGAGTTGACTCGATTCAGGACCGTCGTGCTGCCCGAGTTTCTGGATTGGAATAGTTGGGAGCGTTGGAAGGTAGACGAATTTTCCCTCCTGGAACTCTTTCTCCACTGTTTGGCTGGTTTGCTGAGAAAGCTTGGTTGAATGGCTTAGTGTATCATAAATTGTATCACTGTCTCCTTTTGCGGACAGAAGGCTGAATGTTTGCAGTTAAAAAATGAACTCTGAGATTGCTGTTTGAATTTCTCAGGATGTCAAGCATTGGGAGCGGAAACGAGTAGCTGCCCTGATTCTCTACGCTTTCGTGGTCTTGTTTTCTTTCCAAAGGGTGTATGTTGCTGTTCGAGCACCTTTCATTGCACGACAAAAGAAAGAAGCGACAGAGGCTTTCATGGAGGCACTGATTCCTGAGCCAACTCCCATTAATGTTAGAAAGTAAGTGCAATTGCTCACTCGTATCTCTGGATGCTGAAAATCACTTAGAACACTGTTTGACTGTAGGTTGAGTACACCAGTTATGTGGCATGCTATGAATGCCTCATGAATGCTTTGAGAATGGAGAATAACCACAATGCACCAGCATAAACAGTACCTGTCTGAAGAAGACAGTTTTTTTAAGTGAAACATGCACTAGTCTAGAATGTCCTTTTGTCTCAACGAGAACATATTGAGAAGTGGAGGCTTTACACTACAAAACTTTATAGCTGGAGACATTTTTCTCCGAGTGGACAGGTTTAAGAAGGGCATATGGAGGAAGACAGTCCCAAAGGGTTTGAAGATGAAGAAATTTGTTCAATCGCCTGATAGAACACTTATTCGTGATACCTCTTATGTTGGAGAAGATGCATGGGATGATGATGCAATGACACCTCAGGAAAATGTGAAGCAAATTATTGAAAATTATGAAAGACTGAATACAGCAGAGAAGAAGGAACTAGAAGAAGATTTGGGGATTTCAGGTCAGTTGGTAACTATATTGGCATGCAGGTAATAATATTATGCATGAGTCCATATTGTCCCTTCTCCTTCTGCCTTGAATTCTCCATAACTATGAATTTTTCCTTTAGTGCTCAGAGTTGCACATGAGCAGTCAGAATATATTGAGGATTTCATTATTTGAGTTCAGTTCCGCTACTAAAGTGTATGCAGTTCCTCAAAAAGTCCCTAGTTTGAGATTTCAAAGCAACCTACCTTGTGTTTTATGACCACCAACAATGGAGTCCTTTTATTTGTTTCCTTAAAAGCATTCTTCTTAAGAGAACATTCAGACTGTATAGACTACAGGTAACTCTTACTGAAGTTACAGCTAGAGAAGGACTTTGTCTATAAGCACCTGTGAAGAATAGCAAAGAGAAGTATATGTCAGTTAAGTTGACAGTCTTTAGTTGTTTGGTTTATTTGTGTCATGATGGTGGGATGATAGACATGTGTTGTTCTTGGTGGTTGTAGATATTCACTATGATATGTTGCTCTTTAACTCTCCTTTCTTTTGTCTTGATGCTTGCTTAGGAAATTAAGAGCAACAAAGTGTAGGATCATGGCGTGAAAGGCTCCAATTATGGAAGGAAATCCTCAATAAGGAGAAATTGGCTGAACAGTTAGATGCTTCAAATGCCAAGTACGATGTTGAATTTGACATGAAGGAGGTTGAAAATAGTCTTAGAAAGGATGTGGTGGAAAAGGTATCAGAAAGCAATGGAGCAAGAGCTCTGTGGATATCTAAGAGATGGTGGCGCTACCGTCCAACAATCCCCTATACTTACTTTCTTCAGAAGCTTGATTCCTCAGAGGCAAGTGTTCGCCTTTTCCATTAGCTTTTAGCTGTTAATTTCAGTTGTCATTATTGGAGTTCCTTATCTTGCGGGTAAATACAAGAAAAAAGGGCAACTAACACTTTCTTGTACCAATGTCTTGTATGGGCCCCATTCTCCTCTTCTTGTACTCGTATCTGACAGCAGATATGGAATCACCTCTGATCATACTGTGGTGGTCGACGCAAAATTAAATGGAATTAGGATGAAAGAAAGCCAAATGTTATATCTTCGTATAGGTTGAATGAATAAGATAGTCCTTGTTGTTTTCCCTAACTGAGCAGCAGGCTGTTGTTCTTTGTATTAGGTTGCTGCAGTTGTCTTCACAGAGGACTTGAAAAGGGTATATGTAACTATGAAAGAAGGTTTTCCATTGGAATATGTTGCAAGTATTTATGTTCTTGTTGAGTGAGAAATGGAACGATGTTTTGTTAATCACTTAGACTCAGTTTTGCTTCTTTTTTTCTTTTTTGTGTGTCCGCAAGGTTAATATTCCCCTCGATCTATATTTGTTTGAGATTATCTCAAGTTCTGGAGTTGAAGTGGATCTTCTTCAGAAACAGCAGATTCATTACATTTTGAAACTTGTGATTGCTTTGCTGCCTGGATTGCTCATCCTGTGGCTAATTAGGGAGTCAGTGATGCTACTACATATAACCTCAAGTCGTTTCCTTTACAAGAAGTATAACCAACTTTTTGACATGGCATATGCAGAAAATTTTATCATGGTAATTCCTAGCTTAAAGCTCTCATTTTTAAGTTTGTCCTTCAAATTACTTGTTTTGCACATGATGATGTTGTCTTTCTTCTCTTCAGCCGGTTGGTGATGAAGGCGATGTAAGTGAAACAAGGTCAAAGTACAAGGAAGTGGTGCTTGGTGGTGATGTTTGGGATCTTCTTGATGAAATAATGATCTATATGGGCAATCCCATGCAGTATTATGAGAATTGGTGAAATTTGTTATGGTAATACATGATCTACTGCTTTAAATGAACACTAGTGCAACTATCTTTTTTGTGAATGTTGTGATGAATTATCACTGTCTGATAGCTATATGCATGACAGGGTATTCTTCTGTCGGGACCTCCTGGAACAGGAAAGACCCTATTTGCCCGAACTCTTTCAAAGGAAAGTGGATTGCCTTTTGTTTTCGCTTCAGGTGCAGAGTTCACTGATAGTGAGAAGAGTGGTGCTGCAAGGATCAATGAAATGTTTTCTATTGCCAGGAGAAATGTAAGCTCCATCTGTTTTGTTTGCTCCCATCCCGCGAACATATAATAAGATGTTTTTTTTACTATTCATTCTTTGATGCAGGCTCCATCATTTGTGTTTGTTGACGAAATTGATGCCATTGCTGGAAGGCATGCAAGAAAGGACCCACGAAGAAGAGCAACTTTTGAAGCTTTGATTGCACAACTTGATGGAGAGTGAGGAGCTTTCATTTTGTCCTATGATCCTATCCCTTTGTGTTTCTCTTGTTATTTCATTTTCATTACGTTCTTCCAAGAAACGGATATTGATTCTGTTTCTACGGATTATTGATCAAACGTTTTTTAGTATCTACTTCACTAGATGACATGACATTTCATTTGTCTTGTGAAGGAAAGAAAGAACAGGAGTGGATCGTTTTTCTCTCAGACAAGCTGTGACTTTCATCTGTGCGACAAATAAGCCAAATGAATTGGACTTGGAATTGGTTCGTCCAGGACGCATAGACCGGCGCTTGTATATTGGTGTGCCCGACGCAAACCAACGAGTGCAGATTTTCAGCGTACATAGTTCTGGAAAGCAACTTGCAGAAGATGTTGACTTTGGAAAGGTAAGTTCTGCCCTGTTCATCTCCTTTCCGTAGTGTTACTGGTTCTGTGATGCCATATTATAAAGTGCCTTTCTGTAATACTCTCATTTGCTACAAAATGAAGCGCTTTGGTTTTTGCTTAATATGGTTGCCGCCTCCTTTCTGTCTGCAGCTTGTGTTGTGTTCCGTACTGTTGGGTTCTCTGGAGCAGATATTCGAAATCTTGTGAATGAAGCTGCAATTATGTCTGTAAGTCACCATTCTAAAATAAATTTACTTGTGATATGTAGATATTTAGCCATTTATACATTCTCCATAGTTGTGAATCAGGGTCCGTCTCCCAAGTAGATGTGTAGTTATGGCCCAATTTATGTTTCAGGTCAGGAAAGGGCATTCTAAGATTTATCAGCAAGACATTGTTGATGTGTTGGATAAGCAATTGCTCGAGGGCATGGGAGTGCTTCTGACTGAAGAAGAGCAACAAAAGTGTGAAGAAAATGTATGTTTTTAATGGTTGTTAAGTTGACAGAATCTTGCTGGTTCTCAAGCTAATTATTGAAGTCAAATAAGCATTTTCTTGCATATATAGGTCTCATTGGAAAAGAAGAGACTTCTCGCTGTACATGAAGCTGGCCACATAGTTTTAGCCCACTTGTTCCCTCTCTTTGATTGGCATGCATTTTCTCAGCTTCTGCCTGGTGGTAAGGTGAGTGCTGGAGTTATAGCATTTATTATTTCCCTCTCGATAATTACACCTTGCTTTCCTTCTTGACATGGTTCATGATAACCAGGAAACTGCAATATCTGTGTTCTACCCAAGGGAAGATATGATGGACCAAGGATATACTACATTTGGGTATATGAAAATGCAAATGGTGGTGTCTCATGGAGGTCGATGTGCTGAGCGGCTTGTGCTCGGGAATGACATCACAGATGGCGGAAGTGATGATCTTGAGAAAATAACAAAGGTAACAACAGTTGGCCAATCCCATGTAGAATCAATTGGTGAGGTTTCTTCCAATAATAAGGAAACTTGGTTTGAAGTTGAAAATAACTGACTGAGGCACTTGATTTCTTTTCAGATTGCCAGAGAGATGGTGATCAGCCCTCAAAATGCAAAGTTGGGGCTCACTGCTTTAACAAGAAGAGTGGGGTTAATGGACTGACCTGATAGCCCAGACAGCGGATTGATAAAGTACAAGGCATGTTATATTCTCAAATAATCACATGTGTTTATCCCACTCTTTACAAGAGACTGTTGTTATTGACTGTGTTCCCCTTCTTCATGATATTAGTGGGACGACCCTTATGTGATCCCTGCCAACGTGACTCTTGAAGAATCCGAGCTATTCACTCGCGAGTTGATCAGGGTATGTGCTCAAGAAATTTCTCTCTTGAAGGAAGACGACTTTTTGCTGGTAGACTACTAAGGTTTTGATGTCAGTGCAGTATATTGAAGAGACAGAGGAACTTGCAATAGAAGGATTAAGAGACAACATGCATATATTGGACATGATTGTCAAGGAACTCTTGGAGAAGTCGAGGATAACTGGATTGGTATTCACTATGCTTTCTGCTGCACTTTACACTCTAATATAATGGTGACACATTGTAACCCTTGATCAGTCTGTTTTTTCCTAAATTAATACATTTCCAGGAGGTTGAGGAGATGATGAAAGGCCTTTCTCCAGTAATGTTTGAGGATTTCGTCAAGCCATACCAGATCAATGTGAATGAGGTGCTCTGCCTGCTTCTGCCCACTGCTGAATGCTGAGTGCCGACTTAACCTTTGCTGGTACTGACAGTGAAACTTTTTTCCCCCTCTGTGTAATCAGGAGGGAGAATTGCCACATTATGACAATTTGAGATATCAACCAGTTGATGTATATCCGGCCCCACTTCATCGATGTTGAGGCCACACTCAACCTGTTTACAGGAGTATGGCGACCTTCTGATCAACATGGTGCCAACCAAAGCCTCAGCCTTTCTGTAAGCCAGCAACTGTGGATGAATATATATTCATAGCTGCTGCATAATCCTCACACTTCTGGAAAGACAAGTTCAATACAGGCAGGCGATCTACCCAATTTTGCTTCTTACATTCTTACCTCAAAGCATCTAACTGGTCGAAGCGCCTTGGCCCCAGAATATGGCGGAGAAGGACTATTGGATTGGAGTAGGGAAGTTGGAAGAGTAATGTCTTAGTGGCAGATGAGATTTCTAGCGAGCATTTTCGAAAGGCTCTCAGCTTTTCATGTAATTGAAAACCAACAGCTGAATTGGATTGCTGATTTGGTAAGCAACTAGTTTTACTCTGAGTCTGTTCTTCTTGGCGAGTCGGAGCAGAGTAGGTTTTTGCTCTGCGTCTCAGAGTTCGCTTTTGTTTTGTTTTGTTTTGTTTGACTTCGTTCCATTGAGATCAATCCTTGTGATCTCGTTTTTGTACAGTTATTTTCGTTCTTAATATTAAACGCCATTATAAAAAAAAAACTAGTCTTACAGTTTATTTCTAGCAGATAAACTGGCAGGATTGTATTATGTCTTGAGAATGCTGCTTTGGAATGTGAAAACCAACAGCTTAAATTGGATTGCAATACATTTGAGTGTGTAGTGTGTACACGTTAACACTACCTCTTGGTACAAATTAGAATCTTAAAGCTTGCTGGAAGGAACACCAACAGGTTTATCTCTAGAACGCTTCTCCACAGCCCGAGAGAGCTGCCTCACTGCATCTTTTTGTAGATGGCGAGGCTTGCTCAGCCATAGTCCACCATCCACTGGAATCGTTGTTCCATTCACGTATTTCCCTACAGCACAAAGCAATTCATAAGTTACATTCTCAAGAAGTAGCCTAAAATGACTAACTGCACCAGACAACAGTAACATAACGAACCAGCATCAGAAACAAGGTAGAGAGCAGCCATTGCAATATCCCATTTCTCCCCAAGCTTATACAAGGGCATATAGTCTCGTGCCTTGCCGTTGATCTCATCTGGTGCAAGTTTGCTAATCCCAGGAGTGTCGCCAATGGGCCCTGGAGCTATTCCATTCACTCTGATATCGTAATCTGTGCCCCACTCGAGTGCCAAGTTTCTGGCAAGGGCATCCACTGCTGCCTATTACGCAAACAACACAGGTTTCATTGGAGAAAATTCAGAGTATGATACATAACAAGTATAGAATGCTCATCGTAATCATAAACAGCATGCTGGTGTGTACCTTGGCTGCAGATACATGGATTTGATACCAAGCTGCTGTGTAGTGCAAAGTAGCACTTATATTTATAATTGATCCACCACCTTCAGATGAACCTCGCCCAAGCCCTCCTTTCATCAGATACTTGAGCGCAGCATGGCACATTGTAAAAGTTCCCACAGCATCAATATTTATAACTGCAAGAACTCAGGGAATTGAAGCTCACAAACACAAGAGAAATACACCACTGCAAAAGATTGATGAAGGGACATATGTCCCTGAAGTTACTAAGAATTTCCACTCCTTCTACTTGAAGTTCAGGCTCCAAATGGACACAATCTGATACAACAAAGACACTTGGAAAACCTTGTCTAAACAATGGAATACAAATGCTTTCCTTCTACCGAATTCTCCATCGAGCTAAATCACATAGTGGGTTCACAAAGCTGAAGGGTATAGTAGATGAGTAGTGGGAAGAACCTGTTCGAAAACCATTAGGGGATAAGTCCTCGGGCGAGGCAAGGAAATTGCCAGCCGCAGCGTTTACAAGAATGTCAATCCTGCCGAAATGTTGGAAAGTTGATTCCACCACTCTTCTTGCATCTTCCGGCTTCCGAACATCCCCTTCAAACCCCACAGCCTGCACAGAGCCAAAAGCCTCCCAATCGTCAAAACCAACTCAGCAGAAATTAATCCATAACCTCAAAGCTTAGCTTGCAGAATAGAGTACAGTAAACTAAATGGACGGGAATAACAATTCAATTCTCTTGTGAATTGGTCACATAAGTCCACCAATTCTTTCACCTCGATCAATCCACTGCATGGGAGACGAAGACTGTACAAGCAAAAGAAGAAGCAGAGTAAAGGGTACCTGAATTCCGAGGGAACGGAGGCTGGAGACGGCGGCGTCGAGCACGGACTTCCGCCGGCCCATGATCGCGACGGAGGCGCCGTGTTTGCCGAACTGCGTGGACAACTCGAACCCGATTCCGGATCCTCCGCCAGTGATCAAACCCACCTTCCCTCTCAAAATTTCTGCCTTGAACGGAGACCCCATCCCTTCCCTTTCTTCCCTGCGTCTCTGCCTCTGTGCGACTCCCCTGCTGCTTCTAATTCCTTCTCGTTTCTCAGCCCACCATAACCATTTTGAGGAATGAATAGAGCTGGAAATGTTAGATAGGACTGAAATGTAAAAGAGAGAGGTTTAGTGACTGAATCCATAATAGACATAAATTTACTGTACCGACCCATGCCTAAAGGCTAAAAAGCCTAAAACAAGTTACTACTTACCCGCCCGCCGGTGAAGAAAACCCTTTTCCGCCTCCTCTGAAGTGAAGTTTTGCAGTCTTCTCCGCGAGGACGAGGGACTCGCAGCCTCCAGAATCATGGAAGAAGCACGTGGGGATGCACTCGTCGATGTAAACTTCCCCCTGTTCTCCAAACCCAGAAAATCCCGTAAACAGATTCCCGCGGCAAAACCTCCCGTGTCCGAGGACACCGCCCTTTCGGACCCTAGAACTCCCAAAATCGAGAAAGAAACGTCATCCTCCGCCGCGGAACCCCATGACGCTGCCGGAACTTCCTTCTCCGACTTGGGCCTCGCCGAATTTGCTATTCAAACTTGCAAGGAGCTGGGCATGAAGCGCCCGACTCCGGTTCAAGTCCACTGCATCCCGAAGATACTAGCCGGCCGCGACGTTCTAGGTTTGGCTCAGACGGGCAGCGGAAAGACAGCTGCTTTCGCTCTGCCGATCCTCCACCGCCTCGCCGAGGATCCTTACGGCGTCGCTGCGCTGGTGATTACGCCCACCAGAGAGCTGGCTTTTCAATTGGCAGAGCAGTTTCGCGCGTTGGGTTCTTCCTTGCAATTGAGGTGCGCAGTTGTCGTTGGCGGGATGGATTTGCTCACCCAAGCTCAGACATTAATGGGCAGACCTCATATAGTCATCGCCACTCCCGGCAGAGTCAAAGTTCTGATGGAAAATAATGCTGATTTGCCTGCCGTTTTCTCCAGAACTAAGGTAAAAAGAGGAGAGGGAGGGATTCAGGGAATGAAATGCACATTTTGTTCTATTTGAATCTGCCTTCTTCTGCTGCTTGAATCTGTTCTTTTATGGCAGTTCCTGGTTCTCGATGAAGCTGACAGAGTTTTGGACGTGGGGTTTGAAGAGGAACTGAGAACGATTTTCCAGTGCCTGCCAAAGAATCGCCAGACCCTTTTGTTTTCTGCAACAATGACCAGTGAACTGCAGACGCTGCTTGAGCTTTCTGCGAATAAGGCCTACTTCTATGAGGCCTATGAGGGATTCAAGACTGTGGACACGCTAAAGCAGCAGTATGTTTTCATACCCAAGAATGCGAAGGAGGTTTATCTTTCGTACATTTTGGCCAGGATGGAAGGTATGGGTATTCGATCTGCTATGATATTCGTCTCCACTTGCAGGTATCAATTTCCACTGGTCTCTTAGTAGTCTATAGATACATACATTGTAGAAATCTGCCTTTCAGGAAAAGACACACAACAAAAAGATCATAAAGAATTTCTTTAATGTTGCTATGATCGACAGAAAAAAGTATATACCTATACAATACAGTTTACACTAGCATCTTATGCCGAGTATTCTCAGTTTGTTAGAGCGAATCTGTTTTGAAGATTACTTGCATGCAAGTTGTTCAAGTTCTAACAATTGAGAAGACAATTGATTTTATTTGGTCTGACTTGGTTTAACGAACTCGAGAAGTTGGCGATTCTGAAAACCGGGTTTTTCATTTATGTTTTTGAACCTTGGAGCAGGAGCTGCCAGCTTCTAAGTTCACTACTCGAAGAACTTGGTCAGAAGGCTGCAGCAATGCATTCCTTCAACTCTCAGGCCTTGAGACTAAAAGCACTGCATGAATTCAAGGCGGAGAAAGTCCCCGTGTTAATCGCAACCGATGTTGCAAGTCGTGGTTTGGACGTTCAAACAGTTGATCTTGTTATCAACTATGATCTTCCAAGGTTAACTTATACATCCCGAATATGTCTTGTCTGTTTTTATAGCACCTTTTTTCTTTAGAATTGATTTTGACTGCTAGTTAACTGCAGATATCCTAGAGACTATGTTCATCGTGTGGGGCGTACTGCTAGAGCAGGCAGGGGAGGTTTGGCTATAAGTTTTGTGACACAGGTAAGATAAGTGATTGTCAACTTTTATTGCACCCTGGAGAAGCATCGCCTTAAACCAACTCTGTCTTCCTACTTTGTTGTTAGTACGACGTGGATCTGGTTCATGAGATTGAGGGTGTCGTTGGAAAACAGTTTGAGCAATTCGAGTGCAAAGAGAAGGACGTCCTTTCTGGAATTACAAAGGTATGAGCTTGGTTCTTTTGCATAAATGGTGATTTTTCCTTGGACCCTTTGTTATTCTTAATGAGTTTTTTGGAACCCTATTCAGGTTTATAAAGCCAAACGAGTGGCATCAATGAAGATGATGGATGATGGGTTTGAGGATAAGCTGAAGGAAAGGAAGAACCAGAAGCTGAAAACTTTAGCAGATAAAGGTCTGCCGAAGAAGAAGAAAAGGAATAATAACAAGAGGAAGAGACAGCTAAATCATTTTCATTTTGAATTGACTGTTTCTAGCCCAAAGTTTTGCCACATTATCAATCCATTTTTGTGTCATATATATGTACCAGAAGGGTAGGGCGAAATGCTAAATTTAAATCATTACCCTCTTTAGATTTTGATACTTGACCTTTTACCATGGGTTGTGTAATTTACTTGCTCTCTTTTGGCAATGAAATGAAGTGTAGCTTACATAAAAGATGCATTGTTTTACTTTTAGTCTATTACCATGGAGTAAAAAAGAAAACTGTGGTAAAAAACGAATAAAGAGGAACGGAATCCGTATCCTACCCCAAAAATTAAAAATTAAAAATTAAAAAAAAAGTACACTCCTCGCGTCGGCCGGAATCCGAAGAGTCCACTCCACTGCACTCTCAACAAAGTCTTTAAATACCAGAGTTATTCATAATCATCATCGGCCCATTCAGCCTCCCACGATTTCAGTTCCCCTTCGCTCTTCCTTCCCTCGATTTCCAATCCACCATCGCCGCCGCCAGCCATGTCAACGTGCGAGGCCAACGGCACTACTGAACCCTCCCCTGCCACCGCCGAAGGCAAGACCATCACGCTCAAGTCCGGCGATGGCGAGATGTTCCAAGTCGAGGAAGCCGTCGCCATGGAGCTAGCCACCGTGAAGAACTTCTTCGACGACGGCACCATCGACTCCGGCAACGCCGCTGCCGTCATCCCGCTCCCCAACGTCTCCGCGCAGCCTCTGTCGAGGATCATCGTCTACTGCAGGAAGCAGGTGGAATTCCGCGGGAGCGCTGCGGCTGAAAGCGAGAAGAGGAGCTTCAGCGACGAGTTCGTGAAAAAGCTGGAACTCGGTGAGGTGAGGGACCTGGTCCTGGCCGCGAATTACCTCAACATCCCATACCTGCTCGACGTGCTGAACCAGAACATCGCGGATCGCATCCAGAACAAGAGCGTTGAGTTCGTCAGGAAGTTCTTCGGGATCGAGAACGATTTCACCCTGGAGGAGGAGCAGGCCATCCGCGATCAGAACGCTTGGGCCTTCGAAGGTGTGGACGAAGACTGAATCGAGAATTAGGGTTTAGGGATCGAACGTAGCTCTCTCTCTGCTCTGCCGTTTCCGGCTTTTTGTTAGGGTTTGGGAAACTGAATCAACTATCGGGATTTGATTCTAATTTTGCCAGTTAGCAACTCTGTAGTTTAATTTCTTGCTTGCGAATTCCCAATTAAATTTCCTTCTCCCCCTTTGCTTGAATGGACATGATAAAAAATAACAGCTCGCTTGCTCACAATTCGATCCATGGTAACTCACTCTTTAAGCATCAGTCTGCTGTTGGATTGGAGCCTGCAATTCCCTTATTTGGCGGCCATTGCAGCAGCTTGTTGCTTGGTAAAGAGCAGTGGCATGTTGATGCTTGATGTCTGTTCATTAGACCATTACCTAACCAGCTGGCTTACTGCTCTGCCAGCTTGAATGAAATCCTTTGTCTTGAATGGTTGCAGTGAAGGGCTGATCATGAAATGCACTACTCTACCATCGTAAACAAGAATAAACCTTTTTAGCAGCTTCTTCATGGTTAAAGAATGAGACTTTACCTTCGAAACAAGACGAGTTTAATACCCACCATACCTTTGTGCATCTCACTCTATTATCACAAGCAAGAATAAATCTCCTACCTCCTCAACCGCAGGATCAAGTACAGGAGTCTTGTGTGGTTTTTGGTTCTGGCACTCCAGAGATGTTCATGTTGATAATTTTGTCATGTTTCTTGTGTGAATCCTGGTATAGGACCTCAGTAAGTATGTAGTCCTAGGCTGCTATTTTGACTCCATTAGTACCTAGTCAGTTGGAAGAAGCATCTTGAATTTGATTCAAGGGTTTCACGAAGCTGGGATTGACTAATTGATGATAAAGCAAATGGTTGGAAGTCCTAATGTGTGGCCAATCCCATTGGTTGATCACGAATAGATGCTCGAGGTAACTGTATTATTGTTATGTTCATCTTTCTCTCCGTAGTACCTGCTTCTAACTGCTGATTCCCATTTAAATATAAAGGTGCAGGAGAAGGCGGCATTCATCTTCAGTGTTGAAGACATAGCTCTCTTCTGCAAAGATTGCGACGAACTGATCCATTCTGTAGGTAGTCCTTCCGCGAACCATCAGAGGTTTCTACCTCTGGGGAAGAACTCATTGAAGGTAACTGAAAGACCATGGCTTTGTGGGAACGGCTACGGTGCTAATTGTACAATAGTTAGCACCGTCCTAACCAAGGGAAAAACTACTACTAGTTTGAATTAGTAGTGATTTAGCTTAGATGTTGTATTGATTTTATAATAATCCGTAGTGATTTCGTTATTTTTAGTAGCGTTATATTGATTTTATAATAATTCGTAGTGATTTCGTTATTTTTAGTAGCGTTTTTTGCTAGTTATCACGGTGCTAACCTCTATAAGGGGTTAGCACCTAATCCCATTCCTGGCTTTGTTCGTTTGCTCGTAGCTTGTGAAATGACGCATCGTTGTGATGCTTTGTGTATGTGGGAAAGAAACATAGCGATTTAGCTGAACTGCTTAATGGACTTATCATCCGTGGATAATAGGATCAATAGACATTTTTATTGGTGGAGAATAGCCTCGGTCCGATCTCGTGATCTGTAACATCCAAAATCGAAAAAATGGCATTTCGGTAAAATCGCTTCAAATCTGTGATGGTACCCTTTTGGAATCTGCCAAAAATTGACCCGGAATAAATCCGCCCAAATCGGTGCTTAATGGACTTAATCATCGTTGAAGAATAGCCTCAGGTCAAATCCGTGATCTGTAGCCTTCAAAATCCAAAGAAAATGTCCTTTCGTCGCCCAAAAAATTACGAAAATGTCATCCAAAAATAAATTGACCAAAATCAGTCCTTAATAGACTTATCATCCGCGGGGAATGATCAATAGACTTCATTATAGGTGGAGAATAGCCTCAGCCTAATCCCGCGATCTGTGGCCTCCAAAATTGAAAGAAAATGACATTTCGAAAAAATCTCTCAAATCTGTGATAGTACCCCTTTGGAATATGCCAAAAATTGACCCGGAATAAATCCGCCCAAAATGGTGCTTAATGTACTTAATCATCGTTGAAGAATAGCCTCAGGCCAAATCCGTGATCTGTAGACTTCAAAATCCAAAGAAATGGTCTTTCGTCCCCAAAAAATTACGAAAATGTCATCCGAAAATAAATTGGCCGAAATCGGTGCTTAATGGATTTATCATCCTTGGAGAATAGCATCAATAGACTTCTTTATCGGTGGAGAATAGCTTCAGCCAGATCCCGTGATCTGAAGCCTCCAAAATCGAAAGAAAATGACATTTCGGAAAAATCGCCCCAAAACTGTGATGGTACCCCTTTGGAATCTGCCATAAATTGACCCGGAATAAATCCGCCCAAATCGGTGCTTAATGGACTTAATCATCGTTGAAGAATATCTTCAGGGCGAATTTGTGATCTGTAGCCTTCAAAATCCAAAGAAAATGGTCTTTTGTCAACCAAAAAATTACGAAAATGCCATCTGAAAATAAATTGGCCGAAATTAGTGCTTAATGAACTTATCATCCTTGGAAAATAGCAGTGTTATTAAGACCGAGCAGAGCCGGTCGGTCCAACTGGTAAAACCGTCACCCTGTCACCAAACCAGCTCGGATAAGTCTAAAAACCGCAGCTGTCAGAATGAACGGTTGGCGAGCGGCCAAAGCGGTTAACCACTCGAGCCATTTGAGCCGCCCGACCGGTTTTCAACTCCTATCCGCCTGTGAAGAAGATTGAAAATCCAAAAATTGAACAATAAAAATGATTGCTAGGTTGAAAACGCTGAAGCTTTTCGAAATTCAGTAGCGCCGTAACCCAACCGACGGGGAGTGAAGGAATGGGACTCGAATGAGAGACTCTGACACGCTATGACACAACACCTAACAATGGCCAAGTGTAACCAATGAAAGGGACTGCAGTATAGTGGCACAAGTAATAAATATCGAATCCACGGGTCTCTAGAGTTACTATTACTCAGCTTCAGTTCATTATCTAGCAAACTAGATTAAGGATTGATTTACTAAACTACTCTACTAACTACTCTACTAATTACAAATTGGGAACTCACTTAGGTATGATTCCCCCTAGCTCCTCAATTAGGTCCAAGTTGCAATTACCTTTGGTTGATCTACTGTTGATTAAACTGCGGAAGATCCTAAATTAGCTTGGAATCTCTTAAGCTGACCAAGCCCTCTTAGACAGAATACCCGGCAGGCGACTAGCCTTCACCGGGATAGACTGCTCAGGCGATTCACACAGATCTCCACTACTGGAAAGAATTCCAGTACAAAGCAGTGAATTGATTGACTCTCGCACAACCAATTCACCACTATCAATCAAGGAAGTTCTCTTAACCTAATCAGATTCTATCTATCATAGGTTAAAGCAGAAATCAAGAGAATTCGATCAAGATTCAATTGACTCAATAAGTCATGCCTCAATCGATTATAAACAAACAATATAACATCCAAAACTTCATACAAGAAAGATCCTAACACATGGAACTAGGGTTCCTCAAAACCTAAGTGAAGGGAAGTTACTCCATAGAGAAGAGAGAGACTGCAGAAATCTGATCTAGATCTTCAATCTCCATCTCCAAGCTTGTTTCCCGAGCTCCAATGGCGAATAAATCCTCCAAAATAGCTCCAAGAATGTTCCCAAGTCGCTCTCTCTCTAGGGTTCGTCCCTTGGGTGTTTGGGAACCAAAACCGAGCTCTCCCCTTTCCTTTTGCTGAAAATCGGGTTTTAACAAGAAATTCCCGATCACACGGCCAGGCCACACGGCCGTGTGACTTTCCCAGATGCCCGTGTGAGGCTCGGTGATTTCCACACGGCCACATGGCCAGGTCACACGGCCGTGTGGGTTTTTAGGCGTGCCCGTGTGGCTTGCTCAGCCTCTGTTTAATGCTTCGTTTCTCCCTCGTCCGGACTCCGAATCAGTCGACGTTTGATCACAGACGCTCGTAGTCTCGTCCTCTTTCTTTTCATGACAAAATTCCATGATTATTTGTCCATAATATGAGGTATAAGTCCATTATTCCTCAGGTCATGCTCGTGTTTCTTCTCCCGAATTGCCGAATGATCTCCGATTGACTTCAAACTTGCGCCTATGCTTCAATTTACATGCTAGGACCTGAAATGTGACAAAGGAACACAACCTAGAATAAAATAGGCCAAATAAGCGATAATGAAAGCTTAAACGATCAAGAAACAAAGGGGAAAACAGGTGCAAATATCGAGTCATCAAATCCCCCCACACTTAACCGTTTGCTTGTCCCCAAGCAAACCTAACTCAAACCTATGCAGCTCTCCAGACCTCTATAGCAACAAACAACCCCGATCGTCGGTAGAGAATTTTCTAGATCATATAGCAGCTTACGAGGTCAACTGGTCTTCTAAGACGTTCCCTATCTCTCTCAATGCGAGTACTAGACTCAAGCCAGGATCATGAGAAGAAATGGAAGTAAGACAACCAGTTCATGGATAAAGGGACTCACACCATTCACAACCAAGGACTCGTTGTACCGGGGTGCTCTTTCACTTCATTTCACCGTTGGAACCCCCTTTTGCACTTTCATTTACATTTCTTTTTCTCTTTTTTTTTTCTGCATTCACTTGGCGGGGGTTCCAACTGCAGTCTTTTGCACGGTCGACCCTTATTAGTCGAGCAAGAGCAATTTTTGTACACCTGGCGCTCGCCAGGGTACTTCTTTTAACTCCTTTTCCTCAACTCGTGTGGAGGGTCAATGAAATTAAGGGTGGTCGGAAGCTCTATCCGTGCCCTTAAAAACACATCCTCGAGTAGGCAAACCGTTCAACGGGTGGAAGTTTTACTTGTACTGGAGACAGCTTAGCTTCACCTTGTAGGAGTACCCCACTAAGGATCACTAAAATCTTCTCCAAAACCCGATTTTGTGCAATGAACGGTGCCACACACGTTGGGCTTACCCCATGTTTAAGAGTTTTGATGATTTCGACATGGAGGACCAACTGCTTTTTATTTGACACATGAGCACCCTGCTCAATACACAAGTCCATAACACAATTCAAACAGAGTCCACATTAGCACATGAATTCAACGGTCTTAGCTCCACTAATTCACAAAATCAACTGACACAGCAGAGAGCTAGATAGGAAAAATCTTATACTTCAACATCCTCCATAGTGCTACACTACCTCCCTAGGTTGCACATTACTATAGAGACTGTCAATTCAAAGCATACTGAGCAGGCAATTTGCAAGGAAACACGTACTTGGAGCCCTCAAATTTAAAATAAAATTTGTACAGTGGACTAGGCTCCAAGCACACAAACAACCAAACATTCACCCGCATAGATAATCGAACATCCCCCCACACTTAAGCACGACATTGTCCTCAATGGAGGAAAGATAAGGAGGGTAGAACGAAGTTACCAGATCAAGGGCGAATGATGATGGACGGGGCAGGCGGTGCATTCCAGGAAGAGAGAGTAATCAGAACACAAACACCACACAAAATCTCACAAAGGTTGACTTATTGACTCTAAAATCAAATAACAAAACTGACTCAACCGAGGAGAAATAAAGAAAGAAATTCAAACCGACTAGTTGGGTTGCCTCCCAACAAGCGCTTCTTTCACGTCGTGAGCCAGACGATGGCTCCTAAGTTTTGGTCCATGCTAGAACCTCCTTGAAGTTGAGGTTCTTGTCAATGAGGTGGAGTCGCAAGTCACGAGCATGTGGTATGACTGGTGATGGAAGCTCGTGCACTTGATGCAGATGAAGTCTCCATCCTCGAGACCTCTTCTTCTCTTCTCTCGTCCCATTGCCCCAAACCAAATATGACAGCATCGATTGGCCACCATCGCGTCCACCAAGAGGGACCGATGTCGATGTGGCCTTGGTCTGGCAAAGAGACACTGCAAATGGGTCCTTGCTAAGCAGTTCCTCGAAGTTTGGTGGGGATATTACTTGTATTATAGGGCCGGTGCAAGCCTCTTCCACCTCAACTTCATCCTCAGCCTGGACACCACTCGCTTCTTCAACCCCCATTCCTTCTTCAAAATGTGGTCTCTCTCCTCGGAAAAGATCAAGAACTACCTCTTCTTTGATTTCTTCCTCATCCTCCACAACTTCTTTCCTCACCCTTGCTCTCTCTTCTTCTTCTTCCATAACTGATTGGAGAGCAAGTCTCCATGCAAGGTTCTCAATAAGTTCAGCTTGCATCTCCTCGCTCGGGCCCAGCATGTCAGAGTGGAAATGGGGAAAGTTGTGATCTACCACCAGAGGATACACTTTATCATGATTATCATGGGAGCTTTTCTTGACAACTTCTGTATGCTCCTCAACATCCTCATGATTGCCTTCTTCTTCCTCCACCTCTACTTGTATGGCAGCATAAAGGTTGTCTTGAGAAAACTGTGAACAGGCTTTCTCAATGACCTCTATGTGCTCCTTTATGCTCCGAAGGGTATCCTCTGTTTCACGGGGAAATGAGAAGTCAGTTTGGGCAATGGCCTGGATATGAGGATCCATCTCGGGAAAGGATCTCTCAGGTACTCGAGCAATCTGCTCCACGAGAAGCCTCAAGTGATAGTTTGGATCTGGCTGTGGAGTGTAGCATGGCTCTGCCGGATCGCCCGTGAAGGCTGTGGCGAACCCAAGATCTGATGGTCCTTCTTGTTGTGGGAGGAATTCTTCTTGATAAGGAGATTGTTCTTGAAATACCCAGGGGTCTGATTATTCTTCGTAGTAGGGGAGTTGGTACTGAAACCCGACTCTATAGTCTTCTCCTCCTTGGTTACTCCAGGGTGTCTCGGGGTAATACCACTCGGATGGTGGTGGATACCCCCAATGGTTGGAGAAGCCATTAGGATCCATGATTCAGATCTGCACCAACAAAACAAAAAAACACCCAAGTGAAAATCAAGGGTGGGAAAAAAAACGCTAAAGTAACAAACTTCTGCCTTTCCTAATAATCCAGAAAGTCCCCGGCAACGGCGCCAAAAACTTGACACGCTATGACACAACACCTAACAATGGCCAAGTGTAACCAATGAAAGGGACTGCAGTATAGTGGCACAAGTAATAAATATCGAATCCACGGGTCTCTAGAGTTACTATTATTCAGCTTCAGTTCATTATCTAGCAAACTAGATTAAGGATTGATTTACTAAGCTACTCTACTAACTACTCTACTAATTACAAGTTGGGAACTCACTTAGGTATGATTCCCCCTAGCTCCTCAATTAGGTCCATGTTGCAATTACCTTTGGTTGATCTACTGTTGATTAAACTGCGGAAGATCCTAAATTAGCTTGGAATGTCTTAAGCTGACCAAGCCCTCTTAGACAGAATACCCGGCAGGCGACTAGCCTTCACCGGGATAGACTGCTCAGGCGATTCACACAGATCTCCACTACTGGAATGAATTCCAGTACAAAGCAGTGAATTGATTGACTCTCGCACAACCAATTCACCACTATCAATCAAGGAAGCTCTCTTAACCTAATCAGATTCTATCTTTCATAGGTTAAAGCAGAAATCAAGAGAATTTGATCAAGATTCAATTGACTCAATAAGTCATGTCTCAATCGATTATAATCAAACAATATAACATCCAAAACTTCATACAAGAAAGATCCTAACACATGGAACTAGGGTTCCTCAAAACCTAAGTGAAGGTAAGTTACTCCATAGAGAAGAGAGAGACTGCAGAAATCTGATCTAGATCTTCAATCTCCATCTCCAAGCTTGATTCCCGAGCTCCAATGGCGAATAAATCCTCCAAAATAGCTCCAAGAATGTTCCCAAGTCGCTCTCTCTCTAGGGTTCGTCTCTTGGGTGTTTGGGAACCAAAACCCAGCTCTCCCCTTTCCTTTTGCTGAAAATCGGGTTTTAACCAGAAATTCCCGATCACACGGCCAGGCCACATGGCTGTGTGACTTTTCCAGATGCCTGTGTGAGGGCTCGGTGATTTCCACACGGCCAGGTCACACGGCCGTGTGGGTTTTTAGGCGTGCCTGTGTGGCTTGCTCAGCCTCTGTTTAATGCTTCATTTTTCCCTCGTCCGGACTCCGAATCAGTCGCCGTTTGATCACAGACGCTCGTAGTCTCGTCCTCTTTATTTTCATGACAAAATTCCATGATTATTTGTCCATAATACGAGGTATAAGTCCATTATTCCTCAGGTCATGCTCGTGTTTCTTCTCCCGAATTGCCGAATGATCTCCGATTGACTTCAAACTTGCGCCTATGCTTCAATTTACATGCTAGGACCTGAAATGTGACAAAGAAGCGGAAGAAAGAAGGTGGGGCTGCAACAAAAGAAAAAGAAGAAGTAGAAAGAAGAAGAAAGCAAAAGGGGCAGCTGTAGGTGTAGGGTTGTAGGGTTTGTTAGTGATTATATATTTATGTAAAATTACTTAGTGGTAGCTGCAAACTAAATTTCATTTACTCATTAAATTATTACCCTTTGTGTCTTCTACTTCTAATATGATTGTTTATCACGTACCGGTTCTCTAACGATTTTTTTAATGGCTAATACCGGTTAGACCACTAAAGTACGAGCCGTTCCACATTATCGGGTCATGCTCAGGTTCGGTTTTGACAACATTGGAGAATAGCATCAATAGACTTCTTTATCGGTGGACAATAGCTTCAGCCAGATCCCATGATCTGAAGCCTCCAGAATCAAAAGAAAATGACATTTCGGAAAAATTCCACCAAAACTGTGATGGTAACCCTTTGGAATTTTCCAAAAGTTGACCCCGAAATAAATCCTCCCAAATCTGTGATGGTACCTCTTTGAAATCGTCCTAAAATTGACCGGAAATAAATCTGCCCAAATCGGTGCTTAATGGACTTAATCATCGTTGAAGAATAGCATCAGGCCGAACCTGTGATCTGTAGCCATCAAAATCCAAAGAAAATGGCCTTTTGTCGCCCAAAAAATTATGAAAATGTCATCCGAAAATTAATTGGCCCAAATCGGTGTTTAATGGACTTCTCATCCGTGGAGAATAGGATCAACAGACTTCATTATCAGTGGAGAATAGCCTCGACCTGATTCCGTGATCTGTAGCCTTCAGAATCGAAAGAAAATGACATTTCGGAAAAATCGCCCCAAATTTGTGATGGTACCCCTTTGGAATCTGCCAATGACCCGGAATAAATCCACAAAAATCGGTGTTTAATGGACTTAATCATCGTTGAAGAATAGCCTCAGGCCGAATCCGTGATCTGTAGTTTTCAAAATCTAATGAAAATGGCCTTTGGTCATCCAAAAAATTACGAAAATGCCATCCGAAAATAAATTGGCCCAAAGAGGTGATTAATGGTCTTATCATCCGTGGAGAATATAATCAATAGACTTCATTATCTGAGGAGAATAGCCTCGTCCTGATTCCGTGATCTGTAGCCATCAGAATAGAAATAAAATGGCATTTCGAGAAAATCTCCCCAAATCTGTGATGGTTCCCCTTTGGAATCTGCCAAAAATTGACCCAGAATAAATCCGCTCAAATTGGTGATTAATGGACTTAATCATCGTTGAAGAATAGCCTAAGGCCGAATAGATGATCTGTAGACTTCAAAATACAAAGAAAATGGCCTTTTGACGCCCACAAAATTACGAAAATATCATCCGAAAATAAATTGGCCCAAATCGGTGCTTAATAGAATTATCATCCGTGGAGAATAGGATCAATAGACTTCATTATCAGTGGAGAATAGCCTCGACCGGATTCCATGAACTGTAGCCTCCAGAATCGAAAGAAAATGACATTTCGGAAAAATCGCCCCAAATTTGTGATGGTACCCCGTTGGAATCTGCCAATGACTCGAAATAAATCCGCCCAAATTGGTGCTTAATGGACATAATCATTGTTGAAGAATAGCCTCACGCCGAATCCGTGATCTGTAGCCTTCAAAATCCGAAGAAAATGGCCTTTGGTCGCCAAAAAAATTACGAAAATGCCATCCGAAAATAAATTGGCCCAAATAGGTGATTAATGGACTTATCATCCGTGGAGAATATGATAAATAGACTTCATTATCGGAGGAGAATAGCCTCGTCCTGATTCCGTGATCTGTAGCCTTCAGAATCGAAATAAAATGGCATTTTGGAAAAATCGTCCCAAATATGTGATGGTTCCCCTTTGGAATCTGCCAAAAATGACCCAGAGTAAATCCGCTCAAATCGGTGCTTAATGGACTTAATCATCATTGGAGAATAGACTTAGGCCGAATAGATGATCAGTAGCCTTCAAAATCCAAAGAAAATGGCCTTTCGACGCCCACAAAATTACGAAAATGTCATCCGAAAATAAATTGGCCCAAATCGGTGCTTAATGGACTTATCATCTGTGGAGAATAAGATCAATAGATTTCATTATCGGTGGAGAATAGCCTCGGTCAGATCCTTGTGATCTGTAGCCTCCAGAATCGAAAAAACTGGCATTTCGGAAAAATTGCCTAAAATATGTGAAGGTACCCCTTTGGAATTTGCCAAAAATTGACTCGGAATAAATTCACACAAATCGATGCTTAATGGACATAATCATCGTTGAAGAATAGCCTCAAGCAAAATCCGTGATTTGTAGCCTTCAAAATCCAAAGAAAATGTCCTTTCGCCGCCCAAAAAATTACGAAAATGCCATCCGAAAATAAATTTGCCCAAATCGGTGCTTAATGGACTTATCATTAGTGGAGAACAGGATCAATAGACTTCATTATCGGTGGAGAATAGCCTCGGCCTTATTCCGTGATCTATAGCCTCCAGAATCGAAAGAAAATGGCATTTCCGAAAAGTCGCCTCAAATCTGTGATGGTACCCCTTTGGAATCTGCCAAAAATTGGCCCGGAATAAATCCAACAAAAAATGGTGCTTAATGGACTTAATCATCATTGAAGAATAGTCTCAGGCCGAATCCGTGATCAGTAGACTTCAAAATTCAAAGAAAATGGCCTTTCGTCGAAAAAAAATTATGAAAAGGCCATCCGAAAATAAATAGGCTGAATCGGAGCTTAATGGACTTATCATCTGTGGAGAATAGCATCAATACACTTCTTTATCGGTGGCGAATAATTTCGGCCAGATCCCGTGATTTGAAGTCTTCAGAATCGAAAGAAAATGACATTTCCGAAAAATCCCCCCAAAACTGTGATGGTACCTCTTTGGAATGTGCCAAAAATTGACATGGAATAAATCCGCCCAAATCGGTGCTTAATGGACTTAATCATTGTTGAAGAATAACTTCAGACCGAATCCGTGATCTGTAGCCTTCAAAATCCAACTAAAATGGCATTTCGTCGGCCAAAAAATTACGAAAATGCCATCCGAAAATAAATTGACCAATATCGCTGCTTAATGGACTTATCATCCGTGGAGAATATGATCAATAGACATCATTATCGGTGGAGAATAGCCTCGGCCTAATTTCGAGATTTGTAGCCTCCAGAATCGAAAGAAAATGGAATTTCGGAAAAAATCGCCTCAAATCTTTGATGGTACCCCTTTGGAATTTACCAAAAATTGACCCGGAGTAAATACGCCGAAATCGGTTCTTAATGGACTTAATCATTTTGGAGAATAGCCTCAAGCCAAATCTGTGATCTATAGCATTCAAAATCCAAAGAAAATTGCCTTTCGTCGCCCAAAAAAAACGAAAATACCATCCGAAAATGAAATGGCCCAAATCGCTGCTGTATGGACTTATCATCCGTGGATAATAGGATCAATAGACGTAATTATTGGTGGAGAATAGTCTCGGCATGATTCCGTGATCTTTAGCCTTCACAATCAAAAGAAATGGCATTTCGGAAAAATAGCCCCAAATCTGTGATGGTAGCCCTTTGGAATCGGCCAAAAATTAACCTGGAAAAAATCTGCCCAAATCTGTGCTCAATGGACTTAATCATCGTTGAAGAAAAGCCTCAGGCCGAATCCGTGATATGTAGCCCTCAAAATCCTAAGAAAATGGCCTTTCGACGCCCACAAAATTACGAAAATGCCAATCGAAAATAATTTGGCCCAAATCGATGCTCAATGGACTTATCATCCGTGGAGAATAGGATCAAAAGACTTCATTATTGGTGGAGAATAGCCTCAGCCAGATTCCATGATCTGTAGCCTCTAGAATCGAAAGAAAACGACATTTCGGAAAAATAGCCCAAAATTTGTGATAGTATCCCTTTGCACTTGTCAAAATTTACCCAGAATAAATCCGCCCAAATCGGTCCTTAGTGAATTTAATCGTCGTTGAAGAATAGCCTTAGGCCAAATCCGTGATGAGTAACCTTCAAAATCCAAAGAAAATATATTTTTGACGCCCACAAAATTACGGAAATGCCATACGAAAATAAATTGGCCCAAATTGGTACTTAATGGACTATCATCCGTGGATAATAGGATCAATAGACTTCATTATCGGTGGAGAATAGCCTCAGCCTTATTCCGTGATCTGTAGCCCCCAGAATCGAAAGAAAATGGCATTTCGGAAAAATCGCCCAAAATCTGTGATGGTAGTATGGTACTAGTTTGCAATCTGCCAAAAATTAACCAGGAATAAATCCGCACAAATCGGTGCTTAATGGACATAATCATCGTGGAAGAATAGCCTCAGGACGAATCCATGATCTGTAGCCTTTAAAATCCAAAGAAAATGGCATTTCGACGCCCACAATATTACGAAAATGACATCCGAAAATATATTGGCCCAAATCGGTGCTTAATGGACTTATTCCCGTGGAGAAAATGATCAATAGACTTTATTATCGGTGGAGACTAGCCTCGACCTGATTCTGTGATCTGTAGCCTCCAGAATCAAAAGAAAATGGCATTTCAGAAAATTTGCCCAAAATCTGTAATGGTACAGCCAAAAATTGACCCGGAATAAATCCGCCCAAATCGGTGCTTAATGGACTTAATCATCGTTGAAGAATATCCTCAGGGCGAATCCGTGATAGCCTTCAAAATCCAAAGAAAATGGCCTTTCGACGCCAAAAATATTACGAAAATGCCATCCGAAAATAAATGGGCACAAATCGGTGCTTAATGGACTTATCATCCGTGGAGAATAGGATCAATAGACTTCATTATCGGGGGAGAATAGCCTCTACCTGATTCTGTAAACTTTAGCCTTCTAAATCAAAAGAAAGTGGCATTTCGGAAAAATAACCCCAAATCTGTGATTGCCCATTGAAATCAGTCAAAAATTGATCAGGAAGTAATCCGCCCAAATCTGTGCTTAATGGACTTAATCATCGTTGAAGAATAGCCTCAAGCCGAATCGTGACCTGTAGCCTTCAAAATGCAAAGAAAATGGCCTTCGACGCACACAAAATTACGAAAATGTCATCCGAAAATAAATTGGCCCAAATCGGTGCTTAATGGACTTATCATCCATGGATAATATGATCAAAGACTATATTATCGATGGAGAATAGACTCGGTCTGATTCACTGATCTCTAGCTTCAGAATCGAAAGTAAATGGCATTTCAGAAAAATCGCACAAAATCTGTGATGGTACCCCTTTGCAATCCGCCAAAAATTGACCTGGATTAAGTCCGCCCAAATCGATGCTTGAGGGATTTAATCATCGTTGAAGAATAGCCTCAGGGCGAATCCATAATCTGTAGCCTTCAAAATCCAAAGAAAAAGACCTTTCGATGAAATCGGTGCTTAATGGACTTATCATCTGTGGATAATAAGATCAATAGACTTCATAATCGGTGGAGAATAGCCTCGACCTGATTCCGTGACATGTAGTGTAACACCTTAGGCGAATCCCACATCGACAAAGCACGGGAGAGATCCATGGTTCATAAGTAAGAAACCGGCCTTAACTGACTAGACGCGTTTTGGGGTGTAATGGAGGAGTTCTTGTGAGAACTCCGAAGTTAAACGTGCTCAGTGTAGAGTACAACAAGGATGGGTGACCTTATGGGAAGTCACCCTGAATTGCACCCCAAGTCAAAATCCGTGCGGGTGGAGAGGCCCAAAGCGGACAGTATCTTGTCGAGAAAAGGTTCGGGATGTTACATGTAGCCACCAGAATTAAAAGAAAATGACATTCCGGAAAAATCGCCAAAAATCTATGCTGGTACCCTTTTGCAATATGCCAAAAATTGACCCGGAATATATCCGCCCAAATCGGTGCTTAATGGAATTAAGCATCGTTGAAGAATGGTTTCAGGCCGAATCCGCCGATCTGTAGCCTTCAAAATCCAAATAAAATGCCATTTCGGAAAAATTGCCAAAAATCTGTGCTGGTACCCCTTTGCAATATGCCAAAAATTGACCCGGAATATATCTGCCCAAATCGGTGCTTAATGGAATTAATCATCGTTGAAGAATGGCTTTAGGCCGAATCCGTGATCTGTAGGCTTCAAAATCCAAATAAAATGGCATTTCGTCGACCAAAAAATTACGAAAATGTAATCCAAAAATAAATTGACCTAAAACGTTGCTTAATGGACATATCATCCATGGAGAATAGGTCTGTAGACTTCATTATTGGTAGAGAATAGCCTCGGCCTGATTCCGAGATCTTTAGCCTCTAGAATCAAAAGGAAATAGAATTTCGAAAAAATCGCCCCAAAACTGTGATGGTACCCCTTTCGAATTTATCAAAAATTGATCCGGAATAAATCCACCAAAATCGGTGCTTAATGTACTTAATCATCATTGAGGAATAGCCTGATGCCGAATTCGTGATTTGTAGCCTTCAAAATCCAAATAAAATGGCCTTTAGTCACCGAAAATTGCGAAAATGCCATCCGAAAATAAATTGGCCCAAATCGGTGCTTAATGGACTTATCGTCTGTGGAGAATAGGATCAATAGACTTCATTATCGGTGGAGAATAGCCTCGACCTAATTCCGTGATCTGTAGCCTCCAGAATCGAAAGAAAATGGCATTTCGAAAAAATCGCCCAAAATCTGTGATGGTAACCCTTTGCAATCTGCTAAAAATTGACCCAGAATAAATCCGCCTAAATCGGTTCTTAATGGACTTAATCATCGTTGAAGAATAGCCTCTGGCCGAATCCGTGATCTGTAGCCTTCAAAATCCAAAGAAAATGGCCTTTCGACCTACACAAAATTAAGAAAATTCATTCGAAAAATAGATTGGCCCAAATTGGTGCTTAATGGACTTATCATCCATGGATAATAAGATCAATAGACTTCATTATCGATGGAGAATAGCCTCGACCTGTTTCCGTAATCTTTAGCCTTCAGAATCAAAAGAAAATGGCATTTCGGGAAAATAACCCCAAATTTGTGATAATACCCCATTGAAATCGGCCAAAAATTGACCCAGAATAAATCCGCCCAAATCTGTGCTTAATGGAATTAATTATCGTTGAAGAATAGCCTCTGGCCGAATCCGTGATTTGTAGCATTCAAAATCCAAAGAAAATGGCCTTTCGACGCTCACCATATTACTAAAATGAAATCCGAAAATTAATGGGCACAAATCGGTGCTTAATGGACTTATCATCCGTGGAGAATAGGATTGATAGACTTCATTATCGGTTGAGAATAGCCTCGCCCTGATTCCGCGATCTGTAGCCTCCAGAATCAAAAGAAAATGGCATTAAAAAAATAGCCCAAAATCTGTGATGGTACGCCTTTGCAAGCTGCCAAAAATTGACCGGGAATAAATCCGGACAAATCGCTGCTTAATGTACTTAATCATCGTTGAAAAATAGCCTCAGGGCGAATCCATGATCTGTAGCCTTCAAAATCCAAAGAAAATGGCCTTTCGACGCCCACAGTATTACGAAATGCCATCTGAAAATAAATGGGCACAAATCAGTGCTTAATGGACTTATAATCCGTGGAGAATAGGATCAATAGACTTCATCGGTAAAGAATAGCCTCGGCCTGATTCCGTGATCTGTAGCCTACAAAATCGAAAGAAAATGGCATTTCGAAAAAATAGCCCAAAATCTGTGATAATAACCCTTTGCAATTTGCCAAAAATTGCCCGGAATAAATCCGCCCAAATCGGTGCTTAATGGATTGAATCATCGTTGAAGAATAGCCCCAGGCCGAATCCGTGATCTTCATCCTTCCAAATCCAAAGAAAATGGCATTTCGATGCCCACAAGATTACGAAAACGCCATCCGAATATAAATTGGCCCAAATCGGTGCTTAATGGACTTAACATCCATGGATAATAGGATCAATAGACTTCATTACGGGTGGAGAATAGCCTCGGCCCAATTCCGTGATCTATAGCCTCCAGAACCAAAAGAAAAAGGGAATTCGGAAAAATAACCCAAAATATGTGATAATAACCCTTTGCCTGATCTGTAGCCTCGTCCTGATTCCGTGATCTGTAGCCTACAAAATCGAAAGAAAATGGCATTTCGAAAAAATAGCCCAAAATCTGTGATAATAACCCTTTGCAATCTGCTAAAAATTGCCCGGAATAAATCTGCCCAAATCGGTGCTTAATGGACTTAATCATCAATGAATAATAGCTTCAGGCCGAATCCGAGATTTGTAGCCTTCAAAATCCAAAGAAAATGGCCTTTCGTCTCCCAAAAAAATTACGAAAATGCCATCCAAAAATAAATTGGCCAAATTCGTTGCTTAATGGACTTATCATCCGTGGATAATAGGATCATTAGACTTCAATCCTAGTGGAGAATAGCCTCGTCCTGATTCTGAGATCTGTAGCCTCCAGAATCGAAAGAAAATGGAATTATGGAAAAATAGCCCCAAATCTGTAATTGTACCCCCTTTCGAATTTACCAAAAATTGATCCGGAATAAATCCGCCTAAATCGGTGCTTAATGGACTTAATCATCATTGAGGAATCGCGTGAAGCCGAATCCGTGATATGTAGCCTTCAAAATCTAAAGAAAATGGCCTTTCGTTGCCCAAAAAATTAAGAAAATATCATCCGAAATAAATTGGCCCAAATCGGTGCTGAATGGACTTATCATCCGTGGATAGGATCAATAGACGTAATTATTGGTGGAGAATAGCACCAGCCTGTTTCCGTAGTCTTTAGCCTTAAGAATCAAAAGAAAATGGCATTTCGGGAAAATAGCCCCAAATCTGTGATGGTACCCTGTTGAAATCGGCCAAAAATTGACCCGGAATAAATCCGCCCAAATATGTGCTTAATGGACTTAATCATCGTTGAAGAATAGCCTCAGGCCAAATTTGTGATCTGTAGCCTTCAAAATCCATAGAAAATGGCCTTTCGACGCACACAAAATTACGAAAATGCAATCTAAATTTAAATTGGCCCAAATCAGTGCTTAATGGACTTATCATCCGTGGAGAATAGGATCGATAGACTTTATTATCAGTGGAGAATAGACTCAGCTTGATTTCATGATCTGTAGTTTCCAGAATCGAAAAATATGGCATTTCGGAAAAATCTCCCAGAATCTGTTATGGTACCCCTTTGCAATCTGCCAAAAGTTGACCCGGAATAAATCCGCCCAAATCGGTGCCTGATGGACTTAATCATCATTGAAGAGTAGCCTCAAACCGAATATGTGATCTGTTGCCTTCAAAATCCAAAGAATATGGCCTTTCGACGCACACAAAATTACGAAAATGTCATCCGAAAATAAATTGGCCCAAATCGGTGCTTAATGGACTAATCATCCGTGGAAAATAGGATCGGTAGACTTCATTATCGGTGGAGAATAGCCTCAGCCAGATTCCATGATCTGTAGCCTCCAGAATCGAAAGAAAATGGCATTTCGGAAAAATCGCCCAAAATCTGTGATGGTACCCCTTTGCAATCTGTCAAAAATTGACTCGAAATAGATCCTCCCCAATCGGTGCTTAATGGACTTAATCATCGTTGAAGAATAGCATTAGGCGGAACCCGTGATTTGTAGCCTTCAAAATCCAAAGAAATTGGCCTTTCATCCCCCATAAAATTACGAAAATGTCATCCGGAAATAAATTGGCTCAAATCGGTGCTTAATGGACTTATCATCCGTGGAGAATAGGATCAATAGACTTCATTATCAGTGGAGAATAGCCTCGACCTGTTTCCGTGATCTGCAGCCTCCAGAATCGAAAGAAAATGACATTACTGAAAAATCAACCAAAATTTGTGATGGTTACCCTTTGGAATCTGCCAATGACCCGGAATAAATCAACCCAAATCAGTGCTTAATGGACTTAATCATCGTTGAAGAATAGCCTCAGGCCGAATACATGATTTGTAGCATTCAAAATCAAAAGAAAATGGCCTTTGGTCACACAAAAAAATACGAAATGCCATCCGAAAATAAATTGGCCCTAATAGGTGCTTAATGCACTTATCATCCGTGGAGAATATGATCAATAGAATTCATTATCGGAGGAGAATAACCTCGGTCTGATTTCGTGATTTGTAGCCTTCAGAATCAAAATAAAATGGCATTTCTGAAAAATCACCCCATATCTGTGAAGGCACCCCTTTGGAATCTGCCAAAAATTGACCCAGAATAAATCCGCTCAAATCGGTGATGAATGGACTTAATCATCTTTGAAGAATAGCCTCAGACCGAATCCGTGATCTGTAGCCTTTAACATCCAAAGAATATGGCCTTTCAACGCCCACAAAATTTCGAAAATGTCATCCGAAAATAAATTGGCCCAAATCGGTGGTTAATGGACTTATCATCCGTGGAGAATAGGATCAAAAGATTTTATTATTGGTGGATAATAGCATCGGCCTGATCGCGTGATCTGTAGCCTCCAGAATCGAAAGAAAATGCCATTTCCGAAAAATCGACTCAAATCTGTGATAGTACCCCTTTGGAATCTGCCAAAAATTGACCCAGAATATATCTGCCCATATCGGTGTTTAATGGACTTAATCATCGTTGAAGAATAGCCTCTGGCCAAATCGATGATCTGTAGCCTTCAAATACAAAGAAAATGTTTTTTCGTCGCCCAAAAAATTACGAAAATTCCATTCGAAAATAAATTGCCCCAAATCGATGCTTAATGGACTTATCATCTGTGAAGAATAGAATCAATAGACTTCATTATCGGTGGAGAACAGACTCGTCCTAAGACAGTGATCTGTAGCCTCAAGAATCGAAAGAAAATAGAATTTCAGAAAAATCGCTCCGAATATGTGATGGTACCCCTTTGGAATTTACCAAAAATTGACCCGGAATAAATCCGCCAAAATCGGTGCTTAATGGACTTAATCATCGTTGGAGAATAGCATCAAGCCAAATCCGTGATATGTAGCCTTCAAATCCAAAGAAAATGGCATTTCGTCGAACAAAAAATTACGAAAATACCATCCAAAAATAAATTGGCCCAAACCGGTGCTGAATGGAGTTATCATCCTTGGATAATAGGATCAATAGACGTAATTATTGATGGAGAATAGCGCCTGATTCTGTGAACTTTAGCCTTCAGAATTAAAAGAAAATAATATTTCAGAAAAATAGACCCAAATCGTTACTGTACCCCTTTTGGAATCAGCAAAAATTTACCCGGAATAAATCCGCCAAAATATGTGCTTAATGGACTTAATCACCGTTGAAGAATAGCCTCAGGACGAATGCGTGATATGTGTCCTTCAAAATCAAAAGAAAATGGCATTTCGACTCCCACAAAATTACGAAAATGCCATCCAAAAATAAATTGGCCCAAATCGATGCTTAATGGACTTACTATCCATGGAGAATATGATTAGTAGACTTCATTATCGGTGGAGAATAGCATCGGCATGATTCCGTGATCTGTTGCATCCTGAATCGAAAGAAAATGGCAATTCGGAAAAATCGCCCAAAAACTGTAATGGTATCCCTTTGCAATCTGCCAAAAATTGACCCGGAATAAATCCGCTAGAATCGCTGCTTAATGGACTTAATCATCGTTGAAAAATTTTCTCAGGCCGAATCCGTGATCTGTAGTCCTCAAAATCTAAAGAAAATGGCCTTTCGGCATTCACAAAATTACGAAAATGCCATACGAAAATAAATTTATCCTAATCGGTGCTTAATGGACATATCATCCGTGGAGAATAGGAACAATAGAATTCATTATCGATGGAGAATAACCTCGGTCCGAATCGGCGCTTAATGGACTTAATAATAGTTGAAGAATAGCCTTAGGCCGAATCCGTTATCTGTAGCATTCATAATCGAATGAAAATGGCCTTTCGTCGCCCAAAAAATTACGAAAATTCCATCCAAAAATAAATTTTCCCAAATCGGTGCTTAATGGACTTATCATCCGTGAAGAATAGGATCAATATACTTCATTATCGGTGGAGAATAGCCTCGGCCTGATTCCGTGATCTGTAGCCTCCAGAATCGAAAGAAAATGGCATTTCGGAAAAATTGCCGTAAATCTGTGATGGTACCCCTTTGGAGTCTGCCAAAAATTGACCCGGAATAAATCCGTCGACATCGGCGCTTAATGGACTTAATCATCGTTGAAGAATAGACTCAGGCCGAATCCGTGATCTGTAGCCTTAAAAATCAAAAGAATATGACCTTTTGTCGCCCAAAAAATCACGAAAATTCCATCCCAAAATAAAGTGCCCCAAATCGGTGGTTAATGGACTTATCTTCCATGGAGAATAGGATCAATATACTTGATTATCGGTGGAGAATAGATTCAACCTGATTCCGTGATCTGCAGCCTCCAGAATCGGAAGAAAATGGCATTTCAGAAAAATCGCCCTAAATCTGTCATGGTACCCCATTGGAATCTGCCAAAAATTGACCCGGAATAAATCCTTCCAAATCGGCGCTTAATGGACATAATCATCCTTGAAGAATAGCTTCAGTCCGAACCCGTGATCTATAGCCCACCAAATCCAAAGAAAATGTCATTTTGTCGCACAAAAAATTACGAAAATGCCATCGGAAAATAAATTGGCCCAAATTGGTGCTTAATGGACTTATCATCCGTGGAGAATAGGATCAATAGACTTCATTATCGGTGGAGAATAGACTCGGCCTAATTCAATGATCTGCAGCTTCCAAAATCGAAAGAAAATGACATTTCGGAAAAATCGCCCGAAATCTGTGATGGTACCCTTTTGGAATCTGCCAAAAATTGACCCGGAATAAATCCGCCCAAATCGGTGCTTAATGGACTTAATCATCGTTGAAGAATAGCTTCAGGCCGAATCCGTGATCTGCAGCCTTCAAATCGAAAGAAAATAGTCTTTCGTCGCCCAAAAAATTACTAAAATTCTACACGAAAATAAATTGGCCCAAATCGGTGCTTAATGGACTTATCATCCATGGAGAATAGGATCAATAGACTTCATTATTGGTGGAGAATAGACTCGACGTAATTCCGTGATCTGCAGCCTCCAAAATTGAAAGAAAATGACATTTCGCAAAAATCGCCCGAAATCTGTGATGGTACCCCTTTGGAGTCTACCAAGAATTGACCCGGAATAAATCGTCCAAATTGGCGCTTAATGGACTTAATCATCGTTGAAGAATAGCCTCAGGCCGAATCAGTGATCTGTAGCCTTAAAAATCAAAAGAAGATGGCCTTTCCTCGCCCAAAAAATTACGAAAAATCCATACGAAAACAAAGTGCTCCAAATTGGTGGTTAATGGAATTATCTTCCGTAGAGAATAGGATCAATATACTTGATTATCGGTGGAGAATAGCCTCGGCCTTATTCCGTGATCTGCAACCTCCAGAATCGAAAGAAAATGGCATTTCGGAAAAATCGCCGTAAATCTGTGATGGTATCCCTTTGGAATCTGCCAAAAATTGACCCGGAAATAATCCTCCCAAATCGGCGCATAATGGACATAATCATCGTTGAAGAATAGCTTCAGGTCGAATCCGTGATCTGTGGCCCACCAAATCCAAAGAAAATGACATTTCACCGCCCAAAAAATTACGAAAATGCCATCCAAAAATAAATTGGCCCAAATCGGTGCTTAATGGACTTATCATCCGTGGAGAATAGGATCAATATACTTGATTATTGGTGGAGAATAGCTTCAACCTGATTCCGTGATCTGTAGCCTCCAGAATCGGAAGAAAATGGCATTTCAAAAAAATCGCCCTAAATCTGTCATGGTTAGGGATGGCAATGGGTCGGGTTGGGGCGGGTTTTGTCAAACCCAAACCCAAACCCATGGGTTTATCCGTCAAAAAAACCCGGGGTAAAACTCGTTGGGTTTGAAAAACTCAAACCCAACCCAACCCGCTGGGTATCCGCGGGTTCATGGTTACCCGTGGGTTTTTGTGGTAAAAAATTTACAATAAGCTAAGAAAAAGAAGGTTACACCATAAAATTCAGAGATATCGGCGGCTCCATCCGAGGTGCTATTACCCATGGTGGTACGATAAGTAGAATTCATCAAACGAAGGGAAAAGTGAACATTTCTCTCTTCCTGAACTAGGATATCTTCCAGCTCATCTCGAGCTTGTCTAAGAGCTGCATTATCATCATTACTGCCTGTTTGCACCTCCAGGCGCTCGATCTTTGCCAGGAGTGCATTCTTTTTACGGATGATTGTGTGACAGGTTTGTGCCGGGTAGAAAGAGGATCACTTCATTCAACTTCTGTTAGTATGGTTCATCCTACCTGATCTGGGGAATGTATCTCATATCAATGACTAAAAAGGAAGACTTCTTCAAGGGTATTTTGGCTTAAATTCTTTGATTCCTCGATACTCAATCAAATCCTCTTTTTTATGTTTATGATTGAATGTACATCTAAAGCCCCATATTTAGTAATTCCTTAACTGTTTCATAGGTGGAATATAGAGGTATGTGGCTTACCACCCGGTGAATTTTCTTTCTTCCTCGTCCCGGGCAGGAAGCACATGCATCTGGTTCCATCTTTCTTTCGTTAGTTAACCCACCTTTTTCTAAAAGGGATTGTAGTAATTCTGGTTTTATACTACTTGGAATGGCTTTTTCATATTGAGCAATTCTGTCTAGTGGCATTCGATCACAGAATCCATTAACAGCTGCATAAATGACTAGAATTTGTTTTCAAATAGGTGCAAATTCTGACATCACCACAGAACACTTGCTTCTATCGCTCCTTGCTCGCGGAGCGGCATACCAAAAAAAGAAAGACGAGGGAATCACCATATTCTACTAACATTAATTTTCTTATACAAATTATTCATACAAAAAACACCAATCTAGAGCATACAAGCAAACCGCAAATGATCAATACAAATTGTTCAAAATTAAAGATAAACATCTATAAACAATAAGATTAATTGAAAGCTTCTTACTCGTCAACTAAGTTTCTTCACTCTCCACTTCATAATATCAACTTCATTCTAAACAATTAGAAACAACAAATTATATATGTCTCCACAAACATAAAGAATATTAATTGTTGAAGGAAGATATATTATTTAGAGTATTAAATATACCGGGAAAGTAATTATATGTGTGGGCGGGTACCCATGGGGAGGGTTTACCTAAACCCAAACCCAACCCGGCCCAAAACCCGTCTACACGAGTTTTACCACATTGACCGGGTTGGGTCGGGTGGGTACCCGTGGGTTCGGGTTTTGTTGCCATCCCTAGTCATGGTTCCCCATTGGAATCTGCCAAAAATTGACCCGGAATAAATCCTCCCAAATTGGCGCTTAATGGACATAATCATCCTTGAAGAATAGCTTCAGGCCGAATCCGTGATCTGTAGCCCACCAAATCCAAAGAAAATGTCATTTCGTTGCCCAAAAAATTACGAAAATGGCATCAGAAAATAAATTGGCCCAAATCGGTGCTTAATGGACTTATCATCCGTGGAGAATAGGATCAATAGACTTCATTATCGGTGGAGAATAGCCACGGCCTGATTCTAGGATCTGCAGCCTCCAGAATCGAAAGAAAATGACATTTCGGAAAAATCGCCCGAAATCTGTGATGGTACCCCTTTGGAATCTGCCTAAAATTGACCCGGAATAAATCCGCCCAAATCGGCGCTTAATGGACTTAAATATCGTTGAAGAATATCTTCAGGACGAATCCGTGATCTGTAGCCTTCAAATCGTAAGAAAATGGTCTTTCGTCGCCCAAAAAATTACTAAAATTCTACACGAAAATAAATTGGCCCAAATCGGTGCTTAATGGACTTATCATCCGTGGAGAATAGGATCAATAGACTTCATTATCGGTGGAGAATAGACTCGACGTAATTATGTGATCTGCAGCCTCCAAATCTAAAAGAAAATGACATTTCGCAAAAATCGCCCTAAATCTGTGATGGTACCCCTTTGGAGTCTGCCAAAAATTGACCCGGAATAAATCCATCCAAATCGGAGCTTAATGGACTTAATCATCGTTGAAGAATAGCCTCAAGCCGAATCAGTGATCTGTAGCCTTAAAAATCAAAAGAAGATGGCCTTTCCTCGCCCAAAAAATTACGAAAAATCCATACGAAAATAAAGTGCCCCAAATTGGTGGTTAATGGAATTATCTTCCGTAGAGAATAGGATCAATATACTTGATTATCGGTGGAGAATAGCCTCGGCCTTAATCCGTGATTTGCAACATCCTGAATCGAAAGAAAATGGCATTTCGGAAAAATCGCCGTAAATCTGTCATGGTATCCCTTTGGAATCTGCCAAAAATTGACAGGGAAATAATCCTCTCAAATCGGCGTATAATGTACATAATCATCGTTGAAGAATAGCTTCAGGTCCAATCCGTGATCTGTGGCCCACCAAATCCAAAGAAAATGACATTTCGTCGGCCAAAAAATTACGAAAATGCCATCCGAAAATAAATTGGCCCAAATCGGTGCTTAATGGACTTATCATCCGTGGAGTATAGGATCAATAGACTTCATTATCGGTGTAGAATAGCCACGGCCTAATTCTAGGATCTGCAACCTCGAGAATCGAAAGAAAATGACATTTCGGAAAAATCGCCCGAAATCTGTGATGGTACTCCTTTGGAATCTGCCAAAAATTGACTCGGAATAAATCAGCCCAAATCGGCGCTTAATGGACTTAATCATAGTTGAAAAATAGCCTTAGGCTGAATCCGTGATCTGTAGCTTCAAAATCCAACTAAAATGGCCTTTCGTCGCGCAAAAAATTACGAAAAATTCCATCCGAAAATAAATTGTCCCAAATCGGTGCTTAATGGACTTATCATCCATGGAGAATAGGATCAAAATACTTCATTATCGGCGGAGAATAGTCTCGGCCTGATTCTGTGATATGCAGCCTCCAGAATCGAAAGAAAATTGCATTTCAGAAAAATCGCCCTAAATCTGTGATGGTACCCCTTTGGAATCTGCCAAAAATTGACCCGGATTAAATCTTCCAAAATTGGCGCTTAATGGACATAATCATCGTTGAAGAATAGCTTCAGGGTTAATCCGTGATCTGTAGCCTTCCAAATACAAAGAAAATGGCCTTTCGTCGCAAAAAAAATTACGAAAATGCCATCCGAAAATAAATTGGCCAAATTGGTGCTTAATGGACTTATCATCCGTGGAGAATAGGATCAATAGAGTTCATTATTGGTAGAGAATAGACTCGGCCTAATTCCATGATCCGCAGCTTCCAAAATTGAAAGAAAATGATATTTCCGGAAAATCGCCCGAAATCTGTGATGGTACACCTTTGGAGTCTGCCAAAAATTAACCCGGAATAAATCCGGCCAAATCGGCGCTTAAAGGACTTAATCATCGTTGAAGAATAGCCTCAAGCCTAATCCGTGATCTGGAGCCTTCAAAATCAAAAGAAGATGGCCTTTCCTCGCCCAAAAAATTACGAAAATTCCATCCGAAAATAAATTGCCCCAAATCGGTGGTTAATGGACTTATCTTCCCTGGAGAAAAGGATCAATATACTTCATTATCGGTGGAGAATAGCCTCGGCCTGATTCCGGGATCTGCAGCCTCCAGAATCGAAAGAAAATGCCATTTCGGAAAAATCGCCCTAAATCTTTGATGGTACCCCTTTGGAATCTGCCAAAAATTGACCCGGAATAAATCCTCCCAAATCGGCGCTTAATGGACATAATCATCATTGAAGAATAGCTTCAGGCCGAATCCGTGATCTGTAGCCTACCAAATCCAAAGAAAATGTCATTTTGTCACCCAAAAAATTACGAAAATGCCATCCGAAAATAAATTGGCCCAAATCGGTGCTTAATGGACTTATCATCCGTGGAGAATAGGATCAATAGACTTCATTATCGGTGGAGAATAGCCACGGCCTGATTCTAGGATCTGCAGCCTCCAGAATCAAAAGAAAATGACATTTCGGAAAAAATCGCCCGAAATCTGTGATGGTACCCCTTTGGAATCTGCCAAAAATTGACTCGGAATAAATCGGCCCAAATTGGTGCTTAATAGACTTAATCATAGTTGAAGAATAGCCTTAGGCCGAATCCGTTATCTGTAGCATTCAAAATCCAATGAAAATGGCCTTTCGTCGCCCAAAAAATTACGAAAATTCCATTCAAAAAATAAAATTTCCCAAATCGGTGCTTAGTGGACTTATCATCCGTGGAGAATAGGATCAATATACTTCATTATTGGTGGAGAATAGGCTCGGCCTGATTCCGTGATCTGCAACCTCCAGAATCAAAAGAAAATGGCATTTCAGAAAAATCGCCGTAAATCTGTGATGGTACCCCTTTGGAATCTGCCAAAAATTGAATGAAACACCCTAACCCAGCCGAGTACTATTTTTTACCAAAATACTCTCAATAAACCGTGAAATAAAATAAGAACTGAAAATACTGAGAAAAATAGCGGAATCATTTCATAAATAACTTCAATAAATACCGAAAACAACTGTCAATACTTAAACACAAAGCTTGACACTTGGTCAAACTCAAGCCTTTAAATCTCAAAATGATCTCCAGCCTATACTCATAATCATAAACTGAAACAACTAAAAAGTCTCTAATGCTACTGCTTCCTGAAAGCCTTGACCAGACATCCTCAGTGGCGCTTGTACTTCCCTCCTCTAGCTGTCTGTCCTCAAACTGCTCCTCTCGAACTCGCTGCTCTCTAACTCCTCTTAGTCCTCTTCAAACTGGTGAGTGAGATGGGGTCAGTCTACGCCCTTACGTTTAACATTTTATTAATACTTGATCACTTTACTTAACTGAGTGGAAGTTGTTTTGTACTTCCACTATTAAAAAGCTTAACTCTTAAAACTGTATGGGAGTTACTGTTACTCTCCATTCTTAAAGCTCAAATCTTGACTTAAATCTTTTGACTGACACGGGGATCCCTCATTAGCTAGTCTGGTTGCCAACTCATACGTATGAGAAGCCATCCAGGCTTTCCTTCAACTTAAACTTAGTTAGGGGAGTCGTAACGATTCATCCCCCTAACATCTTAAACTTATCGTGGTGGCTCTTCGCCACGATTCTCAAGAGCATAACTTCTGCTCATCTTAAATATCGCAAGAGCATAACTGCTGGTTTGTCTCAAAGATCTCAAGAGCATAACTGCTGCTTTATATGTAAATCTCAAATGGCAACGGACTGGCGCTAGTGACTAAAAACACTTAAAACGACTTCACCTTCTTGAAGGTGAGTTACTTCTTAAAATGAACTCGTTTCTTTAACTTAAAAATAACTCATAACATAGCACAAAATCACCTCAAATCATAGCTCAAGCAAAGCGCAAATAATCACACAGAATCATGTAATATCAAACATGAATCAAATACGGCACACACATCATGTAAATCAATACTTAAAAATACTCAAAGCAAATACTTGAAAAAAAACCGTAAGGCGTAGAATTTACCCCCTTTACACTCACCTTAGGGTCAAATCGATTGACTTGAGCGACATCCCATGGAACATTCTCCGAGAAACATATGCTTCGAATGCATACTTCTTATGCGACCTTTTGGCATAAGTCACCCTTTTCACAACTGCATCGGCAACCAAGTCTATATCCCACCCTGAAGCTTTCATCAGGTTAATCATCGGCTTATCAAAATCATGAATTAACTTACAAGCCAATTTGAAGGTTTCCTCAAACATCACAACATCCACAACCTTCCAACTCCCTTTTTCTCCAAGCTTCTTGCCTTCATAGTCTCGACCAACAGTAAATTGGAAGTGTCCAAATCATGAAGTTGCTCCCTTAATCGTGCAATCTCAGCATCTCTAGCCCCAGTTTGAGACTTCAGTTGCTCCAAGACCCTCTCTTTAGCTTCAACTTCAGCACGCAGCGAGCCCAAACGAGAAGACTCATGCTTCGCCTTCTCAAACTGCTTCTCCTTAACCGACCTTCTAGTGTTGCAGAGAGTTTGGAACTAAGACATGACTATTTCATCAGCAGCTAGAATCTTGTCAGTGTTGTAAGGAATATGAGCTTCCTGAAACTGAATGTACACCAAATTCAGAGCCGAAATCGAGTCAAACAGCTTGACCATATCCTTGTCACCACCGCTCAATTTCCTGCTCTTACTCGCAGGAACCACGGCAGGTTGAGCACGAACTCCATCCTTCCCACCAGCACGGCATGAATCTGCTCCCCCACTGGCATCGCTGCTGCTGATTTTCCGAGAGCCTTTTGGTGGAGAAAAAGGGCTGCGAGGGATTTAATTTTAATTTTTTTTTGGGTATTGCCGAGTGGAACCAGAGATTAGGGTTGGGGTTGGGTTTTAATTAACTCGAGGGGTATTTTGGGCATTTCCTAAATTATGGGTGAGTTTAATCTGAAACTCAACTAGCGTACGTAACTTACTCGATTTATGTCGAAACTCGACACCGTTTGAACCGAGAGTTCGCATTTTTAGTCCTCATGGATATTACGATGGAAATTGACAAATTTTCCCAAGGGTATAATAGTCATTTTGACTTTTGGGAAGAGAGGGGTGTAACATTGACCCGTATTAAATCCTTCAAAATCGGCGCTAAATGGACATAATCATCGTTAAAGAATAGCTTCAGGAGAATCCGTGATCTGTAGCCTTCCAAATCCAAAGAAAATGGCCTTTCGTCGCTAAAAAAATTACGAAAATGCCATTCGAAAATAAATTGGCCCAAATTGGTGCTTAATGGACTTATCATCCGTGGAGAATAGGATCAATAGACTTCATTATCGGTGGAGAATATACTCGGCCTAATTCCGTGATCTGCAGCTTCCAAAATTGAAAGAAAATGATATTTCAGAAAAATCGCCCGAAATAAGTGATGGTACCCCTTTGGAGTCTGCCAAAAATAAACCCGGAATAAATCCGTCCAAATCGGCGCTTAATGAACTTAATCATCGTTGAAGAATAACCTAAGGCTGAATTCGTGATCTGTAGCCTTCAAAATCAAAAGAAGATGGCCTTTCCTCACCCGAAAGATTACGAAAATTCCATCCGAAAATAAATTGCCCCAAATCGGTGGTTAATGGACTTATCTTCAGTGGAGAATAGGATCAATATACTTCATTATCAGTGGAGAATAGCCTCAGCCTGATTCCGTGATCTGCACCCTCCAGAATCGAAAGAAAATGGCATTTCGGAAAAATCGCCCTAAATCTATGATGGTACACCTTTGGAATCTGCCAAAAATTGACCCGGAATAAATCCTCCCAAATTGGCGCTTAATGGACATAATCATCGTTGAAGAATAGCTTCAGGCCGAATCTGTGATCTGTAGCCTTCAAAAGCCAAAGAAAATGGCCTTTTGTCGCCCAAAAAATTATGAAAATTCCATCCGAAAATAAATTGGCCCAAATCGGTGCTTAATGGACTTATCATCCGTGGAGAATATGATCAATAGACTTCATTATCGGTGGAGAATAGCCTCGGCCTAATTCCGTGATTTGCAGCCTCCAGAATAGAAAAAATGACAATTCGGAAAAATCGCCAGAAATCTGTGATGGTACCCCTTTGGAATCTGCCAAAAATTGACCCAAAATAAATCTCCCAAATGGGCGCTTAATGGACATAATAATCATTGAAGAATAGCCTCAGGCCGAATCTGTGACCTGTAGCCTTCAAAATTCAAAGAAAATGACTTTTCGTCGCCCAAAAAATTACGAAAATGCCATCCAAAAATAAAATGGCTGAAATTGGTGCTTAATGGACTTATCATCCGTGGAGAATAGAATCAATAGAATTCATTATCGGTGGAGAATAGCATCGGCCTGATTCCGCGATCTGCAGCCTCCAGAATCGAAAGAAAAAGACATTTGTGAAAAACCGCCCGAAATCTGTGATGGTACCGCTTTGGAATCTGCCAAAAATTAACACGGAATAAATCCACCAAAATCGGCGCTTAATGGACTTAATCATCGTTGAAGAATAGCTTCAGGCCGAATCCGTGATCTGTAGCCTTCAAAATCCAAAGAAAATGGTTTTTCGTCGCCAAAAAAATTACAAAAATGCTATTCGAAAATAAATTGGCCCAAATCGGTGCTTGATGGACTTATCATCCGTGGAGAATAGGATCAATAGACTTCATTATCGGTGGAGAATAGACTCGACGTAATTCCATGATGTGCAGCCTCCAAAATTGAAAGAAAATGACATTTCGCAAAAATCGCCCAAAATATGTGATGGTACCCCTTTGGAGTTTGCCAAAAATTGACCCGGAATAAATCTGTCCACATCGGCGCTTAATGGACTTAATCATCGTTGAAGAATAGCCTCAGGTCGAATCTGTGATCTGTAGCCTTAAAAATCAAAAGAAGATGGCCTTTCCTCGCCCAAAAAATTACGAAAATTCCATCAAAAAATAAAGTGCACCAAATCGGTGGTTAATGGACTTATCTTCCGTGGAGAATAGAATTAATATACTTCATTATCAGTGGAGAATAACTTCAACCTGATTACGTGATCTGCAGCCTCCAGAATCGAAAGAAAATGACATTTCAGAAAAATCGCCCTAAATCTGTGATGGTACCCCATTGGAATCTGCCAAAAATTGACCCAGAATAAATCCTCCCAAATCGGCGCTTAATGAACTTAATCTTCGTTGCAGAATACCCTCAGGCCGAATCCGTGATCTGTAGCCTTCTAAATCAAAAGAAGATGGCCTTTCCTCGCCCAAAAAATTACAAAAATTCCATCCGAAAATAAATTGCCCCAAATCGGTGGTTAATGGACTTATCTTCCATGGAGAATAGGATCAATATACTTC